GGTAAATCTACCTCAAGAGTAGCAGTTCCACCAGGTAACGCAGTGTAAGTGGTGGAAGTAGTACCGATTCCTGTCCATGTCTTTGTAGTCGTTACTGTTGGAATCGGTAAATCTACCTCAAGAGTGGCAGTTCCACCAGGTGCCACAGTATAGGTTGTGGAAGTTGTACCGATTCCTGTCCACGTCTTTGTAATTGTTGATGTAGGAATCGGTACGTTGACTACAATTGTTTTCGTTCCCCCTGTCGTATATGCCAACGTTGTGCTACTTATTGCTGATCCAGTCCATGTTGAGGTGACAATAGTCAGAGGAGTAGGTACATCAATCTCAACAGTTATGGTTCCAGTTGTACCTGCCGTATAGGTGGTGGAGGTCGTTGTGAGTCCTGTCCATGTTTTAGTCACCGTTGTTATTGGAATTGGCAAATACGTTATTACTGATGCTGTCTTCCCAATTGTAGCAGTAGCAGTACTAATGGATGTGGTAGTACCTGTCCAAATCTGAGTAGTTGTTACTGTTGGAATAGGTAGCTCAACAACTACAGTTAATGTTCCAGTAGAATACGAACCGATTGATGTCGAAATAACAGATCCTGTCCATGTAGAAGTAACTGTAGTTATTTTGGTTGCAGAAGTATAAACAATGACAGTTTCAACAGAAGCCGTTGGTGCTGGAGAAACTGTTGTTGTAGTTTTTTTTGTGCCTGCTGAAGTGACTGTAGTGGTGACGTAAGGATCAACTTCCTTAACTACTACTGCTCCTAAGCTTGAATCTGTGTAAGTTGTGGTCGTCTTGGTAAGAATATTTGCATATGAGGTAGTCAGAAGAGTTGGAGTCTGATAAAAAGTGGAACTTATAGGGGCTGCAGTACACAGGGTGGTAGTGTCAGCGATAAGATAAACATTTGGAAATGTTGTTGCTACAGTACCAGATGGATCAGTAACTTCTAAATCCAAAGTCGCTCTTTCTTCGGCGTTAGTGTAAACAATTCTAATAGGGTAATAAGTACCAGCCGCAAGCACAACTGACGCACTTATTGTAGTGGCGGCAGCGGTATATAACTTTGAATTGAACAATATAAACTCAGCAGTAAGAGTGGCTGCAGTTGAGTTACAACAATCGAAGGCAGGTCCATCACCCAAAAATACGGCAGCCGAATCATCAGTTGAGACCAAGCTAAAGGTATATGTACCAGCTGTTGCTGCATAGTAGTACCCAGTTAATTCTAAAGTAAAGTTGGTAAACGTTATAGTTTGTCCATAAATAGTAGAGGAAGCCACTGTAGGGTAGTAAGATACCCCATCCCATACATTGAAGTTAATATCTGTAATCCCACTTACAGTCGCGAGTAATGTCGATGACTTATACCCACCCAGGGCATAAGACAATGTTGCCATATCTACAAGATTTGCATAAGCGTATGAATAAAATTTAGCCTGAAATCCAGTCGTCGCAGAACTCAAAGATGGAGGTGCACATCCTGGAATGTTAGCCAGGCTAACGATGGCAGCGAGATATGTAAAAACAAGTACAATCGAGAAGTTCAATATTCGCATTTCGTCTAGTCTGTTAAAGGAATCGGTGAAGTTTCTCCACCAAATAAAATCTATAGAATCTCTCACTTATTTATTATCATGTCACCATGGGTTTTCAAGATCTTTTAGATCTTTTTAATTTCTTTTTTATTTTCTAAAAGAAGGGTGCGCCTCCGTATGCTGCATAAGGTCTGATGCCATCTCCGCATTGCATTTAGTTCAAAAAGAAAAAGTACTTAGATGCGAAAAAGGGTTAAAAAACAATGTATGCGATACTTGCTCTATTTTCTTTTTGGAGACAGTGCATGCAATACGGACGCGCACCAAAATTTTGCTGCAGAAAAAGAGCCACCTATTGATGTATGACTAAATATACTCGCATATTCGTATATGAAGTCATTCGAAAATCACTATTATTCTCTCCAATAAGGGAAATTATCAGGAAGGATTTGACCGAAGAATTCACCTGCATTTTTTTGAATGGTTACGAAAAATTGAAGATAAACTGGCAGACAGCCAAGGAAATATTATTAAGGTTTCCTCCCTGATGTCATTGACTTTTCTTGCAGAAGTTAAGATGATCTGCAAGATAATATCGACACTTATCCATTAATAGATCGATATGACAGAATTTGAAGAGTAGCTACTCTAAAAGTCACTTACATCAAATGCTTCGAGTGACAATAGTAAAGGGTTTAGACAATAGTAAAAAGGGTTCAGACGTCTCGTATTGTTCTATTCTCAAAATGTTCGAATAGAAACCAAGAGTAAACAAAAATTACAAGAAAAAACGATCTAGGCTTAGCTTGGAGTGTGAGCTCGGCATCTTTTATTGGATAATAAATCCTCTCACTACATTATCAGAGTCTTTCATCAATATAGAAAGTACAGAATTGAAGAACGCCCATGCGTGCTGCTCAGAGCATATACGCAAATTCTGCATATCACATTTTTATTTTTTATGCACTTCCAAATGTGTCAAGTTGATTAATACTGAAAAAAAATTTAATAATTTGAACGTAGGAGATGTCATATGTATTGATCATCAGTAATTCTCTCACTGCAGTTTATAATGGAATACAGATCTCAAGTAGAATATTGCCAGATAAATAATTTTATTCTTAATTCGCCTTTTAAAGTAATGAGATTATTTTAACAGGGCTCTGCAGGAGAAGAAATTTTTTATGCCATATGCATTTGCTCACTGTGTAGAGAAACATTTTTTCAAATATGTATTGTTTTTTGGGGGCTCAAGCTAATCGGGATGTCCACTGCGCAAATTGATTCTATCTTCAAAATAATTAGATATTAATATATAAGCATGCTAGTTATATTTAAGAACTAGGTGATTAAACTTAGATGTAAACTAATTCGATTAAATCGTCTTTAAAAGTTTCTGGCCACTAGCACTGTCGTCTCTGTCAATCAGCGGGATGAATTTGTAGGACTTTTAAACCTTTTCTATCTTGAATATACCTAATCCTGCTGGAAAGTGAGCGTAGTAACTTGGGTATGAGTATTTCCCATAATTCAGCAGTCAATGCAGCTAAAATCCCACATCTTCCTAAACTCAAAGACTTTGATAAAATTTGAATCGAGCCAAATCATCGGAATTGAACCATTATCAAATATTCAGTTTGCGGGAATCTACATTACTTGAAGGTAGAACTCGACTGTCTAAACAATACTTGGAGACTAGCGAAAACGGTAACATATAGTTGCTGTCTCGTAACCGGCCTGGGCTATTGACTGTATCAACTTGCGGCACCACCATGACTAAAGTTAGGCAAAGTTAGCTAATCTTCCATTAATTCACAAACGAACTTCATTGAATTTTGCAGCTAGCACACTTTTTCAGCTTTCACTGTCAGAAATATTGAAATTGAACTACGCAAATGGGCAAGTTGCAGTTGCTCAACCATTATCGTTCATCTTGAAGGATGGTAAATTTTTCCTCGGCAAAACCGTGCGGCGGTCATTTTCCATATCACGCATGCAGATCATTGCCCCCAAAAAGGATTCTAGAGCAGATGCATATCCGAGAGAGAAAGAGCAAAATTATATTTAATGAGAAGATACTTGCTTTTACGATAATATATTTTTTCAAATAAAACAAAGAGAAATTCATTTATTTTATGAGTTTCTCCTTCGTTTCTAAACTTCAGGTCCTTCTGGAATATATACTGAACAGCCCTTGCATGGCACTGAAACATCTTAATCTCCGCTCTGCACAGATGAAACAGATCGAGATTAGTCATTTGCACCCAGAAGGTAGGCAACACCCGCCGCTAATGTTACCAAGTCACTGATACAAATACATCGAGATTTGGATATCACACAGAATCACTCTATTTTTAGGATATTATCAAGAATCTCAATTCTTTCAGTTATTTTTACACAAAATCTTCTCTCTCTTATATTTGAGGAAAACGAAATGATCATTCTTCCATCGTATCTCGCGCGAAAAAAATAATATGAGGATGCGCAGTGCGTGGTGCTGGAAGTAGTAAGATTTTTTAAGATTAATCATGTCATCTTGACAACTTTAATTTTCAACGCCTGCGCGCACTAAGGAACAACGAGTAAAGTTCTAAAAGATATTCCCCCACGTTACTGACAATAAAATATTGTAAGTATTGATTGAATTTCTAAAGAGTCTTGTAATCCAAAAGTCTGCCGAATTTCATTCATAGAATCTTCTTCATGTGTGCATAGTTCTATCACTTACCTAGAAAAAAAGCTTACTTCGTGAAAAGTTACATACGGACTCCACTTGATATCTTTATTTTTTAAAAAAAAGTGGTACAAATTCTGCAGAAGAAACCTCAAAGTACTGTGCATACACCACCAGAAAGTATCTGCAAATCGAAAAAAATAAACTTTAGGTGCACTCAAAGAATTTGCTAATCCTCGGGCAATCTACAAAGAACACTAAAAAACATGAAATATATTATGAGAAACTGAAGATTTAAAGATTTTTTCTTCAATATAGATTTGAGATCATCAAGTTTGTGAATCTCTGAGTGAAAATGAAGAACCGAAATATGAATTTCAATCGCTATTACTATATGAATTGCTAGGAGGTCTTTACCTTGAGCTTGAAGGAAAATTTTGATTTATAATCATGGTATGAATGATAATCGAGTATGTCTATATCAATAAAGTAACATATGGGCCAAATAGGTCACGATTACAGCTGTAATTGGAGTATTAATTGATGCAGCTGCTTTACCTTCAGGGACTGCAATGATTGTTGGCAATGAATTTGAATTGGAAGACTCGGAACTGTAAGACGTGGCACCTGCAGTTTTTGTTACCGAAGTGTTTGAATTTTCATTAGCTCTAGAAGGAGACATATCTGAAGTGGATGAATTCTCTGCTGAGATTTGAACAGTAGAAGCTGTCTGTAATGCCTGAGTTCCCTGGGAGACACCTGTAACGGCCGAGGAACCGAGAGATTCTGAATCTAACGTGGCCGATGAAACGCTAGCTTCTGACCCAGCGCCAGTAGTTAAATCATTGGTTTCAGCAGATGCTTTGTCTTGCTCCAAGCTAGTAACAATAGGTGTGGCAGTAGAAGTATTTTCTTCTTCATTGGATGACGATAATGGGCAGTAAATGGTGAGCTCTGTGACTCTTCGTTGGTAGTGAAGGTGACAACTGTGACACCTGTAATGACTGGAGTAACTGTACACTTGCCGTCATCGCAAGAATTGACAGAAACCACAGTAGTTAAGAAATCTGTGTCAGTAGCAGTGGTATGGGTTCCTGTAGATGCTGATAATGGACAGTAAGTGGTATATTCAGTGACCACTTCGTCTGTAGTGATGGTGACAACAGTGATGCCTGTAGTGACTGGCGTAACTGTACACTTGCCGTTATTGCAAGAAGTAATGGTAATCACAGTTGTTGAGATGTCTGTTTCAGTAGCAGAGGACGTAACATCCGAATGAGCTAACGATGTGATTGTGATACCAGTGAAAGAAGAAGTACCTAATGATGATGAGGTTGACAAAGCACTGGATAACCAATTAGTGAATTTGGATGCAGATGATGCTGGGAAAGATGAACCATAAGTTTCAGATGTGGCAGCGCTAGAAGAGGAAACAGCAGTGGTGGACGATGAAATGGAATCAGTAGAAGATGTTCCAGTTTCACCTTGCTCGATATAAAATATTGTCTTCTCAACACTAAGTTCTCCACTAGGACCTGTAATAACAAATTCAATATGATCACCACTTGTAATGTAATTGTTAACACTGCTAATTGGATAGTAAATACCTGCTACTAAATCCACGGTCAATGCACCAGTACCAGATGGTCCTTCAATGATCAAAGGAGTAGCTCTAGCTCTCTTTGATAAAGTGCTACTACAAGAAAATGCGACATCAGCTCCAATAGAGAGAGCAGCACCATTAGCAATATTGCTCAACTCAAAATTATAGTTACCACTCAAAGGAGGAAGGAAGAATCCTTCCAAATCTAAGGTGAACTTACTTTCGTACACAGTGTCAACATCAACAATAGCTTCTACGGTATTATCCAATTTATTGGATTTATACCCATCTTCAAGATACGATGATAACGAATCTGAAGTGGCGTAGTCGTAGAAGTATCCAATGAACCCAGTTGCTGAAGGGTGAACAGCAGGACAACCTTCTGGAGTAGGAGTGCTATAAGTGGAACTGGAGACGGATTTGTGAGGTAGTGGTCCAGGTGGATGTTGATTGTGTGTTAGAGCCGTCTTGAGATGCAGAACTACTGCTTAATTGTGAGGTGCTTGGAACTTCAACAATAACAGTGTCTGTACCACCTTGAGTATCAGTTTCTGTAATAGTGCTCTTAAATGTTCCAGTCCAAGTAGAAATTTGTTGTCTGTGAGTTAGATGGAACTGGAGTTTAAACAAGAACGGTATCAGTGATAACCAAGTCATCAGTTGTTGAAGTTCTGACGCTACTTATAATAGAGCTGGAAGTCAACTGCGAGCTGCTTGGGACTTCAACAAATACGGTATCTGTACCACCTTGATTATCAGTTTCTGTAGATGTGGAGGTGAAGGTTCCAGTCCAAGTGGAAGTTTCAGTAGTTTGTGGGTTAGTTGGAACTTCAACAAGGACAGTATCAGTACCTCCTTGAGTAGCGGTTTCCATAGTCGTTGACGTGAATGTTCCAGTCCAAGTGGAAGTGGTAGTTGTTTGTCCATTTGGTTTTCCGTTTGGTGGACTAGGAATTGAAGGACATACGGCACATACACTTGGTCTCGATGAATCTGGAGGAGCAGCAGAGTAAATTGAACCAAAGTTTGGAAGTTATCCCCCAGCACCTAATCCAAAGTTGGCTGTTCCAATTGCCATTTTAGATTGATCATAGCCTGTACCAATTACAATGGTGTAGGTAAATCCACCTGATTTAATGGTCAATGTATCATCGTCATAAGTGAAGGATGAAATGACACCACTGAATCCAATAGTATTTCCATTACCCCATCCAGCAACCGTATATGAAAAGGATGGATTGTAGAGATCAATTCTCAAACTTGAAGTGCTTGTACTAAGAAGAATAGTCTGCGATTCGGCAATTTTTCTTGAATATGCATTGGTGACCCAGATATTACTATTCAAACCGACGTCGTAACATCCAGTACCATCTATATTTGACCTCTGAAATAAATATGCTGGTAAAGACAAACAGTTCCATCATTTGTGATATGAGAATCGACAAGACCCAAGTGTGTGGTACCTCCTGAACGAGAGCTTGATTGATAGTAAGTAATTGTACCTTCGTTGACGAATGTATTGAAAGGTTGAATAGTAAAAGTTGAACCACTGGTATTACCGATTCCCGCAAACCATACATTTCCGTAGTTGTAGAAAGAACCACCATAATAGTCAAACGTGGGAGCTGATGTACCATTTAAATCACTGAGAACAATGTCCCCGTTATTTGTGAGCACATTGGATGTTCCAATATAATCACAAGTCAACCCTGAGTAGTGATTTCTGTCACTAATGTAGAGCATCCCATTGACGGTTAAATCACCATAGAAGTTGTGAGTGTAACCAGAGTCAATTGCTAAGTAGACTCCCTCGTCAATAATATAATCTGAAGTATAGAGAGTATCACCAGTACTTATGAGAGTATTGGACGATATCTCAACTGTAGCAGCATTGGCCTTGGTCAAACCCAATAACCCTAAAGGTGTTAAGGATCTGAATAACATCTTACTATGAGTACTTTACTTATTCTTTTCATATTTTGTATTATTGATATAGTTTTTATAGTGCCAATAAGATTGGTAAAATACGGACTTGTGTGGATGCACAATATCGCCTATGCTCGAAAAGAAGCATTTTATTATTTTTATGTATACGTCCTCCACGAATACTTCTCTGGCTTACGTCCTACATCTAATTTAGTCCAACATAAAAATTTTTGCAGCACCTTTGAAAAAGTTCTCTTTTGAAACAAGTGTTTCTTGGAATATTATCCCCAAATTGAGTAGATGGCATGGCATGGTAGAAATTAACGATAAATATTTCTTAGCATCTTCCCTTCTTTGATACAAAGAGTGCTCAACATATTCTAAGTAACTCGTATGGTGTGCGGCGCCCTTGGAGAAAAAGTTAATCTTACTCGACTTTCACTAGAGATAAAGTAATTTTGAATGGTGTGTATGTGCAACAACGGATGAGTGATATTTGCAAATAGATTTCAAAATGAAATAAATTCGATCTTTCAGAATACTTTATTAATTTAACTTCTATTAATTATACGTGGGGTACGTTTAGGCGTACAATATGTAAACTCGCTTGTAGGGTTCGGCTTCGTATAAATTTCGCGTAGTCGTACCTTTTTGAAAAAAAAAAAACATTAAACTTTCGTTTCCAGATCTCCTAAATGTGAAATAATCTGCATTTTACACATACTCTATCGGAATGAGGATTGTTCCAAATTTCAGGCATTTCAGTAGATTGCCGATTTATTCATTGAAATGAGTTCACTATTCTCAACCTTATGTGCTAATCATGTATCTTACATAAAAGATTTAGAAAGAATTGTATAAACTTATCGATTCAGGGTTCTCATTACACGCATAGCTAAATCTGACTTAAGGGCTTAGTATTTGCCAGCCAAAAGTGAAAAGTCATTCGAATGTCCAGTGCATGCATGAACATGAATACACACATGCAAGAAAGAACCTTCTAAAAATTATACTTCAACTTTGCCAGATATAACTGTTTACGTTTTGGTGTCACCAAAATGTACAAAGCAAGATACAAGCTCACATTACAGGTTCCCAAAATAGTGAGCAAACGTCTTCCTTCGGAAGTATTAATTAAACCACATACTATTTATGGGTAGAAAATACCCAAATTAAATCACTCATCCTCCTTTTTGCTGCATTTATAGCACTGCTGTGCAGATCGTATTCTCAAATTATACGAATTGTTGAGCTAGTTTTCTTGTATATTATTCGCCTAATGATACCCCCGATGTCCTGTATACCGAATTTAACGCTTTATCCACAGAAGAAGTATCAAGCGTCAAATCATACGTTAGTGCGGATAAATCTCAAATTAGAAAATTGGTTTCTACTTCATGAACAGGAAACACGAATTCCTTAGAGAGAAAGTCTACAAAGTCCGTTTCTTTCAGCTCACCTTCTTTAACATCACCTATTGTAGCAGTATCTCAGGGAAAAGCAAGCGAGCAACTTAAACATCCTATAATGGCTATATTCATAGCACATGTTGTTCAAATGATTCCATTGTCATATTTATGGCTTTCAACAATTTTAAAGTTCAGATTTCACCAAACTTATTACTTAAATTATGCAAAATATTTTAAAAACTTCTTATTTTTCATTCTCTATTAAGCCATTACTTTTTCCACTTCCACTATATAATCAGGAGTCCCCCAACTTCGAATAGGGGTATGTATATTGAACTACCCTTTAAAATATATTATATTTCTAGCAATACACTTTGTTCACGAACAAAATATTTTATTATACATTTGAAGAAATACAACAGGAAAACTCTTTCATCATATAATTTCAAACTTGGATATATGCTAGAATTTGAGTCAAAAATACGTTTCTGGACTGTCTTCTTTATTAGTTAAAGTAGGTTAGTTTCAATTACGAAAAAGGGTAGTTTTTTCCCCTCAACAAATTATTCCAGCATATAGGGAATCTTAAAGTTTTAGTTTATTAGATATATCTAGAAGTATAATATAATGTATAAAACTCCCTTGATGATCTAAGTGAGATGGGTCGAAAATAGTTCAAGTCTAAATAAAAAGAACATGATAATTAAATGATCGAAAATGGTATAATGTTGCATTGAAAAAGAATTAAGCAATGTAAGCTCAAATCAGTTCAAAAAATAAACATTTGTAAGATAGAACTCAAGAAAATAGCAGTCAATGGAATGCTGAAGGTAATTGCTGATTTACCTTCTGAGACAACAACTACTGAAGGTAATGACGTAGAGCTGGAGGAAGTAGTGCTGACCAGATGTCCTTCAATATCTGTAGTACTTGAATATCCGACTTCATTTGACGAAAAGGTAGTAGATATACTACTTTTTGCTGAATATAAAGAAGATATAGTATCGGGTGTAATAGTGGCACCTGTCGTACTTGCAAAATCAGAAACTAAAGGTGCAACAGTAGAGGCGGAGACACTTTTCAAGCTTGTGGGGCTAGTCTCCTCCGTACTGAAAGTGGTCACATATGACAAAGGACAGTAGGTGGTGTACTCAGTAACTTCATCATTGGTAGTAAGAGTGACAACAGTGACTCCTGTAGTGACTGGAGTGATAGTGCACTTTCTATCTTTACAAGAAGTGATTGTGATCACGGTAGTTGACGCATCTGTTTCAGTTTCAGTTACAGTACTCTCAGTTCCAAAAGAGGACGAAGGAGATGATGTAGGCAGTACAGCAACTTTTCCTGATGTAGTACTTAGGACCAATGAAGATGACCAAACATTAGTACTTGATAGGCTGTTTGTTGTTGCAACACTAGAATTACCATAATAATTGACACTTAATGACTCCGATGAAGATGAGAAATATGAACTGTCGCTTACAGATACAGTACCACTAGACGAGGATACTGCAGTAGTAGCTGAGCCGGCCGATGAGACTGACGTAGACTGGGTGTTACTAGGAATCTCGATAACTATAGTGTCAGTACCACCGTGAGATACAGTAAAGGATTCTGTGGTGGTAAAACTTCCTGTCCAGGTAGAGGTTTCAGTAGTTCGCGAATTCTTTGGGATCTCGATGATGACGGTATCAGTACCACCTTGAGAAGCAGTAATTGTTTCTGTACTAGTAATAAGACCAGTCCAGGTTGAGGTCAAGGTAGTTTGAGAATTGCTTGGAACTTCAACTATTACGGTATCGGTCCCTCCTTGAGAGGCTGTAAAAGTCTCTGTCGTAGTTGCATTTCCTATCCAAGTGGATGTGAGTGTGGTCTGGGAATTAGTCGGAATTTCAATTAAGACAGTGTCGGTACCACCTTGCGTAGCAGTGATAGTTTCCGTGTGTGTTTCCAAGCCAGTCCATGTAGAAGTTGTAGTAGTCTGGGCGTTCGAAGGAACCTCTACTACTACTGTATCGGTACCACCAATAGTATTTCCTTCCTCCGTGAAGGTTGTAGTATTGGTACCAGTCCAGGTCGTAGTGGTGGTAGTTTGAGCATTTGGAGTAGGTGGATCAGGTATTGAGGGGCAAACAGCACAGATACTTGGTCTAGATGTATCAGGTGGAGGTAAGGCATATTTAATTGCATAGTTAGGACTATACTCACCTATAGCTTCACCAAAGCCAGTACTGATTTGAGTGGTATCGTACCCAGTTCCGATTACAATGTTAAAGGTTATACTGTTGACAAAGACACTCAAAGTATCAGTATTATAGGTCCAACTAACTATCGAGGAGTGGAATTCAATGACGTTGCTATTTCCCCATCCTTTAATAGTGTAACTAGAAGTAGGAGTACCGTATGCAGCAAGAAATATACTTGACGAACTGGAACTAAGAAAGAAGACCTGTGTTTCAGCAATCAGCAATGAATAAACAAAATAATCTATAAAAGCACTCTCGTGACCAATATCAATGCAGCCTGTTCCACCTATATTTGCCTCCTGCGTAAGTGCTGAGTTGTTCAAACAGATGGTTCCATCATTTGTCAATTGAGAATTAAAAATTCCTAAAGCTCCTCCTCCCAAAGCTGAAGAGGACCAACGATCCATCGATTGGGCGACAGTGATGGTTCCTTCGTTGACTATACTGTCATAGTTAAGGCTGGGTTCTGTCCCATGATTACCGACTAACCAAATATTTCCAGAGTTGTATAGGGTGTTTCCATTCAATGCAATATTAGCACTCGAGGTACCGTTCAGATCATTGATAACAAATTCATCATAATTTGTGATATTTCCATATATCTCGCAAGTCATTCCAGAGCCATAATTTTTATCACTTACGTAGAATACACCATAATTGTTTATGTTGGACTGAATTATATGCGACGTACCTGAGTCGATAGCATAAAAATACCCGGCTTCAATGTTTATTACTCCGCTATTAGTATTAATATTGGTATCACCTGAACTATCTAAGTAATTTTTTGAAATAGTAATGTCATAAGATTTGACGCATGACAAACAGAGTAAGCCCACAGCTATTGTCAATGTGATTCTCATCTTTTTACTCACAGATCTAAATCATATTTTCTTGCTTCGAAGAAGATTCCATTGTATTTATAAGAACCCAAAATGCACATCAATGTACAGATAGTACCGCATATACGATGGTACACATAAGATTATTCTCTGATACCACCGCTCAACACACAATCTCCTCCACCTTTTTCTAAAAAATACTCAACGATGCATGCACCGGCATTTGGAAATTACCTATTACATAAAAAAATTTTAATCACATCAATTTATTAATACGAAATAGGATTGTGTTTAATCGAAGATGCTGAAAACATACTGTTCACATCAACACATCTCTAATAGATGATTATATTGCTTTCTGTAAGCTCCGCAAAGAACCTCCAATGATCAATTCTGCAAAGGGGATCTTAAAAAGCCGTTCCAAAACTAGCTTTCATTATAATTCATGCATGAGCATCTCAGTCACATAATGCCCGCCTTGACGTTGCGACACGATGGATTTCGTATATATTTGCCGAAATTCGACAATAACAATGAAGAGTAGATGCCAGTTAAATGCAACTTGACAAAATTGTGTGGAATCATGAAATGACTTTTGAAGATAGATTTATTGGCATCCGGAAAGTGGTCTGCTGAAAGAAAAAAAAATGACTTGACCTGACTTTTACGACATCTTTACGAGAGTTAAGCGATACGCACCAGTTAGTGAAATGAAGAACGGGAAGATTTCCAAACTGTTAATCTTGGATCTACTGCTTTCATTTTAACCAGTCTTTATATCCTAGTGATGAATGCTTCGTTTCAGGCTCAAGATCATAAATGAGCTCATAAACATTAGCATTAGGAGAAATAGGAGAAAACTCTTTCATATTATTTTCATGTTAACATCAAAGGCGTTTACAAAATTAGAACCTTGCATAATCGAATGCGCGAATGTGGTGGTCTCAGCTCCAACTGACCACCTTAAATTAAGCTATTAGAAATTGAATATGCTTCGCTTCCCTAAAAAAGAAATTAAGTAAACTAGTCAATGGAAGCCAATAATTTATCGCAAATTCAATTTACTATCAAAGAATTTTGTTTTCGGTAGAATTGTCACTTATAGTGTTGAATACGTTAGTATGCTAGTAGTTGTAAAGCAGGAGGAATCTGGTAGCATATTTTTTAATATACTAAATGTGTGATATTTTTGACAAGTTGCTAGTCCAATTATTGAAATATTTTGACAGAGATAGTTGTTTGTGGTATGTAATTTAAAGAAGATAAGCCTTTGTATATTACAGTAAAGATTGTAAAAGAAGAGAAGCGCAAATTTTATTTGTCAAGAATCAAAAAAACAATATTTTATAAAGGAAATACATGTGACTAGCAAGATATGGCCACATAATTGTAACACTACAATCTCACACATTACTGATGCAGAAGTGAGATTGGGGCCAAAATCACATACTTTAATTGTCTTTGATTCATACCCATTTTCTCCACAGATCCAGCACTTAGAAAATCTTTAAGTTAATAATATGAATTATATCTAACAAGATTATTTCATTCATGCATTACTGAACATTTAGGAATGATTGCAAATGTATCAATATAAAGAAAGGTACCTTTGATATAAATCGTTTGTAGTATTTCATATGCCGGTTACTGTACATTTGGAATGCCGAAATTGAATCTAAGAATAGCCAAACAATAATTCTTTCACCTTCTTCGTGTTCAACAAGCTATGGAATTAAAGCTCAATGAGCAGGAGCGGCTAAATCCTAGAAACTAAAACAGGCTTCCTATTCATTTTATTAACGTCTTCAAGGGGTCATCTTTAGGCCCTCTTTTTTGTCCAAGAAAAGCAATGTTTGAGAACATCTACTGGAGGAACAGTGACATATACCAGCCTGTTGACGTCAAATTCTTCACTGGTTTCTTCTTCTAAAGAAATGATGATTTTATCTCTTGCTATGACATATCCTCTTAAAAGAAGAATAGTAGTTGCAGCTGCAAAGAAAGAAACTCCAGAAAATATGGCGGTATGCTGGTATTGGGTGGATCCTTTTCCTGAAGTGAGTGAAGATCCAATTAATTGAGAGAATATAGCAGCAAGCCCACAGAAAGTCCACAGCATACAAAAAGAGACGTTCATTTTGGAAATTCCAGTCAACCTGGCTACTATCGGTGCACAAGTAGGGAAGATAGTACCAATAAATATTCCTTCAAATAGACCAAGGGCCAATGTAGTCGAATAATTTTTAGCAGGGTACCACATACCTAAAGTAAAGATTGTTGCTAGGTAATATCCACCTGCAGTTACTGTGAGTGGTCCAATATAATCAGATAGATAACCGGCGAATGGTCGCCCAATACAAAATCCGAGTTGTAGCATTGTTCCCACTACTGCAGCCTGTGAAGGAGTATTCCCTAATGACACCGTAAAATCGTTCAAACTATACATGACAACAACATAACCAAACATGACAGTAATCAAATAAAACGAAATCATCCAAAAACCTGAGCATTTAATCACATCTACGTCATAAAGAGTAAATTCTACTTTATGGTGCTTTGACTTGGTTCGTATTAATAGGACTGCGATTAATACTAAGACAACAGTAATAATAGCTTGTGCTCTTAGAGCCCAGTGAACATTTTTGACTGATATGATCTTTTCTAGGCCAAGATTGAATACTATTCCTCCAACTCCACTGCCAGTGACAGTTATCAGATTTGCAAGAACTCTTTTCTTCACAAACCATTGTGGGGTCAAAGTCATCGCGGGAAGAGAAATAAATGCAATTCCAAAGGATTGTAGCACACCCTGGGTTAAATACAATTGCCATTTATTGGTTGCAAAACTAGCAAGTATCAGCCCACAAAACTGGAAACAATTTCCAACTAATATTGTAGGACGAGTCCCGATTCTTCCTTGTATATAATTTATTATTGGAGAGAAAAAGAGTCCTAGTCCAAATGATATACCACCAACTGCGGCATAATCAATGGCCGTTGCACCTTTAAAATGATTGGAATTCAAGTAATATGAAAAATAGACACCAAATGCTGAATTTAGTCCCCAAGTAGAAAATGTCAAGATAAATGTTGCTAGCACTATGACCCACCCGTATCCTCCGTCTATATCTTTTTGGTGGTGTTCAAATGATGTCTTCGATTCCGCACCATTTGCTCCATTTGCATGCTCATCACTGGGCTTTGAGCCGCTCGTACCTGATCCCTTCCTTTCAGATATTATCGTGGCTGCAGACTCACTACTAGTAAGTTGCATTATACCAAGACTAACTACTGACACTACAATAAAGAGAACATAAAGGTGATACCTTATTACTCTATCTATTTCAGGTTGAACAGTTGCTGTGACTAATAGCTCCAGATGGCTCGGAATCTCGCCTAGGAGATGCGGAAACAGTTTTTACCGTATACAGGAAATTTCATGGTTCAAGCGGAATTTCCTTCCAGTCGTATTCAAGTGGCTTTGCTTTGGCTGCTTTAGATATGTGTGGGGCCCTTCTTATCCTAGCGTAGCATAACTATCTGTCTTAGAAATCAAGTACACTCTTCTGTTCAAAGAACTCTATATAACTTGTAGGTATTTACTTAGCAATTTGGTTGGCATCTACAATTTCCCCAGTTAAAGTTTAGACCACACACAAAGGTGGAAAATAACTTTAAGTCTCCGAGATAATACTAAATAAAAAGCTTTTGATTTTCAAGAAATTCTTCTATTCTAATTTAAGAGGGAATTATATACGGTGCTCGAAACTTTTACACCCCATGACCAGTACTCATCCTCTTCCGTACCAATTTTACCATCTTTGGAGAAGAATCTATATTCCTTCTCATTTGTAGTACCCCAGTTAATTTTACTATTCTCTTGCAATGTGATTAAGTCATTAAATGGTGAAATAAATTCTCGAATAAGAGCTCTTTCAGAATCATTAGCTAAAGGATTCATGAACCATATTCCTTGGTCCATACCATGAACAACACCGTGCGAAGGATCTATAACGTCATCATAGTATTTTGATCTGAAAGCAACTCTAAATCTGAAGAGGTTGGCTGCGGGGAACCCGTGGTCAATCAAATTCTTTATGTAACCTCTTGACGAATTATAAACCTGTCCCTCACCAATGATTCTTCCAAATAGTTCTTTGTACTGAAGGTGCTTTTCTGATTCCAGTAATCTTGGATCGACTTGAGGATAGAGATCAATCAAATCTCTAACTGACTTCCTAGGATAATAATTCTCTACTTGGTATTCGAGCTCTATTTGATCCTTTGGTGTATCCAAGACGGAATACAACCAAGGTTCATTTTCTACTTCACCAATTACAATTCTGATTGATGGCTTCACTGAAAGCAACAAAGAGGTGAACTTACCACTTGTCAAATCTGCTAAAATAGTACTACTTACAAATTTGTTGTCAGATACAGCTCTAAATGTATGATACTTCATTTTAGGTAAAACTTCCATAAGCTTCTCAACGTCAATTGCTTGTAACCTTTGAAATTTTTCAGCAGCAGTCAAGGATTTTGGAATTTCCAACTTAGTTATTAATTCTTCGTATTGGTCATCAACTTCATGGATCAGCTTTGGTTGAACTAAGAATGCGTTCGAAAAATGCACCACTTGCTTAATAATTTGTCTAGCACTTGAACTGTTGTACAATTCATAAGCCAATTGGAAAAAGGTGGAATACGAGCCAGCACTTAAGCCTCCTACAGTAATCTTCTCAGGGTTTCCACCGAAGTGCTTGATGTTGTCGTATACCCATTCGATGGCTACTCTTTGATCCCAAAACCCTAAATTAGAGTTTCCCTCTGAGCTCAAGCTTGACAATTCAGTACTGCTCAAAAATCCTAGAACGTTTAATCTATAGCCGGGGGTAACAATTATGTACTTACCTAAGTCAGAAGCTGGCTGTTGAATTAGTCTTGGATTCTCAAACCTAGAAGGATTTCCATATTGCAACCAACCACCATGAATGTATATCAAGACAGGGAATCCTCCATCTGGTGCTTTATTTTCACTACTAGGTACCCAAATAGTCAAATGATTAATATTCTCATGTCCTTTCCCTTGGGGCATCAACTTCCGTAAGGTTTCATTAGACACAATTGGTTGTGGTGCCGGTGATCTCAACTCGGTATAGTCACCAGTATAGTCAAAATCGCGCGACAAGGGAATTGGTTTCTTCCATCTATTTTCACCATCGAAGTTCTCGGAATACGGAATAGAGGCGTATCTAAAATTCTGTGGTTCTCCGGTACTTGTATTAAAATACTTCAAACCTTTGAACTTACCTATCTCTGTTGATAAAGTGAATTCTTCAGAGTCAGTCATAAGATCAAAATATATATAAAATAAAAGCTAATCCTCTACAATAAACTACAAAGCTCCACTATCCATTACAAAAGAAAGAAAAAGTATAGATTCGCATATATATATATACTTGGGAAGAGAACTATATTTATATCCTTGTACCCATTGACTTTCCCCATGTGATCTAAACGCAATGCTATCTATACTGTGGATATGCGGAATTTTTAAAGGAATCAATTACCTAATAAAGTGGCGGAAATAGACATAGACATTCCGATAAGATAAAGAAAAAGAAATAATTCGGCGCGCATGCTTCCTCTTTAAGAAGGTTAGCGAGCCAACAAGTATAGCTCTATAGACATTGGGAGTTTACTTTAAATTCAGTATAGATATATATATTTATATATTACTATTTAAGGTTCGAGTATAAAGTCAGTTTAGTCCCATTCTGGAACTTTACTTTTGTTTTCTTAACTTACTCAATATCTGGATAAACCAATCCACCTTCTTTTCTAATGTTATCCATTACTCTCATAACTAGTAAAGTCTCGTCCCAAGGCATAGTTTCGTTTTGTAAGTTACCCTTAAATATGTCTTCAGCAACAGCATTTGCTTCGTAAATAAATCCGTTGTAACCAGAGGTATCCTCGTATTCAATTGGTTGCTTCGATTTATCCTTAAATGTGACCTTGAGCTTTTTAGGACAAGCGGGATTGGGAGACCACATCTGCAACTTGGCCTTGGTGCCTTCCAAGGTTAAGTAAGGGCCGTCCACATCAGACCAATTGGAACAAGTTAAGATGGCGTGCTTTCCGTTTTTATACTTCAAGAGAAATGAACTTACATAATCTACTCCATCGGTGGGATCAATAGTCTGGAAAGATTTCACTTCAAATGGTTCCGCTTCCTTACCTAATTTATCATCCAAGAGAATTCTGGAATATGTAAGATTGTACACCCCAATGTCCAACAAGGCACCTCCAGCCAAGTTTTTATCTCTGATTCTGGAAGTAGCTGGTACATTTTCTAAATCGGCGTCAAAAGCAAAATCCATCATTAACCTCTTAATATCACCGAGAGCCTTCTCTTCAAAGATTAGTTTCTTCAATAACTGAACAGAGGGGAAGAATCTGGTCCAAACTGCTTCCATAAAGAAGACGCCCTTCTTCTTAGCAGCTTCAATCAATTCTTTTGCGCTGTCTTCAGTTACAGTAACAGGCTTTTCACATAAGACATGAAGTCCGTTCTCAATTGCTTGGAGTGCTTGCTTCTTATGGAATGGATGTGGGGTACCTATATAGACTACATCAATATCTTTGTTCTGGAAAAAATCATTGTACACCTGAACTTGCGGTGTCACACCATCATTATCAGAGATAGACTTCACATTTTGTTTGACAAATTCCTCTCCCTTTGGAATAGAGGATGTACCAATGGACCTAACAATGTGAGTGATTTTTTCATTCCTAGAATTATTCAAAACCAAATCGTGAACAAAGGAACTAGAGATGTTACCTGCTCCAAGAATTCCCCAATTGATTTTAGACATGTTTAATGAAGTGTAATATGAAAAAGTGAAAAATTAAGAATTCCTCTACTAACTAGTAATTAAGTATGTATATACGAATTATATGTATTTTTTAAAGAAAAAATTGAGCTCTATTTACCAAAAAGATTTGATTGTGGGGGATCTCCGCTTTTCTGTTCGCTCTAATACCACCAATCAATGGAGTGTATCCCAATCTCTTGAGATTTTGAGAACTGGATGTGATGAACTTATGCGACATTGTACGGTTACATAATGCAATGTTGCATTTTTTTTCTCTCGAAATCTTAATTTGTTGATAAGGTTACATCGATAGCAAAAGTAAAATTTACATCTAACGGTTGGGTTTAGACGTACTCTTAGAGGTTGCAGTATGTATGCGGAGTAAAAGAAAACAGTTGTCTATAAATATAAGTAGATTAAGCTAAAAATTACTTTTTAAATCCTTTGATATTCTATATAACAACTGTTAAAGCTGAGTATTAGTTGTACAGCGTCTTCTATACTTTTTTTTTGTATAGTTCTCTCATAAAAATGCCCCACAATCTTGCACATTTCCATCACGACCAAATCGCCAAAGACGGGTTTTCCATAGTAAGGAATTTCTTAACACCTGAAGAAGTTGCACGGTACAGGAAAGCGTCTGAAGAAGTTGTTGAATATGCCAGAGAGGGAAAGTGGCCCCACGTAAGAACTAGAGGAAAGCAGTTCCCACCATGGCCCAAGAACTTCAGTCCAGACATTTGGGGTATTTCAGGTCTACTTAATCCAGACTTGGGTGAATTATCTCTTCCATTCCACGAATGTTATTCTTCTGAAAAAATCTTGGCTATTGCCAGTGATATCTTGCAAACTGACAAAAATGGATTAACTATGGAACTCCTCAACATGTTGATCAATCCTTTGACAAACTTTGGTTTGGATTGGCATAGAGATTATATTAAACCTGAAGTCACCCCAGAAGAAGAAGCCGAGCAACTTTTGTTGGACCCTTACGCTGGAACACAGTTCAATCTAGCATTGACGGATGATAGCTGTCTTATTGTGATACCAGCATCCCACAACAGAATTAGGAACGCTGAAGAACGTGAAAAAACGTCTAATGATGACAGAAAAGAGTACATAGAAGGACAAATTACCGTCCACTTGCACCCAGGTGACATTGTGTTCTACAACAGTAATATTTTACATAGAGGTACATACAATTCTGAAATTGTTAGAATGACTTTGCATGGTTCTTACGGACATGTTGACCACGGTAAGACCAGAGCAAAGGGTGTTTTGCAATTCGGTGTAGCAGAGTGGTTACCAAGGTTCCACCCAACAGAGCCCAACTTGATACAATTACGCAGTAAGTTGGAAAAGTTGGCAAAAGAATTCGAGGGCCAAGATCTTGGTTTCGCCCTAGAAGGTTAAATAAGAGATAGGAGATAAAAGAAGAAGAAGTGAAAAAATACGAAAATATGGACCAATTATTTTTAAATAGTGATATGTAGTGTACCGCATTGATCCACCTTGGACCACTTTACAGTCTTTTATATGAAAAATCAATGTGAATACAGCTTTGTTTGATTCAGTTTTATTCTGATAGTAGTTTCTATTGCTAAACACATGTCCTAAAGTATTGGATACCTCAGTCCCCCTTTTTGCAAAGTATGAACATACTGTACTATTGCATTCCATATTAACTCCATGGTTTAACGTGTGCTACTCCTGCATGTGTACCATTAGACAATAACTGAGGTCAATATCTCCACCTGTAGCTGAGGTGAGCAAACAGTTCATCATCAAACTCCTTGCTTTATCTCCAGTGGCTTTCGGTGATTATTCCTGCACTAAAATTGATGTCAAAATTTGACATTAAAATTTTTTAGAAATTATAAATAGAGCCGTCTATCCTAAAGTATACGTCGACAACACCTCTTGATGTGTTGCTAACTGCTCTTCCATTTGTTCAGTATCTTAGCATATTTTAGAGATATACAGGAAGAATATTTAGTACCACTATAATACATTCGCTCATATAGTTAACAGTGAGAATATGTCAAACGAGGCTACCATCGCACTTGAAAATGGCGCCGTGCTAGTGAAACAAAAAAGGTTGCTTTCGCGATTTTTCACTGACAAGGTACCACCAATACCGTTGCCAGAAGAGAGGCTAGAATACGGCTACAACAATGCAAATATTCTTCTGAAAGTGTTTTTTTGGTGGCTCCACCCAATCCTTAAGACTGGATACATCAGAACCTTAACAAACATGGATTTATTCAAGTTAGCTCCTAATTTGACTGCAGACGTAATGGCTGCAAAATTTAATGATTCGCTCTCGCGCAGAGCCAACGGAAACATCATAACTAAAAAAATTATGGTGCTATCGTTAATTGACGTCTTTTTCAAGCAATACTTCTTAGCATGTGTGTGTTTACTCTTGTCTTCGGTGTGTTCAACGGTAAATCCACTTTTAGTCAGGAATTTGATTCTTTTCGTGGAAGACCGAGCTGATAGCGACAACGTGAGTATGGGAAAGGGTGTTGGGTATGCTATTGGTGTTGCCCTTTTGTCAGCGGCAGCTGCAGTCTTCAATCACCACTTTCTCTATAGAGCAACTACTACTGGAGCCCAAGCCAGGTCTTTACTTACCAAGGTCATCTTCGACAAGTCGTGTAAGTTGAGTGCTCGTGCCCGTCATGACTATCCTATCGGTACTTTAACTTCAATCATGGGTACTGATGTTTCTAGAGTTGATTTTGCATTGGGTTATCAGCCGTATTTCATCGTATTTATTTTCCCAACCGCAATAGCTATCGCATTGTTAGTGATAAACATTGGGGTATCTTCTCTTGTGGGTATTGGTGTAATGTTTTTATTTTTAGTTGCCTTGGGTTTGCTGACAATAAAATTGGGGGCTCTTAGACGATCAGTATCCCAATATACTGATAAACGTGTGAATTATATAAAAGAAGTGCTATACAACTTGAAGATTATCAAATACTACTCATGGGAAGAATCATACGTTGAGAATATTACCGAAGTACGGAAGTCAGAAATGAGGTTGGTATTTATTATTCAAACAATTAGAAATGCCCTTACATCTTTAGCGTACTCATTAAATGTTATTTCGTATATGGTTGCATTCTTAGTTTTATACGCTATTGATTCAGGAAGACATAATCCAGCTGCAATATTCTCATCAATCTCCTTATTCAATGTGTTGAACCAACAAATGGTCTATTTGCCTTTAGTCTTACCAGCATCTGCTGATATGTTGATTGCATTGGATAAAATTGGTAAGTTTCTTAGTGCTGAAGAAGATGAGATCATACATGGGAGCATGCAAACCAAACGAGAAGATAATGTTGCTCTTGAAATAAAAGATGCCGACTTCGAATGGGAAATTTTCGAAGCGACAGAGGAAGGCACTGACGGAGAAGTTCAGTCTGAAATCGTAGAGGTGAAATCTAGCATTGATGGAAGCAAAGATGAAAAAGATGATGATTCTTATAATACAACTAAAAATGAGGGCAAAAGTCTTTCACCTTTCAAATTGGAAAATTTGAACCTTGAAATAAAGAGGGGAGATTTTGTGGTCATTGTGGGATCTATTGGATCTGGAAAGTCTTCTCTTCTTCAAGCTATTGCTGGATTTATGAAAAGAACCAAAGGAGAAGTGAATATTTATGACTCCTCGCTTTTATGTGGCCCCAACTGGGTCCAAAGTTGTTCCATTAGAGATAATGTTACATTTGGTTCTGACTATGATGCTGATTTATATAGGGAAGTAATGGATGTGTGTTGTTTACAAGAAGACATGAACCAATTAACTGCTGGAGATATGACAGAAGTCGGTGAAAGAGGTATCACTCTCTCTGGAGGTCAGAAAGCAAGGTTAAATTTAGCCAGAGCTATCTATAAGCAAAAGAGTATTATTCTACTAGATGATATTCTAAGTGCTGTCGATGCAAAGGTCGGCAAAGAGATTATTGAAAAATGTATATTGGGATTTTTAAGTGAATCAACGAGAATCCTAGCCACTCATCAATTGTCATTGATTGGTTCAGCAGATAAGCTCATCTTTATGGAAAAGAATGGTAGTTTAAAGTATGGAACACTTGAAGAATTGAACGCTTATCCGAACTTCGTTAACTTCATGAAGTATGATACTTTGAAAAGTAAAAATACTCAAAAGGAAACTAACGTGGAAGAGATTGAGTCTGAACTTGACATTGTTTCCAAACTGAAAGAAGCTTCTTCTTCTGCAATGGCTACAGGCAAAACGGTCACTGAAGAAGAACGTGCAGTTAATAGTATCCTGTTCGAAGTCTATAAGCAATTCATTTCTGCAGGCTCTGGTATCTTCACGAAATACGGTATCATACCGGTGGTCATAATTTTTGTTACTGTGGCCGTGTTTTGCACCATTTTTACCAACACTTGGCTTTCCTTTTGGACCTCAGATAAGTTTCCTACCCTTAGCCTGGGGCAGTACATTGGTATATATGTCATGTTCACTTGTCTTGCTGTGATATTCCTTGCAATTCAATTTGGTATCATGGCGTACTTTTCTACAACCTCGTCTGAGATTTTAAACATCTATGCAATCCAAAAGATTGTGAGGGTGCCAATGTCATATATGGATGTGACTCCAATGGGTAGAATTTTGAATAGGTTTACAAAGGATACCGACGTATTAGACAATGAATTTGGAACTCAATTGAGACTCTTCGTATACTCAACATCATTGGTGATAGGTGTATTCATCTTATGTATATGTTACCTACCTTGGTTCGCCTTGTCTATTCCACCTTTTACAGTCATATTCTTTTCCATAGGAAGCTACTATCTAGCAACTGCGAGAGAAATCAAAAGGTTAGAAGCTGTTAAAAGATCATTCGTATACAATAACTTTAACGAAACATTGCAAGGTATGGATGTAATAAAAGCATTCAATTCTGAGCTGCATTTCAAAGTGAAAAACAGCTATTTTATTGACTCCATGTGTGAGGCATACTATATTACAATTGCCAATCAGAGGTGGTTTTGTTTAAATATGGACTTGTTAGCAGCTGCTTTCGTTTTGATAGTTGCATTATTGTGTGTTTGTGGTGTTTTTAATATCGGCGCTTCATCATCCGGTTTAGTCGTGACTTATGTATTGCAAGTTGCCTCCTCTCTCACTATAGTGCTCAGAAGTTATACAAACATTGAAAATGAGATGAATTCCGTTGAGAGGGTTCAACATTATGCTTTCAAGCTTCCACAAGAGGCTCCGCCTATATTGGAAGGTGATGCTAAACTTCTACAAGCTGGGTGGCCCAATTCTGGGACTATTGAATTTAAAGATGTTTCCATGAAATATAGACCCGGCTTGCCATTGGTTTTAAATAATGTTGATATAAAGATAAACTCCGGAGAGAAGATTGGAATTTGTGGCAGAACGGGAGCTGGTAAATCTTCCATTGTTACTGCATTATATCGTATATCAGAGATTGAGGGTGGTCAAATATATATAGATGGAGTTGATATTTCCCAATTAGGATTGAAAACGTTGAGGAGTAATCTCTCGATCATTCCCCAAGATCCTACCTTATTTTATGGATCCATTAGGAAAAATCTTGATCCATTTCAGTATAGTACCGATGATAAACTATGGAATGCTTTAAGAAGGGTAGGTTTGGTAACGGCTGAAGAGGCTGAGATCATGAAAACATCTCTGCAGACAAATTCAGATTCGCTTGAATTGAAGTTTGGATTAGACCAAATAGTAGAAGATAATGGCTCCAACTTTTCCTTGGGAGAAAAGCAATTGATAGCGTTGGCCAGAGCACTCATTCGCGATACTAAGATACTAGTCTTAGACGAGGCAACTTCATCTGTGGATTATAAAACAGACGCATTCATTCAAAAAATTATTGCAGCTGAATTTACATCATGTACCGTTTTGAGTATAGCTCATAGACTCAAGACGATCCTAGACTATGATAAAATTCTTGTTCTTGACAAGGGTTCTGTTGCAGAATATGATAACCCAAAGGACTTATTCTCGAACAAGAAAAGTATATTTAGAGACATGTGTTTAAAATCTCATATTTCAGAAGAGGACTTCCATAACAAAAGCTAAGCTATATTAGTAAAAGGTTTTCGGTACCTTTCCCCCTAACTACATTTGGATATTCTACTTTATGTTTTATTAGTATTAAACTTTTATTTCCTTTCGCTAAAAATTAGCCAACCAACTTAATTATAATTTACATCTACAGCATTAAAACATATCATTTTCGTAAGGGCAGTGGATACTATCGTGTCCATCTCTTTCGCATAATCCACACCACTTTTCTTTACCACTACTTGGATCAATGGGGACTTTTGGAGAATAGATGGGTAAGCCAATACTAATTGAACTTTCCGTAGAACTCAAAGTATAATCCTTTGTTGTGGTATTGCTACTAATATTAAAATTTTGGTGCCCATTTAACTTCGATGAGGCCAAGTCATCTTTTAGATCTTTTAATTCCTTCTTGGTAATTGCTAGCTCCTTCTCGATTTCGCTTTTTAATTTAATCACCTCTTTTAACTCTTTCTCTTGCTTTTCAGTTTCTGATTTATGTAAAACTTCAATTTCTTCGATTGACTTTTGGAGTTCAGCTAATTCTTCAAATGTTGGTCTCATTTCAAGGTCATGTTTCAACAGTTCAATCATGTTTTCAAGCTCAGTGTTCTCATTGAGTTTCTTCTTGAGTAATAATATTTCTTCTTGAAGAGTTTCTACCTCTTGTTTAGGAACAGCATTTTTCTTATGCTCATCAATTTGCCGTTGACAATCAGAAATGAATGTATCCTTCGCCTTGATAGTGTTCTCGTATTCTTTGAATTGCGATTCTGAAGTAAATTTGAATGCATCCAATTGTTTAATAGACGCTTCTGACTTCTTCAACTTCTCGCTCAAAGAAGTATTTTCGATTCTCAAGGTATGCAATGAGTCTTCTAGTTGGATAGTTGCGTTAGAGTGATCATTGCTGATTAAATCAAGTTGTTTAGAATGCTTACTTTTAAGATTTTCAATAGATGATGAATGCTCCTTTTCGAGAGATTCGGTTGTTGATAGATGACTTGACTTGAGTTCTCTTTCTAAATTTTCGAGTTTACTAACTTGCTGTTCTTTGAGATTTTCTATTTCAGTTGTATGCGCATTCCTCAAGTCTGAAACGAATTCTTCATGTGTAGATGCTAAGGCACGTAATTCAGCTTCGTGTTTGTTATTAAGTGATTCTAATTCAGATTTGTGACCGTTGGAATAAACGTCTAATTCCAATTTGTGATCTGAAGTAAGACTCTCCACCTCTTTCTCATGCTTAGCTATAATAGCTTCGATATTACCGTTACTAGATTTGATAGACTGCATTTCGCTTTGATGCTTTAGTTCTAAGTCCTTCAAAAACTTTTCATGATCAACTGAAAGTGCCTGAACGTTCGAAAGATGGCTGTCTTCAAGTGCCTTGATGAATGTGCTATGCTCAGAACTTTTAGAACTTAAATCAGCTTCATGATTTGCCTTCAATAAGTCTAACTCCTTCGTGTGAACTTCAACTAACTTCTCTTGGTCTTGCTGTAATTTATATTTAGACTTCTCCAGCTCTTCTTTGTAAGATTCATGTTTCGTTATTAATTTATTTTGGATTTGTTCATGCTCTTTTTGAAGTGAATCTTTCGCTTCTTGTAATTCAAGTGGAATACCGGTTTCAAGCTTTTCTGTTAAAGTCTTGTTATGTATATGTAAATTGGACAATTCTTCCTTTAACGATAGAGAATCCAGTTCAAGTTTTTGGATGAATTCATCTTTTTCCAATAGTAACTTATGAAGTAGTTCGTTTTCATTTTTTAAAACTGCAAGTTCTTCCTTCAATGAATTCAAGTCAACATCATCAGCTGACTTCTGCTTTATTTGATCCTGTAATTGCGAGAGCGATAATTCATGATCTGCTAGCACCTTGGAGGTACTCCTATGATCTTCTTGACTTTTTGATAAAGACACAATTAAAAGCTTGTTCTTTTCCTCGCTTTTCGTCAATTTTTCCAATAAATTTTTATGGTTGTCCTCAATATCCTGTAGTTTACGTGATAGCTCTAGCTTCTCCCTTTGTAAATTGTCTCTCTCATTCAATAGCTCATTCGAACTGTTAACATTATTCTCAGTTTCCTTCGTTAATGATTGGAACGTAGATTCACTTTTAGAAATTTTCTCATTCAACTCAGATATAGTAACATTATTGGACTCGATTTCCGCCTTTAGTGACAAAATTTGCGCCTCCGATTTATCGTTTCCAATTTTCAATCTTTGATGTAAATCCTGGTTTTCCAATTTCAATTCATCAAGTGATTGTTGTAATGTATCTGCAACTATTTTGTCTATTTTATCAGTCGATTCAGATTTAATTCCTTCGAGTTCTTTCTTTAAAGATTGAATCATGACTTCAAATTGTGAACTGCTTTCGTCCAATTTGGATTGTAAAGCCCTGTTTTCTTCCTTCAATGACGAATTTTTATCTTCCATTTCTGTTGTTCTGTTTGCATTAGCTAAGTGGACTTCTTTCAATGTCGCATGCTCATTGTGTAAATCTAAATTACTACTCTTTGATTCTTCTAGTAAAGCCTTCACTTGTCGTATTTCAGTCTCTAATGAGCTTATTTCTTTCCTCAAATTATCAACTACTTCTGTTTCCTCATCCTTTCCGGAATTTTTGGACTTTAATTCTCTTATTTCAATTTCCTGGGAAGAAATCTTTGCATTTAATTTCTTTTCTAGCAATAACTTCTCCATGGTAAGGTCGTCAATTGAAGTTTGGAGAAGTATATTTTCGTCTTTGTTATCTACAGTTTTGCTAGAATTGTTGTCGTTCTTTAAATGCTCCATCTTCTCGTTCAATTTAGAAATCTCACTTTCATAGTATTGTTCAGCTTCCTGTTGTGTGTTAGCTAGTAAATCCAAACTCTCTCTCCATTCTTCCCTAGCCCTCTCGAATTCCTTTCTTTGCTTTAATAGTTTGGAATCTCTCTCTGAAAGTTCCTTCTCATAATTCTCGAGCAAGGGATGCAAGGATTCTACTGTGCCCTGTAGTTCATTTAAAATCAACATTTTCTCCTTCATCTCTTCTAAATTACGTCTGTGTTCCGTTTTCAACTGTTCAAGTTCCTTCTCGAGCGAATCCTTGGATATCGTAAGGGTCTTGAGTTGGTTTTCAAGTCCACCGGTTTCATTAGTTGTGTTTCTTGAAGATGTAGAAGACAATCTACTGCCTGGTCTACTGATTTTACTATTGCCATTTGGGGAAGTCAAGCTCAGACTACTTGTTCTTCTACTGACGGTGTTGTTGTTACTGATGTTCGGAGCTCCTACATGGTTTAAATTTGCAGCGACATCAAAAAAATGGTTACCACTTTTCCTACTCAGCGGTCTGGAGAGTTGTGGGTTGGCAGTCTTCAACCGCTCAATCGGTATAAATAGCCCCGTCATGGGAATTTTAACTTCGAAATATTGAACGCCGTCAACAGCTCCTGAATTTTTACCCTTTAACGAAGCCATAGCTCCTACTAATTCTAGTCCTCCGAAGATTCCACTTTTACCTTCGATCTCCCCAACGAATCGGAGAATACCTTGTCCGGGCGCTCCAGGAAGAAATACTTTCAGACCTATATGCTGCTCTATCATGCCTTGAGGTGTGGGAAGGGTCATAATCAAATACTAAGGTTTCAAAAAAGCGCCACTCCGTTCAGTATGGATCACTCTTACCTGTCGTACTTCGTTAAAAAGGATTGTGTTTGTGGTGATTCCGGCTATTTGTTTTGATTTCCAGTAATGAGTTTTCGCGGTTTTTTCGTTTTTTTGGCCTTTTGATTTTTCTGCACTGAGTATGCTCAGTTCGCAAATCACATTCTCTCATGAAGTTGATTCATTGAGAAATCTCGATTAGCCGAACTGATGACGCAGGGGCAGCAAAAAAAGTGAAGTGGGAATTAAAGTTTACACTACTTTCACCCCTGACTTCAGTAGATAGAGTTTATGAAAATATGTCGCGGAGAATGATTAGTGGGGAATGTCGGAGTAGCGATAGTCTGGAACCCTTCACTTTCTGGTGAAGATCTGTGTGGTCAGGGTATTTCTTGTTGTGGTCTCTGTATTGTTGGAGGTTCATGTTCTTAATGTATGGAATACCCACGGGATTTTTTTTTTCCACCCACCTTCCTCACCTTGCCTTGCACATGAGCCTCGTATAAATTATTTTAAACATGCAAACTTTAATTCTAGGACAGAATTGGAAAAACAACAACAGTGATAGTGAAAAATATTAAGAAATTCGAAAAACTCAGGAGATGACTTTGTGAATACGGATTATGTTGAGTTATTTTCAATGCGTACGTAGATGTGAATACAGGCTATGTGGAGATTTTTTTAATAAGATTTTGGATGTGAAGATATATATATATATGTTAAGCTTTCACACATGGAGAAAACTTTGTGAAGACGGGCTACGCTGAAATACTTTCAATCAGTACGTAGATGTGAAGACATATGTATGTTACGATTTTTACCAATGTCGTTTATGTATTTACTTATCTAACGAATTATAGCTCTAGTAGGGCGTATTTGCTTCTTAGCTATATTATCAGCAAACTCCCATCTCTTTGTTATTTCATCTTCATAATCGACAGCAGTCAAACAATCAGACTTGGAGTTGATAACAGCTCCACTTTTCTTTTGATCAATGCTCAAATCTGAGAGCATCACATTCAAATGATCAATCTTACTCAAGTGATTCATCACTTCCTCATTTAAATTGAATATGCATTTTTCCACATTGTCAAGAATAATGTCACTAGGAGATGCTTTGATTTTTAATGGCATTATCTTCTGTTTGAATTCTTCTAATTTCTTTTCGAAAATTCGTACCTTTTGACGAAGCTTGATTTGCATCTGTTCATTTGCATAATCCAATGGTCTTTGCTTTGCTGATGTGTATTGACCCAGAACCATGACAGCCAACTGTGAAAGTAATCGATCAACCTTAATTCTTTGTACATTACTATCTTCCAATTTACTCGTCAAGGCATCCAATTTTTTATTCTGTTCCCGTTGTGTTTTAGTTAAAATCTCAAGATCTTCCGAGTAAGCCAGTATGATTTCAGGTATCTTATTTGAGACAGTAGCAATGCCCCAAAGTTCTGGAAGATCCAAAGACTCTTCATCCAAAAATTCATCCCCATCTCTATTTTCCATGTTATCGACGTAGTCTGCAAGAATTTCAAGGTTAGCTTCACATACTTCTAAAACTCCAGACGTGTTGTTGTATATTTCATTCATTTTTTGCAGGACAGGATTCTCCGGCATAAGTCTCTTTGGTGGTGGTGAAATACCTTGGAAACTCAATAAAGGCTCACATTTTGTGGTTGGTTCCAAAACTGGCTCTATTATTTCGAAATTTTCTTCTTCATCATATTCTTCACTTTCATTTTCTTCTGGTTCATTCGCCTTTGACTCATGAACTACAATGTTATCGTCGAAGGAATTCCTTGTCCCTACTGGTACATTGCGCTCAGTTTTGACAGATTCACGTAAAGGTTCAGTCTCTTCACGGCTGATCTCTGTGAATTCTTCATCTGAAGATGCACCTGGAAATTCACTATCACTATCTTGAGGTTCGAATTTCGATGAAGAGATTGTTTCTGGAGTGAGCTTTTCAGTCGAGTCATTGGTTAAGGACTGTACAGGTTTATTGAAGCCGGAACTGAGCAAGGAAGTACTGTCTTTGTTATTTGCAGAAATATTAAGATCTCCAAATAAGTTACTTGAGGAAGATCCAAAAATATCCTTTTTAGGCTCTTTTTCAAGAATATCAGGATTGAAAAGGTTCAGCTTTTCAGTGAAGAGGCCAGTAGATTTGCTACTTTGTGTTGAAGTTTCCTCAGCAGGATCTTTAAGCTTCAGAGGAGCCTTATCAAATGGAATTCCTTCCTGTTTAGATTGCTCAGCTTCATTTTCACTAGTCACTGGGCCCTCTGCTTTCAATGATGCATCTGGTTCAGATAGTTTAGCAAAAGGACTTTGTTGCTTTGGGGCTTCACTGGATTGCGAGAATTTCGCAAATGGGCTAGGCTCCTTACTTTGATTTGGAGTGGCAATTTCAGAGCCTAAAGATGACGTCAGCTCAGATAATTTAGCAAATGGACTTTCTTGCTTAGTAGTTTTAGTTGGTTGAGCGAATTTTGCAAAAGGGCTCGGTTCTGTAGCTTTATTATTAGCACTAAATGGGCTGTCTCCAGATGCAGAAGCTCCAAATGGTGAAGGGGATGCAGCAAGACTTCCAAATCCACTTTTGGTTGATGATGACCCAAATGGTGATGGCTTATCAGTATTTCCGAAACTTGAAGTACCAAATCCACTTTTTGCTGTAGATGATGACCCAAATGGTGATGGCTTATCAGTATTTCCGAAACTTGAAGTACCAAATCCACTTTTAGCTGTAGATGATGACCCAAACGGTGACGGCTTATCAGGATTTCCGAAACTGGAAGCGCCAAATCCACTTTTAGTCGTAGATGTTGTCCCAAATGGTGATGGCTTATCAGTATTTCCGAAGCTTGAAGCGCCAAATCCACTATTAGTCGTAGATGATGACCCAAATGGTGATGGCTTATCAGAATTTCCAAAACTTGACCCTCCAAATCCAATTGCAGCCGGTTTATCAGCGCTTCCCAAACTTGATGATCCAAATCCACTGGCAGCTGGCTCCTTTCTAACTGATTTATCATCAGCTGAAGAGCCAAAACTTTTTGAGCCGAATCCTGAGGATCCAAACCCACTTGCAGTTGTGCTAGCTTTGCTTTCAGTAGCTTGAGCTCCAAATCCGGATGATCCAAAGCCTGAGGACCCGAAGCCAGTCGCAGTTGGTTTGCTTTCTGTTAAAGCGCCAAAACTGCTTGATCCAAAGCCCGAAGACCCAAAACCAGTAGCGATTGGCTTATTCTCTTTTGATGTACCAAAGCTATTAGATCCAAAACCTGAAGAGCCAAATCCAGCAGCAGCAGGTTTGGTTTCAGAGGAACCGAAGCTATTTGATCCGAATCCTGAAGATCCAAATCCACTTGGTGTGCTACTTTTATTTTCAGTGGATGAACCAGCAAATCCGGAAGATCCAAATCCAACAGAAGCGGGCTTGTTTCCGCTTAAATTACCAAAGCTACTTGATCCGAAACCCTGGGCTTTATTATCACTAGATGCAAATGCAGATGACAGACTTGAGCCAAATGGATTGGTTGATTTACCGAATACGTTATCAGTCTTCAGGTCAACATTAATAGGTGCATTTTCACTTTCTTTAGAAGCTATAGGAGTCACCACTGCTTCGGTTATACTTTTCTTTATGTATTCAATTGGACCCTCAATTCCTATGTTTTTATCCTTTAGTACTACTGATTCGAAGACCCACCAACCAATTAAAGTTCCTTCTTGGGTCAAATTCCAAAGTCTTGGTAATTTTCCAGTGGCAGAGTCTACTCCCAAACAAGGGTTTTCAACAGTGACATCAACAGCTGTGAGATCCACTGCTATTCCTACTGACGAGACGTCATCGTCTGTTTCTTCATTTACAGGAAACAGAGCTTTGTCCGTATCATTCATATGCACCAAAGACTGTGCTGGAACATCGCTCGAGCATTCAATTGTACTGATTTCACTTGCCTTTGCCGATGTTATAAATGCTAATGTCTGGTCCTTAGACCACCAGTTGTGAATAGTTTCTATATAGTAGGTACCAATTCTTGGAGCTCCAAAGGGATCAGCAACAAAAGTGTCGTACGTTGCCTTCACCCCCCAACTTTCATCACACTCAATGACAGTGCTAATAAAGTCTTGGTCGTCTGGATCCAATTCTCTGCCGCCAAACACGACAAGGTACACATGATATCCGATTTCTTTACATACCAAGACTCTTTGATCATCTTCCTGGGAGGCAATTTCATGTGATGCTGCAGTAGTTTTTCCTTGTAGAGTAGCTACTTTTACTCCTGCTCCACTCGAATACACAATTGAGTTACCATTAATGCCCCAAGAAAATGCTTCTACAACCTCTTCAGCATCTAATATTTTCTTCTCCATATTTAAATACAAATTACCAGAGGCTAAAGCTAAGATATCAGATGGAACTGTTGGTGAAATTGCCAAATCAGTAACTTTTTCTCCAGCTGGTAAGCTCGTCTCTACGATTTTAATGTTATCTTGGCTAACATTCGAAAAATTTATAGCATCTATATACTTTACAACTCCATCATCTAATATAATCAACTTGGATTCATCCGCATTGAATTGAAGTTTAGTGACATCATTGAGGCCCGTAATTTTCTGCCATGAAGACAGTGAAAATCCCTCTTCATTATCATTATTTATGTCGTTCAATTTTTTCGTACTTTCCAATATAATGGAATTAAGATTGGAACATGCAAAATACCCATTGATGTTGGCAATGGTGAAAAGACTAACATCTCTAGAGTTTACGGATTCAAATGGGATAGGAGAATCGAAAACCTTCACCCCTTGTGATGAAGTAATCAATTTGAACCCAAAATGCTCACTTGTAACTTCATCTAAAGACATCTTAGGGATCAATGGGGGGATTAATAGGCGATACAAGAGAGGAATAGTTCATATCAATAACAGTGGTTTAGAGTAAGAAAAAGTTTGAGCTGTGATCAGCTGATCACGTGATTAAAGGTGAGTTGATATGTTTGTGTGTATATGCAGGTTGTGTACTTCACGTAGTTGGAGATAGAGCACTGCATCCAGAAGGTATGGAATTGCAACCTTAAAGGGAATTCAGGTATGGTCTGGCTAAATACAGCGAGCGGTCTATGATAGAGGGTGCAATACTACTTTTATTCGAGGTATAAATCTGAACCAATTCAATTCTTTAGATCTTTATTGTATGTAATTTAGCAACATAGGGTACTTCTCTCTAAATTTGCAAAGAATTTAGGAGAGAGAGGTAGAACTGGATGGGACAAAAACATCTGGTTCAATGCTGTTGTGTCTTCTACTTTTCTATGGTTTTTATTGTTTGGGATGCTTGAATAGCTCATGTTCAACCACCATAGCTTTAGTCTGAGAGATCTGCAGATAGTATGCTGAACATTGCTCTACTACAGCCAGGCTCATGTAATTGAAGCGCTAAGTATGTATTTCTAGCAGAAAGAGAACGAGAATAGAAGGCATTGAAATCGTGTAAATTAACCATACGAAGCATTTCTGCCCCAAAAGGAAATGCTGCTTCATACCACAACCGCACTACGTTTCACCATTGTCTACTTATCAGAGTATTCACATAATATTATTCCAAACAGAGTTGGTTGAATTTTATTTGTTGCTCTACGGAGGGAGTTTCCCTCAAACGCTATCAAATAATAACGTGCAACATTAACATACTACATCGTAAGTTGACTTCTGTGCCATTCCAGTGGGACGCAGATCATAATTGCCACACACCCACAGCGCATTCATTATCGGTGTGATTCTCTTAAAGTGTAAATAAAGCTGCAAAATAAATCATTCACGGCGAAACTATACGGCGACACTTGCAGTGGGCCCCTATGTCAAAATGTCACACAGGTACATAATTCCAGGGAGCAACACAATCGCAACCAAGGAATAATTCCCCGTGAATTTCAGAATGTAACACCAGACACCTACTTAATATCCGAGCACAATACTACTGCTCCGTGTTTATTGTTGTTGTTATTCTCTGCCAGGGGGCCCATTTTCAGTGATTCATTCCAAACCGTACCACATGAAGTCAAGTTTGTATTCATTTGGTCATCTCTCTATCTCTTGCCAGAGTATACAATAGCTGTCCCCGTCATTACCCTCGCCAGAACTTATTTCCGGGTTCAATCGTAGAGATGTTGCAGTGTATCTTCGGCCGCAATTATTTTCTGTGGATACAATGCATGATCACGGAAAAACAAAAGGACCAAGAAAAACCAGTCCTACTTTTTTTTTTTTTTTTTTTTTTTTTTTAAATACTAGAAACTGAACGTTAAGTTTCTACTATGAAGTGTAACTGAAACTGTATAATCAGTTAGTCTGTATCGCCTCCCTCGCTCTCCCTCCCATCTACACTGTTTCTTATACTATCCTACGTTAACCTATCTCAATTCACCTACCAGATCAAGCCACCCCTAATAAAACAAAATGCTACTCGTTTCGGATCTTCTACCTCTTTTGGGGCTTTAATTAACCCGGGATATTTAGGCGTAATGTATGCGAGAGTTTCTCCAGTCTCCCCCCACACACGGCCCGAGTGGGGTGCTTACTCAACGCATAAAAGCCCACTGGAAAAAAATTCTTCCATGCATTTTAGCAATTGATCATGAAATTTGTATATTAAGGTGGCAGGCGGCCTGCCAAGTGGAAAAAGTTTTTCCAGGTTCTTTCATGTTTGCTTCCTCCTTTTTTACATTTTCTTTTCTCTACTGATTCATTCAAAGTGTTACTTAGCCAAAAGTGACTACGCTCTTCCCCATTTCGGTTATTTGTACATCAATACGCAGTGATCAATAACCCGCGTAAACAAGAGTAGGAAGGAAAAAAAAAAGAAAGAAAAAAAAAATTAAAAGACCCACAGGCCAAAAAAATAAAAAAAAAAAAGTGCAGAATTAAAAAAATTTTATATAGGGGTGCTCAACAACAAGGTTACCATCAGCCCATATTCTAACACATTCAGGCAGTCTAGGCTCTCTTATCTCACAATATATTGTTGCTAGGCTCGCACCCAATCACATCATCGCTGGAATTTGCTCAATATCGTAATTTTTGATCATGTTTGGTGCCGCTTACAATCGCTCTGGATCTCAAGCTGGATCCTCAGCTCCCTCACACTTCAAGGACTTGGCCAGAAATGCCATTTATCAGGAGTTACCCTCTGTTGGAGGAAGCAATGGCCTGACCGCAACGTCCATAAGATCAACACCCACATACCTCCATAACCATAAGAAGTTACTTTCCCACTCATCATACCGGTCTCTGGCATCCTCAGTGTTCTCAACCTCCAAAAGATCAGTACGGTCTGCCCCGCTGATATACTCTAATTCCACAGCTACCATTCCCGAGGACTCGGAGCCTCTCACCACCACGGTGGAGCAGTTGATCAACGACATTGTGTTGCATGAAAACGTCATACAAGAACAGCAGATTCAGAAGCTGAAGTATATGAAGAACTTCAGTTCCGGCGCAGGCGCTGGCGCTGGCGCCAACGGTGTATTCAACTCGGCCAATAACGAAGGTGGTGACGCTGAAGTAGATGTGGACTTGTATAGAATCTCGCTCGGGTCCAACCTCCAGTACCAGAACGTTCCAGAGTCGCTCATAGATTGGAACTTAAACGTTACCCGTTGCAAGCTTATGCTCATCCATCTCCCCACCATATCGTCTGTTCCAGACTTCAAATACACTGGAGCGGTTCCACAGCTCGTGGGTGAACTCGCCTACGTGTGCCACATCACGCTCATACTGCCGCACATTTCTGACAAAGAGCTCATATACACTCTTATCACGTCCAACTTGTACCAAGAGCACGACTTGGATGCTAAATTCAAGAAATCCGTAGCGGAGATCTCGGTGAAGCAGTCTAGACTTCTCCAGATTAACTCGCCCAAGAAGTCCCTGAACAACTTGCTGTTGCCTATAACTTCCATCGACAATCAGACCAATTTAAGATTGGAATTCAAGGAAATCGCTCTTAGAAACTACTTGATAAACTTGGCTGCTGCCGCAACCACCGCCCACGAATACAAAATCAAGTCAGACGAGTTGAAGAAAATCTTGAGAGCTGGAGATAACGGATCCAAGAAGAGTAAGTTGCCCAAAGATGAAAAGAAGAGACTTTGGGAAAGTGTCAGGCTGGATGTTTTCAAAAGAGCTGGTCTTGAAACGTAAGACCGCCAACTCACCACTTATACGCTGCTGCTGCTGTTGCTGCTTCTGCTCCGCTGCTTCACCGGCTGATCATACTACCAATAACCACTCCCCCATCACTGCATTGCTGCATCTACATTTTTATACTAAAACTTTTGTGTATTAGATTTCGTTCCTGGATATCCACCAAAAACCTTGTAATGCTATATTTAAAGATCAACTAATGATCTAATGACTTATGACGATATAAAGACTAATAATAAGGATACTTATACTCAACATGTAGACTTCTAGTAGCCCTTTTGCTTGTTTGCAAGCTAGCGGCCCAAATGCTCGCTAACCTGCACGCAACTTGCTCGCTAACTGGTAGTTTCTTGGGGAGAGCCGCTAAAATCATTGATTATCTCCCGCACTAGACTCCAGAAATTAGGCGCTAGGCGCTTAAAAAAAACACACAGAAATAGCGGCTCAAGGAAAAATAGGCCCCTATAATGGCCCCTAAATATTGGGGCGCACTGCACTGCACCCAAATCATAGCCCCTAATTTTTAAGAAAGTAGCAAACCAAACCAACCCTAAAACTTCTTTCTCATGTCTTTGACCTTCTTGTAGTGACCCTTTCTACCGCTGGTCTTCTTGTCCTGAATCTCACTGTACTTTCTCTTGAAATACTTCTTTGAATCATTGTCATTCAACACTTCCTCAACCAATGTCTTTCCTCTATCCTTTCTGTTCATTCTGGAGGAATAGAATTCCGTGTTACCTTCAATGATAGTGCCCATCTCGAAGTACTTAGGTATCTCCCACTTTTCCTTCTTATAGTGTCTCTTGGGGTCCAATGCAGCTCTCTGCTTGATAACCTGCAAGTCCCTTCTAACGGAAGCAGTCAATTCCGGCTGCTTCATATTAAACCACCTAGACCCAGCGTCAGTGACCTCGTTGCTCTTCTTGGCCTTGGCTTGGGTTGCAACGTCTACGGGATCATCGAATTTGATAACGCTGTCACGTGACCCGGAGCTTGATGAGCTGAGCTTGTCTTCTAACTTGCTTTGCAATTTAGGTAACTTGTTTATATACTTGTGGATCTTTTTGAATTCATCATCATTGTCTAGTTTAGCGTCGGGTATGACGGACTTGCTTTGTTCTTGTGAAAGTTGCTCAAAAAGTGAATCTATTGAGGCATCAATCAACTCTTGCTGGATTGCCCTCTGATTATGGTTATCAGCAGATGAAAAGGATTCAGTTCCCGATATGAGTTCGGTCTCTGAAGTCTCCGCAATACTTGGAGACAATCTTGTGTGAGCAGACATATCAACGAGGTATATGAAAGTATATATATCTATATATTCAGAACTTTGTCAACTAAGACTATACACCTTTGCTAGGAGATGAGTTAGTATGAAAAAATAAAAAAAATGAAAAATAAAAAATGCAAATATTGCACTTTTGGTGTCGCGTGATTTCGGTCATGTGACACACTTGTGTCTGGTTTACCACTTACTATCACAGCTGGGCTTCTACAAGTTACGCTAGACAGTGTCTAGTGTTTAGGCTATGCGGTAGGCTTCTATGTATTATATTCTAAGATCGAACGTCGATGGAAAAATCTCAAACTTTGCTCTCATGTAGCGCCAAGCAATATGCACTATCTTGAAGAAGGTTCTCCCAAAAAGAGTAGTATCTAGATTCAGCGGTTGGATTCTGCCGACAAAATCGTACATATAGGGAAACCTCTGATGTAGGAGCTACTTGATATTGATGTCTAGAAGGACTTCAGATACGGGTCCTTCAATTACACAGAACTAACTGTTCTTTTTTGCTTATTCTCTGCAGGGCACAAGCGCCTGATGTGGCTGTTCTCTACTCTCTTCCTCTATGCCAACAATTCCTCATCGAATTTATCAAGTACGACGTCCTTGCTTACCAAGGCAACGATTTCCTGGCCCTTCTCCTCCTTAGCTTGTGGGAGTCCAAGTTGTATATTGGCATCGAGGAGAATTTGGTTTGCGAGCCAGAGCTTCCTCTTCTCTTTCACAGACTGTGTGAGTTGATTGCACACCAGCAGATTGATCTTCGTTGCTGTATTGTAACGGGTCTTAAGGATCTTGTATTTGGATTTGAGTGACTCGAGGTCATCGTCATCTTCAATCGAGCTGTCTTCATCGTTATCGAGCTTTTGATGGTCAGCCGCTAAAGAATCAACAGCCTTCTGCAACTCTCCTTTATATTCGTTGTCATCTGTCACAAGCTCCTGGTCTTGGGAAGACTTCAAGAAGAAGTTGTAACGAGCTTGCGCTATCATATGCTGCTGAACGTCTAAAGGCCGGGAAACTATGGAGGCAACATCGACGTCAGATTCATCGGACTGCTGCTCAGCATTCAATTCGATAAACTCATTCAGGAACCACCACGGGGTCCTCATCTCAAAGTCTCTCTCAATTAGCTTTAAGTACTCTTCTTCATCGAAGTTATCGTGGTCCTTTAAGAATGCATCCAGTTTGCCCTTTTTCACTCTGTCTCGGATAAGCATCAACGCGTCTTTGGTCAGGTGTAGGTCATGTACACCCTTAACATGCTTGGTGAGAGCGTCGGATCTTGTGAAGTGCTTCTCACATTCGGGTATTGGACAGAAGTATGGTTTCTCCCCGGTGTGAGTTCTACAATGTGAAATGAGGGCGAATCTGGAAGGTTGTTCCATTCCAAATCTCAGGCATCCTTCCCACTGACAGGTGTATTTTTGTGTTTGTGAGGACAGATTGTTCAGTTGTTGTTGTAGTTGTTGTTGTTGTTGCAGCGGTTGCAGTTGTTGCTGTTGTTGTTGTGCGTTACTTGTCAAGTGGCTGTGAGTTAAGTGGGTTACCAACGAAGATAACGTTGTGTAGTGGCGGTCGGTACAGTCCGACCAACGACAAGTGAAGTCATCGTTCTGGGCATTTACGGACGTGCCATTTGCTTTACTATCTTCATCCATACTGTGCTACAAAGAAAAGAAGAAAGAAAGAAGCAGAAACAAAAGACACTTGACAAATTCAAATTATATTGAACGGAGCACAAAGAAAATCAAAATTTCAATCTACCTGAAGAAAAATGGCCATACAAAAATCAACAATTCTGCCTAGCGAGTGCCTGGCGGGCGGTACTAGCGAGACAACCGTACCAGCGAAACGTTAGCGAGAAAAATGAAAATTGAAAAAAAATATTGGCGTGTGAAAAATTGTCCAAATGGGAGGCTCTTGCTGGGCTCTGTAGGGACCAAAATTTGACCAAGTAGATATACGCGGCAGAGGTTAGGTATGGCTCCACTGTTCTCCATGGCAGGTATCTGGCTGTATGTGGCACTTGGTGTTTGTTGTTGAATTTTCTTACTAATCGAAATCAAGTAGAATTGATCTCTGATTTCTCTGTCCACTACAAAGTACAGTGTAGTGTTTCCTTCCTTTCTGGTATGCATTTGCCTATATATTCATATACATATACTGTATGTAAAAATTTAATATCTCTTCTCTATAACATCAAAATTACTTCTAAATTACTTCTCCCATTCTCCCAAGGTAAAGCTCCAGTTAAAATCTGAAAGTCTACTCCCACTGTGTTACCTTCTTCACCTTATTACAACACTGACTGCAAGCAGCAATTCTTCTGGTCGGCTTACCCAGATTACTTCATTTCACATAGTATCTTCTTCTTCTTCTTCTTCTTCTTCTTCTTCTTCTTCTTCTTCTTCTTCTTCTCCTCTTCTTCTTCTTCTCTTCTTCTTCCTGCCCCCTATAAATTAAACAAGATCTTCATCTAATCTTGCAGCAGGGTTGGTTTCGATAAAGTCCAAACTAACCTTGTGACCCAATAATTCTCTAATGTTACTAACACCATACTTAATCATGGTTGGTCTTTCCAAACTCAAACCCCAACCTAACACTCTCAAGTTCTTTGGCAATCCCATGGATTCTAACATTTCTGGTCTGAACATACCCGAGTTACCGATTTCAACCCACTTACCTAATCCCTTGTGGTAAGCGAAGATTTCCATAGATGGCTCAGTGTATGGGTTGTAAGCAGCCTTGAATCTTAATCCGTGGACACCCATCTTGGCAAAGAAGTCTTCCATAAATCCAATAAGATCTCCTAAGGTAATGTCGTAACCTGCAAGAACACCTTCAATTTGATGGAATTCAGCTAAATGAGTAGCATCGACGGCTTCGTTACGGAAGACACGGTCAATAGAGAAAAGACGGATTGGCTTTGGATCATCTGCGAGCTTGTGTAACATGGCAGAGGAAATAGCGGTGGAGTGAGTTCTTAATACCATTCTTAAAGATTCTTCTTCCTTCCATGGGTAACGGTAACCGATAGAACCGTATTTACCGTTTTCATGCACCTGCTTGATGTTTTCCAAATATTCTTTGTCTTCTGGGAGCTTAGCACGAGCTGGGTCCTTCAAGTAGAAGGTATCTTGTAAATCTCTGGCAGGATGCTGTTGTGGAACGTACAAGGTATCGAAGTTCCAGAATCCCAGCTCAACGTACTGGTTAGCAGGCATCTCAGTGAAACCCATGGAGAAGAAAATTTGTCTGAATTCCTCTCTAACCTTGTTCAAAGGATGTAAGGCACCAGAGTTAGGGTAAACACCCTCGGATTGGAAGTTGTATGGCTTGAAGTTAGCATCTTTCCAAGATCCAGATGCAATCATTTCAGATGTAATATCAGTTTCCAAGTTGGTGATGGTAGTAGCGAATTTGGCGGCTTTGGTGATTTCATAACCAACAATCTTGGTCAATTGAACCAACTTTCTCTTCTTCAATTCTGCCAATTCCTTCTTATCAGGTAAAGAGCCAGTTTGCTCCACTTCCTTCAACAGGACAACAGCAGGATCTGCACTAGGTAATTCAGTGACCTTGGCAACTAATTTGTCCCCGTCCTTTCCGACCCATCCATTCTTGAAAGCCTTACCTTGACCCAACTTTCCAACAGCTCCCAACTTACTGTTGACATCTGAAATCTTTAAACCATCCAAATTCTTTAACACTTCTTCCAATAATCTGAACTCGTGCGATCCATGGGCTACGATATCTTTGGCCTCTTCGGTCAAAATCCACTTTTCAGTCTCTAATTTTTTAAAGTTAATCATTTCCTTGGCCCAAAGCGAAGTTAACGCTGAATGTAACGAGGTGTTTGGGTCTTCCTTAGCGAGGACAGGGACATCGAGAGTGTTTTCGATCTGTCCCTTTTCATCCACTAGCTTTAAGATATTTAATTGTAACGCAGACATTGCTATAGTCAGGTTCAGTCGTGTGTATGTATGTGTACTAGAGCTTTGTAAACTGCTGGACTAGCGTTTGGCATTTTTTTAGTTTTTTTTTTTCAGCTTGAATTTTTTTGGTATTTCCCGTTTGTATGGGTGTACGAATGTGTAAAACAGGATACCGGATGAATCATCCTCTCAAAAAAAGCAGATTTCATAGTGATATGAAATACCGCGAACGGGTGTAGTTTTGTGTGAAAGCGTGTAAATTGTAGAACGCTGCAAAAAGCTTCATGAAGAAGCAGTCAGAGGCAGGGTACCAAGGGAAATCGATAGGAAAGGGATCGATAAGAAGAGATAGGATGCGTGTATGTGTGGGCTGTGTTCTTCAATTGCTCACACAATGAACTGTTGCTTTCATACCCATAGCGATCTTCTCAATTTACTCTCCTCTTTTTATCTGGTTAGCCTGTAGTCATTTTGCAATCTATCTTTGCATCACTTGCTAGATGAACTTAATTTGCTTACTCACTTCTTCCTATTTATTTGCAACCATAGGTCTCCACCGTTCGCAAACGGCTAGATGATTGTGCATGGACTTTCCGTTGTGATGCATCTTTATCACACCACTGACACATTATGATGACCTCGAAGTGCCTTGCTCCTCGACACTTTCAAGCGTGGGGCTTGCTCACTACGGATGCCCGCTGCACTAAGAAAGGGCTCAGAAATTTAGTCCTGCATAAAACCACCATCAAAAAGATTTCCGTATGACAGAAAAGCAAGTCAACAGTGTCAAAAGACGAAAATAGCAAGTCCTCGGAATATCTCCGGGTGACGTATAACAACATTAGAGTTCTTCAAAATATGACTGCACAGTCATCTGTTTACCTCTGACTAAGCCAGTTCAATCCAACAATTCTATTCATAGACTTTTATTTTCTACCTAAATACTCTATCCTTACTATTGGGGGTCACCAATACCCTGTTGACAATGCCTCTGATATTTTACTTGGCAGTGTGGGAGTTTCTCGACCTTTTGTCTACGGTTCCATATGCGAGTAACGTTTTCTCTCACATCAAGCATTCATACTTTACAGTTTAAAATACACCCTTACACCCACATATATTCACGCGAAACAGTGCTAACAAAGGAAATAATAATAAGCAATCAGCCTCGCCACGGAATGTGACCTAAATTCAAGTAGCAATAGCAACCTTTAGCATATTTTCTTAGACGACCAGATTAAAAATAAATTTCCTTGTAGAGTATATAAAGTAGACGTCACTCCAACAATTGAGCCTGATTTCACAAATTTCTATTATTTTAGTTTTCAAACACTTTACTTTGCTAATCAAATTATAAAAAATGGCCTTCACTTGTTCAGATATCTTTAAGCTTATATTCGCTATCATCCTTCCACCATTAGGTGTGTTTTTAGAAAGAGGTTGCACATCATCCTTTTTCATTAATATCCTTTTGACTATTTTAGGTTACATTCCAGGTATTATTCATGCTGTCTATATTATTTTGAAGTATTAATCGTAGTATAATATGAAAGATTCTAATATTTTGGGAGATCACTTTTAATAAACATTCTAATTGACTTGCTACAAATTGTAGGTTCGGAGTATAGTCTTTGCTGGTTGAGATTGTAGTTACGTAATTTTGACGTTGTCTCACTTTTCCACACTAAGTCACACCAGTAGTGAGACCGTTGGTAGAATTGTAGACTTTTTTATACATTTTTGGTGCCCACTTCATCAATTGCATAAGACTGCGTTTCCTACATGTAGAGAAATCAAATTTATCGTCTTATTAGCTATGAGAGGGATGCGTCTGGTTAAATGATCTAGTCAATGTATCCTTTTGGGTTTACATTTTGTTTTTTGTGGAGAAACGTCAGGTAGAAATGCAGGAATGAGGTAAAGTTCAGCAAATATATATGGAACCACACTTAGATCAGGATACTCGCTTAGATCAGTAATCTGTCATGGGACGTGGGACTAGCGAAGTGGGACGTCATTGGTGGAGACGAATTTCATCACTCCCTGCGATTCGTGTGTGTGATAGTGCAGTGCAACTTCGGAAACTAAGCACATTAGATTTCAATGGCTCAATATAAGCGATCTGCGCCTGATTCACATTCGATTTGTGTGTCCATCTGTGCATTTCACATTCGATTTCGAAGGCTCTATATGAGCGATATATGCCTGATTCACATTCCCCATGCTGACATTTAATAACTACTCCTAGCTTCTTCCGAGGATAGAAATGGCTCTTCCATTGGTTCTCGTAATTTTACCGTGCATAATGAACAATAGTCTATAAATTAGGCTGCGCATCTCTTGACCACGTTTATCTGAGAATATAACCTGGTTGATATTAACCACTCGAGCTGTTCTTCTTACAAAAGTGAGTCAATTCTCTCCTACTTATCACTTCTATAACGCTTGAACTGCCTTACTCACAAATAAATCGGCTATCTCTCTATGTAAGTATTGGTACCACAAGCGCCGGAATTTAGCTCGATACTTTCTCTGGTCTGCCTTTAGTATGCAAATGTAATGCAGTCCATACCGGCATTTGCAAATTACAAGCTTGAAATACTTGGCATTAATAAAGCCTACTTTACTTTCTAATAAGATCTGGGTTAATAACAGAAACTATAATATCCCGAAACTTCTATTTTCTAATCCTTAGAACCTGAGGTTAAGTAGCATGTACTCGTCTAACGGCATTAGGTTCTAATACAATAATAGTGAATACTCATGGCAATGGTTTCCAAAAAAAAAATCGAAAGAAACTAAGCAGTAGTTGTCTTTCTGCTTGAAAGCAAACTCAAATTAACGACTGGGCCGTGCATTACATCTTCAAAGTTTGCACGTTTCTGAAGTATGACTCCGGTCAGCTCAAACTTCGAAGGATTTGTATAAAACCCTCAGGTATTCCTTGTGTCTCATTGTATATTTACTGGTAAGCGTAAGCCTCTTATTATACACCTCTTTTGATATGGTTTCAGTCTCTAAATTGATCAACAATGGTTTGATCTTAGCAAGTCAGCAGGTTTTCTCTCCAGTTGCGTCTCCGGAACAAGCAGCAGTCGAACAATATAATATTCTTCATTTCTTAGGTGGAGCTGCTCCATACATTCAACATCCAGGATACGGAATATCAACCGATATCCCATCTGAATGTACCATTGAGCAAGTACAGTTGTGGTCTAGACATGGTGAGCGTTTTCCTTCAACTAGCAGTGGTAAGAAGTATGAAGCACTCATCAAAAAGCTCAAGACTTATAATGGAACCTTCACTGGGGACTTGGCGTTCTTAAATGATTACTCTTATTTTGTTGAAGATACATTCTGGTATGAAAAGGAAACTACTCCAGCAAATTCTGAAGGTTACTTCTCCGGATCCTCAAATGCTCAAAGACACGGAGCTGCATTTAGAGCTAAGTATAACGCCTTATTTGATGGAAGTAAGCCATTGCCAGTCTTTTCATCAAACTCTCGTAGATGCTTTCAAACTTCGAATTACTTCGCCAGAGGATTCTTAGGTGATAACTATACCGAAAATGCTGTGGACTACGTCGTAATCTCCGAAGCTGCTGACCAAGGTACTAATTCGTTAACTCCAAGGTACGCTTGTAATGCATACGATGATGAAATTAATGAAGATTTGTATTCCAACTATTCTACTCAATACTTGGAAGATGCAAAGAAAAGATTTCAGAAATCAAACCCAGGTTTAAACATTTCAGCTGATGATGTTCAAACTATGTTCGATTACATTCCATTTGAAATCAATGTTAAAGGTTATTCGCCATTCGCTAACATATTCACCAACGAAGAATTCCTTCATTACTCTTACTATAATGATTTAGATAAGTACTACTCCAATGGCCCAGGTCACAATTTGACCAAAGTGATTGGATCTACTATCCTCAATGCATCTTTAACTTTACTACAGGATACTGAGGCAGACAATAAGATTTGGTTATCATTCTCCCATGATACCGATTGGGAAATTGTGAATGCTGCCCTTGGGTTAATGGATCCTGAGCACCCATTGAGCCCAGATGCTGTCCCATTTCCTAACCCATATGTCCATTCAAGATTACTCCCACAAGGGGCAAGATTTTATACCGAAAAGTACTCTTGTGGAAACGACTCGTACGTCAGATATATTCTCAACGATGCTGTGATCCCATTAAAGGGTTGCTCGGGTGGTCCGGGCTTCTCGTGCAAGATGGATGATTTCGAAGAATACATCGCAAACAGATTAGAAGGTGTCAACTGGGTAGAACAATGTGAGGTATATAGCAATGTTTCTCAATCCATTTCATTCTACTGGGACTACACTACTACCAAGTACAATGCTACCTTAATTAACAAATAGAAGCACCATGAAAGCTTCTTTACCTGTGGACCTCGTCTTCTTTTGTTAACCTACAGTTTCTTCCTATGTTCAGTTTGCAGCCATTTCTAACACACTAAAGAAATAAAAGAAACGAGGTGCTCTCCGAGATTTTCGCATTTTCTTGTTCCATGTGTATTATCTAAGCAGATAGCTTTCTTCTTTGTCTTCTTCGTGTTACCTAATTTAACTAGCTAAATAAATGAAAAATATCCAATAAGAATAAAAAATGCAATTAAGGTTACAACTTTGTCCGTACCTGCATGATGTACGCTGCAAAAGAAAAGTGTTCCTACAAAAAATAATATAAAGCAAGGTATCTTGATTTGTTCTATTTCCTATTTATTGTTTTACTTTTTTTTTCACCCCTCTTCTAACTACATTCGTCAGCTTCATTAAAAGTTAATTGTCTTGTCAAAGGTTCCCAATGCAGCTTCCTTAAATGCTTCGGATAAGGTTGGGTGAGCATGACAAGTTCTAGCAATATCTTCAGTAGATGCACCGTATTCTAATGCTAAACCACCTTCGGCGATCATTTCACCTGCATTTGGTCCAATGATGTGAACACCTAAGACTCTTTGAGTTTCAGCATCAGCTAAAATCTTAACAAACCCTTCAGTGTCTAAGTTGGTCTTGGCTCTGGAGTTGGCAATGAATGGGTATTTACCAACCTTGTATTTGATTCCTTGTTCCTTTAATTGTTGTTCGTTAGATCCAACCCAGGCGACTTCTGGATGAGTGTACATGACAGATGGGATATTTCCGTAGTTAACGTGTCCGTGACCCTTCTTGATGTATTCTGCAGCGGCAATACCTTCTTCTTCGGCCTTGTGGGCAAGCATAGCTCCAAATGTAACGTCACCGATAACTCTGATGTTTTGCTTGTTGGTTCTGTATTCAGAATCGATCACTAATCTACCCTTATTGTCCTTTTCTAAGCCAACGGCTTCAAAGTTTAATCCATCAGTGTATGGTCTTCTACCAATGGCAACTAATAATACATCAGCTTCCAATTCTTCAGTTTCACCGGACTTGACGTTTTCAACACCAACCTTGACAATATCACCTTCTCTGACACCCTTGGTAACCTTAGTTCCCAACTTGAATTTAAGACCTTGCTTACCTAAGATCTTTTGGGATGTCTTAGCGACTTCAGCATCCATACCGGCACCAATGGCATTTTGGAATTCAATAATGGTAACTTCAGATCCTAATCTAGCGTAGACAGAAGCCATTTCTAAACCAATGATACCACCACCGATAATAGCGAGACGCTTTGGTAATTCCTTCAAGGATAAGGCACCAGTGGAGGTGACAATTCTTTCTTCATCAATCTCAATTCCTGGGAATGGGGTAGCTTCAGAACCAGTGGCAACGATGATGTCCTTGGCCTTGATGTCGAACTCTTCAGCACCATCGATTGGCTTAACCTTGATGTTGTTTTCATCAATGAACGAACCTTCACCCTTGTAGTAAGTGACCTTGTTCTTCTTGAACAACATTTCGATACCGGAGGTAAGACCATTGACGGCCTTTTCCTTGGCTTCTTGTAATTTAGTGATATTCACGCTAACATCACCAGCGATTTCAATACCTCTGTGTTCTGAATCGTGCTTGATTTGATGGTACAAGTGGGTGTTGTTCAAAAGCGCCTTGGATGGGATACAACCAACGTTTAAACAAGTACCACCAAGCTTTCCTCTTTTTTCGACACAGGCGGTGTCAAGACCAAGTTGAGCGGCCTTGATGGCAGCAACGTAACCACCTGGACCACCTCCAATGACAACGACATCATGTTCCTTGGTTGAGGCGAATCTGACGAAATTAAATCTTGACTTATTCAAGTTTCTTAAAACTTGTGTTGATCTGAGCATTTTTTATTAATTTGAAAAAATTTAAATATATATCTAACACTTTGGTCAATTCCGAACTGAACTAAGAATTGATTGTTATATATATACTAGGTCAAGATTTGTAAGAAATTTTGGTTGTAAAAAAACGAAGAAAACTATGGTAATAAATTACCGCATATGAGTGGTTCACGCTGCTCCGGACGGTCATTACACGACTATTTTAGAGGTGCAACTAAGATTTTCCGGTACCAATTCCGAGGAGCGCCGGGCAAAGATAGATGATACTAGAATGGAGAATAGGAAAAGCAGTGATTCGATGGTCACATCAATTGGAAGAGGATGATACTGATTAGTTATCAAGGAGAGGTAGCAAGTGAGGCGACTAGACAATCGGATGCTGTTCGAGGGCCCGCGCATTAATTGGTGCCTGTTGGATTTAGAATATACCAGTTTGGTATATTGCCTATGAGGCTTACTGGCCCGCACTGAACAGATCAGATATATGGCGAGCTATTGCACTTGCACTTTTTTTACAAATTCTAGCGACTTGAAACGGCTGTGATCAGAAGATAAACACAGAAGGGGATCAAAGTTAATCGCGCAATAGAGAACTGCTCAGTGTATTCCCCGCAGTCGAGGTAGTTGGAGCAGTGTCTTCTTGCTACAGCTGTAGCTAAGATGGCCCGGTGGACTAGCTGCGAATTTTAAATTCGGCACCTGCTAGAAAATCAGCACTTTTCGCAACCACTTTGCACTGGTACGCTTTTCTCTTGAATTGATCGCTATTCTCTATGTCGACTTTTAGTTGTAACCAACTATTGGGTGTGAAATTAATGAACTGGAGCCATCGCAAGTAAACCACAGTTTTCCAGAGTTTCCATTCTTAGGACTGCTTACGCCCAGCCAAGGTAGGTCCGGAATGACCAATGACTAATCGACTGTATTCAACCATATAAATCGAAGTGTATCAATTAGTGTTGTCTGTTTGAAATATTAATAAGCTTTTCACGCGTTCAGGAGTCTTACGGCCGAGAAGTCATGAATTTGTGGGGAGACAGGAAATAGTTCGTTCCGGTTTGTTTCCAAATCGAAATTGCATCCGAATCTCATCTTGAATGATATGATGGGGAGGCTGGGCAATATGGTTTCGTATGCCTTTCTATGAATTTACAAGGCGGGAGAATTTACTTTCATTTCCATACTCTGTAGCCAACCCTGCATGAGTATGTGAGGAACGAACATGGATATTCCGCACGTGCACCGTAAATGCATTCATGCAAAGTTCCTTATAACGCTAAAAAAAAAAGTACTATAAAAGATCGTGCAAGGTGCCTGAAGTATAAAATAGTGGGTATTCAAACCTGAAATCGTGAGATGGACGACTAGTAAACAGAACTAGTGGAACCAACTGTGTTTGAGCCTAAAGCAATGGGCAGTATGTAGCGTGGGAAAAAGAAAAGGCATAAAACATGTGTTTCCTCTGCATAAGATGTTTGCTTCGTTTAATACGAACTTGTGCAGTGTCTGATTGAAAACGTATACTGAATTCCCTTCATTTCTTTCCCACCATACATTGTGAAATCTCGAGACATTCTGGTAACCATTCTCTTCTTCAAACACTCGTATACTTCCCGCTTACTTGCTTGCAATTTTAGATTTATTTTACCTCCTCGAATATTATTTTTTTGTATTTCATTTCGGTTTCATGCAATTTTAATTGCATGTATTTAATCTCAAAAACCCCACTCTATAGCTCAAATAAAATTGCAAAATACAGTCCGAGTTGGAATAAATTCAATTAAGTATAATTTCTTAACTGCGGTGATAATAAATTTCCCCTTATTGTCATGGACAGTTTCTACGGCATTGTGTTTAGGTTCTTCCGATTAACTCCATCAGATAAATCTACCAGCGTTTGTTTTCCAATGAGCATGTGCATTCGGCAAAGAGATAAACCAGAGCCTTGGTTTAGATAATCGGAAATTCAGAAATTTTCAGGGTTAGAGAAGTATTTCTGATCATGGGTCATATCATTACTTTGAAATTGTACCTTGAAACAGATAAAATGAAATCTTCAAATGGAGAATTATTCCTGTTGATCTTTTTTTTTAATTATTTTAGCTTGAACCTTAACCTTAACTTTAATGTAAAATTACACTTTGGTGAAAGCCCTCTTTTTCATTTATTTTTTCCAAGTGAGTAATGTGTTCACACTTCTTGGATCTATTCACCACTAGGAGACAAGACAAAGCATTGGCTAATTTCAATTTCCATTAATAACTCTAACTAAAAGAATGAACAAAGAAGTTGGCAATTGAAGAACGGATGAGCCGCACTTTCCTCCGAAAAGAATCTACACATTTTAAGAATGAAAAAAAGAAATAAGACACTTACGAAGAATACAATTGAGTACGTATGCGGGAGACTCCTTATTCAACAATCGGATATTTTGTTCTAAATTCTTATTATGTTTATTATTCTTTATACAAGAGTGCATACTCCAAGGTTCTATCATATGATGTCCCTAGGATATCCTATTTCATTCTACTTAATGCTAGCAAGCAAGAGTGAATTTTAAACTTCAATATTGACTGGAATATTATCAAGTTCAGTGGAAAAATAAAATACCTAAGCCTGAAAGTACCTCCTCCTCTTTTTTAAAATTAACGAAGCCGAATGCCGTCTCCAAGTAATGCGTTTAATAAAGACGTCTATTTTAAATTTCCGTTCGTGTTTTTTTGACCAAGAGAAATGAGGGGACTTGAACAACTTCTTTCACGAAATTAATGATTCCACTTTCATTTCATACTTAGACTTTTTATTCCATTATATATTTTTGCTGAAATATACTTTTTACCTTGAACAAGGCATTTGATTTCATTGTGTGGGGAATCTGGATTAACCAATGACTCCATATTTACACTTTGACACAATAGCCATGTACAAGTATGACTATATTCAACTTTCTATTTCCATCAATCAGAAAATAGAATACATATATATAAATGTATATAACCATGCATATAAAGAAAATAAAAATATTGTGCACCATTCTAGAATTTAAGCTCTGAATATCTCATACTGAAAAGGGGAACACAACCAATTTCCTCTTCCTGCAACGTGATATTTTTTGCCCTGATAAGCATTAACAAAAAGGGAGCCCTTTGTAATTACTAATTATTATCTGAATCATTCTATATCTAAAAGTTGCTGGATACACTATTTTTTCTTTCGTATGTACGCTGTGGTATACTTTCTGTAATCACTATGCCTTGCGCCAATTTTCTGTTACCCTTTTATCTTTCTATCCGCATACAAAACCGCCACAACGCTTGGATTCATATGCACACTGCGCGTAATGTGCTGCAACTGCATGCATTAATATAACTTAAAAGAGGTTTGATTACTTTATGACACTCCACGCCGTTATTTTTAAGAAACCATACACCATCTAAGCTGCAAATTTGAAAGTTGGTAATTAGGAGATGTCCACGGAGTAATTAACACTTGGATTATTCGCAATACTATTTTAATTTGTTATCGGTAGAATGACTTCTTTGAGAGATGTGGATGATTATCTGACTTCTATTTAGTTCTTTTTTTTTTTTTTTGGTTTTTTTTATTTTTTACTGTTTGGTGCCATTCGCTGCCCTTCTCGACATAAATAACTTTGAAATCTGCAACATTTTCCAGCTGGGGTTTTTTATTCTACTGGTTTAAAGTATACTTGAAAAGGGGGGAGGGCTCATTTCGATCGAATTTTAACTCTGTTTGTCACACTCCGATTGAACTATAGTCATTCTTGTGGCCATTCTTCTCAACTTTGTTTCACCAATTGCAGGTCAAAATTCTCTATTGTAAGGGAATCCTATTTCAGAAGGACAAGAGCCCTTTGATTATTCATCGGTCTTATTCGATTATCTTCGACTCATTTTGCTTCTCGTCTGTCTTAAGGTTTGTTAAGCCTCACCTTTGAAAAAATTTCCCTTGTTTAGTTATAGTCATTGCTGTTCTCCTGTCTCTTTGATCGGTTAATAGAGAACCTAAAATTTAAAAGCGCTGTTGTTGCTGTTGTTGTTGATTTACTGGACCAGTTACTGATATCTCACTGCTGTGACACTTGTGGTTGTGGTTGACATCATCAATCCATACTTTAGTTTATTTATTCTATTTAAGCTGCTGCACTCACTACCGGTGTAGTTACATATTCATAAATGTATTGTGACCTTGAAGACTCGTTGGAGGAGTTTGATATTCGTTACATCGAGGCTTGTAATCAAGTTAATTTAGACGTTGATAGCATTCTTAGCCAACCTTCTTCTGACAGTGCCAATGTTTATACTGGTACTTCTGTTGTTGCTGCTACTACTGCTGCTACTGCTACTGCTACTGCTACTGTTTCCGCTTCAACTGCTGCTGCTGCTGGTTTCGGTAAATCAAAAATTGGCAGGTCCAATCTGATTTCTTCCCAAACTAAGAAGCTAACGTTATCGTCCCCTTTACTTGCCAATAAAGAACTTTCTAACTTCACCTGCTATGATAAGAAGCAAAGAGAATCTACATTGGCATTTAACGTCGATGTATCACCAACTTCTACGCAGCCTCCTGCTGTTTCCTATACAATGAAGCCTCCTCAGAAACAACTGTTGACAAACAGTGTACCTCCACTTGCTCCACCAATCCTCACCATTGACTCATTCCAGAAACCATTTGAGTTTAGATCTCATTCGCTAAGCACGTCGCCCCAAATTCATCAGCGTAGAACCACGGTATCATCTAACACACCGCCCATTACTGGCCAACCTCCCTTATTTAGAAGGAGGGCCACTTATTCCTCAGCCTCATCTATAGGCAACCCATTCTACAAACCGTCTACATTACATAAAAAGGAAGTAGAACAAAATAGACCATCGACCTCATCATCGTCGCCTTCGTTTTCAAACAAGAACTCCATTACTTCGTCATTTTTAGATGATTCAACGTTGAATTCACTCCTCGAAACCGACTTTTTATCTACGAGTATCCAGAAGAAACGCAAAGTGTCATCAGACTCATTTTCGTTAGAATCATTCTTCACCTCGGAAATTGCATTGGATGAAGAGTTTGCCACGGATTTCGTGTTGTATCAGGATTCCAATGACCTTTCAGGCTTAGCCAGTGATGCTAAATGACAGTCTGGCTTCGTCCTGTACTAGAGAGGCCACAGCACATGTGTTTGCTAATACCAGTAAGAAGTTCGAATTGAGTGGATCTCGATTTGAATCTGACAAGTCTACATTTTTATTCATAATGGAGCCCTCTTAAGATGGTTACCACCTCATACCCTCGTCATTTTTTATGCCAATTAAAATTCTATAATTGTAAGGTAATAATAATATGTTTATTCACAGCTACCCAGCAGAGAATGTAGTCTACATGCCATGTCTCCTAGTGCAATGGCCAAGTTACAATTGTCAGAGTAAATTGCATCCTTGTCCTCCGGTGCTCGTTTGTTCTTTTATCAATCGTCTTGGTGATCTATGGCTAGTCGTCCCTAGATTTTCAAGAAGAAGGTGTATGCTTCTAGAACTCTTGACTCTCGCTTATCTAACGTTCAGCTGGTTCTTTGAATCTCTTGAACCTCCGCTTATTTAACCTTCAGCTGGTTCTTTGAATCCCTGAACCTCCGTTCATCTAACGTTCAGCTGGTTCTTCGCATCTCCTGAACCTCGCTTATTTAACCTTCAGCTGGTTCTCTGAATCTCTTGAACCTCCGCTTATCTAATGTTCAGCTGGTTCTTCGAATCTCCTGAACCTTCGCTTATCTAACCATCAGCTGGTTCTTTGGATCCCTTGACTCTCGCTTATCTAACCTAGACGTACTGGTTTCGGTTTCTTGGTTTATCCTGGACATTTTATCCACGTAAGGTTCTGATATCGTCCATTGATCACCGTATCCTTGATTTCTCTCATGCTTTTTAGCTATAGTACCTCTGCTCTTCATTCCTAAGGCTGTTTCACCTCACCAATCAACGGCTCAAGTACTACAGGTAGCAACTCCGCAGCGTCTCCCTTAAACCCCCAAACCCCATCCTTCCCTTCAATCTCAGATTCGTCAATATCAGTGTTGAAAATAGCTACTTTTCCGCCTTGTAGCCTAACTCTATCCACATAGCTATTAGCAGGATAGACAGTACCACTAGTTCCAATTACCAAAATCAAGTCTACGGGACCCTCTTCACTTTCTAAGAAATCATCGATTTCATTCAATTCTTGCATGGGCAACAGCTCGCCGAACCAAACCACGCCGGGCCTAAGTATCGACTGCGTTCCAGAGGACTTGCATACTGGACACTGGGGTAGTTCAGAGTCCTTCATTTGTTTCACTGGCGAGAATTCTGGGCTCTCAGAATCAAGCAGACTCTTTAGGAACTCATGTTCTGTTCCACGTAGAGCAGGAGTCAAGGGTGCCTTGAAGTTGTTGTATTCAATGTAGTTGCACATGAAACTGGTACACTTCAACGTGAACAAAGACCCATGGATCTCGTACAAATTATCCAGATTGTGCCCTGATCTAGCCAGTAGACCGTCTACGTTTTGAGTAATTGTGATGAAGTTGGTTTGGGGTAAGTTAGAGAGCTTCGCCAATGCCAAGTGCCCCCTATTGGGTTTTGCTGCCAAAGCTGAGTACCTTCTCCATGAGTAAAACTGCCACACTAAGCCGGGGTCTATATAAAATGCATCTGGTGTGGCAAGATCGATCATATTGAAATTTTTCCATAAGCCTTCAGCTCCTCTGAAGGTAGGCAAGCCGGACAGAACCGATAGCCCTGCACCAACCAACGCTACTATCCGTCGTGACTTTTTCAAGTGTTCTTGGAATTCTGCCAATGTCTGTTTATTCATCCTACAGCTTAACTGTTCGACTATCGGCCCATCCAGTGATCTATAGTCTGGATCTGTGAATCGTAATCTTTCTGTCAATGACGTGGGGCTGGAAATTGAAAAATAAAAATTGAGAAATAAAAAAAAAGCCAAAACGACTCGCTACTAGTAAAGAGCTTCATTGAGCTTGCTGCTTTCGAAGAGCTTGCTACTTTCGAAGAGCTAACTTGGATTTAGATGCGCTGAGCATCGGTTGCAAGCTTTCAACTTTCCTAAACTGCAAATTTGGAAGAGCTAAAAAACTAAAGACATCTTGTTGCTTTTCTTCTTTGGAAGAGCTACAAATGTGGGGAAGTGTTAATACATACATTTTTCTATAATACAAAGTTGTCTACAAACATTCATCTTGTGCTCAAATCCGCTCCGCAAATCCTCCATTTGGTAATTGAACTAATACCAGTCCCTTCCTCTTATAACTGTGGTACCGCTTCCTTCAAGCTTGCCTTCCACGCAAGGTACTTTGCACTGTGTCCGATACCACCCTCACTGGAACTCAACACCTTATTGGAAATAACAACAGGAGGCGATCTGTACCAAACAATTTCATTGACGAACTCATTGCTGGAGTTGGACATAGTCGTAGCTTGGATCCCTCTAAGGATCTCTTCATCTTCCAATTCATCGACATCTACGTCTTCTTCCTCAGAATCTGAGTCGGCTTCTTCGTCGGAGTCTTCGTCATCAGAATCGTCATTCTCTTCCTCAATAAATTTCTTCTTAACTTCAACCTTTCTTCTCTTATAGTTGATTCCTTCGGTAACTTTGCCGAGAATATTATTCTCATCTACAGTTGTGTATGATAAGATTCCTCCAAGTAAGGGGTTCGAGTATGTAGAAGTTGCAGTACTGCTGTAATGAGTGGGTGTTTGTTGCTGTAACTGCTGTTGTTGCAACTGATGTTGTTGTTGCTGCTGCTGCTGTTGCTGAAGTTGGAACTTTGGCTGCTGTTGCTGCTGGTGAGTAGGTGTGAGTGCCCTTTTGGAGTCTTGTCTAGTGGAATACCTTTGTTGTTGGTATTGTTGGTGTTGAAGCTGTTGCTGTTGGATATTTTGTCTGTAAATATTCATACTGGCAGCATAAGATGATTTGGGGTAATAACTATTCTTTGCTCCAGCTATTCCGCCAAGACCTTGAGCAGTGCTATTCTGAAATCCACCACCAGGGGTTGAAGATCCACTTGAAGCTCCAAATGCAGAGTTACCGCTATTTGGTATTGGTCCAGAGTTTAATCCAATCAACCCCTTGTTGTCGTTGTTAAAAGGTTGGAATGATGTCTGATTGTTGAATTGTTGAATTGGGGCGCTCAATCCTCCTCTTGATTGACCTTGAGATTGGATTTGGGCGTTACTATGACTGTGGTGGTTACTTTGACCATGGCTAGGGAAAACACTTCCACTTAACTTCATTTGGGATGGTGGTGTAAACAAATATGCCTCGCGCCCATTGTCATTCTCTGGCAGCCTGACCACATTAGGGGAGCCAGTATATTGACCCAATTCATCATCGTCTGTATTTCCTCTAAGGTAGACCAGACCAACTACTGGAGGTGTATTAGGATTTGGCCCTTGTGATGCATCCAAAATTTGCATGTGGTTATCAACACCCTGTGGTAACATGTTCTTGATTGGGGATTCAAATTTGATCAATTTTCTAGGCTCATTTAACGGAACCAATGGTTGTTCTTGTTTGTCTCTAATTTCATCGGGAAGACATGCCTTCCAGGTTCTGATTCTATTGAAAACATGACTATTCTCGTTGTATCTAAACTCACAAATGAACCAGGGACATCCGGCTGGGATCACCCCTTCCGGAATATCACCCTTTTGGTATCTGGTCAAGAAAATGACGTAACAAGGTCCAACGATTTCCAGTGCTAAATGATCCCTGTATTGGCCTGTCTTGCAGACTTCGTTGGTGAAGAATAATCTATCCACTCTGTGGCAGGTCTGTTCAGGTCTGTAGTACCAGCACACATTGGTATATTTAGTACCATCTTCTGTAGCCCAAAGTCTAAAGATTTGTCCAATAGTAGGTCTCTGAGGATCATTATCATTCTTGATTTGGACCCAGTCCCCGATGTGATAACTGTACCCATCGATCTCAATAGAATCCAATGGAATCCTTATTATACCATCTCCTCCAGGAGTGTTTGCAGTTAGCAACTCCTTTTCTGGCTTCAGCAACTCTAAACGAATAATCTTGTTAGCCTCTTGTTCAAATAAAAGTGCTTCCTGGTAAGTTTGTTGACCAACGGCTCCTCCGGCATTGTTCAGGTAGTAAAATTTACTGTTCTCGAACATCAAATTGATATCATTGATAAATTCATCGACATTGCGGTATTTCCTCGTTCTCACCTTGGTACGGATCTCAAAGAGTGAAATTGGTTGTTTGACCATAGCATAGTACGGTGAGTTGTACTTAGGGTCCGGCAACCTATCGAATTTGGATGTGAGTTGATAGTTCGGGTCGTTTGGAAGTCTAAGCTTCTTAAACTGTTTGAGAATAAGCTTGATCCTGGTTTCGTATGGCTTGTCGATGATTGGAGGACGTCCACGTCTTATACCAGATGTAGCATTGTTGTTGCTGATGTTGCTGCTCACCAGCGGTAAAGAGCCAACGACCGAAGTACCAACTGGCTGAGGATATGGGCTAGCTCTGTTACCAAAAGGTTGTTGGTTTCCATACTGAAGCTGCTGTTGAAGAAGCTGCTGTTGAGAAACCGGTGATTGCAGCGCACCTCCTGCAATTGATGCTGATGGTGGCTGTTGACTGACTTCTCTAGTCAGGTGTTGTTCCTCAATGTAGCTCTCGTCCTTTCCAACTCCTCCATTTCCACTGCCAGCCTGCTCTTCTCCCTCCGGAAGGGGTCCCAAGTCTGGCAAGTACAAATTGCCAACGCCTTTGTCCCCGTTCAACTTCGATATCATCTCCCTCACGAAGTTATCCAACACTACAGCGTGGTTGTAGATCATAGACCCTTTAACATTGTACAACTTGGCATTCCATGCCATTTGCACCAAATCGTTGACAAACTCCTGTGCACTAGAATACTTGTAGTTTTTCAAATTTCTACCTATTCCATGCAACGAAATCGGGTTTTTTATAATCTTGTAGTAGTCCACTAGTTTACGCAAGGGCAACCTCTGGAAAGTGTCTGAGATAGGTACGCCATCTTTGTCCTTTAATTCGTATATATTATTGAACTGATGCGTCAATTTTGTGGAAAGCTTTTTCCTTTCCTTTTCCCCAGACATATTGCAATTTCTCTCAGCTATTAATGAACCTATAGCTGTTTAAACTACCTCTATCTCTTTGTATTGGTGTTTTCCGAGTTTTCGTGCTTGGTGTTTTTTTTTTTTCGGAAGTTGTGTGAGGTCTAGTGTGCAGGATATTGCGGACTCCCTCAAAGTCTCTCTGTACTAGGGGGTTCATGAGCAGACAATGGGATACAGTGGTACAATCGGGTACAGCGATACCATAGTGGATTGGCGTTGTGTTGTTGAATTTTGTCCAAGGGTGCCGATTGTGCAAGCTTATGAATATTGGAGGCTTTTTTCCTTTTGTTTTCGTTTAGTGTATGTCTTCTGTCAGGGTAACATAATTAGCGACCTGATATGGAAAGTTGAAGTAAAAATTACTAAAAAATACAAGAAGTGCCCATATTTAACTGTTTTTCATTCAAAATGTTGACACTGTTCCCCTCGAGTAAGGAATATCTTCCCATCTATTGCTGAGGTGAAAACAAACTGTTTAGTGTACTATTGTCTCTTCCTTGTCGTACAGTACTTTTACTTTAACCTTTGATTTAAAGTACGGTGGTGCCTAAGTAAAAATTTTGCAACCCTTTCAACATCCATACACCACAATATTATACATAAAGAATAGCTTTAAACTTTATCTATTGGCCCCACATTGGCCCCCATTGTGAGCCCGTAAAAGAACCAAAAGATAGAATGTATATCTGATCTACTTACTAGGTCAATACGAAAAAATGAATATAACTAATCCTGAAAGTCTTGTCGTCTAGTCACTACACTTTGCCAAATATTAAAACTTTTTTTATTTATACATTGGTATCGTTATATAAAATATAAATTATGATTATTGTGAAATAAATCTTTTTCATGTTCCTAAAGCTTGTTTTTATGTTTAAGATGATGGATCTCCGAAAATACCCCAATATTGTTCAATATTATAAGGACCTGGGTCTTTCCAGTAATCGTTGTACATGGTGAAGGAAAATGCTTGATCACCAATTACTGACATAATACTTTCCAAAGCTGCAGCTTGATTTGCAATTGATGGAACGCAGCTTCCAATGCTGTCACCTTGCGTTGGCCAACCAGTCTCCGTGATAAGAACGTCTTTCAGTCCACCACAAACGGACGAAACACTAGAAATTTGACTTTGTAACCAAGAACCAGCCTCAGAGGGGTCCACGCTTCCAGTGAAATATGGATGACAGTTAACAGCAATGTAGTCCAGGATATCACACAAACCAGGGTTTGCAACGGTAGCTGCTAAGGTATCAACTGAAACGACATAACCTGAGTATGAAGCAGCATTCAGTTTAAGCCAAGTTCTAGCAGCACTAACTCCAGTCTGAATTTGAGCTACAGTGGCAGTACCAGCATTAACTTGTTCGTTACCGATGGAGATGGTATGCACTGCATCCCAGCCTCTGGAACTTGTAGATAATGCGCTCTGAATTGCTTCTAAACCTGATTGAACAGAAGCAGAATCAATATTCCAAATACCCAAAAATAATTGTTGATTGGAATTTATTGATGCTAAGACATTTTCAATACCAGAACAGTCTGTACTGTAAAGTCTGATCAACAGGAAGGCCGACAATTTGGCGATATCCGAAGCAACAGTTGAAGCATCTTTACACAGATCATCCTTATTGTATGGAGAGTAAGTAATACCCTTAGCTTCTTCCGCGTATTTAATATTCAGAGCATATTCTCCAGAATCACTGCTTCCTGATGAAGAAGAAGAAGAAGAGTATGAGCTGGAAGTTGCAGAAATTACCCCACTGGCTACAACTGAAGCGGAGTAGCCAACATTCACCGAGGAAGTAGCTGCAACAGCTCCAGTTTCAATACTACCACCGGGGTAAGTGTAAGTTAAAGTCTCTGGGTTGATTAAATCATCCAAAAGGGAAGCAAAATATCCCTGAGTGGTGGTAGCTACTGGTGCAGCAGTTGAAGAGTCTACCAAAGTAGCTGCGTATGCAATGGCGGTGGTACTAGCAGGAGTCACAGCAGTTGCTGCTGTGGATGAAGTATCATCCGATCCAAAAAGATTACTCAACCAACCAAAAAATCCACCTGAGCTTGAGGAAGAAGCGGCAGCAGCAGTAGTAGCAGCGGGAGCAGCAGCGGCAGGAGTTGCAACTGCTGCCTTCACATTAGCGGCGGCAGCGGCAGCAGTAGTAGTAGTACCGGCGAGGTATTGTGCAAGGGGAATCTGTGTAGTACTTGTTAAAGTAACGTACTCTACCGCTCTCTTTTGAAAGTTTTCATCCTGTCTTCCTATGGCAGCAGCATTTACCGTCGAGGATATGAGAAGAGGAAGTACAAGTATAGTTGCCTTCATCTTTCTTTTAGAACAGGCTTTTATGTTGTATGGAACTCGTTTTTCGCACCAAACTTTAATGAATGAATGAGCTGCAACCTAGTTGATGCCTTTTAAACCTGTGAAAGAGTGAAAAACTGATTTAAGTAAGAAGGTTGTCTTTTAACAAGGATTGTTATCTAGTGTTTCCTGAGTGGAAAATATAAAAATTATCGTTCAAAACAGAAGAATCAATTCCTTTTATTACTTCCTAGTTAATGGAGATTGACCAATTCATTCATTACCAAATCGGGGATGATATGCAAAGTTTGACATAATTTGGTGCGGCTCATTTAAATTCCTTCCTATTCGGGAAAGATTTTGGAAGGGGAGCTAAAAAGTTCAAGAAAATTGAGATAATTCGAAGAAAAGCCCAGTTTTTTAAGAAATATATGTCTTAAGGAGTTGATGATGGCTTAAAACTGTTAAATTTCATACAAATTCAACAAACTTGTTGTGCTTTGGCTCCTAAACCTGAGTAAAACAAGCTGTTGATATTGCTGCATTGTACATATTTTTCTCTCACTGTTCTCTTTTCCGCGACCTTTCTAACCGATTTTTGGAACTATTTCTCTACCAATTTTGCATCCATATCGTTGGCAAACACCCAGTTGGTTTCCATCGCAACTTTCCAGACGTAGTCTATTGTTGCGGCTCGTAAAAATTTTTGATTACCTATATTGGACCTGTTTTAATGTTGTTTTGCCCCACTTCATGGTATTAATTAATTATTGCCTAAATAGTATTACTTCCGTGCTGGTGTGCATCTGGCAACCAGTGTACAATATATTTCACTCCATGACTTTAACACAGCAGAAAGCGGGGGTTTGCTGAGTTCATTCCAAAAATTCCCACAAGTGTCAATTTGAATTCACAAGCAAGGGTATATCTTAAGTGTTGACAATGAAAATTCCTACCTGCCGAGCGGGCTTAAACGGGCATATGATGGAAGTAGAGATATTTTGACACATGGGGAAATTACATGAAGGCTTCACGATATTCCTACAAATACTCAGTCATTACAGTAACTGCTCACGCTATCCAGAAAGGGTATATGAAACTATCCAAAGAAAATATGCAATACAACTAAATAACACATGAATACACTGTAGTGGGATTAGTTGGAAAATTCCATGTATTGAAAATTTTAAGTTTCAACTTTTGCTGTTACCCCAGATTTTTTTGCTTACCTTATGTCTTGGATTTTGACAAAGCAGTAGCAAGAAAGCTTAAAATTCAATTACATCTCCAAATATATGACACCGCCAAATCACAGGCCCCGTAAGACAATCTTTCAAAGGCTAAATACGACAATGTGAAATATGTGGGTAGCAAAATTGATGAATATTCGCTTGTCCCCTCAAAACCTGTAACTCCGTTTTGGAAGTATAATGCACGAAGAGGATTTAACTTCCAAGGAATTGTCTCAGGTTCGACAGAGATTATCAGAAGACTGGTTTCTACAATTTACTAACATTATTCGGAGCACTATGGAAGTCATAACTTCAAAATTAAAATTTCAAGTGTACTGTAAATTCTTCGTTAATTATGTACGATTATTAATTATTTAATTGCAACCTTACCTAAAAATTCTTAGTATATACCAAAAGATCACAAACATCAAAATAACACCACCCCAAAACAACCACTTGTCCTGCTTGGCTCTTTTTTCAATTCTCTTAATTGTTCCTTGACTTACCCCCAAAGTTATCAACAGTTCTTCAAACTTCGCACCCAATTTTCTTAAGATATCATTTTGTTCAACAAGATCTTCGAATGTTTGCTGACCCATTTCTAAAATTTGATCCAATTGTTGAGTTCCTCTTGCTAATGACATTCTTTCATTAAACAAACCCTCTTGCTGAGACATTTGCTGCTGTTGCTGTCCCCCATTATTTACTCCATATGGATTATCTGATGCAGTTGAAGGCTCCAGTCCTGCATGGTGCCTTCTACCTAATAATTCTTGCTTATTTGCTTCATGCTGAATGTTTTCTCTTTGTTTCTTTAACGTTTCGAACTTGGAGCTGAAACTTTGTAAATCTTGTTGAAATTTCTCCAATCTTTGTTCGTGTTTAGCATTGGCATCATCTTCGGTGGATTTGTTTTGATTAACTAGATCACCGTACTCCTTGACTGTCTTTCTAAATGCGGCAAGTGAGGTAGTTATAGAACCTTGAAGAGATAAGGGAGAAGTAGACACATTCGATTCGAATGATGACAAATCTTTCGTGAGAAGTTGTGTTTGTTTAATTCCATGATTATACAATGAATTCATGACGTGCAAAAACTCTCTCCTTTTTTCTTTTACAATACACTAGTTGTTCGAATTGAATAGAATAGTCTTGGAAGTTGATGAGCTGTAGCGAAGAAAACGCGATTCACAAGAATTGGAAAAATAACGTAGGCATTGATACTGCAGGCAAGGCGTGCACAGATGTATAGACTGGAATGGGTGGTCAGCCTCGCCAATGAGCAGCAAAGGTAAACGAATATTCTGAAGAAAATGATTAGCTACCTCCATTTTGCGTATGTGTGTTTTATTAATTAATAGCTAATCTCTGCCCATATGGCATTAAAGTCCTATTTACTAACAGTGCTTATTATCTTGCGTAGGTTAAATTGCAAGTGATTCCTCTCAAAATATAGCTCTTACCATACATAAGACCACGGAGGCCCATTTTGTAATTTTAGCATCGTTCTTTCAACTACTATAGTATTAGCGAAACTCACATTTGTAGATTTAAGCTACGTTCTCACGTCTCTCAACTTCTGTGATCTTATGAAGATCACATATGTAGGTTGAAGCTAGTGCTTCTGGCTTTAATACTGAAATCGCCTTAACTAAAGCACTCTATAAGTAAAGACGAAATGCAAGTGGAAACACGCTTGAATCTCGATACTTCTAAATCACAACTCTTAGTACATTATTTTTGCTTAAATCATCAGCAGAAGCCCTGTAAACACATTTTCGGGAGTATCTGGACTTTGCCAATATTCAAATCAGATGAAAGAACTCAGCGACCTGAGGGACAAATCTCAACATGGTCAATACTACCAATATAGTTTTATACCTGGACAATGAAATCTTCTTCATCTCAAAAGAAAATCTGCTTGGAAATAAGCTACCTAAGGGTAAATACTCTTTGCTGGGCTATTTTCCAGTTTCCAGTTCCTAGTTTCCAATTTATTATAATAGCTATAGAATTTACTGAGTCCCTCGTTCACACCTCTAAGAACGTTAAGCAGTTTACAACTACATATCCATAACGCTAACCAAAGAATCTCACGAATGCCAATAATAAGGCAAAGGTACCAGAAGAAACACCGATTAACCACTGCATAACCTGAGTCTTTACACTCTTAATTTGCATCTGCATATTAGCTATCTCTTCATCTATTCTAGTATAAGTATCTTCAATTTTCAGTTCATGGATTGACGATTCCTCTCTTATTCTTCCCTTTTCTAAGTTCAAATCTAATCTTAAACCTGCTTGATTCTTAGTTATTTCTTCTTTTAATCTATTTTTCAAATTTGTCAAATCTGTACGAAGGTTTTCCTGCTCTTTCTTCAAGTTAGTAAATTCAGACTTGTCCATAGTCTGAAGCTCACCTTTCAATTTGGCAAAGTCAACCTTCTGCTGATAAGCTGTGGACAGTAACGTCTCCTTAGTAACAAGATTCTGAGTTATAGAAAAAATCCCATCATTAATAGCCTTGTTCACAATGCTCACGCATGTTTCTGCTTGCTGTTGGGTGAATCCACCTTGCTGCTGCAATGACTGGACAAACTTTTTCGTATCAAATTTTGTTATAGAAGAAAGACTACGAGAGGGAAGGCGAGACACACTAATTCCTGGTCTTAGTATAACACTTGAGAACATGATTAGTGTAGAGAATGAAGAAAAACAGAAGAAGAACAAGTATCAACAGTTAGTTTTTGTTTTGCCATTTTTACGCTGGCCTGGTCATTCTCATGTTAGCGTGCGGAAGGCCCTAGCGCAGAAAATAGAAATTGCAAGCGAGAAGAGCAAACGACCAGCGAACGGTGCGAGAGCTAACCATGCAATATGGTGTCGAAAATCGTTGCCACCTTATTTCTAGCTCAGGAAATGTTTAAACATACGAAGCAATCATACTAAACACTTTTATGGACAATTGAGAAGAAATAGCTGGAGTTTCAGCTGATTCTCTTCTGCTGATTACGAATTGTAGTTCTATCATTCGCAGCTAATCTGACAGGCTCTGCGCGCGCTCTGCGTGCGATGCTTGCGCGCCCCAGGCGCTACATGAAAAAAGCCAAACCTCAGTACATCAGTCGAGCTAGAAGCTAGAAGGCATCTTTAGCTGAGCTAGAAACTGTAAATATAATGTTACGGACATCTTTCTTTGCGTTGCGCCACCGTCATGCGTTAAAACTGAACGGTGTTATATATTCCGTAGCTCGTAGTTACTCTTCTATTGAAGACTTCAATAAGAAGAAGAAAACGTACTCCTATGGACTTGATCTCGATGACTTGGAGAAGGTACACAGAGCCGATGAAGCTAAAGTTGATTTGAATTCCGTCCTTGAGGGACATCCAGATTTGGCAGACTTGAAGCCTGGATCTCCAGAGTATAAGGATCGTATGTACTCATTACATCAATCACTTCAAAATGACCAAAGGAAAGAACAAAGAAAGTATGAATCTAGAGAGAGATTAAAGGCAGTTGCGATTGGCTTTGGAGCAGTGGTTGGGTTGATAGCGATCCACCAAGCGGCACTAAATTATGAATACTTGAAAAATTGGTTAAACCATAGTAGAACCTATGGAAAAGAGGTTGATACCGAGAAGATCATGTCATTGGACGATCCTTCTAAGAATACAAACAACATGGCCAATTTAGTTAGCAAATTTACAGATAATTTGGATACGTTGAATATCATCCTGAATTTAAAACTGCTGGAAGAAACTCCAGGTTTATATTTATTTGGAGGGGTTAAAGCAAGATCGAAATTCCCTCTTAGAGTTCCATTTTTTGATGATAAGCTCTTGAAGGATGTTCAATTGAAGGACACCTTGTTAGTTGCAATTAACAGCAAAGGCAATGAGTTGTACGAAATGAAAATCGATTTAGGAAAACTGCTGAAGAATATCAAGCCTCCAGTGGTTGAAAAAATCAAGACTCCATTCATTGTGAAGAAGTGCCAATTGACTGCTAACTTCATTTATTTGCTTTCGGAAAAGGGAGAAACGTATTTCAAAGTCAGAAATGACGTAGCTAGTAAGAAGAAGATCGAATTGGATGGTTATTCTTCTAGAAATTGGATTGGAATGTCAAAAAAGTCTACCGTATTTGGAAAATTTCCTGGTAAATTTGAAGATATCCTGGCTGGAGAGAGCCATTTGTTGTTGCTTGGGAAAGCCGGAGATCTTTCTGTAGTGAGTTCTTCTTCTAGCGCAGCTAATTTCGGACAATTGGGATTGCCAAAATATTCCCCTTACACCCAGAAGAGCTCCAATACCAATACCTCGATAAATGGTGTTGATGCTCCGATTAACACTCCTCTAGAGCTTATTGGACTCAACTATGAAATTGTTTCCTCACCAACTGGCGAAAAGTCAACCAGACCGAGAGTTTTTTCTCACATCGCCACTGGGAAGTTTCACAACTTAGCTTCAGATCTTGCTGGTAATGTTTGGACTTGGGGTAAGAATACCTATGGAGAGTGTGGCCTGGAGCTTAGTTACAGAACAGATGTTCAATCTATTCCTCAGATTGCTTTCACAACTAAGGACTTCTTGAATGCCACGAAGCACTTTTCACCTCTCCAGAATAGTCAATTATTGGATCTCTGGCAAGTGGATGGTTTATACAGTGGATCCGAGACTTCCTATATCAAAGTAAACTTCGATAACTCGGTCGACTTTTTGTTCTCCTTTGGTAATGGATTAAAGGGGCAGCTTGGAAACAATTTGTACTTACATGCTTCTCCTAAGCTTCAGACGATGAAATCACTTCTTGGCCTCAAAGAATTCGATGAAGCTTCCAATAAGACACGCTCTATCGGAATAAAAGACGTAAAACTTGGAGAAAACCACGGATTCATTGTACTAGATAACTCTGGGAATCACCAAGATTTGCTTAGTTTTGGAGACAATGAGTTTGGACAATTGGGAAATGGAAAATATGTGAAAAACAGTAAACCAAACCAAATACCGAAACTCATTGAACCTGAAGAATTGGACAAAAGCAAGACTGACATTGCCGATTTGAAAAAGGAACTAACAAAGAGAATTCTCGATGTCAACAATAAGAGATTGCAATTGGTGAAGGACGAAAAGAAAAGATGGCAACAGCTGATTTCTGCGGGTGACAATTGTTCTGCTATTTACTATAAGAGTATATAGATGATATATAAGTGACATATGAAAATACATGTACATAGCTTAAACCCTCTGTTGAAAATTACAAAAAGTTAAATTAGTATCACCACTGCTGATAAGTTTGGCTTGTATTTAACGTTTTCTGTATCCCGAGAGATCTTCGATTGTATTCAACATAGTATACGCCCTAAGAGGTTTTCGACTATAATGAACAAAACGGTTGCACTGGGCCAATTTGATTACACTGAAATTTTTTTTTTCTTTTTTTTTTTTGGCTGCGAAAAATTCAGAGAGCATTCACTAGCCAAGCTCGACTGTTGACATTAGGCTAGAAGACTAGCTCCCTCTCACAGAATTACCTACAGATCTCCTACAACAAGTATAAGTATAAAAGTTCAGGAATTATCTATTATTTATTTTAAATCAAAAAGTTCATTCAAAATTCTGATTGTGTCTTCTGGAGAGTTAACAGCATGTCCAATGGTTCTTGGGTCAGTGTAAATTTCGTAATCATTTCCTCCCTTGTAAGACTTGTCACCAAAGAAGTGGATTTCTTGGAAATGTTCATCTTCAATGTGTTGTAAAGCATAAGTCTTATCCCAACCAGTTGGGAAAACATCAAAAGAGATTTGTCCACCAATGGAGTAAGTCAAGCCGAAATCAGCAAAGTTTTCCTTTAAGGCACTGACCATCTTCTCTCTGATTTTGTGTTCCTTATCGTAAGCTTCGTATTCATTTCTTTCCTGTGTAGAAGCGTTTCTTCCAACTGGTGAGACATTGATCATACCGTTTCTAAATTCGATGAAAGTACCTCTTCTAATTGGGAGGTCAATTTCAGCAAGGTACTTTAAGATGAACTTAACTAACTTGTTGTACTTTTCGTTACCGATCCAACCAATGAAAGACTGCAGCGCCAATTCCTTACCTAACTTGTAAGCAGTTAAACCATTTTCGGAGAAACAGTAGTCGAAATCTTGTAAAACATTTGGTCCTAATTGTTCAACTTGCTTGGAAAGATCGGAACCACCAACAAATCCAATAACAACCTTTTCTCTTAATTTTTTCAAGGTTTGTCTCATTTCATCAGAGATTTCCAATCTAGCTGGGGTTAAAGTTCCGTCAACATCGAAAAGAACGACGATCTTTGGGTTTTCTTTATTTGCGAATGACATGATAATAGTGTTAGTAATATAGATGTAGTAATAAATTACTTCAAAGAAGAGAAGAAGAAGAAAGAAATGTTGAAAAGAACACACGGGAAGATGTTGACCTTTTTCAATTTTTCCGTGAGAACACGGTGGGCAAAATTTGAAAAACACGCCAAATTTAAATTTTTTTAAATTCAACGGTGATGAAAATAGCGCCCCACCGCGCGTCAGTCTGCGTGAGAAAGAAGAAGAGAAGGACAGGAAGAGGGAAAAGTTAGCAGAGAGTTAAGCTATCTTATGTATCTGCAAATTATGAATGCAATGGGATATTTGCTGAAGTCATACAGAAAAAGTTTAAAAAAAAAGTTCAGGGTGTTCAGGGTGTTAGGGCCATTAATTAACAGGGGTCTTGGTACTGTCCCTAGTTTCTCTTAGTACGCTTGGAACCTTTTTCCTGCACAATAACAAGGTACTGGAGTAAAAGGTACTGGAAAGACGTCTTCAGAAAGCTCGTCAAATGGCACCTCTACTCACTAGCTAGAGACATTATAACATTGCTAGTACGGAGTGCTATGCTGAAATGTACTCATCCTTTCCTCCTTGTTCTACTACTTTGGAGCTGTAACTGGTTTGTTGTAGTACCTCTGTGCTGAGGAGGTGTAAGAATGTGAGTTCATCGCCTGCATACAGAACCCCATCGCAGCCTAATCTTAGTGCAACTTTGCATGGCCTATAAAGAGCTCAATTGACTGAAGACGTATACTAGCCCTTCCTTCAGTTAGTTGCTTAATTTCTATTCATTATACGGCTCTGCTTCACTGATTCAATACCCATTGAATCTATGCACCTCGTTCAACTACGTTTTGAGCCTGCTCCTTTTCATATATTATCCCGTCTCTTTACCAGCATCCTGTAACATTTTGCGTTCAGTTACCAAATTTCTGCTTTGAAAAATTATGCTGCACTAGTCTAGCGCAGTAACCTTGAAAAATTTTTCATCGAAACTGGCCTGGGTTGGAAACTGGCACCTAATGTTACTAGTATTGTAGGAATTTGATACTGTATCTCGTGGCACTAAATCCACATTTCTAGGCTTGCCCTTGCAATTCCTCCTTTTGCTTCTACCTCAGTAAATGAGCCCACAGTCCGCTGGCTATTTTTTTGAATCCTTAATTTACAATTCTATTCTACACAAATCATTGCCTTCTTTTATGATCCAGAATACTCAATGAAATCTCTACGCTTAGGGTAAGCTCATAAACTCTTCGCTAAAAGTTTCACTTAGTTTCCCTCTTTTTTTTTTTGTCTACACTCATAGTTTTTTAAGTCAAATCTTTATTTATTCAAATCCAATTTAAGCGGAAGCTTGGTATTGGTAGTCTGGGAATTGCTTCAAGTTGTTTTCCAATTTACCCTTTCTGGTTAAAAATTTAACGTAAGCACCATCGTCCTTAACTTCACCATTGTTCTTCTTGGCAACGTATTCGTCTCTGTTCAATGGAGTGAAACCCCACTTCTTAGAAATAATGATCTTTTGTTGACCTGGGAACTTGTATCTGGCTCTTCTTAAACCTTCGATAACAACTTCCTTGTTAGAATCCTTGGTTCTGGCTGACATGATAATTTGACCAATGGCAACTCTGGCAGCTAAACCTTGAGGCTTACCCCAAGCACCTCTCATACCTTGTTGTAATCTATCAGCACCGGCACATGACAACATCTTATTGATTCTTAAAACGTGGAATGGGTGGACTCTGACTCTCAAGTGGAATGAATCTCTACCAGAAATCTTGGTAATGTACTTGTTAGCACAAATACGGGCAGCTTCTAAAGCTTCAGAAGATAATTGTTCTAATTCGTTGGAAACCAAGTGGATACATAATGGGAATTCATCAACGGTAGCCTTCTTACGACCTAAATCATAGATTCTGATCTTAGCGTCTGGGACACCTCTGTTGTATCTAGACTTTGGGTAAGGCTTGTTCTTACAGTATCTGTAACATCTAGCAGGTCTTCTAGCCATTTTTGCTGGAGTTAATGTTAGTATATCAATATCTTAAAAAAGTTGTATATGAAATATTATGCGAATGAGGAACCTAATGGTTTAAATAGGAATCAGATTACTAATAAATTTTGGCGGTGGCGTTCACTGCCTAAAATTTTCTGGGCCTCCAAAATTCGGACGCTACTTTTGCACGCATTTTTCCTGGAGGTCGTCTGATTTGTAATCACAGGCTAGCTGAGCACTAGTGTGTCTCCAACTCCAAGATAGAGGCGAGAAGCCTTGCTAATTGTACCCATCTATGTACTTGAGTAGATTACAGTAGTCCTGGTGTCTATTTTCCGCTAATATATAGGTGCTTTCTTACATACCTTATTTGTTCGATGTAGAATAAGATGTACAGTTAGCTGAAAAATTTCCTCAAATTTTTTTGTACTTTTCTCATTCGAGTGCGAATTCGAGAATTCGTTACCCTTAGTGAGATGGTAGTATGTGCAGGAGCAAAACAACCTTGAATAGTGAGACCATCCTGCACGTAACTAGTTCCTATTGAGTATCACGTGTACAATGTGACTGTGACACACATGCAGGTTACTTGGTCTTCTCAGCGTAGATGCTTGGGATGGGGGTCTGGGAGGTATGTCTTTGAGCAAGATTTGAACTTCATGCAGTATACCAGGGCATATCTGAGGTTCCTGGTGATTTTGCTAGTCTGATATACAGACACACCGTATTGTTAGCTTTCCATATGCTTATTTATTCGCTATTTCAGCCCATACGTTCGTCTTTTTTTCCTTCGAATAGTGCTACATTGCAACACTAAACCTATATTCGACCTATCTTCCTTCTCTCGCCCAATTTTGCTTTTCTTTCCATATCTGTACCCGCATCTGTATGCGTCTCCGTCTCATATCCCTGCTCTTCCTGCCTTCTCCTTGCTCTAACCATCGCAGAGTGTATACAGTCGGACTGCAATTCTGCAACCCATTACATGCAGTACCAAAAGTACACTCCTCCCACCGTGTAGCACTGTCTGTTAAACATCACATAGAACTCAAGTGGAGCTAACTACGATATATCCAATCCCAAACCAAGCCATCATTGTTCACCATCTATGCTACAATTTACAATTCCAAAGTAGCTCACCTCTGATCTACAGCGCTCATGGTTGGAACAACGTACTCTCTTCCTCATCACTTCAGTACTGATTCATCTCGTTTTGTGTAATATATTTTTTCCTAATACTTTTTTGAGAGATGAGCATTGAAAGATCCTAGCATGCCTGAGATGAGATAACAATACTGTAGCAAGAAAACAACTACGTATTGAACTTAGTATTGACATATAAATTGGAATAAACATGGGTAGATATAGTGTCAAGAGATACAAGACCAAAAGAAGAACGAGAGATCTTGATCTCATTTACTATACGGATATGGGATCTACCGATGCCATTAGGAGATTGAAAAATCAACCGCTCGACGAAACCAAGGCAGGATTTGGTCAATATTATTGTATTGAATGTGCACATTATTATGAGAACCAGCCTGCTTTAGATCGTCACAACAAGGGTAAAAAGCACAAGAGAAGAGTAAAAGAACTTAACCAGAGACCATACACAAACTTGGAAGCTGAAGCTGCCAGTGGATTGAATATGCAAAAATTCACAGAATCTGTAGAGAAATACAAGGCCATGGAACAAGACAAAAAGGCACAACCAGAAGTAGTAGAAGGCTTATTAAGACAAAGAAATGAAACAATTGAGAAGATTATGGGAATAGATGGTCCTGTATCTACCGAAGAAGGTGCTGGAAATGTTGAAACCAAGCAACAAGACGGTGAAGTAGATATGGCTACCTAAGTGAAAAATTCCTCATTAGGAACAAAAGAGTCAATTTATACCACACACACCAAAATATACACATATATGTATAAATATCTATATTCATTTTTGTTAGGTAGCACGGTCATCATCAAGTTCATTTCTTTTATATTATTGAAAGTTGGGTTTCATATTATTATTATTATTAGTATCAGTAGAGGTATTTTAGTTTGTATAGTGTCGTTCCAACTAGCATAGGTTTATGTATCTATCAATTTGCATTATATACAGTCCGTAATTAAGACCCCACCTTTTTTGGTGTACTTAATTTGTAGCAGACAGTAGCAGACAGTAGCACACCGAAATCACGTAGATTTCCCATAGACTCTCCATCAATGCTCCACCAAAGGTGTCATCATACTGGCGAATGCTCTATCTCTTTGTTACGGCTACTTCTGTATTCTAGTACAAGTTATATTGTAGCCAGTTGCAAAGTTAGGGTCCCCCTCCGAGATATCTGCCTCTGCAGGACTCTCAGATTCTACCTACTTCACGTGTATCCATATGCAGGAGTTCCACATTCGTCGAATATCAGAAAACTTGGACATTTTCTCAGAATTTAAATTCAAACCTTTACCATTAGCCCAAACTAATATACATTAAGAGGCACCAAAAATGTCGGCATCTACCCAGTTTTTCTGTAAGTATAAGAAGACAGACCAAATCATGTCACCAGAGCTATAAGCACTTAAAATCTCGAGAAATGGATCGTTTTTCTGTGGGAATTATGATTTCTCTATTTTTTTGTGCTTTTTTTCTCTTTTTTTGTTTCAGATTTTGAGGCATTCGGATCATCTTGCGGTGGGTTGTCCACACGGTGTGAAACAAAAGTAAAACATTAGATGTAAAGGGTACATATTTACGATATTACAGTTCCTGAAAATGTCGGAAGGGAACGCCAACTAAGTTGAAACTACTGTGCGTTATTATCACGTTTGCAATCTGTCGTGAAATGTTCTCTGGGGTCACCGCTCTCATCTGGGTTACACCCAAGCTAGTACCACTTCAGAAGACAAAAAAGTATACGAAACATTTTGAAGCACATGGTCTATCTATACCTTCCAGATTTAACGCGAAACCAAGCGGAGGAGAAGATAAACTACACTTGTAAACTTTTCATAGTCCATTTGAGAGCATCGGGCGGTGGCCATAGATAAGCGATGATCAACAGAAACGCGTTCCGGATCGTCTCAAAATCAGCTTACCTGTCTCTCTATTGAAATTGTGAACTAATAGTTAAGATTGTTACTGATCTGTTAGTTGCATGTTGATGAGTGCTCGGTGAGGTCTGGTAATTTTTCCTTTTTTTTATTCTTGTTGTTGGGTTCAGCTTATTCAATATGCATGATTATCAAAAGCTGTGAGAGTAACCTTGATTCACTCATAAAGAACTGTTTTACACACTCCAACGCACCTGAAACTAAGTCCTAAAGAAATTTTAATTTCAAGCAAAGCTAGCTTCCCTCAAAATCGCGATTCGCAAAAGATTTACACATTTCTGAACCATCCAATACTAACTACTTTACAGGCCGTATACCAAAATCTGTTGATTTGATACAGGATTACGAAGAAATTACTACATTCCCCAAACCATCATTAGAATGCCGTGCTGCCTTATATTCACCAAATGGAGAATATTTTGCATACACTCAACCAAATGAAGTTGTTGTGGTGAAAACCACCCCTACTGCTCCATTGCAAACCAAGATTGAAATTTCAGATACATTTGATATTTTCTTCTCACCAAATGGAACGTATTTATGTTTATGGTGCAAGCCTATATTGTTAGACAAGGAAAGTGGAGTATGGACTAAGAACGTTAAGATCATAAATATTAGAAGTGGTAATAAGGTAATTTTAGAATGGTCAAACAAGCACCAGAGTGGATGGAAACCACAATTCACTGTTGACGAGAGAATTTTAGCAAAGGGCAATAACAATAAAGAGATTCACTTTTTTGAATTACCGCAAGTTGGAGGTGGACCCGCAGCATTATTGAACGGCGGAACAAACATACTGGGAGAACCAATTGTAAACATTAATCAACCAACTCATAAGTTTAAGCTGGAACGTAATTTTGGTAACTTCCAATTAAGTCCTGGTCGTAACCCTTATATTGCAATTTTCATACCTGAAAAAGATGGCAAACCAGCTCAAGTTGTAATTTACAATATTCCAAATTTTAATCAATCAATTTGCTCCAAGACATTTTTCAAGGCTGACAGATGTCAATTGAAATGGAATTCATTGGGTACTGCATTATTAGCATTGGCATCAACTGACCATGATACCACTAATAAATCTTACTATGGTGAAACCAATTTATATTTATTAGGTATTGCTGGAAGTTATGATTCAAGGATTCATTTGGATAAGGAAGGTCCAATTCATGACATTACTTGGTCACCACTGGCTCGTGAATTTGGGGTTATTTATGGTTATATGCCAGCCAAGACAACATTTTTCGACGCCAGAGGTAATTCTATTTATCTGTTACCTCCAAGTCCAAGAAATACTATATTGTTTTCCCCACATGCAAGATTTGTATTGGTTGCCGGGTTTGGTAATTTACAAGGTACTGTTGATGTTTACGATCGTCAAAACAAGTTCGCTAAGTTGACAACTTTTGAAGCTACGAACACTTCAGTATGTGAATGGTCTCCATGTGGTAGATTTATCTTAACCGCTACGACGTCTCCTAGACTTAGGGTTGATAATGGATGTAAAGTCTGGCATGCTACTGGGAAACTAATGTACATGAAGGAATATCAAGAATTGTACTCGATCACATGGAAACCTCAAGGTGTGCAAGAATTCCCTCAGTTAAAAGTATTAGAACCTGCTCCTGAACCACACCATTCGACTAAGGAATTTTTAGAGAAAAAGAAGGCTATTGAAGCCACATCTTCATCTAAACCCGCTGGTGCATACCGTCCACCACATGCTAGAAGAGGTGGATCAGAAACTACGGTAGAAAGAACTTCATTGTACCAAAAGGAATTGGCTGCAAAGGGAGAAGCTGGTAGCACTTATGCACCACCAGGATTTGCAAGTAGATCAGTACCTGGAGCAGCTGTACCGGGCGCTGCATCCGCAGCCAAACCAGAATCCAAGTCAGCCGCCAAAAATAGAAAAAAGAGAGAAGCCAAGAAGAAAGAAAATGATACACCAGAACCAGCCTCTGTTACTGAAACTGCTACCCCAGTTGTAGTAGCAACACCTGTTCCAGCAGCCTCAGCAGCCTCAGCAGCCTCAGCAGTCCCAGCTGTCGAAGCTGGAAGTGTCATCGGAGGAGTTTCTTCAATGGAAGATAAGAAAGTTAGATCTTTATTGAAAAAGTTAAGAGCCATTGAGCAATTGAAAATGAAACAAGCATCTGGCGAATCGTTAGAGGATACTCAAGTTTCCAAAATTCAAAAAGAAGACGAGATTAGGAAGGATTTAGAAGCTTTAGGATGGACTGAATAGGCAGAACTTGTATAGAAATTAAACGGCAAGGTGCTTATGAATGAGGGTTTTCGCAACCTTGCATGGTACGTTGGCCTGAGTAGATTTAGCCCCTAACGAAATAGACGTATAAAACCGGCAAGCGCAGCTTCTAGAGTAGTTGAAGATTTGAATTGTAGAGATTTATTCAGAACAAAAATGTAGAGTAAATTTAGCTCCCCAGACGAATAGACGTATATAACCGGAAAGGACACAGCTTCTAGAGTAAATTTAGATTTAGATTTACATTGCAAATTTGATTCAGAGCAACAACTACTCTGGAGCAAATGATATGTCACATCATAAATACATACCAGGGAGAATTATGCAGTACATGCAGAAGAATGAATCAGGTCCTGACTTTGCAAGTATCATGAGCATGCGGTATATTGAGCTTATCGTTCGTTTGCAGCGGCTACTACAATCCAGGCGTACTTCAAACGTTAATGAGATAACCACCAGATATATGCTCAGTTGGTTATCTATTTTTAGCCATAAAGTTTCTTTTGCTTTGCTGATAGCTCATCAGGGAGGTTTATGGATCTAATTAGGAAACTTAATTATTGATTGGATGTGGTCGGTGAACGACCTGAAAAAATAAAAACGTTATGAGCATCCAGCGAGACCACAATGGAACATAACCTGGCCGATAGTAGAAACGATTGTAAAACACCAACTGCTGGGGCGCGCTTTTGGATGTAAAAGCATGGAAGAAGCCGGAGAACTGTTGGCTACAAGGATAGTTATATCCGGCACAATGTATTATCCACCTTACACCATGTATTGAATAACGGTGGAACAATATTCCATCTCTGTAATATCTGCAACCGGGTGAGTGCAGACCTACATATAGACACATCTTGCTCCGGCAGTTCTGTATTTTTTTTTTTTTTTTTCTTTTGTTATAATTCCTAATTCCTAATGTTGCAGGCTGGAATTTGGCTTGAGATATGTTGAGCTATCAGGTAATCAATGAAAGATAACCTTATGCAACCAGGACTCTTTTACTTTTCATTCGTTTCCCCTTATCATTGCGAATTAGCTACACGCTCCGACACTCGAGATCGATCGTTCTGGTCAGGTTCACGTCCAGCTCGAAATGAAATCGAAAACAGTACTACCATGCAACGGACATAACATAAAAAAAAAAAAAAAAAAAAAAAAAAAAGAGCAGTGAGGGAAAAAAAAAGAAACAAATATATCGCTGGTGTTTTGCTTCCTTACACAAAAGCCCGCAGAGCAAATGGGAGTTTGCGGTAAATAAGTTTATGTAAGTGAAAGAAAATGGGCGAAAAACACCAAAAAACACGGAAAAAAGAAAAAGAAATTCAGAGTCCGGCATACAACAGGCACGTGATCGAGACCAATACACAATATCCTCCCCTTCCTCAGGGTGTGTACACAATTAAGTAAGCATTGTACTGGAAATAGCGTTAAAAAGCACACGCCAAAAGAAACGCATCAAAACAACAAAATAAGACGCTGCAACGAACTGGATTACAGTGGCAAACAAAGAATCATTGTCAAACACACTGCTCTGCCCCATGTAAATCCAAGCACTGATCACAAGCCTTGATTCTTCTTTTTCTCGTTTAATCTCCCACCCTTTCTTCTCCTAATAAACTATTTATATCCCTCTGCATCGCTCCTGCATGCAATCAAGGCTTCACCTTCAAAGTCCCAATTCTTTTTCCTTTTTTCCAGCTGCGCCTCGAGATTTCCCTACCAAAACCAAAATTCTCGATCGCGTTTAATTCGAATCCAAGGGGATCCTCCTCTGCCTAAAAAAAAATTAATAAAAAAAAAAAAAAAAAAAAAAAAAAAAAAAAAAAAACATTTGATCTCGCTGCGAGTGTTTCTCTGTGATTTTTCCCGGTAGCATAATTTTTCTTAACTCTCTTAATTTAGAAGCTTTCTTCTTCTTAGCTTGTTATCTTTTACAGTTACATTCGTTGATTTATTTAGGCCACATCCTACAAAGTGAGTACCTTGAACATGAAGGAGGAGGAATGGCGACCGTAGAGGGTCATGACCATTCGCTTTTAGCTCTCTTATTTAGCCCAGTGGTTCAGTCTGGAAAAAGATTTTGGTCTTGGAAATTGTTACGGCCAGGGCTGTGATGATTTGGATCAAGGGATCCGAAACATTATCGGGCTAGAACCTGTAGTGTATCGTTGTGTAATAGACACCGTTGCTTCGCACAAGTGACTCTCTATGGATAAGGACAACGACACGCTACCGGTCTACTCTGCTACTCGTCTTTGGTTCGCTTCCTGTCGCTGTCGTTGCCGATCCTACTCGTTAGTGTTGCTTCCGGTGTGAATTTCTGCAACGCGCTTCACTAACAAAAAATCCAAATTCCCTAAAATTTCCACGCCAGGACTACCGAGTTTTACAATTTTGGTATTGGGAATTTACGGATATTTGGCATTCTATTTCCTTTCTTTCTCTTTAGTTCTCTTGTCGCTCTTTACTAACAATTATTTCAGATGTCATACGATAATAGTAACCAGTACTATGACCCCAACCAACAACAAGGGGGTCATGGTGGAGAAGGATACTATCAACAACAGCCATATGACGATGGATCTCATGTAGCCCAGCCTACTCAGGAATACTACGATCCAAACGTCCAATACCAACAACAACCTTATGATATGGACGGTTATCAAGATGGTCAATATGGTTCTCAGGGCCACCAATACGGTGCTCAACACCCTCAACAACCAAACTATAACGCTGACCCTGAAGCTTTCAGCGATTTCTCTTACGGTGTTAACGGTGGAGGACAAACTCCAGGAACCCCAGGTTACGATCAATATGGTACTCAATACACCCCATCACAAATGAGTTATGGTGGTCCAAGACTGTCGCTGGGTACTTCCACTCCAATTTATGGTGGAAATGTCAACTATGATCCAACCCAATTCCAAATGAGTTCTAATTTACCTTACCCTGCCTGGTCTGCCGACCCTCAAGCTCCAGTCAAGATAGAACACATTGAAGATATTTTCATTGATTTGACAAACAAGTTTGGTTTCCAAAGAGATTCTATGAGAAACATGTTTGATTACTTCATGACCTTGTTGGATTCCAGATCTTCGAGAATGTCACCTGCACAAGCTTTGCTCTCCTTACACGCTGACTATATTGGAGGAGAAAATGCTAATTACAGAAAGTGGTTTTTTGCTTCTCAACAAGATTTAGACGATTCTATTGGTTTCTCAAACATGAACTTGGGTAAAATTGGTAGAAAGGCCAGAAAGGCTTCTAAGAAATCTAAAAAGGCCAGACAGGCTGTCGAAGAACACGGCCAAGATTTAGACGCTTTGAATTCTGAATTGGACGGTGACTACTCGTTAGAAGCTGCTGAAATTAGATGGAAAGCTAAGATGAACCTGTTGACTCCAGAAGAAAGAGTCAGAGACATCTCATTGTACTTGCTTTTATGGGGTGAATCTAACCAAGTCAGATTTACTCCTGAATTATTGTGTTACATCTATAAGACTGCCTTCGATTACTTGATCTCTCCAGCTTGTCAACAAAGAACTGAACCAGTTGCTGAAGGTGACTTCCTTAACAGAGTTATCACCCCATTATATAGATACTTGAGATCTCAAGTTTATGAAATCTATGATGGTAGATTTGTTAAGCGTGAAAAGGATCACAACAAGGTTATTGGATACGATGATGTTAATCAATTGTTCTGGTACCCTGAAGGTATCTCAAGAATTATTTTTGAAGATGGAACTAGATTAGTTGAATTACCACAAGAAGAAAGATACTTGAAATTGGGTGAAGTAGAATGGAAACACGTGTTTTTCAAGACTTATAAGGAAACCAGAACTTGGTTACATTTCATTACCAATTTCAACAGAATTTGGGTTATCCATGCAACTGCTTACTGGATGTATACTGCTTACAGTGCTCCTACTTTATATACTAGACATTATTTCCAAACCTTGAATAATCAACCAACTGCCTCATCTAGATGGGCTTCTGCTGCCTTGGGTGGTGTTTTGGCTTGTGTCATTCAACTTGTTGCTACTATTTGTGAATGGTTATTCGTTCCAAGAGAATGGGCCGGTGCACAACATTTAACTAGAAGATTTTTGTTTTTGTTGTTGATTTTCGTTGCTAACTTAGCTCCAGTCGTTTTTACTTTCTATTGGGCTGGTTTACAAAAAGTCAGTAGAGCTGCACATATTGTTTCTATTGTTGGATTTTTCATAGCCATCGCATCTTTGGTTTTCTTTGCTGTCATGCCTCTTGGTGGTCTATTCACCAGTTATATGAACAAGAGATCAAGAAGATATTTGAGTTCCCAAACCTTTACCGCTTCTTTCGCTAAATTAAGAGGTTTAGATATGTGGATGTCTTATTTGTTATGGGTCTTAGTTTTCTTTGCAAAGCTCATTGAATCTTACTACTTTTTGACTTTGTCTTTAAGAGATCCAATCCGTATCTTGTCCACTACTACCATGAGATGTACCGGTGAAGTTTGGTTCGGTGTCACCTTGTGTAAACAACAAGCTAAAATTGTTCTCGGTTTAATGATTGCTGTTGATTTCCTTTTGTTCTTCTTGGATACTTATATGTGGTATATTGTCTGTAACTGTGTTTTCTCCGTCGGTAGATCTTTCTACTTGGGTATTTCCATTTTGACTCCATGGAGAAACATTTTCACCAGATTACCTAAGAGAATTTACTCTAAAATCTTAGCTACCACTGAAATGGAAATTAAGTACAAGCCAAAGGTTTTAATTTCACAAATTTGGAATGCTATTGTTATTTCTATGTACAGAGAACATTTATTAGCAATTGACCACGTTCAAAAGTTATTATATCATCAAGTTCCTTCTGAAATTGAAGGTAAGAGAACTTTAAGACCACCAACTTTCTTTGTTAGTCAAGATGATAACAACTTTGACACAGAATTCTTTCCAAGAGACTCTGAAGCTGAAAGAAGAATTTCTTTCTTCGCTCAATCTTTGGCTACTCCTATTTTGGAACCATTACCAGTTGACAACATGCCTACCTTTACCGTTTTCACTCCTCATTATACTGAAAAGATTTTATTCTCTTTAAGAGAAATTATCAGGGAAGAAGATCAATTCTCAAGAGTCACATTATTGGAATACTTGAAGCAATTACATCCTATCGAATGGGAATGTTTTGTTAAGGACACCAAGATTCTTGCTGAAGAAACTGCTGCATATGAAAATGGAGATGATCCAGAAAAGCTTGATGAAGAAGGTGATGGTCTTAAGGGTAAAATCGATGATTTGCCATTCTATTGTATTGGTTTCAAGAGTGCTGCACCAGAGTACACCTTAAGAACAAGAATTTGGGCATCATTAAGATCCCAAACTTTGTACCGTACTGTATCTGGTTTCATGAACTACGCAAGAGCCATTAAATTGTTATACCGTGTTGAAAACCCAGAACTTGTCCAATACTTTGGAGGTGATCCAGAAGGTTTGGAATTAGCTTTGGAAAGAATGGCCAGAAGAAAGTTCAGATTTATTGTTTCTATGCAAAGATTGGCTAAATTTAAGGATGAAGAAATGGAAAACGCTGAATTCTTGTTAAGAGCTTACCCTGATTTACAAATTGCCTACTTAGATGAAGAACCTGCATTAAACGAAGACGAAGAGCCAAGAGTTTACTCCGCTTTGATTGATGGTCATTGTGAGATGCTCGAAAATGGTAGAAGACGTCCTAAGTTTAGAGTTCAATTGTCTGGTAACCCAATTTTGGGTGATGGTAAATCTGATAATCAAAATCAAGCACTTATTTTCACCAGAGGTGAATACTTGCAATTAATTGATGCCAATCAAGATAACTATTTGGAAGAATGTCTTAAGATTAGATCTGTTTTAGCTGAATTCGAAGAATTAAACGTTGAACATGTTAACCCATACGCTCCTACATTGAAGAAGGACGATGCTACTTCTTCATTCCCAGTTGCTATTTTAGGTGCCAGAGAATACATTTTCTCCGAGAATTCTGGTGTTTTGGGTGATGTCGCTGCTGGTAAGGAACAAACTTTCGGTACCTTGTTTGCTAGAACTTTAGCCCAAATCGGTGGTAAATTGCATTATGGTCACCCGGATTTCTTGAATTCCATTTTCATGACAACCAGAGGTGGTGTTTCTAAGGCTCAAAAGGGTTTACATTTGAACGAAGATATTTATGCTGGTATGAATGCCGTCTTGAGAGGTGGTAGAATTAAGCACTGTGAATATTATCAATGTGGTAAAGGTAGAGATATGGGTTTCGGTTCTATTTTGAATTTCACAACTAAGATTGGTGCAGGTATGGGTGAACAAATGCTTTCAAGAGAATACTACTATTTAAGTACACAATTGCCATTGGACAGATTCTTGTCCTTCTATTATGCTCATCCAGGTTTCCACGTTAACAATGTCTTCATTCAATTATCTTTGCAAATGTTTATGTTGGTACTTGCTAACTTGAACTCATTGGCTCATGAATCTATCTTGTGTTCTTATAACAAAAATGTCCCAGTCACAGATTTCTTGTATCCATTCGGTTGTTACAATTTCTCTCCAGCTATTGATTGGATTAGAAGATATACTTTGTCCATTTTCATCGTTTTCTTCATTTCTTTTATCCCATTGTTTGTTCAGGAATTAATTGAAAGAGGTGTATGGAAGGCTGTTCAAAGATTCCTGAGACATATCTTGTCATTGTCTCCAATGTTCGAAGTCTTTGTTGCTCAAATCTATTCCTCATCCTTGATCACCGATTTAACTGTTGGTGGTGCTAGATATATTGCTACTGGTAGAGGTTTCGCTACTTCTAGAATTCCATTCTCAATTTTGTACTCAAGATTCGCTGATTCGTCCATTTACATGGGTGCTAGAAGTATGTTGATATTGTTATTCGGTTCTGTTGCACACTGGCAAGCTCCATTGTTATGGTTCTGGGCCTCCCTTTCAGCCTTAATCTTTTCACCATTTATTTTCAACCCACATCAATTCGCTTGGGAAGATCACTTTATTGATTACAGAGATTTCATTAGATGGTTAAGTAGAGGTAACACCAAGTGGCACAGAAACTCTTGGGCTGGTTACGTTCGTTTATCCAGATCCAGAGTTACTGGTTTCAAGAGAAAGCTCACTGGTGATGTTTCAGAAAAAGCAGCCGGTGACGCTTCGAGAGCTCACAGATCGAACGTTTTATTCGCTGATTTCATCCCTTGTCTTATCTATACTGCTGGTTTATTCTGTGCCTATACTTTTATTAATGCTCAAACAGGTGTTACTGATGATCCATCTGAAGTCAACTCTGTTTTGAGATTGGTTATTTGTGCCTTAGCTCCAGTTGTTATTGACTTGGCTGTCTTAGCTTTCTTCCTCGGTTTATCTTGTTGTGCTGGTCCAATGCTTGGTTTATGTTGTAAGAAAACTGGTGCCGTTGTTGCTGGTATTGCACACGGTATTGCTGTCATTGTTCATTTAGTTTTCTTCATTGTTATGTGGGTATTGGAAGGATTCAACTTCGCTAGAATGTTGCTCGGTCTTATTACTATGATTTACATTCAAAGATTATTATTCAAATTCTTAACTTTATGTTTCTTGACTAGAGAATTTAAGAATGATAAGGCCAACACTGCTTTCTGGACTGGTAAATGGTACGGATCTGGTTTAGGTTACATGGCTTTGACTCAACCAGCTAGAGAATTCTGTGCTAAGATTATTGAAATGTCCGAATTCGCTGGTGATTTCGTTTTAGCACACATTATCTTATTCTGCCAATTACCAATCTTGTTTATTCCATTGATTGATAGATGGCACTCAACCATGTTGTTCTGGTTAAAGCCTTCTAGATTGATCAGACCACCAATTTATTCATTAAAGCAAGCTAGATTAAGAAAGAGAATGGTTAGAAAGTACTGTACTTTATACTTTGCAGTCTTAATCTTGTTTGTCATTATTATCGCTGCCCCAGCTGTTGCATCCAGTCATATCAATGCTTCCAGTATTGCTGACAAGCTTTCCAATGCTGCAAGTATTGCCAAGGGATTAATGCAACCAAGAAATGAATCCAATAACGATACTGGTAGTAGCAGACCAGCCTCATACACCTGGGTTTATGCTTCTTACACTCCACATACTCCACATTACTCAACTATTGCTAAGAAGTAAGTAATTTACTTATGAAAGCGAGAAGAGAAAGAGGAAAGGAGAGAAAGAGATAAGAAGAAAGAAAGGAAGAAAGAAAAGGGGAAAACGAAAAAGAAAGAAAGAAAATAGAAAGACAAAGTTCCCTTTTGTATAGTTATTACTGATATACTTATATAGTTATGTATATCATTTTGTTTATTGTTCAATTTTATATAAACTATGGATTATCTTTACCATCGTAGATTCCTGCCGAGAACCTGCTGGCCATGCACTTCTTCTCTCTGCCCTTCCCCATCCCTAACATGTCCCTAAGCATCTCCATTCTGGCTCCTCTCGTGTCCTGCACATAGACACATATCCACGCCCTTGTTTACAGAAAAATTAGAGAAAAGACCAAGTCAGAGAATCACACCAGAAGAGGATAAGAAGAAGGCAGAGAACAGGCCAACCAGCACTCATTTGACACACAACACGCCGGATTAAGATGTTGCTGAGCAATTCAATTTATTCGCTTCCCTCGCTGTCGAAGGTACTCGTCGCGGCACTCACTATTGTCTCAACATTGATATTCTTGATCAAGTTGAACCACTTCCGCCTGACTCCCGAAGACCAAGACACCAAATTCCACGACATTTTAGTTCCTTATTTGCAATTGATTCCACGTACCACGATATTCTATCCGTGGGTGCTTTTAACTGCAATTTTTGCGGAAATCAGCGTGTTTCTGTACATAACGTCGTTTGTTATCTTGTTGCAATCCACCAGATACGTAGAAAAGTTTTGGGGGTTCAATGAGGTTTTGAAATTCGTCTTTGTGGTTGGTGGTGTCACCAACTTGTGGACAGTCCTTGTGACTATCACGTGTAACGTGTTAAGAGGAGAATCAGCAATCTCAATGGACATACCATTGGGAGGAGGAATTCTGTACTATTTCGGATTTCTTGTTGTGTTGAAACAATTGATACCCGAACACAACGTGGTGTTATTCCAGGGGGTTATTAATTTCAGGGTCAAGCACTTGCCTTTTATATTTTTGATTGTTGTGTTGCTTGTCTCAGTAATCATTACGCAATCATTGTACCCATTTATTCCCTCCATTGGCTCGTTTGTAATCAGTTACAGTTACTTGAGGTTCTATCAAACCATAATCACCGATCCGTTATTGCCAATCACTACTGCAAATGCCAATGCTGAGTCTAGTTCTAGCAGCGGCGTTTCTGCCTCTGGCGCCTCGTTGATTACCGGAGATGCCTCCGACGCGTTCAGACTCGTCGAATTCTTCCCTGAAATCTCCAAGCCATATTTGCTGCCTGTGTTTGACATGATCTACGAGATCGGGTGCTTGTTGGGGGTTATCACACCATTTAACGACGATTTGATTGAACAGAGTAATATGAGAGCGGCCAAGAGACTGGAACAGGCTAGCAATGCTCTGAAGAGCGTAGCAAACTCGGTTGCAGAAAGAAGGAGACAAGTTGCCTTGCAAATGATAGAGGAAAGGATAAGCAAGCCTGACCAATCGTAGGACTGTTAACCAAATAGAAGCAACCAAGGAATGAGAAGAATCAAGACTGCCTCAAACCGATTCCTGATTGAGGAAATAATATCCAAAGAAGTTCCGAATTCATAGACGATTCTTTTTGAATTTTACTTCTCGAACGGAGACTCGTGTTACGCCATGAAGGTGGACAAAGAAGCGGAATGTATATAAGAAGATGTATAATTAAAAACTGTCGTTTATATAGATAAATAAATGTTCAAAAGGAAGGAAGAGTAGATAGTGTATCTGTTTGGAAGTTGACTTGCGAGAGTAATGGAGTTAATTTAGTCTAGCATAGCAACAAGGACCAAACAGAGAAGGGAAACGAGAGCCTGGCAATTAAGTGCAGTAAGATCCAGGGAGAGCAGGTTGAGCAGGGAGAGCAGGTTGAGCAGGGAGAGCAGGGAGAGCAGGGAGAGCAGGGAGAGCAGGGAGAGCAGACAATACCAGCGAGCCTATATAGTGAAAAATCCCAACAGACCCAAAATACTGAAGCGACAAGAAATAATCACTAGCTAAACGCAAGTGAAAATAAATTTTCAGATCTAGAGGTGTTACCCTTAGATCAGCGACAGGTCCTGCAGCCTTTAAGAAAGCTTAATTCTGACTCAAATATACACACAGAACCTTGTCCTACTGAAGAGACACCCATGGTAAGCACCATAATCGGCCCCCACTACGAGTGCGCGCCTAAATGTGCCAAACTTTATTTTTACCACCGCGAAACAGGTACGCAACCGCTGCAGACAGCACCTGCTGCGCGCGCCTGCAAGCCTGCGATAGCGCCTGTTTCTCCCCCATCAGCGAACAGACCAGCTGTCAGTGATGCTGATCTTGCCATACCCGTCGAAAGAATACCGATAAAAGTGACCAAACTTGACTTGAAAACATACCAAAATAGAACCATTTCTCTCAAAATCACCACGCGAATCCATTTTTCTTCTCTGATTAACGTTTTTTTTCAGAACCGCCCATATCTTTGGTCCCATCTTCTGCCCCATCTTCCTCACCACTAAATGCATCACTAGACTGCTCGACTAACTGTAGTAGGTGAGAATTCGTAAACAAAATCAAAAATAGCGAGCCAAAAAAAGCCCGAAAAAATAAAAACCAAAAACAAGAAGGATAAAAAAAAAAAGACGAAAAAAAGAACGACATCGTATCAGGAACTACTAGCTAGCTACACTTAACCAGTTACATAGCCTGTTGAACCTAGCTGTAGCGTATCGGAAACATGTTTGGTGGTAACACTTTAAAACCTAGGTACAGTAAGGTTTCATCCAACCCTTCCTCCTTCCTCCCACTTCCAGCGACGGTTGGTGCACAAATCAAAACACAATTGAAACACAAGAATGTGGTGGTGGTGATAGTGTTCATAGTATTTGTATTCTATGTGTTTGTTTCACCACTATTCCACTTCATAACCGGGTCGTTTGGATCAAAACCAACGGTGCGCAAGTATCCCAGGGGCCATGTATCGACGAGTCACCATATGATTGAAATCAACTCGAGATACATCTATCCACCGATCGAGCATGCTCCATATTTAAAGGAATTGACTATCTACAATTTGGTCCAAGAAAGCAAGGTCAGAGACTCCAATTTCCCGGAAATCGAAAAGACTCTTGTCCAATCGTTAAATATATACGATAACCCGGACCCTAGAGCTCAGGCTATCAAGGAAGATGAGCAAAATAAGTACCTGGATTTGCTGAGAGCCAAAAACGCTTTCAAAAACAATGACAAGAAGGTTTTCAAACCCAAAAAATTGTCTTCGGGATCTTATCCTGAGGTCATCGTAGTAACAGCTGTAGATTTTGAAAAATACTCCGTTGAGGCGTTGACCATGATTGTCCAAAATAGAGTAGATTATGCACATAACCAAAACTATGGGATATATGTGAGGTGGGCCCAAGAGTTTTTGCCTCATTTGAATTCCATGCATGCCCTTGAAAATCTGGAGAAGAGAAAGTGGATTAGAATCTTCTGTATAAGAGCTGCCATGTTTGCCTTTCCTGAGGCTAAATGGTTTTGGTATTTGGAGGAAGATGCCATCATTATGAAACATCTGATTAATATCAAGGATTACATCTTGAACCCTGCCGCTTTGAACCCTATAATGCTCAGAGAACAACTGATTATCCCACCGCAAGGAACAATAAAAACGTATAAAAATTCAAAGGCAGAAAACATTAGGATTATCTTAACTCAATCTGAAAGTAAGTTGGAAACAAGCTCATTTATGGTTAAAAATGATGACGTTGGTAGATCCATCATTGACCAATGGAGTGATCCATTGTACTTAAACTACCCTAACTTTCCCTACGGTCCAGATTCTGCGCTTACTCACATTTTACAGTGGCACCCATTTATATTGAGTAAGACGTCCATTATCCCGGCCAGAACCATAGCTGCTCAACATACGGATGTGGAATTGCCACCTCCTACCAACGGTAAGGGCGGGGATCACATCCATTACTACAATGGAGACTTCGTGGCCCACTGGAGTGACTGTAAGGGACTGGCTTGCGAAGCAAATGTAGAGCATTATTTCAACCTTAGGAAGACTGGGGCGTCATCCTAAACTAAACAATTAGAAATAGTAAACTGACCAATTGATAATAAAGATGAATATCAAGAAAGCTCCTAAAGAGAACATTTTACAAAGATTTATTATGATTGTTGCAAATGAAACGAATAATCACACAGGTAAAGCTTTTCATATTTCTTTGTGAAACTCAAGAGGTAGGCTTATAAACCTATGTATTAATAGAGATTTTAATAAACATTAAAAATGTCGTTAGGGCAATATAGAATATTGAATTATGTATTTAAAAGTCGTCTAAATTTAAAGGGAACTTACCCTCACTCTTCATATCCGATGCCTGCTCCCAAATTCCTATTATTTGATCCATTTTCTTAATACTCTGGGTATTTCCTATATTTACCGTTGGGATAATTCTGCCTATTCTTAGCATAACTGAAAAGTATGATAGTTCCCTAAATGATGAATGCTCACTGTAAGGAAGAGTATATACTCTATATAAGGAGTCATTCAACCTCTTCGAATTCCCATTCTTTATTGGGGGAGCCTGAGGTAAGATGTGTTGCATGTAACTAAATTTCGGGACATCTTTCATTATTTGGAATAATTCGTCAAACAGCAAATCTTCCACTCCCCTTGTATTCCTTCTCAGAAACGTCCAACCAGTCGGCCTTAATCCTATGCACTTCTCAAACTTTTCAAAGTATTTATTGTGATTAAAGTACTTAGACATTTCTGCCACCGAACCCACAATGTTCATGGGAACCAAATGTACCATGCAAGATGATGCCATTTTTGAATCAGCACTATCTTCTTCTGTCAATACCAGGTCTAAAAATTTGTTACCGTATGTCTTCAAAATTTGAAACTTATCTCCTCTGCTTTTTATATTTGATACATATATGGGGCAACCACCCAACTTCTTCAGAATGGCTATTGCCAAATTTTCCTTGCCTATTAAATAGGTCCCAACGAGAATCAAAAACTTCTTTTTGGTACGTGAAGTCGATGAAAGATAATCTGTGATACGGGATTGGCTTAGATTACCAAACCAAGTACTGAAAAGACTCGTAGACTTTCCATCTTTGTCTGGATCTTCCCTCCCAGTCAAATGCAGAAACATCTTACCCACTGCATCACACACATCTTCCTGTTTAGGGAAATTATATTCGGGACTCATGTAAGTTGTGTCAAGGTACACATTATCAAGAGTAAGGGAAGTGCTTTCAGTATTCAAGAAAGGCAAAAGCTTGGGGTGTTTAAGAATTTCTTTATTCACCCTAAAATCACCACAATGCAACAGGTATGTGTTTTCTCTCATATTCGATATCGATCTAAATAGAAATATTGCTGCACCAGGACAATGATTTGCAGTGATGGGAGTAATATAAAGACCTGGTTTGAGATCTGCAACCTGATCTTCTTCAATCAATTCAGTTGGGATTTGCTCATCTTTCGAGTAATCTTTAATGATGTAAGTTTTATCAAACTGGAGGATCAGTAGAAACCTTGGGTCAATACTAAATCGTAAGGTCAACAACTTCCCTGTGATTTCAGTACAGTAAATAATCGGCCTGTATTTATCTTCGTCTATTGTTTCCCCTTCAAAGACTCTTTCATAGCACCAGTTCTTCGAGATCCCACCATAATGATCTCCATGGAAGTGAGTAAGAACATACTGAGTTATCTTTTCATGGGGGACGAAGCTGAATGCATCTACCGCAATATCGTATTTGGTATTGTCGCTTACTTTAAATGTTAGAGTTTTAACAGGAGGAATAGCAGATCTCTTACTTTGCCTCCGTCGTATTGTAGTAGGAACCTTTATAATCTTGTTTTCTGCCGTTACTTTTTGGAAAGTAGAATTGTTCACATATGGATTTCGAGGTCTCTCTAGTTTATTTCCCACTTTTCTCTTCAAAGCGCCAACTTCCTTTATGTCTGCTTCTTCCTTTATGCTTGCTTCTCCCTTCATACTAAAATCATCCTCGATGTTTAGCTTGGCCAAGCAATCTTCAACATGTTGCACCCTTTCGTCAACATCAAAGTCATCCAATCTTAGTTGACACACCGGACATGATACCGAGTCATCAAAATCTAAGTGAATTTCTTTGCTAACGTCTTTGGCCTCCTGCTTGACAACTATCTCTGACTTGACTTCCTTCCCCATACATGCGTTTACATGATCCATGCGATTGTCAAGATCTACAGCATCGAGAATCTTGGAACATATTGGACACTCTATAGAGGGCTCTTCTGAGACTTCTAGATCTTCAGATGGCTCTTCTAAAAATTCGTTATCGTTAACAGTCAATCCCTTGTCTAGCTTCAATTTCTTGAAAGTCTGTGATTCTTCCACCTCTTCGGGTTTAAGACTATCATCATCGGATTCAACTGTTAGATCAATAGTTTCCTGAGTCCGTGATGAATTTTGAGATGCAAACTCAAATATCGATCGTTGTTGCTTCATGATATGCTGTAAACCGACCAGCAGTTTCTTTTAGACTGGGGTATACATGTAGCTCTGTAAGAAAGAAGGATCCAGTCCAATATTTATTCGCAACCCATATAAACTTTAAATTTTAGTAGGCGATCTCAAAGCCAATGACTATTTTCTTTTTTAGAGCTGAGTTTCTTTTTATTTAACTGTAAAAGAGGTCTTTGAAGTAGGCAATGGGGCTACTCACTATCATCAAGAAGCAGAAGGAAAAAGATCATGAAATTCGTATTCTTATGCTTGGACTTGACAATGCTGGCAAGACTACAATCGTGACATCAGTTCTTGGATTACCAATCTCGAAGGTGTCACCAACTATGGGGTTTGAGATCAAGACAGTAAATCACGGAGGATACAATTTGAATATATGGGATATAGGTGGCCAGACCACACTCCGTGGATTTTGGGGAAATTACTTTGATAAGACTGATGTAGTACTATGGGTGATAGACTGTCTAAGTATGGAGAGGCTTGATGAGTCTTTCGCAGAGCTAAGGCAAAAAGTGATTGAACAAGATAGATTAGTCGGATTGAAGTTGTTAATATTAATAAACAAGGTCGACTTGTACGAGGGAGGGATTAGTGAATTGGTGTTACAGATTACCGCGATATTGCAGTTGAATGAGTATGTACCAGATAGGTCCAGCTGGGAGATATTTCCTGTTAGTGGGAAGTCTGGGTTTGGCATAGAAAAGGTTCTTGACTGGATAGTAGAGAATGAGCGTAACGAGTGAGTGAGCTAGATCAGCTGGGAATTATTTCTATTAGCGGAAGTCTGGTTTGGTCTAGAGAAGGTTCATGACTGGATAATAGAGAATGAGCATACGAGTGAGCGAGTAAGTGATGGAGTGATAAATTGGTGTATGTGCGTGTGTGTGTGTGTGGGTGAGCGACGAAGATACTACTGACTAGGTGAGTGAGTGGAATACACAAGACACTGGCTACGTAGAACAATGTAAACTAGATGTAAACAAATAACAGCAAAACATAAATAATCAACAAACAGCCAATTGTCCAGCTCGTATGAAATAATGAATAGTGAAGAGAATAATGTAGTAGAATATTTAAGAATAAGTCCACCAGAATGAATAATGTGTAGCAGTATACACCAGCATGTACCCGAACATCCATGCACCCACGAACTAGTGCATGCTTGCGCATGAGATAATTCTGACCTTTAGTGACGATCACACTCTATACCGCCCCCTTTCCCATTCGTATATCTCCTCACAAGACTCATATCATGATGTGTTGCATGCAACAATTCCTGGCAAATTCCAACTACGGCCTAATGCTCTACATTAATTGCCTATAGCCTTTCCTAAAACGGATGGAAACTCGCTTAAAATGATTCTGAAACGCCAATTTTTAGAGCCATGAAAAAAAAATACGACACGATTCTTCACGCGTCAAACGCGTAATTTACTTCTCAAAGGAGTAAAATGCCATCAAGGGCATCTTGATATAAGAGACCAAGAGAATGGTGGTAAAGGTAAAAGGATGACAATTTTAGTCTTCCCTCTAACTTATCAATCAAACAAGGATGTCATACTCACCAATTGACCTTTTGAGAACTCTTTTGGAGACGGAGAAGGGAGAGAATGATAAGTTGATTGAGATTCTCGGATTAGTCAAGCCATCGAAGGGGACCACCTCCACGCTAAACTCGATTATTCGGGGTTTATTCACCAAGAATAGCAAGTTGTTGGCTCTACTCAACGAGCACTTGAGGTTCCAATATGCAACAAGCTCAGAAGAGATTGAAGTGTTCAAGAGCTTTATTAATAGGTTTATTATTTGGTTTGAGAGCGATGCGCTAATCTTGTTTGAGAAGTACTTGTCTCAGTTGCCCACCACCTCCAATTCCAATAAGAAGAAATTCGGGCAACCAATCCTTCATTGTAACGATTATATAGAGTTCATTGAATACAGTGTCAACTCTCCATTTTTGAGGAACCCTTTCATCGTTGACAAACTTCAACAGATTAGTAAAAGCTTACGAGCCTTCATCGAATCTTACGAGAGTTTGTCCTACCAGCAAAACTTGAATAACATCAGTTTCGACGACGTTAAGTTGTTTGCAGACGAAAATTCAAAGAAAGCTGCTTCTAAGTTCATAAAGAATCCATCTCAGGTAGACGCTTTCCAAAAAGTAAGCTCATACTTCAAAATTGATCAAATCATCGAAAGGTCGAAGAATGCCAAGTTCTACATGAAGAAGCTGCCCGACACAACAGTAGATGTCGAATTGATCTGCTTGAATTTGGCCCGTCATTTTGAGAAAGACTGCAATGCTTTCGACGCTTTGGCCTTACTTTCAAGACCAAGTGACGAGAACCAATCTAGAACATTGATCTATCCACCATTCAGAATCAATGAATTGTCTATAAGCTACAGAAATAAAAGTAACGAGCTTGTATTCAAAGTGATAGACTTTGCCGCCAAGAATGAGCAATTGGAGAACTGCTCCATTGTCATAGGCGGAGAAGAGAGCTTGATAGAATGGTATAAAAAATTGAAGACTATTTTCCCATGCAATGAAGTATTCCACCGTCCTGTGTTGATTCAATCTGGATCACAAGTTTCCGCTTCTGGACTTGGAATTAATGTGGTCAGTAGCGGAAGCAGCAGCAGCAGCTCCACAATAGGAAATGCAGAGGAGATTAATGATGTTTCACCACCTCGTTCAAAGTCGTCTCTTGTTGACAAACCTACGATACTGCCATTGAGTAGATTACAACAACAATTCCAAAAGCCACAACTGGTGACCGCTGCTGGTGACATGAGTAGTAAAGTGAGTAGCCATGGATCGGCTACATCATTACTTCTCGATGAATATGAAGATGACGAAGACGAAGAAAATGATATGACTATAAACAAGAATTTGGAAACTTTAGACTTGTTACCACCTTCTATTGGACCATACCAAAACCAAAGTTTATCAAACAGTGCTATTTCTGTTCTGTCTTCTCAATCTTCATACACTAAACACAATCCTCCACCTGCTATAAGAATCACAGATTCTTCAAGTCTGAGAAAGAGCTCACACTCTAGTACACGTTATGAGCAACTTGTTACTGAACTCACAAACACATCCGATCAACTGTCACATGTTGTTAAATCTATTAAGAGGAACACCATAGATTTCGAAAACTCTAGCCCCTCAGAAGAAGAAAGACCAAAGTCCTATAGGGCAGAAATGTGTGATGATCATAGTATTGCTTCCAATTCCAAAGAGAAGAAGCAAACTAAGAACAAATCACTTCTTGCAAATTATCAATCTTCAAACCAAAGCAAGTTCTCCTCGGTTCCTAATTTGAATGATAGTAAACCAAAAGCCAAGATGTATGAAGTGAGTACCTCATCAGCTATTGATATTTCCAACTTTGGTAAAGGCTATAACCCCTCTTTCAGTATACCCAAGGGCTTAAATGAATTATTGAAAGAAGAACAAGAGCCAGCCCAACATTCTTCAACTTCTCCAGTTAAGACCAAAAAATCATTGTTTGGAATATTTAAGAAGAAGAAGAACAGCAGCAACACAACATTAGTAGCTAGTGACGACACTAACAAGAGTAAGGAGGGACAGAAGTCTTCTATTCCTAAAAGTCTCTCCATTGAAACTACTTTAAATGAACCAACGAAACTTGAGGCTTCACCCATCGAAGCTCCCCGTGGAATTTCAACTGTTGAGAGCTCTCAAATTTCCAAATCTTCACCCTCAGCCTCCACAGTACCTTCTGCATTTGCTTTGCCATCTTCAACCTCGATGTATTTCTTCAAACCACATTCAACCACTTCAGTCAATAGTAAGAATGCTGTTAAATATCTCCCTGATGAGGAAGACTTAGTTGTTCCACAAGAACTCAAAGATGCTATCAATGATGATGAATCTATTGATTTCTATATTTCTACTTCGTCACCAAAGGCATTGATTCTTTCTAAATGGAAACCAAAGTATGGCAAATGGGAAATGATTACTGCTAATGAGAATGTATTTGTAAAAATTGTTGTTAATTACAACTCAAATAGGAGTTGGCTTGTTTTCTTCAAAGAGGAACAAGATGACGAAGCTGAAGAAGAGGGAGAAGTCTACGATAAACCTATTTTGTTGCTTGACTTATCTGACGAGACTGCTACGAAGTGTAATGCTTTAGACTGTCAAATCACTACTATCAATTCAATTACAGAAGAGAAAATGACTGTAATGATTAGATGTAACTCTAACTCTTTATTGAGAGAGATTACTGGCAACATTGATAATATGATTGGTGTTTTAGGATTCAAAGGTATCGAATCTCGTGGCCCAACACCAAGCCATTCAGAATTTCAACTGCCAGAAACTACCAATGGAGTTTCCAAATCATTATTATCTTCAAGTACTATTACCTCTTCAATTATGGATAACGCTACTATTCCATTCAACCAATCTTCAACTTATTCATCAGTCAACTCGAACATGAACAGCAATACTTTCCCTAAGCCAACTCAATCTTCTTACGCTTTGGATACCATCAAGGACTACGACCATATCAGTATTTTGAACAATCCTGAGAATACCAAAGTTTTGCTCTTACACAGTATGAAGATTAGATTGCAGAAGAATTTGGAGTCTTACTCTCAAATTCATAATCCATCTTCCTGGAAAATCCTTTCAATGAACAACTTGAGTATTTACATGATATCTGACGTCATAACAAATGCTCATTATTATAATTTAGTTGTTGAAGGCACTGAAAATTACAACTGGCTCATTAATAAGGAAGAGAAGTTTAATGTGATTGAAAAGATTGGAAAGGCAGGAATGGTGTTGAAATTTGCAGAAGACGAGATTTTCTTGATTGAATGTAAGGGTAAGAAGGAGTTTAAGACTCTTTTCGAATTGTTCTAATATGACTGGTTCATATGTTTAGTTAATTTTTGTTTTTATTTTCATTCCTCATGCCCATGGTTTTCTTTCTGTATACTAATATTGTGGTGAACCACAGAAGCCAAATGGGGGAAAGGGTGATAGCAATAGCTTTGTATTATAAAATATAGATTGTATTATCTTTAGAACTTTTGTAAGAACCTTTTCAAAATGAAGATGGGATTTAAGGGATTCGTTTCCATAGTTGTCTTGTTCATATTTGCACCCATTGCACTAGCAAAAAATTCGAGTGCTGCATCAATTGTCCCAGGATATGATAATATTGCACCAATTGAAATACACAACAACTTCTTCTACTTTAAAGGCACGAAAACAAGATTTTTCATAAAAGGTATTGCTTATCAACAGGTTAGGGTGCCTGGGGTTAACTATGTAGAGAAGTATATTGATCCAATGGCAAATGCTACTTCTTGCTTGAGAGATTTAGAATACATGCTTGAATTGGGCGTCAACTTAGTTAGAGTATATCAGATTAATCCGGAGCTAGACCATGACGTTTGCATGAATGAATTTGCGAAGAAGGGAATATATGTATTGGCAGACTTGGCTGAGCCCGAGATGTCTATTAACAGAGAGTCTCCTACTTGGGATATTCAGCTTTTCGATCGATACAAGTCAGTTGTAGATTCAATGCATAAGTTCAATAATGTTTTGGGTTTCTTTGCTGGAAATGAAGTCACTGACTCTAAAGATAATACCTTCGCGGCACCATTTGTAAAGGCTGCCGTTAGAGACATAAAGTCCTACATTTTTACAAGTGGATACAGAAAGATTCCAGTTGGTTATGCTACCAATGACGACGCTGTTATCAGAATGGATATTTCGAACTATTTGGTTTGTGGCACGCATGAAGTAGACTTCCTTGGCGTTAACAACTATGAATGGTGTGGGTTTTCAAGTTATGCAACCTCAGGCTACAAAGAGAGAACCATTGAATATACCAACTTTCCAGTTCCATTATTCTTCAGCGAATATGGATGCAATAATGTTCAACCAAGACCCTTCACTGAAGTAGAGGCATTATACGGAAGCTCGATGACTGGAGTTTGGTCCGGAGGTATTGCATACCTGTATTTTGAATCGGAAAACCACTATGGGATCGTTGCAGAGAAGGCGAATGGTACACTTACTAGATTGCCGGACTTTGAAGGTTTGAAGCAAAAGCTTAACAGTGTGCAACCAATGGCTGCGAAAAGTAATGCAGTCCCACAGACTGTTGTGACCATAAACTGTCCGCCGCTAAGCAGCACTTGGAAGGTTTCATCTAGCTCCTCCAACTCTTCTTTACCGAGTACTCCTGATTCTGGAAGATGCAATTGTATTCAATCAACCTTTTCTTGTATTGTATCTCCTCGTCACGGAGACATTCAAGCGGAATTAGTTGAAGAGATTTGTTCACAAGTCGACTGCTCCGCAATTCAATTTGACACAGCAAATGGGACTTATGGACATCTTTTAGGTTGTAGCTTGCATCAAAAACTATCTTATGTTGTAAATCAGTACTACCTTTTAAAGGGCAAAGATCCGGAGAGTTGCAACTTTAATGGCAGAGCAATTATTGTAAATCCCAGCAAGTTGGAAGAATTGGATGAGATTTACACACCGGATGGAAGAACTTGTAAGGAAGCAATTGGCAAGTCCGTTAGCTACAGAGATGAAGAGGGTCTGATATTCTTGACACCAGATAAAAAGACTTCCTTCCACTCAAACTACCTGCTTCCAGAAAGTGCAAATATCCCGTCCAGACTGCAATTGCTTGGTGACAAAATTACATCTCTTGCTAGCAAAATCCAATTGGAGAAGTGGCCAATTTACGGTTCGTTCTTCATTACTCTGCTAATTGGCTACTCTTACTTAATATATACATAGACATAACTGCTACAATCACTTGGTACTTCCTTAACTATCGTTTTATTTACACTTGATATTAATTTTTCTTTGGCCCCCACTTGAGTCCCAAGAATCCGTCATTCCCATTTAAAGTAGGTACATAGTTCTTCGATTGGAACTTTGGTTCTACAATATAAACTCTTTTGGAGCTGTTTGGAGTGTCCAAGGCTATGTAAGCAAATTCAGCCTTCCAGAATGATTCATCTACTTGATCTAATGATACGGTACCGTGGTATCCAGCATCAGATTCGACATGAAATTTCATCAACAAATGATCCTTTCCATCTGCAGATTTACTCTTCACACTTTGCACCGGTCTATTACGTACCCATTTATCGCCAAATGTTTCACCGTATGCCTTCAATCTTTCACCAGCTTTGAAATTCAATATTTGCTGGGCTTCTTCATTCTTTTCTACCAATTTAACTGCCTTATTAAATGTTCTAGTATCTCCTGATGGGAGGAATAGCTCTGAGAGGATCAAGTACACCACAAGAAGTGCGACCCCAGATGCTCCAACCACCATCAATGAGGAAATCAGAAATGTAAATGCTCTCGAAATTCTGTTAAGAAGTAATTTACCTTTGGCATTCTTGTCGCCAGAAGGAGGAGGAGGAGGTGGAGGTGGTGGTGGTGGTGAAGCAGATGCTCCACTGCCAGTAGAGTAATATTTATTTAACCTAAAGCTATTTTGGGATCTAATCAATGGGTATGAATACTTCGTAGCAATCAAGAGAGATGCTGGATTCGAATATGTGATTGCTCCTTTGGCAATTCTAAAGGATGCTCCAATGCTTAGTATGGAACGCATATTATAACTAAGATACCTATATTAACGTGCAAAGAAGAGTGCCATATGGAAGAGATTAAAGTGGAGAAAGTTGTTGGAGGTTGAGCATTTTCCATTCTTATATGAAGGAAGCTGCGAGATGAGGTGCTGGACAGGTGAATGGAACACAATGTTTAATCATGGTAAGTAGCATATGGATGTTGGACGTTGGTATATTTCTGAAGAGTGTAGATAAAGTATTAGGTAACAGATACAGAGAATTGAACTAAGTTGAGACTGTGGTGATGTTGATTGCAACAACGGCGCTCTTAGACTTTCAAACGAGACCAGTGAAAAGTTATTCGCAGCCATATCTGGCTCTCAAGGAACCAGGTACTACAGTCACACTTTCGTGCAGATAATTTGAAGAGCTAGTTCCTGGCTCTAAATCTGCCATATATGTTAGGACACTGCCCCATTTATCATATCCTAGCACTCTAGCATTCATTTCATGGTTGAGTAGTACCTCGTCATTGGTGAGCTTCTCAAAATGAGGTGCACTGACTTGAGAAGCCCATATCCGCTTTACACACTCAAATTGAATTGTTTCTTCGATGAGACGAGTCTGAATCATCTAATAGGCTGTTTTGGCTCCAAAAGTGCTCTAAGAACATCCACATGATGGCAATTGCCTGAGGTATGCCTATTCTTAGGGTACTTGCCATCTGTTATGGCTTGACAAAACTGGGAGTTAAACAAAGTTGTAGATTTGCCCGTGTGGCCTAATTGGTTAAGGTGTAATCTTCCGGCGGTTATGATTGCGGGTTCGAGTCCCGCCTCGGGTTAAACTTTTATTTTTGAATTGATAGTAGCGAGTGGGGGTATCTGTCCGTTTTTTTCTAGTTATGATTAAACAAATGCCTTTCCGCCCCCAGCTCAGCTAGTTTCAACTAGGAGATGTCTGAAAATTAGAGAAGCTTTCTACTATGCTACACTATACCCTACAATTTACTATGCTCTCCTCCGTTCCTACAGCATGTACACCACTACTATGCACCACTACTATACACCACTGACATACACCACGACCATGCGACGCTACTCGTCTCTCTTGCATAAATTTCTCTGTAACCCGTAGCAGAACTTACATCAAACCCTACTCTCATAAGTTGCACCTCCTCTGTCCTGCTCCTCTTCTATCCATCTACCTGCCCTCCCGTACCAGCATACCGCATCACGCTCTCATTTCCAAACTAGGGCTCCAGCCCTCGCTTCTCAACCAATGCTAAAGAAAAAGTCGATGGTCGTTCACGCACCAAAATAAAAATTTAGAGAGGAAATTTTCAATTTTCTCACTCACACAGTCCCTCCGAACGCAATGCTACAACACCATAGTAAAAAAAAAAAACTAAAAAACTTCATTCAAAGACTTTTAAGATAACCATAGTAACTATTGAAAATGGCCAAGATTAGTCAAGGTAAATATCATTTCGAGAACTTAGAGAGTGGAAAAGCGAAATAAATGTGTGTGGGAAACGAAGAGACCGTGTGATGACTATGGAAGAAGTGAAAGGAGATAATTGAAGATGAGACTTCCAAAATAAGCACGTTAGAGGACGAGAGAACTTGGCAAGACATCAACATAAACTCCCTTTTCGATACGTAGACCGTGCAGGGATAGAAAAAAGTGCATGAAGGAGCACACTAGTGGGTCGAATTCGAGCTTAGAGGTGCAACACATAGTATCGTCAAAGAAGTGTCTCAAGAGTGTTTCAAGTGCGTTAGAACTTAATATCACCAAGTGAAGGCAACACAACACGCAGTCATCAACAGGACATCAACTACAACGTCTTTCTGTACCGTTCCCTTCTCCTACGTTCAGTTTTCCCTTCCACCACTCTCTTACTTTTATTTTTGAAAACTTAGTATACTAACATAATTCTCTAGACGTTTCTTCTTCCCGTTCCAAAGCTAGAAAGGCTTACTTCACTGCTTCTTCTGTCGAAAGAAGAGCTTTGATGTCTGCTCCATTATCTAAAGAATTAAGAGAACAATACAAGATCAGAACTTTACCAATCAGATCTAACGATGAAGTTACCGTTGTCAGAGGTTCAAAGAAGGGTTCTGAAGGAAAGATCAACTCCGTTTACAGATTAAAGTACTCTGTTCAAATTGAAAAATTACAAAAGGAAAAATCTAACGGTGCTTCCGTCCCAATCAATATCCACCCATCCAAGGTTGTCATCACCAAGTTACACTTAGACAAGGACAGAAAGGCCTTGATCGAAAGAAAGGGTGGTAAGCTTGAATAAATTATATTTCGTACAATATATTTGAATAAATAAAAAGATTTAGGAAAACAGATTGTATTCTAGTATGAATGTATTTTAATGGATAGAAATCAAAATGTAGTCGAAGACCTGAGTAGAGTAGTGAAAGCTCTTAAGCTTCTGGTCGCACTGTAAGTGTTAATATGTACCATCCGTACACCTGCTACAAGGGCAATCACGGGGAGGAACAAAAAAAAGATTGAGGGAAAAGAAACAAAAAAATAGAAAAAAAAAAAAAAAAAAGGTTTGCTCATTGACCCAGACCGGTTCGCTTTGTTGGGGGTACGGCAATAACTTCTTACCAAAGCTTCAGATCGGAAACAGTGTGCTCTGGGTGCTCCAAAGAACAACCTCAGCCTGGCAATATCCATCCTTCAACGTTCATCTCTCTATTTCCATTCCCTTTCCATTACATTCCCTTTCCATTCTATTTCTAGCTCTCATCGTTCTTCCTTACTCGCTTAAGTCCTCCTCTTGCCCCTGCATACAAGCCCTTTGGGGTTATCGAGCCTGGCGTTTGAATTTTTCTAACTCTACGTGAAAAGGCGGAGGGAGCAAATTAGTGGGGATAAGGTGTAGACAACGTACACACATATTTAGCTATACACCGGCATATCGACTTCTCGTATACTGAAACAATGTCGCTCCCATCAGCTTTGAGCGACGATGAAGGCGAGATCTTCAATGGATTCGGATCTGCACCCATTCAAAGAAACCCTTCCCAATCTGGCAGGCGTACAAAGAAGAGATGGTCCTTTCACAATAGCGCGAAGCCCAACTTAATCGACGAAAGCTCTAGCAGCACCACCGGGGGTCCTGGAGGAGGTAATTTTGGCTTCTCTAAGACAGCACGTAGTCGTAGAATGAGTGACACCAACACTGACGGGGTCCACAACGAGATCGATCCGTATCACATCTCTCCAGCACAGTTGTACTCCACTGAATCCGGTAGGTTGTTCCATGCAGGAAAAATCTGTATTGCACTTGCTGGGCTACCAGGAAGAGGTAAGACTCACCTTTCAGTCTCGCTTACGAGATACTTGCGTTGGTTGGGGGTCAAAACTCACCTGTTCCACTTGGGTGATTACAGAAGAGCCAATTCTGAATCAAATGACGTTCATTTTGACTTGTTTATCCCACAACCTGATAACCCTAAGAATAATGAGTTCCGTCAAAAGATTGTAAATGAATGTCTTAACGATATGCTCAATTTTTTCAAGAATGACAAGGGACAAGTGGCTATCTATGATGCAGTAAATGCTCTCCCTGAGTATAGGAAGGAGTTGGAGGAAAAGTTCGCTAAGCTCGACATTCAAATCTTGTTTATCGAGTCCTTGGTCACGGACGACGCTATAATTTTGAAGAATATGATTGAGGCTGCTAAATTGTCCCCTGACTACAGAAACTGGAGTTACGAACAGGCTTACAAGGATTATAGTGAGAGAATCAAGATCCTCACTCCTTACTACAAAGAGATGAACGAGGTGGACAATAAGAACAACTTAAGTTATATTAAATTTATAAATTTTGGTGAGAGGATCGAATTGTACAATTCCAACTATGGATATCTTATCAACAAGGTGGTTTTCTTTTTGATGAATTCTAGAATTAAGCTGGGCTCAGTTTATTTTGCAAGATGCTACAAAAATTCGCTAGACTACACCCACGACCCTCCATTGGATGAAAATGGGCTAAAGTACGCCAGGAACTTAACTAAAAGCTTAGAAGAATATTTAGTGGCAAACGGTAAGGATTACTTCAAAACGACCCCAACTTTGTCATCCCCAGTGAATTCGGCTTTTGAGTTGGCCAAATCTGCACTGAATTTATCATCAGCTGGCGCCAGCGGCACTTCGCTTTCCACTCTTGATTCTACCACATCTTCGGTGCGTCGACCAGCAGCAGGAGTCGACGGAGTAGACGACAATCTGTTTGTTGTGTGGACTTCGGCTAAGAAGCGTACCATTGAAACTACTCAACATTTCAGAGAGAAAAACATTAAGATCCGTCATAGAATTCAATTATCTCAAAAGAACCCTGGGATAGTTGGAGGTATGGAGACCAAGGAGATTGCTGAGAAATTCCCCACAGAGTATGAACAATTTTTGAAAGATCCTTATCATCATAGATTTTCTAGAGCAGAACTGTACCATGACTTGGCTATTAAAATTGAGCCATTGATTTTGGAAATGGAGAGAATGAGTGGAGATATTTTAATCATTGCAGATGATACAGTTTTGAAGGTGTTTTATGGATATTTGATGTCATGTTCATGTTATGACATCCCATCATTAAATTTCTCTACAGATGAGATTATTGAGATAAAGTTCAATGCTTATTCCAATTCAGCTAGAAGAATTCCTATCAAGGACTTTGATTAGAAAAGCAAGCAAATAGCACTCCTAGTATGACCAAAGGGAAAATCATACCTCGACTAGTGCAAAAGTAAATGAGGAGAGAGAGAAAGTAAAAAGAAAGCAAAAGAAGAGGGTGAGGATAAGTATGCAAATTTGACATTCTAGCTTCAGTTGACTATTATTCTGTGAATGTGTCGACAGGAGATATCTAAGTAAGAACCAGATATGCTATAATCAGCATCTATGGAAAAGTTAATATTTCATCCTCAAAATAGAGGTTGCAAGCCACTGGATTCAATAGTTTGAGCATTCAGAATCATTTAGCGCACCAAAATAAGTCCATAGTTACATCTTAGTTATATACGATAATGTTACATTATTAACTATTCGTTCTGATACAGCCATCGAATACTACTCTCAAACTTTTGTTAACTCTTGTCTTTTTCCTCTTCTTTGCCTCTGGTTCCATCTCATTTCCAAACTGTATCGTTTCCTCTATATATAGCTCCAGCCAAGACTCGGCCCCCTCTACATCCCTTTTACCATCTAGCCAACAGCAACACTGCTCCTCTCTTAATTTCGCAGCCGATCACCATCAAGTTTCGCGTGAGACAAATGAAATTTTTGATAGACAGAATTTAATGCCCTCTTCTTCAGTAGCACAGTATGTTGGTTCCTACTGCTGAATACTCGTCTCCAACGGGAGACCACCTGTTTGTACCTGGGGATGGTCCACATACCACCAACGGTAAAACCACTCAAATATCCGATATAGTGGTGAAGGCAGGCGGTGAAGATAGAGATCAGCCTACAGAAGCGAAAGATACAGAACTTGGAGCTCTCCGCGCACAACTAACCACACTCCAAGACAAATTGAATGAGTTTTTGACCCAGAGGATGCAAAGAGATAAGGTGCAAGGAGATGATATAGAAAGGAGGTTGCTAGATGAGGGGTATGACGGGGAGTTGTCTGACTTAAAAAGAAAATAGAGTGGAGGAACTCAAGGTGTCTGGGTTATCAGAACATGAAAAATTATGCTAAGTACAATAAAGTTTAGGTCTTAACAGTAATAATATAGATATTAAGCGGAAACAGTAACTGTAGCAGTAGCATGAAGAAATACGTTTTTTTACACATTTTCGGTATTCATCTTATATTTTATTTAATTGGTAGCTATGTAAATGTACAGGAAATTATATAATCGTGTTGGTGTGTGTCATTTCTGGTGGGTACTGGTTTCTTATTTTCTAGGTCCCACAATGGCAGACATGTTCTCAATGGTTTTCTCCAAGGTGGTGTCTAAATAGTGCTTTTTCTTTTCCAAACTGGACTTGTTCTCTATAAATTCCTTCTCGTCAACGGAAACTTCCTTCAAATATGTGTTTACATCAGTTTTCACGAAAGCCTTGCCTACACCTTGCCATACTGGTTCATTGTCCCTACATAACCCGTTTAATTTTAACTTAGTGCTTTGAATGAGGTGAAGATTAGTGTCCACTCTACTTAATTGAAGATTACACATATTAAGTTCCGCTTTCGTGCGACTTAACTGGTTGTCCATTTCTACGAGGAGCTTTTTCAAAGCTTCCTGATTTACTGACATGTTGTCTAGGGTGTTGGATATGGGGTCAAGTGAATGAGCTCAAGTACAGGGAAGCTCGACTTTCAAGAAATGGAAAGCAGCCTGGAAAAGAATAGAGAGTGTGATTTGTCCTGCAGGTAGTCGTATGTTCAATTCTGACAAAGACGAATTTTTCACTCCTCCAACTTTGTATTTTTCAATTTCTTTCACTAGAAACGACACTAGAAACTCTCCATTCGGGTAATTTGACGTAATCTCAGACAGATATACACGGTATTCATACACGTAGTTGGACATCATCAGAATAATAAGGATAGCAATGTTGAGAACATCGTACCGTTTGTTAAGAACTAATCCTGTTGCGACAGGTTCTAGAGGATCCATATGTCCCATCAGAAGAATCCATTCAATTCAATTCACCAGAACTTTCGCAACGTTAAATGAGAAAGAAAAATCAAAGTTGTCTACTACCCCATTGGGTCAAGATAAGACCATGGAAAACAACTTGAAAACTGAAACAAATAGGTTGTCTAAAACATTAAGTAAGTTTTGGGAGAAGGTGGGAACTGCATACAACCCAGAGCTGAATAAGACTGAAGTTCAACTTGATGGAAAGGCATTAAAGACTCCATTGGGATTTGCTGTTGCTCTTCCAGAATCCAAGAAGAACTTGGCTCACTTAGTAGCCCATGAATGGGCCAATTTGCCTGATTTAAAGGTTAAGACGAATGCCTTACCAATTACGTCAGTTGTTGCACGTACTATAGATTTGGGTACTGTATATAATGGTCCTAATAATGAGAAGGACTCCAGCTTGACCAACGTTGAAGAGATTGCAACCAAGATTGGTGACCTTGAGGACATAAGGTTGAATATATTAAGGTACTTGGATACTGATACTTGTTTGATTTTTACAACCAAAGATGAATACGAGGGGAAATTAAGATTAAGACAGGACGAGCTATACTTGCCTCAAATCGAAGAATACAACGATTTTTTCACCAAGTGGGGTGAGAAGAACGGACTCTTAGCTTCAGGACAAAAGGTCCAATTGGAATACTTAGACTGTGAAACCCAAGGTTTGAGAGGTAATAGTCAAACAATAACCACGCAAAACGTGGTTTTGAACTGGGTGGAAAGTTTAAGTATGTACGACTTGGTTGCCTTGGAAAAGGCAATCTTGACTACAAAGTCATTTTTATGTGGGGTCACCTTATTGAGATCCAACTGTTCCAATGAGGAAGACATAAAAAATTTATACCAATTCAACAAAGCCAGTGCTGATGATTACTATTTCAGAACCATTGATGAAATTGTTGAGTTAGGTAACATGGAGATCATATTCCAGACTGGAGAGTGGGGTGAAGTTGAAGACACTCACGATGTCGACAAGGTGGACTGGTTAAGAAATTTGACATCTGCAGCAATTTTATGTCACTAAGAATTTTAGCACCTGCAGTGTAGGGGAAAAATCATAAGGAGAAGAACGAAAGAAAGCAGGAAAGAAATAGAGAGTGAAAGTAAGAGAACAAGTAACTCATGGAAAATCACTGAAATGGGTTCAAATATCCTCGAAATTGCTTGTCGGTTGTTTATATATAAGGATGTACCGGTTTTGAGGACTGTAAATAGACATTATAATGAACTTTACTGTACAAAATATTATCGAGCTGATAATGATTTTTTTTTTTTTACTATTAATAAATTCTGAAATTTGCAAGAATTAGTGGCAAAGCTATGAAACTAATAATTAGAGCTACTAAGGGAATAGTATTAATAACATTGGAAGGTCATATAAATTCAGAAATCAGAATCAGAAATCAGAAATACATACTGCTGCAGCACCTTCTCAAAAAACAAAACCACATATACACCCAGATCGTGAGGTTAACTGTGCCTTGTCTTTTCTTCTCTTCTTCTTCCTCACCAACTTCACCATTTTTTGGCAGAGGCGCTCAGGGAGGCTTCTGCAACCCATATATAATCCTGCACACAAACCACACGCGCCAACACGAAAGACCTGTTTACTTTAAACTGTAGAGCATCATCTCTTCACGTTACAGAGCACATTTAGCAGCAATAAAGGCCAAGGAGCACTGCAATCATCACCTAGAGGGGAACAATAGCACCAGGAGAATTTAAATACAATTTGTGCCATACATTTCTTGCCCTGAAAATTAATTTGTTTTCCACTCTCTAGACTGCTCCGATCTTGCTTCAGGTAACAGCAAAGGTCTTAGTTCAGGAAGCACAACTGCACAACTGCACCACAAGCACACGGATCTTCGGCCATGACTGTAATGCCAGAGTTTGGCGAAGTGCCCGGAAAGGCACCAAGAAGGGTGAAGGTATACCTTCTCCAAGGAGAAGATTGGATAGACAACGGTACAGGCTACTGTGTTGGAGAGGTGGAGGAGGAAAGTCGCAAACCGTACTTTCTCGTACGCAACGAGTTAAATACCGATGAAATTATATTGAAGTCTTTCTTGGAGGGCTCGATACAATACCAACGACAGCAGGAGACGTTAATAGTATGGACGGATCTACTGGGCAAGGACTTGGCACTTCTGTTTCAGGAAACAGAGGCATGCGCAGACTTGTGTGAGTTTATCATCAAGATACAGCAAGAGAAGTATGCACCAGAAATAAGTCTCTACTACGTTATACCGAACAATAATATAATAGATGAGGAGTACAGCAATGCCAATGGAAATGCCAATAACGGCACTGGAACGATACCCACAGAAATAACTGAACTAGTAACTGGTCCCATAAACTTTCCAGACGTACCGCCAACGCTAGACAACTTGGAACACGTTCTTGAACTCATAAACCAGGGCAGCAATTCCCAGTATACACGTAGCAGCATCTCCAAATTCATCAAGGAAGAAGAATACCTACTTGCTCTCATATCTGTATTCAATAAAGCTGAAAAATTGCAAAAGTTGGATAGCTTGCACATCACTTGTGAATGTGTGAAGACATTGATTCTTTACAACGAGGCCAGCATAATAGAGGACTTTGTGCTGACGGAAGAAAAGATATACGGGCTAGTAGGAATATTGGAATATGACCAAGAGTATCCAAATTTTAAGGCCAGCTATAGAGACTACTTGAATGATAAATCCAAATTTAAACATGTGATAGACTTACCAGATAAAGAGATATTGAAGATATTTAAAAACGATTTCCATTTGAATTTTTTGAAAGACGTGGTTTTGGCAAGATTTTTGGACGATCAAACCTTCAACTTGATCAGCTCCTTAATATATTTCAATCAAGTTGAAATAATAAATTTCTTGAAGGACACCAAAAAGGAGAATAAGTTTCTAGATGAGCTATTCAAATTGTACGAACGAGATGAAAGCGAAGAAGCGGATGAAAAGAAGGAAACCGATATAGATTGTCAGCGGAGACGGGACGGTGTCAAGCTACTTCACCAATATGTGTTGATTGCAAAATCCTTACAATCTTTCCAAAAGCTGGAGTTTTTTGCTGTCTTAGTGAAAAAAGGATTGTTCAAAATGGTAGGATTTGCCTTAAGGGACCTGGAAGCCACTGTGAGGACATTGGGCACTGAGTTGATCGTTGTTATTATCGAGCAAGACGCTTCTCTAGTCAATTCCATAGACAATGACATTGAAATAGATAATTCAGATCCACCCACGGAACAAAGAATTCCACCAAAGTTAGAGGAAGAAGCTGGAGATGAATCCTTGGCGGCCCTGGATGAAACTGGCAATGGCAGAGATTTCGATGTGACTGTAGAATCCAAGCTTCATCTTAAGCTCTCTGACGATATGACCTTAATGCAAATATTAACTAAATTGTTAATTGAAGATAAAAACCCTGGTTTAAAGATGCAAGCGTTCGAAGCTTTAAGGATTTTGCTTGACTCCAACATTGCTACTAACTCATTGACCCCCAATGGAAGCTCTGGCTCTGGTAATAATGAATTTGAAATTGATCACTTGAGGAATGAGTTTAACAATGAGAAACGAGGAAGCACAGGAAACGGAGCAGGAGATGACTTCAAGGATATTAACACAAGCAATTATTTCCAGGCATTTTATGCACAGGTTGCTCCGGAATTGTTTGCAAATTTGATCAAATTTGGAGAAAGACAGAATGGAGCTGAAATTGATACACTATTATTGCAACATCTCTGTGATTTGATTTCATTTTGTACTAAAGAACATGAATCGTACATTTCAAAACCATTTTTCCTCAAGAATAATATCCTTTTAGGAATAGGTAAAGTCATAGGAGGTGGAATAGCCACGAAGACAACTTTGAAACTTACAGCTATAAGGTGTTTGAAGAATATCATTTTGTTGAATGATGATGATTACGTTAAGTATATCATAGATCACAATATTTTTGGATTTATTTTCAAATTTTTCAAAACGATCTCCAATGAAAACAATTTGGCTAACTCATCATGTCTTGATTTATTAGAAATCATCATCAGAAATGAAATAAATCCAAACTCCCGGACTCTAGCCAAGTTTATATACTGCGAAGAACGGGAATTCCTTGAACATGAATTAAATTATGTTTCCACAGGTAAAGATTTTATCCATATTGTTGAAAAATGTGACAACAATGAATTAGACTTGAATCTGCATAACGCGTCTACTCCAATAAATAATGATGAGATTGATGACGAGATTGAGCTTGAAGATAACAAGAATCCCGTAAAAATTTTCAATGGTATTGAAACAGAAATCAAAAGAAATGGTGAAAAGAGACACTTAGAGGAAGACGAGGTGGAAATTAAGAAGAAATTTGCATCCAGCGATCATGGAATTAATGAAAAACACACCAACGGAGCAGACGCAGACGATGTCGATGTGGATCAGAGCGAAAACGGAACCGCGGAAGAAGAGGAAACTACATATGACGATAGCTCCAAAACTACGAATGGTAATCACGATTCCAACAACTTCTCACCAAAGAAACTCTCTAAGTCAATCAAAGGTAAGCTTTCTTCTGCAAGCAAGAAGATTGCACATTCACTAAAGCAAAATGCAAAATAATAGGAAGACCCGGCATTGGACAGACGATTGCAACAACTTACATGCAGAATCAATTTAAGAAAAAATAGACCCGAGGTTAAGGATCCTAGAAAGGTGGTGGCTTAAGATGTACAAAGAATACTTTTACATGATATCAAGAGCTAAGAAAAGGATATTTGAATCATAAATCATGCCCCCATTTCAACCTGCTTTCTTTATTTTTCCATTAGATTAGTTTATAGTCTGCCAACATTTATATGTCTAACTAGATGTTCCTGCATAATTTCCCAGTGTATCAATTCGTGGGGAAATGGAATTTCAATAGTGATAGTTCAATTTTTTTTTTTTTTTTTTTACCTCTTTCACTTCTTTTCTTTGTATATCTAGACTAATTATATCAAGAATTGACGAATGTATGGACCATGAAGGATAATATACCAAATAAAGTAGTAGTTGTAAGTGGTGGAGCCAATGGTTTTTGCAGATTACAGGTGGAAGGATTATTGATGTGTGGTGCGCATGTGAGCATAATAGGTAAAAATGAACAGTTCACCAGGCAGATTGCTCTCGAATTACAAAACAAATACGGCGAAGACAGGGTCTTAGCATGTATGGGAATAGATTTAACAAATTTCAGCCAAGCTTTCAAAGCTATTGAAGCTACCATATTTCAATTTGGGCGCATCGATATGGTAATAGGTGGCACAGCAAGTAATTACCTAAGAGATTATAGTCACATATCAAGCTGTGGCTGGGACAAAATAGTTGAAATTGATTCTGAAGCAAGCATAAATTTAGCGGTGGCCTCCAACGAGCAGTTAAGCAGAAGTATGGGTAAGTTCTTATACTTGGATCCCACCGTTCATGGGTATGAAGTTGAGTTTGCCAGTGTGATGACCGACTCTAGTATGGAGAAATGTTTTGACATCCTATTGTCACTGGGTGTAGAGGTGTTACACATGAAGAAGAATAGCTGGGAAGAAATAATACACCACACGATCAGCACACTTTATCCCAGCGAATCTATGGCAAATCGCGTGCTAGCTGAAGTGATGTCTATATCGAAGAATGTTATGAAAGGAGGGCTATACAGGGTAACCACCTCAAAGGAGGTTCGCTTGGGTGCTGCTCCAATTGAGAGTAGGCTATAAAGAGAAGAAAACGAAAAAGAAATGCAAAAAAAAAAAAAAAATAAAAAAGAAAATAAAATAAAATAAAATAAATCACTTATAGTATGCAGAAGAACGATTTCATAGTGTATGTAACGATAAGAAATATTATGACTACAATGACAGTACGAAAGATCAGCAGAATAATAACTAGAAAGACTACAAGTAGCCACCCTTCAGCTTCCATAAATATACTTATATACCCAAATAACTTACCTACACAATCTCTTGCACCCACCCACCCACTTCTTCATAGCACGGCTTTATCGTGTGCACACTTGCTAATACGCGTAGCCCACCATTGTTACGCTAAATTTTGACTCCATTTGTCCTGCATACACGCCGATTTCGTTTTCGTTTTCTTCGAACTGCCCTCAATTTTTCTCGTTTGTTTCTGTTTGTTGCTCGTTGTTCACTTCACCAGAGAGGGCGATACTAGCTAACTGTAACGCGTAAACTGAACCTGAAAACACGCTATGTCTATTGATCCAGATACTCGTCGTAAGCTACTCGCTTTACAGAAGAATGGAGCCAACGGTTCTAACAAGAAATGCTTTGACTGTGGGGCACCCAACCCGCAGTGGGCCTCGCCCAAGTTTGGGATCTTTATCTGCCTCGAGTGTGCTGGTGTACACCGTGGTTTGGGGGTCCATATTTCGTTTGTGAGATCTATCACTATGGACCAGTTCAAACCTGAAGAATTATTAAGAATGGAAAAGGGTGGGAACGAAAACTGTAAGTTGTACATGGAAGAGCACGGGTTAGACACCAGCTTACCAATCAAGGCCAAGTACAATAACTACGTTGCTGAAGATTACAAGGAGAAATTGACCTGCGATATTGAAGGTAGGGAATTTGTGGCCAAGGACCACACTGGCGAAGTCTTGCCCACTAAGGGTAACTTGGACCCACAATCTGGTGCAAACAGTAAAATAGGGGGAGGAGCCCAAGCTGGCCAATCTCCAATTCAGTCACGTCGTGGCACTCCACTTTCCAATGACAAGGCGAAGAACGAAGCCTATTTTGCTGAATTGGGAACTAAGAATGAATCTAGACCAGACCACCTCCCACCCTCTCAAGGTGGTAAGTACGGAGGATTTGGAAACACTCCGGCTGCAGCAGCATCACAATCCAGCAATGGAAAGTCCTCATTGTCTGGTTTCACCATGGACAGTCTTCAATCCGACCCCTTCGGAACCTTGAGCAAAGGATGGGGTCTCTTCTCAAGCACTGTAGCCAAATCTGTTAATGAAGTGCACGAATCAGTGATCAAGCCAGGTATTAACCAAATTCAAGAGAGCGAGATTTCTGCAGAAGCCAGAAGAGCCATGGCCCAATTTGGCCAAAAGATGCAAGAGACTGGGAAATATGGACAAGAAACATTCCAAACTTTCACCCACGAACAAGGTTTAGATAAGAAGTTCACTGGATTATTCGATGGTTTGAACGTAAATAATAATGGTGCCAGTGGTGATGAAGGACCAGCGCCAGCTTTTGGCTTGAGTAAGCCTAAGGAAAAGACCAAGTTACAAGGATTAGGTTCAAACAAAAAACAAGACGACGACTGGAAGAATGACAAGTGGGATGACTTCTAGTTATGCTTTGGCTTTGCGTGTCCATTTTGGTTTAGAGGGTGTTACAGGGTGTTACTTTATAGTTTGCTTACATTTTTTGGAAATTTTTTTTTTTTTTGATTTTATCATCATATTGATTTGAAGGTTATTCGATATAGATTATAGATTTTTTTAATAGTTGAATAGACCAATGACAATTTTATTTACTTTATTGCAGTTTAAGCAGATCACTGCTCCTCGAGCTTACGAAGGAAGTCTCCTTTAAAACTCTTTGTGAGTTGCAAGTACATGTTGTACTCGTCTTTAAAAGTTTGGTAGCAGTGAAAATATGAATCTTTCACGTAGAAAAACTTAATAATGGGCCAAGATAAGATCCAATCGATGAACCCCACGTCTCTGGCTACTGCTATGATGATGAAGTAGATTAACCCTAACACGGCTCCGAACATAGCACCCACAAGCACTTGCTGCGTAGTGTGGTAGAGCAAGTAAACCCTAGAAAATGCCACAAGTATCGAGGAACATATCAAGATCCCGGAACCTACCAACTTCTGGGCCCAATTGAAGTGGCTCATCTTGAAGATGAATATACATACAAAGTAAGCAGCAAAGAAACCCATAAATTGGGAATGCGCCGAGGGCATGCCGTAGCCCAAGCTGTACGAACCAGAGCCGAACTCTTTGTGGAAATCGGGTCTTGGTTGCTTAACAATTCTCTTAATTACTTTATTGGTTATCTCTCCGACGAGATGACCACCTACCACGATGACCGGTTCGATCTCCCTGGTTAAAAAGAACCACGAAGTGTAAAAAACCATTGTATATATTGGCAACAAGGAGAGATGGACCGATATCACGGATATCACATCCTTAGGGTCATACAAGACGTATGTATGGTCGAATGGGACTGGGTTATACTCAGACATGTCGCAAACTATGTTAAGAAGACTGTGAAATATGCAAGTGTACAGAAGACCAAAGAAAGAAAAAAAAAAGAAACTATACCAACACCAACACTTGATCAATAAAATTCAAATGTGAAACAAAAAAAATGCAAATACTCAATCTATCTATTTATACAAAATACACACACACACATATACTCCTAAGCTCTTCGTATATATTTCCAAACAAAGATGGTGGTTAACAAAGAAGCAGCTTGATTTTTTTTTCACTCACCACTTTAAGTTAAATTGTACAACGCGCACTCGCTGGTGCTGCAGAGCAATACGTACAAGAAAAGACAGAACAATAAGAGCATGTAAGATATTGTTCTACCTAAAGCAGTATATTTATACCAAAGTAGTATATTAATGAGAGAAACGAGGAGCTTTGGACGGTGAGCTTAATGAAGTCTTTCCGAGCTTAACTTTGAAAGGGGAGAAAGGTGCAAAAAATAAGCCACAAGAGATAATCTTACAATGGCCCTTACTTCTACCAAACTGGAAAAATGTGAAATGCAACCACTCTACGTAGGTTTGAAAAATTGTGAAACAGTCCCCAGTCCAAGGTAATTGGTCTCTTATTTAGCCGTAACCACTTCCATTCACGTCCTACAGACATCTAAGGACTACACTATCACCCTTAGAAGGTTTATAGTACTTGAAATATGCAAGAATCCACTGTGAATCGTTCCCACGTGAACTATCCCCAGTGCTGAATATGCCTCGCATTTTTCACTATGAACTTCAATCTTTAGTCACAATGGAACACGCCAGTACAATAGAAAAATCTCTCCTATACGCGACACATTGGCACTTTTCTCCCTTAAAACGTATGAGTATAATGACTACATTGTCTAGATTATTGCCGTAAAATCTGTAAGCGGAAGAAGAGCCTAGTCGTAAATTATTGTCGGGCTTCACTGGACTATGATATGGTGCTACGTAATTGCTGCAATTTATTTTCTGCCACCAATTAGGAAACCCTGCTAGCAATTCTCCACTCACACCTAGCACGCTTTTAACAGATTTATGATAGTATTACTTCTATTAGCTTGGTATATTCGACATCCATGATTTAAGAAGCATACACTTCTGACTACTTGTTCTACAACTTATTAATATATTCTTAGAATGTATATTTATTATGGCTATCTATTTACCTAAAATGCTATACAGAAGCAAAGAGATGAGAATCGTTAAAAACGATTATATAAAATGTAGAGTGCAGAGATGATTAAATTAAAAGCATGAGAGTTTAGAGATTATATTTGGGGAAGTGAAAGTAGGGAAATGTGAGAGATATAGTGAGATATATTTCCTTCAAAAACAATGTAGTAATTCAGTGAATTGTTTTTGAAAAATGATTCATGCACATGGTATAACGTATGCTTGCCAAAATGTAATTAGGGCAACTTTCCATTTTTGGACTTAAAGGCTTAAAGACCAATTTGTCTTTTTTGTTGGTCCCTTGCCCATCTTGCAGCATCCCTAGTCGCAGGTTCATTAACATTGGCTCTTGCCTTCTTAATGTATTCTGTAACCCAGTCTTGCATGTAGGCCTGTTTGAATTCTCCATTGGGGAACATCGATGCAATATCTCCTAACAATCCTACTGCAGCCCTACGGTCTGTGTTTTGAAGTTGCAAATTAGGTTCCACTGAAAATTCTTGGATCAACATGAAAATTTGTCCTACGTATTCATAAATCATACTCGGATCGTCGCTTGAAGCTGCGACAATACCAACATATGCGTCAAGGCAAGATTCCTTCACTTGTACAACGTACTCTGCAGTATCGACTGAAAGATCTTCGGCTTCAATTTCCAGCGCAACTTTACAAATGTTCATAACAAATGAAACGTATGGTCTGAAATTTTGCCCAACAGAGGTAGCAACGTCTCCAAAACAAGATAATATAACTGGTCTGAGTTCCCTTTTTATATTTTCGTTGCTTAAGTTAGTACCCAATATCGTCATTAAAGGTTCTAAGTATGGTAATATTCCGGAACCCAATGCTTGTGATAAGTCGGCTACGACACCTACTGCTGTTCTGCATGTAGTACTTTCAGTGTTGACCAATGCAGCAGTCAAATACGGTTGAAAAACATCCATATACTTGATGAAATCCCCACCGATACTTGAAGCAATTGACAGTATAGCTATGAATATATCTTCTTCGATACTTGAACTATTTCCATTATTTTTAGCTTGAATTTCCAACAACTTAAGAAGCATGGTCATCAAGTTATCACTAACGGCAGAGACTTCAGCTCCTGCTCTTCTAATAATATTAGTTAATAATGATAAAATATTTGTTTGTACTTCTTCTAAGTTGTTTCTTTCTTCAGAACTAATATTATCGGTATTAGAACCCTGTTGTTGTTGTTCAACAATGGAAATCGTCTTTTCCAATCTGGCCAAAACTTCACCTGCAACTTCTTGGACAATAGGCATAACGTCATTACCACTGTACATCACAAAATTCGATAATGCTTCATAAGCTGAAGCTCTGGATGAATCTTCGTTATCTGATCTACCAGACAATTGAACCAATATTGGCACCAAGGTCTGATAGTACGGTGACATTATAGTCAGTTCCTCTTTGGACCCTTCGGAGCACAATTGTTCCAACAAGTTCATTAAGGTCCAACAGCAGTTAGTGGAGACTTTAGGGTGGTCTTGTAAACCGGTGGCTATTGCTTCAATCACTTGTGGGAGGTGGTCAACAATAGAATCAACTACCAAATCGGTGATTCTTCCTAAGCACCAGGCAACAGTTTCCTTCACTTGTAAGTACTGGTCTTTGATTAACAATAAGATTGGCTCTAAAGCTTGAGTGACCAACGTTTTGAGCTGCTCACGTTCCGGTCCGTCCAATATACTTCCAAAAGCCATCACGGCCGCCTCACGACACTTCCAATTTTGGGAGTTACCAATGTTAGCAGCCACAAATTGTAAAGTTGGTTCGACGACATACAGTCCAGTGTCTTGCGCAAATAATTGCAAACAAGATGCTGCAGCCATTGCTACAGACCAGTCATCATCTTCAGCATCATCATTTTGTCTTGTTAATAACTTTAACAAGGTTGGCAAGACATCTTGAATAGCAACAAGGGCAAAGTTGAAAGATTGGAAATCTCCTTGGTCACCAGAAAACTCTTGTCTCTGAATATTTATTTCCAATTCTTCTTCACATACAGACGACCAGAATTCAACAGCCATGCATGCAACTTTGTCATCTTCACTTTGCATCCCGCTGACGGTTAATCCATAAAGAGCCTTTTCCATATAGAGAGACATAAAGTGATAGTACAAGGCCATAATTCTTGCTAGACATCCAAAGGCAGCAGCCTGCAATTCACTATCATCGGCTTGGGTTGCTTCACACACCACTTGCATGATATAGTTTCTTTCGCCTTCTCTTTCAAAGTTGAACCTAATAAACTCTAACGAATTTACCAATGCATTCAATGCTGTTAATCTGACCAATTTCAGGGGCTCTGAGCTCTGGCATCCCTGTACGATGGCAATCAAGATCCCATTGGATTGTTGAATAATAGCCGCGTTGTTCGGGTCTGCCAGTTCACATATATACCCTATGGTCAACAAACTTGCTCTCTTCACGTTAACTTCTTTGTCAGACTTGGTGTTTTCAATAATTATTGGAATCAATTCGGGCCACTCGTTTCTGGGTAATTCGATATCTGCAATGGCCGCAACCAATTGAGCAGCGGCATTGGCCACTCTATCGTCCTTGGTTAATAACGCCCTCAATGAAGTCTCCTTGATGGAGTTCTTACTCTGTGTATCCAAGGAGATCCAACGTTCCTCTTGAAAGTTTTTGGTCTTTTGGTCCTTCGAAGTCAATTGATTCTTCAATCCGATCCCGGCCAACATTCTAACCTCAGTCTTGGCCTCTTCATTGACCAAGGCGGTGGTTAAAAGGGACAAGTAATCAACGAAATGATTTGAAGCTGCATCGTTTAATTGCTGTTCAGCTTCGCTTCTCTTCTGAGGGTCCGGGTTTAATAAAGCGTTTTCCAACACTTGTAGGATGTCCATCTTGTAAGCTACTACTATATGGACACGTAAAAGGGGTACGGAAGAATATAGTTTCTCTGTGTTGTACCTTTGGGAAGAGATCAGATTTGGCCAAAAAAAATTCAAGAAAAAATTCAAAAATGTGTGTGGCCTTAAACAAAACAGAGACAGAAGAAGAATTTTTGATTCTTAGGCCTTCCAGTGTCGTCGTGAAGAGAAGGGAAGAGTGGTGGTACTGCACAGAGATGGGAGACGCTGACTACGGGAGTGAATAGAAGGCAGAGAAGAGAGGAGGGAAAGAGCGGGAGGAGGGGGTGACAGGGGCGCGAAAGAAAGGGAAGCAAGGATAGACGGGTGTAAGGAGGAAGGAAGGAAGGAAGGAGGGAGGGAAGGAGATGAAGAAAGGAGGAAACGAAGAAGCGATCCCATATCGACTGGAAAGAGAGGCAGGTGCTAATGAGAAACGGGCGCGGAAACAAAATGCACTGGTGCTGGTGGGAGGACTGGGGGATTCTTGTAGGCGCTAGCTGGAAGATCGCAATCATTTTTCGCTATTGCTGTGAATTCGCGCGCTAGGTGAATGTGATGCTCTCACTAGGGCCAGGTAAACCCGCGCACAGGTCTCGCCCGCCCGCCTAACATCCGAGTCTCCTTAACCCCTCGTTAACTTCAGCAGTATAGGCTTATCGTAGAACTGATAAATTTGGTCTATAATCGTTCATGTGACGTTTTTGATGCGGGTGCATGAATTTAAGCGTATTATGACGTACTGTTGATGGTTGCGAATTGGGTGGATAGACGGAGGGGCGCTTACGTGTTGGCCTGTGGCAGATCTCTTTCTCTTGCACTTGCACTTGCACTTGTACTACCTCTTCCTCCTGCACTTTCTGTAGAATTGTAGTATAATCGTTAGTTGTAGGCGCTCCTCTCCTTTCTGATTTGCTGCAGATTTGCTAGTTGCTAGTCACTTGTTTAGTGTCGATAGCTCTATGCCTTCTACGTACACCGTGCTCTGTGCTGCTGAAGCACTCACTTACTTTCACACAGTGTGAACTTACATTCGTGTGATACTTTTGCAATCTTTATTATATCTAACTTATTACCCTCTATACATCCTAATGCCTAATCAATTCGCTGAAGTTAAGACACTTCAACTCGTTCCCTATCACATACCTACTTCCATCAAATTCAAACCACTTGCTATTGCTACCACCAGAACCCCATCCAACAGGTCCTGGTCCCCAGGTTGGCACGTAACATGCTTCATCCCAACCACAGACCTTGGAGCATCTCGAGAACGCATCCCAACGAAGATTCGTAACTAAAGCATTTACTTTCAATTTCAACTCTTCAACTTCTTTCTGATGCTTGGCATAATTTTCAGGCGAAGGATCTACCACAATATCTTGCAAAATGACTTTACTCACTTCTAAGGTGTCATAGATGATGTTGAACACACCCAAATAAACTTCATATATGGACGAGTAGATCAAAGCTTCGCTGCTGGTGGTCAATGGGAAGGTGTGGTAAACCCAGTCGAGTGCACTTGCTTGGAAGGTCAATTCTCTTACATTAGCCTTCTCGCCACGGGCTTCCTTACTTTGAGTGTACCTTCTAACAAAGTTATAAGTGCTCTTGGTAAGATTTCCAGCGGTCACTTTCAAATTGTCACCTAATTCCTCACTATTTTTGTGATATTCATATGCCAGCAATGTGTTATTGATGCTCAACAAGATAGGAGTGAATTTTTCGACTACTTGGTTTGTTATCAATTGCCAATTTGTCTTACCAACTGGGTCAGCACCTTCTTCTCCCTTAAAATGATTCTCCAATTCCAGAATAATACCATCCTTCAATGTGTCGGAGATGTTATTGATTCTTCTGTAGTACGGATTGGGATCTATGTAAGTCTTGTTCAATGGAGTGACCATTTTGGAGAAATCTAATTGAATTCTAGACTCTCCCTGGTCGACCCTGTGCCCAGCTTGAACATGTTCGATCCCTGCCATTGCACTGGCAACTTCCAAGATGCTAGTTCTGGCATTTGCTAATTCCTTTTCAGCTGCGGTACCTTCAACTTCAGTTTGATCTCTCTTTTCTACACTGTCTTCATCTACTTTAGGGGCAGGGAATCCCATGAAGTCGTACTGATCCCCTAGGGTAACATTCGAAACAAAGTCAACATCTTTAATAAAATCACATAAGACCATCTCGTATCCAATTTCTAATCTTATGAATCCCTGTAAGCCAAATGATTCACCCCATTTGCAAATTACCTTAGCGGCTTCTCTTTCATCCACTCTCTTCGTGGGATCGTCCATTCTACTGAGGATCAATTGTTGGTCCATTTCTCCGGTAGTGGTCTTGGCTGCTGATGCACCATCCAAGAGGATAACCTTGTTAAATGGCTTGGTATTCTTGAAAGCGTACATATAGGAACGCCTGTTTTGTTCATTTACGGAGACATCGTCCTTAGCATCCTCATCGTCACGCTTAGCTGGAGGACCTCCATGATCTCCAGGACCACCAGGACCATGGCCACCGGGACCACCTGGACCACCGGGACCTCCATGTCCTCCCTTGTGGTTTCCAAAGACATGAGCAAAGTCATAGCTGAACTCGTTATCCATTGCAATCCACTCAAACAGTTCTGGGATATTTTTGTCACCGGTGGCGTGATACATCAAGGTGTTTGGTGGAATGTAAGCAGGGATGAACGAAACACCTACTGGGTGCATGTTGTCAGATTTTTGCTTCAAGGCACCTTGAACAGAGTTGAAGACGGCAGTAGCATTCTCAAAATCAACTGGATAGTTGACTACAAACTCCCATGGTTTATCGATAACCACGCCCTTATCACCGTTCTTACTATCTCTCCAATGTGGAGCTAAAGAGCCCAGTTTATTCCTTGAAAATCCATGCTCACTTAGCAAATAAGCACCACATACAAGTACAACGTTGATCAGAACAGATAACCAGAGTAGTCTCTCTGTGCTAAATTTGGTTTGCATCCTGAGAAGTTAACGGTTCAAAATACACCTTACTGTGACAAAGAAAAATGAATTCTGATAAGAAACTAGTGTCTTATAAAAAGAAAGAAAGAAAGAAAACAATATTTAAAGAAGAAAAATCAGGAAAACAATCGTGAAGGGCAAAAAATTTCAAACTACTTTCAATCCCAAGATCGTCATTGACCCCCAGCTACATAAAGCCTTGTTGAAGAGTCAAATTGAGTGGGAATGAGGCTTTGCATAATTAACATTGAATGAGCCTTTCGTGCGCAAGGCTCATAGGGAAGTACACACCAAGGAGTGTGGTCTAGCACATTATAATGGGTTGCTAGATAAGGGGAATTGCCTGTCAAAGGCAATAACTTGTACCTATACTTCTACGTCAATACTGTAAAAATATACGAGATATGTCAAATAGATGGTTAATGAACTGATATGATCGATATACTTAAAGTTTGTTATCCTGTTATTTCCGAACTAGATACACCTGGGTTGCATGAGATGAGAGAAAAAAAGATAAGTTAGTAGCACTGAGGCTGGAAAGTATAACTATGATACTAAAATACTTGATGAGAGTACAGTCCTACTAGCTGGTATTTAAATACTGACAAGAGGACATTCATACTAGCTGGTATTTAAATACTGATAAGAGGACATTCATACTAGCTGGTAGTTAAATACTGATGAGAGGATTATCATACTGTATTCGATGAGAACATCAACATGAGTTTGTTTATGTCTGGACGGGAGTAATAATCTTTAACACAATTTTGATATTGTTCCTCATTGTGAAGGCTCACAGAGAGCAGCTCTCTTTTTCAATGCTCGCATAGTGCAAATTCCCTGGTGAATGCCAAACCATCTTCTGGATCTTCTGGGACCTTTCTCTCGTCCATTAATTTCTTTCTAATTTCCCTTGCTTCGTCTAATGACATCGGCCAGCTGACCCTGCCACCTTCGTTCTTCAACTCATCGACCTCTTGTCTCCATTTAGAGCCAAAGAACTGTAACATGTCCCATTTGTCTGGCGGGTTGAAGAACTCATTGTTCACATCTAGTTCTGCTTTTTCTTTTAAGTATTGTTCTCTAATTGGCTCGTCTATTCTATCTTGTTCGTACCAAGAATATTGCTGTGGTGGTACTTGTGCTGATGTGACAACTTTGTCATTATATGGATCTACAAGGAACATGCACAAGATTTTACGATGACCAGCTCTAGTCTTGTCTTCTAAGCCGAACAGTTCAACTTTGTGCTGAAAACCATTAGGGAATACTAAGAGCCTATCTTCTTGACACTTGATGTCTCCAACTATTCTGTTCATTATATCGCCGTCTTTCAATCCGAAGAGCTTGTCTAACGCAATGGTATCACCTTGATCGTAATCGGGGTCTTCAAATGACGATCTGAAAGTTAATCGGGATTCAGTTATATTATTACAATTATAATAGTACAAAATAGTTGCAACGATATCCTCATTGATGGTACCTTCAATGTGCCAAGTTCCGCCTGCGTAAAATGGCTTCTCTGGCGTCAATTCAATGTTTGCCAATTTGACAATAACCTTTAAATAGCCAAAAGTGTCCCTTATATCAAACGTATAGTCTACTGGTGGATCTACTTCGTAATTAATCGATAGCGGCTTCAAGTAATTTACTCTTTGAGCATGAAATGTTTCATATTCATCATTCGAAATGTTTTCTTGCTCTTCTTTCTCCCAATAATCTTCAGTCATCTTTTCCCACTCTTCCGTATAATAGCTACTCTCACTAATTGGTATCCTATTAAATGCCTTCGTCTTGTATCTTGATAAAACAAAATTCAAACCTGGAACCGCCGCATTGAATACATCTTCGATAACATGATACAAATCCTCATACTTTGGGTGCAAATTATTTATGTACGATTGGAAATGGTAAGTGGTAGAATTCCAAGAATCTTTTGAGAGACTCATTAGAGCTGGGAGCCACAGAAATGATTCCGATTGAGCCCATATATCTGGCCCATACTTACATTTACCAACAGACTCATCAAACTGTATAATAGACATGCCTTTCTCATTCCTTGTAGCATTGTATGGCGTAACTCCATATTGAAGTGGGTACAAGGAAGGATGGACTATGTCGACTACTTGATCGTTACTCCCAGGATGATATTCAGGACCAGTATCCTTGAACTCATGTTCTACGAAATTGTTTACACAGGTGGCTAGCTTTTCCTTCGTCTTGGAACTAACTACCGTATCTGAGAACACCACCTTATCATCACATCCAATGGTAAATCCATTTTTTTCAAGTCCCGGAAAGTTTCTTTCTACACCGATGTACCATTCTAATTCTTTCATTACATAGTCCCATATGTCTTCAAAGTAGTCTGTTTTGTCTCTGAACTGAGATTCGATCTCTGATTTCCAATTTGCAACTATCGATATTTGCTTACTCTTTCGTTTCCATTCCGGCTTTTCGCGAATCAACTGTGATATGTAAATAATGTTCCATTCTTCAGAGTATTTGATAGCCTCCAGATCCTGGTGATTATAGAAAAAAGGATGAGGAAACCGGGATTCAGGAAACCGGTTGGGTCTGACTATACCATAGTCGAAGTTCATGGTGGCTCAGATCTCTAAGAATGAACCCAGACTTACCCAAAAAGGACCGTTTTCAAGAATTGGAATTTACACTTGGCCAACGTTTAGGCTTTCAGTTTGGGTGCAAAATGATCAAAGCAGCTCACGCACCAGCCGTAGATGAGCAAAAATTGCAGCAACTGTACTGCAAGCGAAATATTGCAAGCGAAAAGTTGGTTGCAGTGTGATTAAACTCTTAGTGTGGGGTTTATTAATTCTTGAAGGTTTACAACGCTTCCTATCAGCACGCAATTAGAGTTTGACTAAAGCCAATGGCATGAAGTTTAGGCTTTAAACAAACATGCTAAGGTGCCGGAGCCAGGGTAAAATTTTCAGCTCGAGTGTTCGAGATACGCATACCTCGTGCACCCCTATTGTTTGGCCAAAGGCAGGCCAATAGGCAATTCCCACAGTACTTTGGAAAATGCGCATACCAGGCCCACCGTGCGCAGGGAACAGAACTGCAATCCACAACTCTAACTCTTCACCAACAGTTGTGTCTGTTTTATTATGTAGGTCGCAGGTTCCACCTAAACCTTAATTTCGCTTAGGGGCTCAAGCCATTCCATGTCTAATTGATCTTCTCCACCATCTAGGTCCAAGTACTCATAGCTGGGCCAGTTTGAGATTTGTTGCAGCTTAGAATTTACGCGTTTTATTTTCTATTCTTCGTTTTTTTTTTTTTTTTTGTTATTTTTTGTATTTTCAGTTCAATTGTTCCCCTTGCTAGCTCCACTAGGGCAGACGACAGGAGGGCCACACACACTTCAATGGTTTATTTTTAATGTCTCAGGCACAATGCAGCAGATCTCTTGACCGGAGGGATCCTCTTTACTACCCTAATGTGTTACTACCTTGAACCATCCTGCCTTCTTCTTCTCTCACTAGTTGTCTAGACCTGAGCCGAAAAATTTCCTAATTAAACTCTTGCTATTTTTTGATTTTCTTTTTTCCGATTTCACTTTTTTTTTTCTTTTCATTCAACATTCTGATCTGACGTGTTTGTTCAAACAGTGAAAAAATAATAATAGTCGAAGAGACACAGAGGGAAAAAAACGAAGATTAGTCTTGATTGGAATAAGACTGAACGATTCTACCTGTAGCATAGTAGAATTCAAACATCCATAAGCTAGTATAGCCAAGAGCAAGCAAGCGCAGGAGCCAAACACGTAGAGCACGGACTAGCACAGACTCGATACTAAAGGGTACCAGTACTGAATAGAGTAACTAGAGACATTGACTTCGACTAAGACTAGGACTAAGACTTAGACTTACGCTTACACTTAAAATTCACAGTTAACACGCACATCGCCCACACACCACACATACCTATCACTCACTCACCATGGCTGATCAATCGTACACATTTGACTCACCCTCCATGACCTCGCATTCTCCTATGATCAACTACAGAAAGGACGCCAAGAAGGGGGTCAAGTTCACCTTCATGGTCGTCGGAGAACTGGGTACAGGTAAAACCACATTTGTAAACTGCTTGTTGAACAAGAAAGTCCTTTCACATCGTTTCGAATCCAATGAAAAGACCATTGGTGACACCAAGACCTTGGCCTTTACGTCAGCCAAGTCGGTTGCGCTCCCAAACACGTCTATATTAACCAAGAACGACTTCAACCCTTCTACGGCAAACGAAGAGCCAGGGATTGCCCTCACAGAAACCAAAATTGAAATGATCGATGACCTGAACCAAAAATTACTATTAAATATCATTGACGCTCCCGGTTTTGGAGAAAACTTGAACAATGAACTCTGTTTTGTTGAAATCGAAAGTTACTTGAAGCAGCAATTCGACTTGGTGCTCGCTGAGGAAACAAGGATTAGAAGAAACCCGAGATTTGTCGACACAAGAGTCCATGTCCTTTTATACTTCATCACCCCAACAGGTCATGGATTGAGGGAAATAGATATTTTGTGCATGAAGAGATTGTCCAAATACGTTAACATTATACCAGTTGTCGGGAAGGCAGACTCATTTACTGAGCAAGAGTTGAAGAACTTTAAACATCAAATTAAAGTTGATATTGAAAAGTTTAACGTCCCCACCTTTCAGTTTGATAACTATCTCAGTGAATACGATGAAGAAGAAGACTACGAATTGATTCAAGAGTGTAAATATTTAGCCAAGATACAACCATTCGCTGTGATAGTCAGTGAAGAATTGTACGAGGTAAAGGATAACAAAACGGGAGAGCTGAATACCATAAGAGCAAGACAATACCCATGGGGTCTTATTGACGTCAATAACCCCAAATATAGTGACTTCCCTATATTGAAGTCTGTTTTGTTGGGCAGTCACTTGCAGGATTTGAAGGATTTGACTCATGATTTCTTGTATGAAACATATAGAACTGAAAGATTGACTAAGGTCACAGGTGGTGTTGTAGATGAAGATGAACTTGAGGCTGGTAACGGCAATGGTACCAACGACTTTGACCATCACAACAACTCAAGTTATGCTAATGGAAATACCACAGTGCCATCATTATCGAATTTAGCGCAATTGACAAATGGTGGTGCTAATACCAGCAGAGCTACCGCTGACCATGCAACCAAGGACATAGACGAAACAGCATCTGTTACTTCGTATGGATCCAAGAAACAAAAGTCAATGTTACTTGATGAAGATGATGAGACTATTAGTGAGCAAAATGGTGCAAGCAATGGAGGAAATGGACACATTCCTTCGCCGCAACTTAATCATGAGGACTCCTTTACATCTAATACTTCAATTTCTTTGGACACAGGAACAAGAAACCCTAATTTCAAGAGAATGTCTATTGGACCTCAACGTAATCAATTGAGACAGATTTCCGAAACTGTTCCATATGTTTTAAGACATGAAAGAATCTTAGAAAGACAGCAGAAGTTGGAAGAAATGGAAATGGCCAGTGCCAAGGAATTAGCTACCAGAGCTGCATTGTTGGAGCAAAAGGCAGCCGAATTGAAGGCCAAGGAAAGAGTTTTAATGAAGCAATTGGAAAAGGAAAGATTGGAAAGAGCTGCCAGGCAAGAACAAGAGTCCGCTACCAAAACATCTCAAAAGCTTAAGGAATCTTTCGATCTGGCAAGGGGCAATGAAGGTGTAGAGGAAGAGGAAGAGGAAGCTCTTTCAGAATCTAATGGATATCAAAAAGGTGAAGATAACGAGGACAACGAAGAGAAAGATGAAGTTGATGAGATACCATTAACTGGTAAGCACGACACTAGTATAAAAAAGGATGAAACATTGACTGATTTACATTCGATAGTTGAACAACACTAGGGAGTAGGATGAATTTCGTAGAGAGATAAATTAACAAATATACAGAAACAAATTACTTGACTTGTGTAGAATGGGTATATAGTACTTGAATGAGCGATGTGTGCTCTGAATTACACTTAATTAGTATCCATACGTGCTCCCGTCACTCTTAAGCTCCTAACCCACACCTATCAACCTCGTTGATGAAAGTCTTGCTTCTTGTGGGACTTTCTTCAAGATTGACATAACGTGATCTCTGGATTTAGGACTGCATATATGAAGCACGTAGATATACATATGGATTGCCCCACATTACAAGTTGCAATTTATTCATTGGTGCTTGTTTGCTGCATAATGATTAGAACTCTTACATCCAAGGCTGCTGCGCAGCTAGATCGGGACTTGATGTCCACAGGTGCATTCTCCATCGATCAATTGATGGAATTAGCTGGGTTGGCTGTTGCCCAGGCAATCTATAAGCAATACCCTCCTACGGAAAGCAATGCTGCGGATAGCCTATTGGTTTTAGTCGGCCCAGGTAACAACGGTGGTGACGGTTTGGTTGCTTCCAGGCATTTAAAACTCTGGGGATATAACCCTATACTCTATTATCCTAAAAAATCCACCAAAAACGAACTCTATAAAAATTTACTCACACAGCTTAAAGACTTAGGCATTGCCGAAATAGACGACATCTTTAAATTCTTAACACTGAAGGATCTGCACCCGAGATTGATCCTTGACTGTTTGTTTGGATTCTCGTTTAAGCCTCCAATCCGTTCTCCCTTTGACGAGGTATTAGAATTCTTGTCGTCACATTCGCAGGCTCTTCCTCCTATTGTCTCGGTAGACATTCCTTCTGGTTGGGATGTTGACTCCGGGCCAATAGAAGAATGCCCTAATATTGATCCGAGAATGCTAATTTCGCTTACAGCTCCCAAGCCGTGTTCTGAGAAATTTGTAGGCGATGGTAAAGTCCACTATTTGGGTGGGAGGTTTATAAATAGCAAAATCGCTAAACAGTATGGAATTGAGAAAATAGTGAAGTTATATAAGGGCGACGAAATGGTAGTGAAGCTAGGCTAAACTACAGGTGGGGCCTACACTGATCAAGTTTTTACACTGCTTAAGTTTTCTTTCTAATTATTAATATTATTATATATATGCATATATATAAATGTTAAATTATGCTATATCTCTACCTATATACTGGTAATGATGTATGACGAAATGTGTCCCTATCTCCAAATCTATTTTGTCTACTTCTTGGAGAGTCTGGAACTTGTTCCGGATTATATCCCAATCCTGGAACCCCTTTTATATTTGTCGATGAAGATTTTGTTTCATTGACTGGACCCCGATTGCCCATTTTTATGCTATTAATGTTATTTGGTTGACTAGGTTTACTTGGCTTTGTCTTTTGTGGGCTTTGAGCAGGAAGTTTGAAGCTGTATTCGCTAACCCATCTTTTGTCTTTGGCTATAGGTCTAGGAGGAGCCAAACTTTTGAAATTTTCCAGAGAATTTCTCTCTTGAATGCTGAAATTACCGCTACTTGTATTAGCCACATTGTTGCTTGAAGTGCTACCTTTTATATGGGAACTATTGGTGGTAGAAGCACTGCCACCCATCTGCATTAGGCTGCTATCCATTACAGGAGCGCTATACCTCTTGTTATCAGAAAACCATCTCTTGTTGCTGTTAGCCTTTAGAGTTTCAGGGGTGAAATACCTTGAGGATGCATAGTCTTTACCTGAATCTAAAGTGAAGCTGAATGGTCGCTGTCTAACATGTTCTTTAAGGCTCTGTGTCGCATCTTTGAAAGAAGAGGTGGATCCACTTGAAACTGATGTATACGACTGAGTTGAGTATCTGTTCATTGGGTCCCTTGGGGCCCCCTGGGATCCTCTTGTCTTTTTAATGTTGAGCGGCTTTGTTTCGTCTGGTGACACTTTTTCAGAAACAGTAAAAGGTTGTATTTCCGGAGACCAATCGAGCTCATCAAATTGCTGCATCCTCATAGGTGTTGAATATGTCACCTGTGGAGTAGAATGATTTTCTTTTATGGGTGGGGGAGGAAGTACGACGGGCGGCGGTACAGGCTTGGTAGTTACAAACTTTTGAGGCCTTTGAGCAACTTCCAATAAGGAAACACTCCTGGAAACTTCTTCGATTGGAGGTGGGGGTTGTGGTAACTCTTTAGTTAATGGGCTTGGTTCATGATCGTCTTTATAGGAAACTCTGGCTGAAGACTTAGAACTGAACAAGCTATCATTGTAACTGCTCGGAGCGTTGATTGAACTTTTATAATGAGAGTCATTGTCTGGGTAGACCGGGCCACGCGAATTTAAACTCCCTATCACTTCATTGACTTTGGTATCAACCTCGTGGCTAGCTTTCCTGATTTGAAGCTCTTCATTAACGTCGACAAGATAACTCTCAACAAATTTAAGTAACTTTTCATTTTTTATGGTTGGAGTTTCGCTACTTATCGAACCAGATTTACTCTTCTCACTGTTGCCACTTCTTTCACTGGATTCACTGACATGCAGAAGCCTCCTTGTGACTGTTATATCGGAATGTACCAGTGCAGAATCCAGTTGCAGGAATTCCAGGTCCAGAGTATCCAAATCCAGCTCAGTCATGTCATCTGTAGTTGAGCCTAAATCTGTAGATAAATCTGTAGATAAGTCGTCATCCGAGTCTGAATAAAACGAACTACTACTGCTACCACTATCACTACTACAGCTGCTGCTGCTTATTTCACTCTCTGGAGCTAAATATGCTTTCGAACCATTAATTCGAGCATTTCCGGCAGAGATAGTAATGTCAGAGAGCATGCTTTCTTCTTCATCGTCGTCATCTACAATGATATACTTAGGCCTTGCCAAGCTGTCAGAAATCTGCTTAACCTGGCTCAGTGATGGTATTGGTGGACTGACATTCATTTGCAGTGCAGACTTTGTCAGAGTTAGTGACAACAGAGACCCCGAGTCCGAGTCGAACTCTGAGTCGTACGAATCAGTCGTACTGTAGTAGGAGCTTCCTGAAGTCTTTGTGGTGCTAATTGTCGCACTCCTGTACGTCTTGACCGAATTTGACTTAGACACCGGCTTAAATTTGGAATTGAAGTTTGACTTAATTTCTGTTTCAGATTCGCAGTCATCATCTAGTATATCGTCTGCAACCCCATTGCTGTTATCTTGAGTAGGTGAAGTATAGTTAACAGGACCCACTGGAACTGCCATATATGTACTACTGACATTGTAACTCAGTGGGAACATGGAAACCGATCTGCTGCTCGGCTTATGCATTCTTCTACTATATTTTCTTTTTGGTGGTAATATGGGAGGTGGTGGTAACGATGCTAATTTTGGAAAACTGGGTAGTTTTGGCAAATCTTTTACTTTATATTGAGCAAATTGCTTATTTTCCGTGTGGCTGCTTTCCTGTTCCTTAATTTCTTGTATCAGTTTTAAAGTTCGGGGTAAAATGGGCATAGACACACACCGGGGGTTCTTGGTCTTACCAGTATTTCTCTTCCTATGCTGGGCTCTTTTCACCACAGATATTACAGGTTTTAGTTCTTCCAGTGAGTGTACACCCGGTTGGAACTTGTCGATCGCTAGACTGAGGTCAAGATTGAATAGATTTGCCGGTATTGTACTAGGGTAGTCTAGTGAAGATAGCCTTTGCTTCGTCATTTCAACTGGAAACCGAAAAAATTAAAATATGCGAAGCAATTTTGCTTTTATAAGTTGCAGCTGAATATTTATAAAGATAAGAATGTGATGAAGCAAGTCAGTGTATTTTTTGGCTGTTCCTGTTATGTAAAGACAGATAATATTAGTTCAAGAATGTGAAGATAGCTTGGAAGGAATGCTCAAATCTTGAATATTTAGTGGATGATGCTACTCTTTTGTGTATAAAAGTTGAATGTTTCGAAAATGCTGGCTTAATATTTGAGAAAGAAGCTGCAAAAGAGACGCTAAATTTCTTCTTTTTTTTTTTTTTTCTGCGCCTTCTACTTCGCAACAGCGGAATGCTGACGCTTATCAACTAAAAGTTCAAAAAAATAAATGTGATATTAATAGAAAAGCCTAAAGGTCAATAAACTTTTTGGCCAGGGTCACTCTACTTGATTACGGGTTCTGTTTTTAGCAAGTTAAATTTGACACTTTGAAGCGATTCTGGGACACATGGAACAAAGCTGGGTGACCCTGGGCCCTTTTATATATACATTATTCTATTCAAGGGGGACCCGAATAAGCGAGCGATTTAATAGATCGCATGCATAACGCACAAGAAAAGAGAAGGCTGGCTAAAATCATGAAATTGCGCATCTATGCAGGTTTCAGAACGATTGCATTGTCAACTGAATTAAATCAAGTCTAGAAAATAATGGACTGATCTGCAATTATAGAGCAAAAAAAGAAATAAAATGATTCTACGAAGAAACTGTGTCATATTTCTTCGACCCCACTATTTTGATTTGCCCAGCCACTGCATTCTGGACCTTGCGTTTCTACGCTAGTTGAGTGTTCCAACCTATGACAAGTACTGAGAATACCGATTTTTTATTGCGTACGCACTAAACTGCCATATGCACGAATGTATTTATTTTTCGATTCTTTATCTGGAAATCTTTACTCTTGAGCTATCACAAGAAAATATCACACACACTGGCACAAGTAAGAGGCGAAGTATATGTCTAATATTCTCTAACAAGAGAACAGCCAGTATTGTCATTATTAGATCGAGAAGAAGTTAAACAATTTTCTTACTTCCTCATGGAAATATCAAAGAAACTCTGGGATGGTACAATCCCACTATGCATAATATTCTCTCATGAGGGAGTGGATAGAGAATTATACTTGGAGATACATAGAGTCTCTTATTTCCCTCTAATTTATGAAAAGCTCGTGCTGTATTTTCTGCACTACGATACGGGGTTGAATATAGATAAGATCTGGTTGGAGTTTGATGATGGCCAGTCTAAAGTTCCGATTCAGTGGAATATTCCGCTGGGTTTACTTTACGATCTATTACACACAACCAGTGGTAACAATTCTATTTGGACGTTGAGACTTGTGCATAATAACTATCCATCGAAACACATACTACCACATGCTAATGTAACGCATCTAAAGACTACATATATGAATCAAATTAAGCAATCGTCGTATGTCCTCTATGGAAACTCTAAAGCCATAATGAGTTTGTCGGCCGGTAAATCCGAAGAATTGTGGAACTCTGTAGTAAAGCATAATTGGACCTTATACGAGGCAATCAGTACCAATGATATAACTAAGAATAAGAATATCCTAAGGGTACCGGTAAAATTGTTTATATCGGGGTCGCCAGTAGTCATTCAAGCTCCTATCTTCCCCAGTGCTAAGAATGGTGTACTGCACACAACTTTAAAAGATGTACTCTATGAGCATGTACCGACGCTATTCCATGGGGGCATTACAGCTAAAGTAATTGTCCACGGAGTAGATATAAGCTTTCTACTCGATAGCAAAGATTCACCTTCGATATTGGAATTATGGAAATTATTCAAAAATGTGGATAATTTTCTTAATCTTATTATCCGGGCTCCTGCTGATAGTGTCACTGATAATTACTTAGCAAATATTGCAACCACTAGAATAGTAGCGTGAAAGCTCCAACCACTCAGCAGATTATGAATATATCTCCTATTTAGTCCCACTCTACCATAGATATCGATATCTTTATTTATTCATTTATTAATAATGCTAATTACTATTACATCTCAACTTGGTTTTCTGAAAACAGCTTGTAACCAGTTTCTATACATTTTCAACTGCTTCTTTCTATTCACCAACAAACGTCTGTCAGTTGCAATTTTCTCTTCTACGAATGGTGCCAGTTCACCACAGAAGATCTCTCTCAATTCCTCTTCCGTGAAGAAATATACTCTTGTTCCGTCTCCTCTAATATAAAAATTATCGTCTAACAATCTTCCCTTCTTGAATCTAACTTGAGCCAAATCGTAACGACCATAGTCACGAAATAAGATCTCTCCACCGGGCTTCAAAGCTTTTGTCAAGTTTTTCACAGCTTGGAGCCACTGGTTTGGGTGTAAAGCCAGGAATATAAACACCATAATAATTATATCTACAGATTCTGGCTCCATATCTTTAGGTAAATCACCTTGCTCGTTTGACAAGTCCCACACTGAGGAGTAAGCTATACCCTTTGCTGCACTTTCTTCAAAGTTTTCATTGCTACGAAGTAAATCTACAGCGACCTTCAGGTAGTCACAGCCGAATATCTTTAAATTAGGGTTTTCGTTTTGATTCAAAATTGGATAGAAGGTGTTACCAGCACCACACCCAATTTCTAAGATGGTGGTTGGTTCAGTGTAGCCCTTAGCAGTGACCCTATACAAAGAGGGAAATTCAATCTGCAACCACTTACGATCTTTAAAAAAATTCTCTTGGTTATGCTTATAGAAAATATCCCAGTATTTAGCAGGGTTAGAATTATACAAATTTTTATCGAAATCCTTCACTGGGTGGTCATACTGCTTGGAGATGAGCTCTTCAGCCTGCTTGATTTGTTCTTCACCCCATTCTACATGGTCCCATGCATTTTGCTGGAAAACATCCTCTTCCTTTTCCAAAAATCTTTGGCCAAAGGTAAATGGAGAATCTTTACCTATTCTGGAATCACTTGCAGTATCATTTGATATCGTCATTATATACAAAATGTTCAGTTATATCGAAGTTAAGTCGCTGAAGAGTTGATACAAACTGGTAAGAAGAAAGGGCCAAAAGAAAAAAAAAAGAAATATAGAGATGCCCCTGTATGCAGGAGGGTTCCAAAAAGTTGCACCCAAAAGTGCTGCAGTGTTTACTTGAAGACAGAGGTGCTACTGTTTACTTGATTGAGCGTGTTGATGCTGTTATAAATACTAATTTCGAGTTTATTTATCTAATTCGTATACTATGTACTATTATATTTCATAATTTTTCTTGTTTTATTTTTACATTTTATTCATCGTCTTCAGTTCTATTAGTGTAATGGACTGTCCCTGAAAGGTCTTGCAATCTAGCGGCGGCTTGTTCGCTGGTCAAATCTCTTTGAGATTCTCCAAGCATTTCGAAACCAACACAAAACTTCTTAACAGTAGCACTTCTTAATAAGGGTGGGTAGAAATGGATGTGAAACCAACTATGTTCTTCATCCTCCTTGGATCCATTCAAAGGTGCTTGGTGGAGGCCCATAGAGTATGGGAAGGAAGTGTTGAACAAATTGTCGTACTTGATAGTTAACTGTTTCATAATAGTTGCTAAATCTTCAATGTGCTTACTGGTGAAGTCCTTCAAAGATCTCAAGTGTTCTTTTGAAATTAACAAGGTTTCAAATGGCCAAAGCGCCCAATATGGGACTACTACGATAAATGAGTCATTCTGCAAGACGATTCTGGTCTTCTCTTGGATTTCAAGCTCAACATAATCTCCAAGCATATGCAGCTTAGTGGCTCCATTGGCTGCATACTTCTTCATGTTCTTAAGCTCGTGCAGAACCTCAGTAGGAACAACATCCAAACACCATGCCTGGCCATGAGGGTGAGGATTTGAACAACCCATTGCAAAACCTTTATTTTCAAAGATTTGTAAATATTTGTATGGGGCATTGATTTCAATCGATTCTCTCTGCAAATCCATGTACAACTTCTTCCAAGTTGAAACAACGCTCTTGATTTCGTCGTGCGACATGATTGGTAAAGTCAAATTATGCTTTGGACTGAAACATATCACAAAACATTTACCCTTTACACCCTGAGTCTTGAATAATCTTGACTTTGCAGAGTTCTTGTCCTCCTCCTCTTCTGTATAGTCAGGCTGATCTAACTTTACTGCTGGGTAATCGTTGGGGAAAATGTATGTAGTCTCGTACTTGGGGTTGGTGTCACCAGTGGCTCTGATATTACCAGGGCACAAATAACAGGTAGAATCGTAAGAAGGTAATTCGTTCTTTTTGATAACCTCCTGGGCACCTTGCCAAGGTCTCTTGGCTCTGTGGGGAGAACATAAGATGTAATCTTCTGTCAAAGGATTGAAACGACGATGAGAGTGGTTGGTGAAATCAAATTCTGACATGGTAATTTTTTTTTCTTTGATAATTTTTTCAAAAAATATCTCGTATACTTTTTTCGTTCTTCAAATAAGAAATTTTCAAGTGTGTTACCTTATTGCTCGAATGGTTTGGGGTAGTTAGAAAAATTTTGGACAGGAAGCAAAACAGATCTTTTATATTTTCAAACATCATCCCAATTTTTATGTAACGTTACATGGATTCGGGGAAATTAACGTTGACCGGAAATATCGCAAATTCGCCCCACACAGGAATACATGAAGGTACAGCAAATGGTGGGGGAGTGGATGATGATGCTTTGCATTTGCAGGACGTACGTGCCAACTTTTTACAAGCGGTCGGGGCCAACAAGGGTATGTTGTCTCTGAGAGCATGGCAAGTGACCATTTTACCAGTAAATAACGCCACGGGGAATAAGAGACGAGGAATGCCAATTTTTCCGGAGCAAAATTGGATCATTTATTTTTTTTTTTTTTGCTTGGAGCACTAAATAATGACATGCTAAAAAAAATAATCAAATGCTTTCTGCAAGATTTCGGCCCGCCTGAAAAAATATTCCTTTCTCCTTGTCTCGAGCGGCGCTTAATATATAGGTGTTGGTTTATCCGTTGTGTCAGGCCATGGCTTGGTGATCGTAGGGTATACTCAGGGTCTACTGACACAGCAGCGTAGTGTGTGATATTATTATGACAATGTACGATGAGCATTTCTTAGTTACAGGAGGAGCTGGTTTCATAGGCTCAAACTTCTTGATACACTTTGTCAAAAAGTACCCCAACCACCATTTCACTTGCATTGACAAACTAAATTATGCATCGAACTACAGTCTACAGAATGTTGACGAGATAATGAGTTACCCTAACTTCAGATTCATCAAGGAAGACCTTGCCACATTCACTCCTGATTTGCAGCTAGTTGATACCGTAGTCCACTTTGCGGCCGAGTCTTGTGTAGACAGGTCCTTCGGTCTGCCTTCGATGTTTATAGAGAACAATATCTTGGCTACGCAGAATTTACTCGAGCTGGTGCGGAAGCTCTTAAATGGGTCGGAACCACAACGACGGAAAAAGTTTAGATTTATCCATATTTCTACGGATGAGGTGTATGGAGAGTCTTCGATGAATTCGCTGTGCTCTGGGTTCGATGAATATTCACCTCTCAACCCAACCAATCCTTACTCTTCCTCCAAGGCATCGGTGGACTTAATTATCAAGTCATATCAGTACTCCTACAAGTTACCCATAGTTATCTTGCGCCCTAATAATGTATTTGGTAAGAATCAGTATCCGGAGAAAATAATTCCATTAGCTATAGACAGGTTAATGTCTAAGCAGTTGATTCCTCTACACGGAGACGGGTCCAATAAGAGAACGTATATACATATAGACGATTTCGTGAAAAGTATTGAATTGGTGTGGGGACTCTTCAAGAGAGACAGTGCTTCGATATCTGGCGAGATATTTAACATTGGTACCGAAAATGAAATTGACAACCTATCTCTAGTGAAGTATATCACTTCAGAGTACTTGAGCACGACAGACGAGTCTCTAATCAGTAAGCAAATCGAATTTGTTGAGGACAGGAACTACAACGATTCGAGGTACAAGATTAACTACGGCAAGATCAAGATATTGGGATGGTTTCCGGAAGTGGACTTTAAGCAGGGAATACGTGACTTGATCCGTCACGAAAGGGCAAAGCTTGAAAAGCACCTGAACACTTAGTCTACTTAACTAGCTCTAGCACTTTCAAATCAAACAAGGAGCACTTTATTGGCATATCTAATGAATAGAATGGGTTTTTCATCACATAGTCACTGTAAGCAACGTATATGAGTTTGAACAACTCGTTAGCCAATTGGCATTGTTTAACCAACTCTCCTCTATTGTAGTTCTTAATTTGATCTTCAATGTCAAGCAGCACAGCGGAAGTCTGTACATTGTGCACGATGGTATTTGGTGAGGTTATTATGATAAATTTGATTCCTGTAAGCGACTGGAATATGTATAAGTTAAAGCAATCAGTTTCAATGCTCTGGAGTCCAGTTCTGTTGGAGTTGGGATTTTGGGACCGACCAGTTGCGATCAACGTACTGTTGTTCTGGGCAGGTCCCCCCGTTCCACTTGCCGTTGGCACATTATCCAGTGTATTTCCGGCATTTCCGTTTGGTGGTATGTTTGGGGTCAAATTCGACGCTATAGCGTGAACTCCGTGTAGTGTTCCGGCAAGAACAAGATAATCATTTGCTGTTAGCTTGTTCAACTCTGGATTGACATCATTCTGGTAGATCAAACCACCGGCCTTGTTTAGTATGTATAAAGAGTATACTTTCATTGTAAAGTTGAAGATAAACAAATATAGATACCAATATGTAAGATGTAAGAAGTTAGAAGGTCAACAGGGTGCTCCACGGTGAGTAACAGTGTGCTCTTCTTCGACTTCTTCGTGGTCTGGAGAGTGTTGATACTCCGAGAGAACAGTACCCTGTATTTATATGCAGGATTCAGAGGGTATGTGAGTGTGTGTGAATGTCTACGAGAGCGGTAGTAATTGAGAAAGAAGGAGGACGTGGTTTGCTATTTAGGATGGTAGTGTGCCATTTTGGAGCTTGGTTTGCCCACTGGAGACTCATAAAGCTTTTGATAAGTAAGTTCATATTCAAAAAAAAAAAGCTTCCCCACCAGGAGTCGAACCTGGAATCTTCTGGTTCCAACCGGAAGTGGTTACGTAATCGTAGCCAGACGCCTTGACCATTGGGCCATGAGGAACGAAGCTTACTGAAAAAACTTTAAATGGTATTAATATCTACGCATCAAACTGGAAAATTGCAGGACTAGACTAGAAAGATGCCACATGGTGAAGGTTAAGAACCTGCTTGGCTTGATGCTGGTAGATTGGGTTATTAGTAGATGGGACAGTGTGATTTTTCCCACATCTTACCTGGTGTGTCACTTTAAGGGTCTTTTCTTTTTTTACTTCATGCAGCGCTCATTTCTTTTTGGGTTGCATTAATGAATGTCTTAGCTAACCTGAATATCGGTCAAGAGGGGTAAATTACAGACGAGGATTTCAGTTTAAGGCACTCATTTGCCAATTGTGTCTCCTAATGGTAGCCCTTATAAACAACTGACCTACTATTTGCCGTAAGGAGACCACTAATGCTATGCTACTGATATGCAATCTCTTCACTCTCACGTATTGCATGGGCTGCGAATAGTAACGGAAGCTTGAGGCTCAATACAAACACTACTACAATACATTCTTAATTTGAAGATACTAAAACCTTTTCTGTGAACTGAATGGCTATGCTTTCTCCACATATCTTCGACTTCATTCGTTAGAAGGTAGAGGACGGAATATTAATCCAGACTCCAACATCCCATGAAAAATATCTATTATGTTTCATATTTGACAAATTCGAGGTGAAATTAATATTCACATAACGTACAATCGTTGAAAACCATGCTGTATAGATTTCCCAACAAACCTAGTTGAAATACTAGTATCATATGAATCATATCTTACAATATTATTAACAATTAAAACATTGAATATCAATTAAAATTTAAAATTATATATTTAATAGACAAAGTTGAGATATTTAAATAATAGTAATCTCTGAATTAAAGAGTCGTTAACAATCGTGCAAATATTTTTTGCTTATTTTTATTATTTTTTCTTATTCGTATTATCTTAATTACCATTAGACTGGGGATTGAGTGAGTAAATCATCCTTGTTTTCTTGGGTACTTTCACCAGAGTGGGATCCAGAGTCACCTTCACGGTGTTCAACCTTCAACTTTTCACCTAATTGAGCATCGGATAACAATGGAACATGTGGTTGCCAGTTGGCAGTCTTCCAAGCTGGAATCTTTTCGTCCCAGATTTGTGCAATTTCTTCCAATCTCTTACCCTTAGTCTCTGGGAAGAAGAACAAAACATGAAGGAACATGGCACCACAACAGGATGCGTAAATACAGTAAGTCTTCCAGGAGATGTTTTGGAAAGCTGGTGGAGTGAACATAGCAATGGCGAAGTTGAAAGCCCAGTTAGCTGCAGTAGATAAGGCGGCACCTCTTTGTCTGGAGACATTATCACCCCAAACTTCAGAACAGTAGACCCAAATACCGACACCCCAAGAACAAGCGAAAGAAACAACGAACAAGTAACAACATGCAATGACACCCTTGGCTGCAGACTTGTGCTCATCTGGAATGGTAATGTTAACAGTACCAGAAGCACCAGTAGGAACAGAGTAAGTACCTAAGATACCAGCAACACCGAATTGGAAAGTCATCATTAAGAGGGCACCAGCTAATAAGATAACTCTTCTACCAATTCTATCCATCAAGAATAAGGCTGGAATGGTCATAACAGTGTTTAAAACGTATTGAATAACACCAGAAATTAAAGCAACGTTACCAGTGTAACCGGCCATGTTGAAAACATCAACGACATAGTACATCATAACGTTCATACCGGTCAATTGTTGCCAAATTTGAGCTGAGACTGCAATGAAAGTTCTGTGGATATACTTCTTTGAAAATAATCTGGCGAAGGTGAAAGCCTTAACATCGTGTTCAAGTAATAATTGTTCCTTGATTTCGGAGATTTCAATCAAGACATCAGGATCATCTCTATTACCCTTAGCTTGGATGATAGCAACAATGTTTTCTGCTTCATCCCAGTAACCTTGCTTGGCAAGCCATCTTGGAGATTCTGGAACGAAGAATAAACCAAAGAATAACACTAAACCTGGAATAATTTGAATAGCCCAAGCGATACGGAAACCACCAACACCGTGAACCTTTCCTAAACCGTAACCAATGAAGAACATAATCATGATACCGAGAGTGACGGAGAATTGGAAAAGACCACCAATGGTACCTCTAATCTTTCTAGGAGCTAATTCTGAACCATAAACTGGGGCAACAGATGAACCGAAACCGACACCGAAACCTGAAATGATACGACCAATGATCAATTGTGCTCTGTTTTGAGATGAAGATTGAATAGCAGCACCGATACACCAAAGGATGGCACAAAGGAATAACGAGAAACGTCTACCGAAAGGTTCGGAAATGAATGATGAAAGTAAAGAACCAAAGAGAGAACCTAAGGACATAGCAGAGGTAATGAAACCTTGCATAGTGGAACTTGGATTGCTAAAATATTTTTCATAGTAACTTTGACCAATGAAGGCAGACATAGAAGAGATATCAAAACCAAACATCATACCTGACACACAGGAAATCATACAGATGACATAGACATTGTGAAGTTTTGGGAACTTGTCAAGAAAATTCTTGATCCTAAGGGCTGGAGCAACTAACTTTTCCTCGTAACCCATTTTAAATTTGTATTATAGTTATTTGATAGAACTGAGTATATTGTTTTCAAAGGGGAATGCTTCAACAAAAAAGCAAGATTTACCTGGCCTTATATAGAGTTTTTCCTTTGACCACAGAATATGACAACGGATAAAAAAAGGCAGCAAACCATCTAAAATGCATGCCAGTTTTCATTGTTATACCCGCATTTTTGCAACCTACATTAACGCCGCTCGAATTTGGACGTGACGTACATGCATATAGGTGGGAAAAGGTAATTTTTTGGAAATATACTAAAAAAATAATTAAAAAAAAAAACATGAAAAAATATCTTTTTCTTGACGCAGGTGATGCCCAAGCCTAGGGATTTTTTCTTGGTAAAGTGCTGTACTAGTAGATGATAGTAAGGGGGGGTTCAACTAAAAAGTTTAGACTAGAAAACTTCAATTCAAAGCACTAAAATAAAGCTAACAGGTTAGGTTAAGTGCCAGCCAAAAGTAAAATGTAACCTGCTGAGGGGTAAGTGGCTTGATTAAACATTTGTGGAGTGCGGCCTGGGGTGCGGCCTGGGGTGCATATGTCTCGGCAGTTAATCGAGTTCAGCTGACGGGTATCTGCAAAAATGAAAAATGAGTCGTGAAAGAGCCGCGTTGTGTTCCCAATTTAGAAAAAGTCACTCAAAAGTTAACACATCCCGGAAATACCATTGAAGAGTTTTTTTTTCTGTGATGCTACATACATTCAAGAGAAAATTTTTTTCCTTCCCCGTATCATTTTATCATACAATGACATAATAGAGAATTTTAAGTAACATTAATATGGTGGAGAAGAGAGAGAGAGAGTGAACCAACAGTTACAGATCTATGGACCTTTGCGATAACTTAAAAGTAGTTGCCGGTTCTTCCGCTTGGCATAAATGTCAAAATATTTTTTTTTTGGGTTTTTCTTGTGGGGAGAATCGATCGGGAAAATATTTATGTAAAACGGCAAATTATGTAAGTTTTGCAAATGCGCTTGCTGTTTGCTCGCTACTACTAAATTGTCCCTACTTGCTTGGTGCAGTTGCTCCTTCCGGAACAAATCTTTTTTAGTTTGTACTGCAATAACCTTTCGCCGGTGACAGACTGCCGCCCCCCACAATATTGAAACTTTAATTGTGAACCTAAAAATCATCCGATACCTCTGTCTCTCGGTGAGTGATTTATTAAAAGACTCGATAGTACGATCGCATGTCAAATGATGGTCACAGTGGAAAAGTGCAACCAACTCGAAGAGTTGACCATCTGTGTGGGATTATTATTTTTTTTGTGTGGGATGATTAATTTGTGTACATTTTAGGGCTCTGGGCCTGACATTCAATTGCGTTACAAACCACCAGTTGTCAGGCATAAAAAGTGTTACACCTGCATACCACCTTATTGGCTCGGCTCCGGAAAAATTATCAAACCTAAAATTATGACAAACTATCAACTTATATCCGATTCATGTACCATTTCTCCATTTCTCCATTTCTCCGCTCATGGGGAACCTTTTTTTGTTCAGAGTGCATAAAAAATAATCCTGGCGTGAGGAGACGATTGATTGCTTAGTTTCAAACAAGTCAATCTGGATCAGATTACGATAAAGTTGCAATTTACACTTTGAGTTCAATTGGTTGGCTACAGGAGATTACTTGTGTATTATGCATGTATTAATTGTGTATTCATTATTATCATTATTTTTTAGGCTGCTTAAGTTGCTTTACCTTGGAAGCTGCCGATTCTTTGTGTAGATGAGGAGAAGGACGAATGCGATGAACAGTTCTTTGGCGAGAAAAGCGAGTCTGCAGGAGATGGGCCAACATTATTGTAAGCTATGACTTCATCTCTCACTTCATCATTATCTTCATCATCATCCAATAGTTCATCGTTGAAGAAATCTGTGTTCTTTATTTCTTTTTCTATTTCGTCTAGTGATAATCTACTACTTGGATCCATAACGAAAATTTTGTTGAGCAAATCATTAAACTGCCTTGAAATTGGGAGTATATCTCTTAAAACCGAAGGATTGTTACCAAGTATATAGTTATGGAATACTTGTCTATCGTTTATAGAGTCTATTGATGCAATTGGCCATGGATTTCTCGAACATGTTATGTTTATAAACAATACTGCAAGAGACCATATATCTCCTGCAATTGTGGGGAAATACTTGTTACTATTGCAGTGCTTGGAATCGCACATTTCTACTGATTGGTACTTACTCAAGTCGACCAATGTTTTGATAAGATTGGACCCAGTGTAATTTGTAATTCTCTCTGGTGCCATATAAAATGAGGACCCACGGCAAACATTGCAACAGATCAATGGGTTGTCCATGGCTAATCCGAAATCGATTAACATTATTTGTATTTCATTGTAGTCAACAATATGCGATTTGGAATGATTTGTGCGCTTATAGTGTGGATTATAGTTGACCATAATATTCTCAGGTTTTAAGTCACAATGGAATATGCTTTTCTGTTGACAGTACTTGATAACATCTATAAGCTGCAATATCACATTTTTCATAAGCAACTGTTTATCGATTCTATCAACATCTGATGTACTTACAAATATTTGATTATCTATGATATTGTGGAATAAATCACCTTGGTGACAGTAGTCCATCAATATCACTACCGCCATTTTACTTAAATTGAGAACCTTGTGAATTGTTGTGACGTTTGGATGCTCATGCACTTGCAAGTGGGACGAAATTTCTTTTAAAAATGTACAATCACCACATTGGGTTTTCAAAAACTCAAGTGGTAATTCATCTGCAACTATATTTTTAGGTGATGCGTCTTCCTTATTGTGGAAGTACATGTAAAGTTGCTCTTGGATGAACTTTTTGTTGACGGCAATATCCTGAGACTTAGTCCCATTGCTATTCCTAGGAGGCTTTTTCAATATCAACTTAGCGGCGTATAATGTCTGTGTTAAAGTGTCTTCCACTAGATATATTAATCCGAAAGTTCCTGCACCAATCTTCTTGACAAACCTAATATTGCCATTAATGTAGCAGCCGTCCAACGACATGCTTGGTGATGAATTATGATATTGCTGCATTACTGGAGTCGAATTATTATGTATAAGAGTACTATTATTGTCGATGTCTTCGTAATTATCTAATGAAGTATCATCGAAAATGGGTATGATTGAGAGAGGCATTTAGAGTTCTTTTATTATATAATACGTTACTATATTCAGTTTAGGAAATCCCAAGAAATAAAAAAATAATCTGTGAATAATGCTAGAATAAAAATTAATATTGAATCATATTATACCTTTCGTTTACTCCTAATTCACCCGTACCCGATTCCATACGCTATCTCATACTAGCTTAGTGAAGGGTGTCAACTCTTTTTCCAATATTTATCTGATGATTATATTTAGTGGTGTGATGTTTATGCGCATGGAACTTTTCTTTTGAAATTTTCAATCATCTCTTGCTTCAGCCCTTCCTCGGAAAAACCTTGGGTGTGTACATCCAAAGGGTTCTAGCTCAACGAGCTTGCATCTCTCTTACATCAAGTATAATTGGACCAAGCTGCGTATCATCATACGAAATATGTTACTTGGACTTCTTGTTGACCCTTTTTTGACCCCTGTTAGCACCATTCCCTGACTTGACATTTTACGAGAATCGCACGATTTAATTTTTTTGAGATGGTGCGATTTCGGTGACTGATACGCACAGCTCAGTTTAGGAGATCTGTGACTGATACCGCACTGTTACGCTTAGAGATCTGGGGAGATTTGGAACGGCCATGACATAAGCATATGTGTCATTTTCAACTGATAAAAGAAATAATGATCTATTTCTGAACCTCGCAACAAGATCTTTTGTGCTATAGACATTCTTGTCACTTGACTCTTTTAAAAAGTATGCATTTATTGGTTATCTTAGTTATGTGAGGTTTCTTTTTCTATACAAATTTGGTCCATACAATTTTTCTTTTCATCAAGCTAGTTCTATTTACAAGAAATTGTCAATGCTAATGGTACATGTTCCCATTGCAGGCTTACTGATTGTAATGGCATCCTTAAGCTCATCCTCAGTAATTTTTGGGAAAATTGTTTTGTAGTAATCTTTAGTTAATGCCTTCGTAACTTTTTCAACCTCTGAGCCCTTAATTAAGTGCACGGCAGATCCCCCAAATCCAGCACCAGTAATTCTGGAACCATAAGCACCATTTGAGCGAGCGATTGAAATTATACTGTTCACCTCAGGAGTTGAGTTTTCGAACCTAGTACGCAAAGTTTCTTGAGATGCGTTCATTAAGTCTCCGAATTGAGACAAAAATTGTTCATCGTCTTGATGCACTTGTCCTAAGAGTCTCAAGGTCTTCAAAACAAGTAAACTTTCCTCGTATACATGTCTGCTTCTTTGATATAATTTTAACTTTTCATAAACGACTGGGAATTTGGATAAGAACTTGGCCTGAAATTCTTCCAAGGAAAGGTTCAAGAATTGTGCAACTTTCTCAGTAGTCAATCCTATTTTGTCTTCCGATGATTTGAATACTTCCTCAACAACTTCCAACATCTTTTCCAACCTTTGAATACCAATTTCGATATCGTTATCCCATGTAGCCTTGAAGTAAGCATCCATAAATCCCCTTAAGCTCCCAGTTTGTAAGTTTGAATCTTGCACGAGCTGTAAGTTGAAATATTTGCCCAAATACTCAGCAGCTACAGCCACTTCTACTGCTCTCAAGTTATAATTGAAAGGAGCAGTTTCCTTCTTGTTGGCCTGCATTAAAGAGTTTGTAATCAAGAATACCATATCGACATCTGGAAATGCAAATGCCTTTCCTTCCAATTTTGGTTGGAATTGGACCAATAAACATTTATCCTTTTCACCGTAAACTGAAGCACATTGATCCAATCCACCTGTATTAACACCGACGTAGTGTTCAGATACAACTGTGATACGAGTCAAAGCTTCCTTGGTAATCTCAGTGACACCGTTCGCCTTTAAGACAGCCATGGTGGACGCAACACAAAATGCTGCTGAAGAAGACAATCCTCCTCCAGTTGGGACCGTTCCGTCGAAGGTAATATGGAGTCCGCACATGGAAGCATGTCCCACCTTATTTTCTTCTAAGTACTTTTGAGCAACAATTAACCCACATTTGAAGTAATTACACCAGGAGAAATTGTCATTGTCAATGGCCACTAAGTCGCCATTAGCTGGAATTTCGAACGATTCCCTTTGGAAGTGAGGATCGGAGTTGGTTAACACAACTTCTCTACTATCTTTCAATGGCTTGACTGCGGCAATCAAGTCCACTTCGATGGCCATAGGAAGACATGAAAAGTAACTGTAGTCAATGTGGTCACCAATCAAGTTGACTCTCCCTGGGGAACGAGAGATAAATTCTGGCTCTTCACCACTGAAGTTATCTCTAAAAGTCTTGACCAATTGCCTATATCTTGCAATGTGGTCATCTGGGTTAGCATAGAATGAAAGGTCTTTGAAATTAGGTACAGACATCTCAACAGTGAAAGCGAAAAAAAGAGTATATTCTATTTCAAAAGAGTTCTAAGGTTAATATATAATATACAGGTTTGTGTGTGTATTAAATGTGATTGTAAATGAGTAAAATATGTCAAAATAAAGATTCCATTACTAGAAAATACTGGAACTGGATTTTATATCTAACTTTGTTTGATTTTCATGTCTGGTGCTTTTTGAAAAATTTTTATGTAACGTCGTATGGCTCCGGAGAAACTTACCCCGGGAATAACCCCAGAAAAGTGGAGAGATCGTGCATAATTTTCTCACTAGCCCATTGTGTTGAGGTGCAGCTACTGACGCCTGGCCCAGCCAATGGGGGAGGAAAAACTATTTTCCTGGTGGCTAAAGAAAGATGAAACAAATGTCTAGAGAAGCGAGAGAAATTTACCAGAGAAGTGCGCTAAGTTCAATATATCGTTAGTCTTTACTATCGATTATCGACCTTCGTAGGTTAGCGAAGGACTAGCGGCGGATACCGTCTACTGATAAGGCGTTCTTTTCCAATTTTGTTTTTTTCTTTTTAAATTTTTTATTTTTTTTTTATTGCCGAAGAAATGCAATGCAATGACCATATGTTATGCAAATTCTCGTTTTGTGCCCTGCCGTTATGCACAAAAAAGTTGGGGGAGCGTTCAATGATGCGGAGGCCATCACAACATTCAAACCTAAGGTCCAAAAAATTCTCGTAAGTTAGGAAAAATTTATACGGACTCGAGGAAAAAAATGTAACGTTACCTCAAAAATGGGCTCTACATAAACCATAGGATATCCAGTCAAAATAAAAATTAATGATATTTTTTTGTAACTTGATTTGGAATTTTATTCAAGTTACAAATTAATATAAAATAAACCCGAAAAGACAAGAAAATACTGAAAAATGTACATTTTAGTTACTGGTGGTGCTGGTTACATTGGTTCACACACTGTTGTTGAACTTATCAATCATGGTTATAAAGTTGTTATTGCTGATAACCTTTACAATTCTTCATTCGATGCAGTTGCAAGAATAGAATTTATTGTTAAGCAGCATGTTCCATTTTTTAATGTTGATATTAGAGATAAGGAACAATTAAGCAAAATTTTTGAAACTTATGAAATTTCTAGTGTCATTCATTTCGCGGCCTTGAAAGCTGTGGGTGAATCTACAAAGATCCCATTGAAGTACTATGACAACAATGTGAATGGTACAATCAAGTTATTGGAAGTAATGGACCAATACAATGTTAAGAACATCGTTTTCAGTCTGTCTGCAACCGTTTATGGTGACGTTACTAGATTTGGTGATAACTCCATGATTCCAATTCCGGAACACTGTCCCAATGATCCAACTAACCCATACGGGAAGACCAAGTATGTCATCGAGAACATCTTGCATGATGTCTACAACAGTGACAATAAATGGAAAACCGCCATCTTGAGATACTTTAATCCAATTGGTGCCCACCCATCAGGTTTAATTGGAGAAGATCCATTGGGAATTCCACAAAATTTATTACCATATCTTGCACAGGTTGCCATTGGGAGAAGAGACAAGTTATCCATTTTTGGAAACGACTACAATTCTCATGATGGTACACCAATTAGAGATTATATCCATGTCATTGATCTTGCTAAGGGTCACATTGCAGCATTGGAGTACTTGCACAATCTTCAAAATGATCAAGGATTATTCAGAGAGTGGAACTTGGGTAGTGGAAAGGGCTCAACTGTATTCGACGTATACCATGCTTTCTGCAAAGTCGTTGGTAGAGAATTGCCCCATGAGGTTGTTGGAAGAAGGGATGGTGATGTTCTTGATTTAACTGCTAACCCAAAGAGGGCCAATGAAGAATTGAAATGGAAGACCCATTTGACAATTGACGATGCCTGTAAAGATTTATGGAAATGGACTGTTGATAACCCAAGTGGATACAACATTGATAATTATCTGTGGAAGGCGCTCAGTGCTAATGATTTAAGCAACAGATCTCACACTATAAAGGTAGACGACACCTTCAAAGTTTCAATTATGAACCTTGGAGCAACCATACAAAATGTCACTTACAAAGACGCTCCAGTAGCTCTCGGATTTGTAACAGAGCAAGAATATAAAAATCAGCTGTTTTATATTGGAGCAACTGTCGGTAGATATGCCAACAGAATCAGCGAAGCTGAGAAGTTAAAGTTGTCAGTAAACGAAAACGGTAATACTTTGCATGGTGGTAAATTCGGGTTCGACAAGAAGGATTTCCTCGGGCCCGTAGTCAAGAGAAATAAAAAAGAGAACTCCACTACTTTGGAATTTTACTTACTTGATCCACACTTAGAAAATGGGTTTCCTGGTGACTTAGGAACTCTTGTCAAGTATACTATTGCCAGTGGATCAATTGAGATTGAGTATGAATCTGAACTTCTTGGCAAAGCAGATGAAACTTTTCTTAACCTCACCAACCATTCATATTGGAATATTAGTACTGGAAGCTCCATTGATGGAACTAAAATCAAAATGGCAACGAATAAGGCTTTAGAGGTTGACTCAAAATCTTTGTTACCAACTGGAAAGATTGTTGACAGGGAAGTCACTGGGTTTGCCAAAGGGTCTGCAGGTATTGATACATGCTTCGTATTAGAACAACAGTCTGTGCAGTCGGTCGACACGAGATCCAATGAATTGCAGACTGTGCTCGAAGCAACACATCCAGATTCCAAGGTCAAGTTGGTTGTACAAACAACCGAACCTTCGTTCCAGCTCTACACTGCAGATCATCTTGATGTCCCAGGAAAATTTGGACCTAGGGGCGGATTCTGTGTTGAATCAGGTAGATACATTGATGCAATCAACCAAGAATCCTGGAAGAAACTGGTTATCTTACCAAAAGGAGAAACTTACGGCTCTAAAACAAAATATGCTTTTGAAAGCGTCTAGTACCTAGACCAAAAAAAAAAAAATCACATTCAAGGGAAAAAGAAAAAACCATACATATGATACATAAAACAGAACATAAAATAACCTATAATCAAAACATATTATAAGTCTGAAACATAGACTCAATAAAACACATGATATACATATAAAATAGTACATAGTAATAGATAAAAATTGCACAGCATAGAGATATATAGTACCAGTGTAGCAACCTTATAGTAGCTTTATAATAGTCTCATAGTTGCTTTATACTAGAACTGTAGTGAAACATTAACCTTTAGAAGAGCTTCCTCAACCGTGAGATTGCCATATTACACTTCATATTAATTCTGCATATTTTAAGAATATATCAGTTGCCTGTGTAGCGTAATGGTTAACGCGTTTGACTTCTAATCAAAAGATTCCGGGTTCGACTCCCGGCATGGGTTCTTTTTTTTCCATCTCGCGGACTTCATTCTCTTCGCTCCCCGCACATTAATATTTGGGCTAATATGATTAATGAACATTTCCTAAAAGCGTTATAATTAATTTTTTTTTGTTTTCATCATTTAAGCCGGCTCAATAGATAAACAAAAGTCTATTGCGAGAGCTGTTTTCTTCATCTATTCTTCTGTTGAAGTCTAAAGTGTAACTATTATAGAAACATACGTAGAACCATAGCAATGTCGGAAGAGTCAGATTTCTCTGATAAGAGGAAGCAGGCGAAGGGAGCCGTCCTCACGGAAGAAGAGAAAAAGGTATGTACAGTTTTCAGTAAATTTTCTGTAGAGATGTAGGACATTTAGTGGTACTAACAATGAGCAAAGGCGCATCATATTGCCTCTGAACAAAAGAGAAGAGAAAACATCCGTTCTGAGTTTGATAGAATTGTTGATTTAACTCCGACTTTGACTGACTTGGAGAACCGCTCTGAGTTGAACATTTTAACCAAGTCTGCCGATTATATCGATAAGTTGAAGGAAGAAAATCAAAGATTAATAGCTCTGTGTAGGGCTCGAGGGATTTTGGTACCAGAAGAGTTGGTATATCGTGGACCTGGTTCCGAGATATAGGTGTAAATTATATAGGTGACATCTGTTTGTAATGAATACAATTTTAATTATAGCTCGAGAGCTGACAAATTTATCGAATATTACGGTGCTCCCACCATTTTGTAGAATATAATGATATAAAATAGCTATGCTTATGCTTTTGTATATTAGTGGATATGTTTAAAATATTCTATTTATAATGTTTCCAAACAAGTCCATATTTATATGCTTGCCCATTGTGATCCCAAAGGTTGTCCACTGGGGTAAATTCCACAGACTTCAACTCCAAGCTTTGCGCTTCAGCTAAACTAGCATAAAGTTGAATCTTACCCTTGGCATTTATTAGGAACAGCGATACATCATTCAAGCTATTAGAGTACAATGTACTGGAAAATAATTCGCCCTTTCCAATCTTTTGAATGCTAGTAGCTTGCAATGAATATTTTTCTATAGTGTCATTGATAATAGTTTCAATTTTGTCATTTTGTTCAAGTTCGTTATCATCGTCTTCATCATCGTCATACATACCAACCAAATTCTTATAAGAGAATCCACCCCATTCAATTTTTGCACCCCTTGGCAATTGCTTGACCTGAACGATTGTAAGTGAACCAGCACCGTTGTTGTATTGGTTCCAAGCTGAGCTGGCCAAATTGACTGATGAGATTTCAGTAACAAAGCAGATGATTGATCCATACTCTCTTACATTCACGACCTCTGTCACTCTATGTAAATGCTGTAATGAAAAAGTGGCATGGAAATTCAAACTGTTATCCTTAGGAAACTGCATAGTTGCTGGTTCAAGTGGGATTTGTCCAGACAATGAAGCTTGTAAGAATTCTTCGTTTCTTTCTACTATACTTTGGGAGTATGGCCCAATATTGTGTGGTGCCCAGTACGACCTAGATCTGATGTGTATTCCTTCCTTTAAAAGATGATCGCTTAAAAGAACTTCACAGGATAGTTGGGCAAAACACTTATCATATAACTTTGTTCCAATACAAATTCTAGAGGGCGGCAAATAAAAAGACTCAAAGTATCTAGAATATACCTTGTTAACTTTCGAAAATTCATTCATATCTGCTAACAAAAGTGTGACATGCTTGATGTTGTTGGCTGACACAGAATTCTTCTCAAGTATATCTTTTAATTGTTCAAATATGGATTGAACTTGACCTTCAATTGTGTCCGATAATTCAGTATCTATTAAGTTCGAAATATACAATTTCTTCGAGGTTTTGAATATTGAGGTTGGACTAGCACTGATCCTAACGCCATTGGAACCAAGGTCGATATTGCTAATCCCTTGATCTAATTCACCTACATCACCTATACTTTCTAATTCTTCAAATATTAGGCTGAATTCTTCTTCTAATAATGGTGGAGCTTCCAACATTTGAAAGTCTTCTACACTGACTTCCTTTGGAACAGCCTTCACCTTTACCTTGAGATAGCTCACATCATCAGTGGAATCGGCAATCACCTCTTCCAGTAAAATTTCCAATTTTTTCTTGAAAAATGGAGCATCGAACACCAAAGTTTCAAATTCTCCACCTTCTCCACATATATGAACATCGTACATTTGATTTAACTGGATCAACTTAGGGTATAACTGCAGAATTGATTTACCTAAATGAGAAGTGTTCAAACCAATGGCCGCAACTTTAACGATTCTCGCATCAAGGCCATTTTGACACATTTCACCCATTAATTCCAACTGGTTCCTTTGCCACAAGTACGTCAACGAGGTCAAGCCTAGCCTATCACATACATTTTCTACTCTAGTCCTCTGATAGTGTGATAAGATCGCTCCACAACTAACACCTTCAATATCAGGATGCAACCTTTGTACTCGCTGCAACAACCTAAACAAGTCTTCAATTTCGTCTTCTTTCGTAAGAGAGTATTCTAATTTCTGATTCTTAGAAGATCCTACGATTTTCTCTCTATACAATGGTATATCTAAGCATTCACTATAACTATTTATAATATCGTGGCCAACAGTTTGGAACATAAATGAATCAATCTCATCGCGCTCTGGTTCCTCGGGGTATAGATTCGCAAGACAGACAAGTTCATGGCCCCTAGATATACAATGATGTATATTGTAGAATGAATCTTTTCCACCAGAGATAAGAGCAACAAACTTCATTTGAAAGAACAAACAATCACCTAGTGTATAACCAAGGTTACGAATGCCCAGAATAGGTAACCACCTTAGCCTCTACATAGTGTCGTACAGGCATCTGTATCTCAACTCGCATGCAGGACACACTTCACTAACAAACTAACCAATATATTCACCATATAGGAGCCTGCACATAGTCACCGTCACAGTGGCTTATGTTATTTACGCAGGGCTCGCGTAATTTTAAGTACAACTCACCACCAGGCGTACATACAAATTTTTCATTTTTCTGCGATGTCTTCCCCTCCATGCAGTACAATCTTAACAGTGAAAAAAAAATATAAATTCTCAGTGTTTCCCCGTTACTGCAAATTTTTCAGTTTGGATTTTTTTCTTCATCAAAGTAAAAAGAAGTCAACATGCCTCGTATGTACTTGATACAGAACAGGTTTAATGGTGACACTTTGATAAAGATAGAGTGATTTGTCCGTTGGAGCTCGGGAAAAAGGAGTATTCTACTACTTTTGCCTTTGTTTTAATGTTGACTACGCTCGAGGTTCGGGACCTCAATAAATCACTATGGATGATTTAAAATGGAGCTTATTTGTAACTGAACACCCGACACTTCAGTTACATTTAAGATAAGTCTCCACAACAGCAAAAACAGAGGGAAGAGTAAGACTAAAATTCAGTGAAATTTTCTCGATTCTGGTCATCTTTTCGTGCATACTCTGATTTTTTGCAAATATACGTTGTGGAGCAAAAATCCGTTTTTCTGACTTCTATTTATGAGTTTATTGTTCTTTATTTTAGTGTCTCTTAAACTGTATGAAAAAAAGACTAGATCTCCATGATTTGGGTGCCTCTTTCTTATAGACTGTAATTCTAACAAACTTTAGGTGCTCCAAGAACTTACTCCAAGACTTACTCCGTCCCAAAGCAACCTTATGAATCTGCTCGTTTAGATGCTGAATTAAAGCTTGCTGGTGAATTCGGTTTAAAGAACAAGAGAGAAATCTACAGAATTAACTTCCAATTATCCAAGATTAGAAGAGCTGCTCGTGACCTTTTAACCAGAGACGAAAAGGATCCAAAGAGATTATTCGAAGGTAATGCTTTGATCAGAAGATTGGTCAGAGTTGGTGTCTTATCTGAAGACAAGATGAAGTTAGATTATGTTTTGGCTTTATCTCCAGAAGATTTCTTGGAAAGAAGATTACAAACTCAAGTCTTCAAGTTAGGTTTAGCTAGATCTATCCACCACGCTAGAGTTTTAATCACCCAAAGACACATTGCTGTTGGTAAGCAAATTGTCAACATTCCATCTTTCATGGTTAGATTAGACTCCCAAAAGCACATTGATTTCGCTCCAAACTCCCCATACGGAGGTGGAAGAGCCGGAAGAGTTAAGAGAAAGAACCAAGCTAAGAACTCTGAAGGTGCTGAAGACGAAGAATAAATTATTTAGTTGATTTGCATTAACAAAGAAACACAAAAAAATATATATATAAATCTTCTTCAAAACAAAAAATATAATTGTAATATAGTAGTATAATAAAATAAATGGCAGGGCTATTGAAATGATATGATTGTAGAAGAGTGTAAGCGAATTACTCGTGATGCATAATGTAGGACTGCAATTAGTGGTAATTGGCTTATTTGGTTCCATATTCTGGATAGAGAAAGAGCCAGAAACTGGTGTAGTAGTAGTAGTAGTAGTAGTAGTAGTAGTAGTAGTAGTAGTAGTAGTAGTGGTAGTAGTAGTAGCGTCATGGGATGCAACAGGGAAAAGCTGTGAAAAATTGAGGTAGAGAAGGGCACACCACTGGGACAAGCGCCAGGAATAAGACATAGGCACTGCAACAATACGACAAGACAAAACTTAATACAAACACGATAGAACTGTAGAGATAACCACCACAGCAGTTTCCTTTCACCTAAACCTGAACTGGACTCATAAACCCTTCTCATTCACTCCCAGACCAATACCACCACCATACTTCACTGCAAGGCTGCAACCCACTCTTCCCTCACCAAGCGTCACATGACCCGCTAAGGGCTCGACCCTAGTGACACAAAGCCACAATGCAATCCGAAAAATGAAAAATTTGTTTTTCGCTCTCTCACACTCAGGCCTCTCGCTCTCTATACAAATTTATATATTAGTGGTTACTGACTATTCATTAGCTCTTAAGATATCGAACTAACATAATCAAAAATGGGTAAATCGTATGTGATATATAATGTAGGGTGGACGTGGATACCACTGATGATGTAAAAAGGAAATATTGTGGAAGTGAAAGAGTGAATGAATGTAGTAAGGCGAGGCGCTGGATAATAGCGAAGCAAAAACAGTTTGCTGTAGCTGAACGAGCGAACAGTGGATATTGTGGACAAACCAAATAGGGGACCATCACTTTTCAACATCCGTGTAGATGGACAAGGAGCCGGACAGCATGGAGAAGTAAACACATGCCAGAAGTTAGGCAGTAGAGCCATCCCACAGAGAGAAATGTTTTCAGAAGAGAATTGAGGCAGCATAGCGACTCAGGGCCCCTCGAACTAGCTCCCACTGTACGAAAACATAAGAAGCAAGATCAAAACTAGCCAGAACGAAAGAAGGTTGGGAACATACACCAATCCCATCTGTCTGAGCCGGCTGAGCAATCAAATGTTAGCACCTAGAGGAGTCGATGGGACGGACCAAACGTGTACCTTACTAAGGTCAACTCTCGCTAGAGCTATACATACATGCATTCATTCATTCATTCATCAGTTTATTCCACCACTGTTTTAGGACTGTTTTACATTTCTTTAGTTACCTCTGCCGCCTCTTGGTGTCCAAGTTGACCTTAACTTGGCTTTTTTCCCGGAATTCATTTTACTAACATCTTACTTTAGTCGTGGTTACAGATCAGGTACTCGTTACGCTTTCCAACGTGACTTCAAGAAGCATGGTGCTATTCCATTATCTACTTACTTGAAGACCTACAAGGTTGGTGACATTGTTGACATCAAGGCCAACGGTTCCATCCAAAAGGGTATGCCACACAAATACTACCACGGTAAGACCGGTATCGTTTACAACGTTACCAAGACTTCCGTTGGTGTTATCATCAACAAGGTTGTTGGACACAGATACTTGGAAAAGAGAGTCAACTTGAGAGTTGAACACGTCAAGCACTCTGCTTGTCGTCAAGAATTCTTGAACAGAGTCAAGACCAACGCTGCTTTAAAGAAGGAAGCCAAGGCCAAGGGTGAACAAGTTCAATTAAAGAGACAACCAGCCAAGCCAAGAGGATCTTACGTCATTGACGCTAAGGCCAACATTCCTCAAACCTTAGCTCCAGTTCCTTATGAAACCTTCATTTAATCGCTTTATATATATAAATGCATAAAGTCTGAAAGAGAGTGCTAAACGTACTGTGAGATGTAGATATTCCTTTCGTATCTCATACCTCTGTGCTCTTGCCGTTCTATCTCTCTATCTCATACCTCTGTGCTCTTCGTTCTATCTTCCCCATCTCATATCTTCCAAGTGCAACAGTTAGCGATAATCAAGAAATCGGTTTTGTGTCACATAGATGGGGCTGCTTTGCCAGACGCTCACCGCCATTTGAATTTCTACAAACCGCACGGTGTCTCCTTGAAACAGATGCTAAACACCATAGGTATCTAGTAGTAACATAGCGAATTGCAGTTCGTAGACTATGGAGGAAACTGCCCTGAAACCAAACGGTACTAAAGAGGCGACCCCGGTTGATTCGGCGACTCCTTCCTTGGAGGGAACACCAGTGTCAGCTGGAGTGCTGAGCGCGACGACTCCCCAACCACAACAACCACCACCACAGAAGCTCGTGCAACCATTGCAGCCCGGTGGGAGCACCAAGAACGGGCTCTTTTCAAATGCACTTCAAACGTGGACGGAAATCGATTTGCCCTCGTTGCAAAGAAAGCTAGATGACCAAGGGTTGGAGTTGAAGGAAGACCAGAAGAAGTCTTTGCTCAACAGAAAGGACCTTGCTAACAAGACCAAGGAATTCAAGAAGTTGGCTGATGAAGAGAAACTCTCCCAGTTTAAAACTTTGTTGAAATCGTACCAAAACGAAATCGATTCGCTTACAACCAAGAAGAAGACGGTGGAAAACTACTTCTTCGGCATTTATAGATTGATCGCCGAGGCGCCAGATCCCAAACCTTTGTTGGAAGTATCACTCGACGCCGTTGTAGAGTATTCAGATGCCGAAAATTTAAAGAAAGAGGTATCTAGATTGAATGAAGAGCTCTCCAAGAAGGCAGACTACGATCAATTGAAGCAAAGATTGGTCAGAAACGAACAGAAGCTGGCTGAATTCTTGAGCAACCAGTTGAGGGCCAAGGAGGATGAATTCAAGGCTCTTATAGATGAGAAGGAGGTAAATTGGGCGGAAAAGGAGAAGTCATTCAACAAGCAACTTGCGGAATCCAAGCATAAAATCGAAGAATTAAGAACTTCCAACGAGGTGACTACATTGCAGTTGAAGGGAAGTGGCAATAACGAAGACAAGTCACAAGCCTCAGCTTCTATTATCACAGAGTTAGAAATAGTTTCCAGAGATGCAGAGAATTCCAAAAAGAGAATTTTTGAATTGGAAAAGAGAAATGAAAAACTCAGATCCGAATTAAGCAAGTCCCAGAACGACTCGGAATTAGACACACTCAAGGAAACATTTAGAAGGAAGGAGAGCGAATTGGAAGGAGAAAATGCATTATTAATAGCAAATCTTGAACAGACAAAGAAGAAGCTTACCACTTTGGTTCAGGAACAAAGCACCAAGAGTGAATCGTATTCTAAACAAATCAACCAACTTAATCAAGAATTAACCAAATTGAAGGAAAAGATAGATCTCACAAGCGATTACGATGAGTTGAAGCAAGAAAATCAGTTATTGAAGCAACTTCAATTTGGCCAGGATTTGGATGAAGACAACAATGAACCTAATGAAGAAGGTGAGAATGGAGGAAATGGCAATGACAATATTGATTCGATCATCATTCAAAGAAATAAAGCCTTGACCCAAGAATTGGCCGAGTTTAGATCTCAACATGAATCCTTTGTAAATAGAATAAAAGAGCTTGAGCTTGAATTGAATTCAACCAGCGACGAACTTGCTAAATCTCAATTATTAAATGATAGACTTGAGAATGACCTTGTTGACTTACAAGAGGTTGGTGGAGCAGGAGGTAGCACTATGGGAAGCACTAGATTCAATGATAACATGAGCTTAATATCGGGAGTGACGAAAATGACAAATATTATCGGAGGTGGCAATGGTCGTCGTAGTGGAAGCATAATTGGTGAATCATTGACCGGTGGAAGCTCGGCGACAATGGACGACAGCTCCATTCTTCCAATAATAACTAAACAAAGAGACAGATTTAGGGATAGAAACAATGAGCTCGAGGAAGAAATAAAACAACAATACAACACGGTGAGTGACTTAAAGAGAACGGTGAATAGTTTGAAAAAAGATAATGAAGAATTGTACGAGAGAACTAGATACTTGGCTCTGTTTAAGGATAATTCAGCTAGCAGCACCTTTTCATCTAGAGGTTCCAATAGAAAGTTATTGGAACCTAAACCTAATAATGTGACATTTGAAAATCCGTACCAGGCCAACTACGAATCCAAATTGCACCCAATTGAGCAATTCAGAGTAAGAGAGCAGGAAAGAATTAACTCCAAGCTTTCGCCAGTGGAAAGGTTATTTATTTCATTCTCAAGGGCTATTTTAGCCACTAGGACCACCAGAATGTTGTTTGTTATATATTGTGTGGGATTGCATTTTATTGTGATGCTAGTCACTATCTACTCGATGGGATTGAATACCCAGATGATCCCAGAGGTAGGAATCAATGGTAGTACAGGAGGAATTGCCACAGGTTTAACGGGCTCTCCAGATGTAGATGCCGCAGCAGTAGTGAATCCTGGTATATAGGCGGTACTTTAATAAACACCGTTATTCTATTATTCTTTTCCATGTCCTTATCTTCTGTAGCTAGAATGCGACTGGTTCCTACCTTCCTATATCTAGTACGTAACTTACATCTCACACCCATAGCTAGTCTGCAACCTAGCTATGCAACCTACATGTCCCAACTTGCCTATATGCAGTACACACACTATATGATGCTTTAAAGTAGCAACATTCGCAACCCTATCGTATTAAGATTCGCAGCCTAAGCTTTTTGGTGATTTGCCACTTGGTAACCCCCCTTTTCCTGGATTTGTTATATAAGGAATAGTTATTGTCATAAGTTTGCTTAAATTCTCAAAAATTTATTCTTTATTAACTTAAATAGTATTAATATGTCAGACAATTCGCAAAAACTTACTCAAGAACAAAAGGATGCTGAGAACTTCAACCCAGACAATCTTATTGTCAATATTGGGGGAAAGCTGGTTCCATTCTCACTGATCAACAAGCCACACCATGCAATTGTTCACCCTAAGGAGCACCATGCCCCCATCGATGCAAAGGATTTTCCAGATCTTGAGCCAGAAGCAAAGGAAAGAGAAGCTAAGCTTGCAGCTGCTAAGAAGAGTGAGTAAGTAAGTGTGTAGATCACTCAGAGTTTGTAGTTTATTAAATTCGAAGTTGTGAATGTTCAGGGAGTAGTAACCAAAAAAAAGAAGAAAAAGAAAAAAAAAAAATAGATTGGAATTAAACAGACACCCGTATATATCATTAGATTAGAAATTACAGGCAAATGACATGAGATAAAAAGAGAGCAGGAACTCCCGTTGAATGATTATATAAACCAATACAAGGACGCTATTCCTTTCATCTACTGTAAGTAGGCTAGGCAAATGGGGCTATATTAAGGATCCTGCATACCGAGCCGTCTAACGCCTTTTTTTTTTAGCATCTACGGTAGCACGCGGAGCGGAGCCTCTAGAGGCCCTAGAAAATTAGTGGGCTCTTGGTGCTATTTCAGTTAGCAGAAGGACAAGTACTCAAGTCAAGGTTTATCATCGAGAGATCGAATACCATGATTGGTTTACCACGTAAAGTTATCCGTCAGGGAGGATTTTTTTTTCTTTTCTTGATTTTTGCAACTTTTTTGGTATTATTTGCCAATAAGCAAAAGGTCATTATACTAAATGATTACTTACCTGTAAGTTTTACTCCTTCATTTTTCCAACCTGCCGCTGATCTGTACTTTATAGATTTGAGCGTCAATGGGTGTTTGAAATTTAACAGAAATAGTCCCACTTGTGGAGTCCCACGTGACGGCAATGGCATGGGCAGCTGGATCAGGCTTGAGAAAGATCTTACCTTGGGTAAGTCATGGACCAACACGTACTACTTGTCGTTCAAAAAAGTCAGTGAGGAATTGCTCAGAGAAGACACCAATGGCGAAAATAGCGGAAAACTGAAGAGAAATGCGAGAGAAAGCACCTTTGTCATCATAGATATTGCCATTTCCAACCCTGAAGTGGATGTAAAGATTAAGGGCAATGAGAAGTCCAAGATTCCTTTTGCGATTATAAAGGATTTACACACCAGTAAGGTATTCGATGATGTAGCTCATGAACTATTAGTCAAAGAAAAAGCGGAAGCAATGAAGGGTGGCAAGTTGCAAGCTGCCACAGTTGACAAAGACAAGACGGCAAGTAAGAAAATTGAAAAAGTAATGCAGTCCGAGTCCCAAAAGGCTGAAGATAAGGCTAAAGCCGATGCTCAAGCTGAAGCAGAAATCAATAACGTAGTCGAAAAGGCGGAAAAGGTATTAGATAATGTAGACGGTACCCTCCAGAAGAGGACTATTGAAAAGAGTAGACACGATTTAGAAGTTGAGTATAAAATCCCAAACAAAGCGCAATTGAAAGAGAGAGGGTGGACTGCTAAGGATCACGGTATTTGGGTCAGATACGGTGCCAGCACAGATATCAATGCCATTACAGGTATTGATGTACTATTCGGCGAGGATTCTGTAGATCCTCGTCCAAATTGGGAATTGATCAAGCTGGGCTCCATATCCGGCATTGGTACTGATAAGGATAAGGAAGCTTACATTTCGATTCGTAGGGGCCCAAAGAAGGATTATAAAAAGGAATACCCTGGCAAATTGAAAATAAATAAAAATGGAAAGTACAAGATTTTACAAGTGGCAGATTTACATTTTTCAACCGGTGTTGGTGAATGCAGAGACCCAATGCCAGAATCAACGAAAAAGGGCTGTCAAGCAGACCCAAGGACATTACGATTCTTAGAAAAAGTGCTTGACTTGGAGAAGCCTGACTTAGTCGTACTAACAGGGGATCAAATTTTTGGCGACGCAGCTCCTGACTCGGAAACTGCTATATTCAAGGCCTTACACCCATTTATACAAAGAAAAATTCCATTTGCTGTCACATTGGGAAACCACGATGATGAAGGCTCTTTAACTAGAGAAGAAGTGATGGCATTATCCGCTAGTTTACCCTATTCAATGGCTTCATTAGGACCACAGGATGTTGCTGGTGTAGGTAACTATGTCCTAACAGTAGATGGACCAGCTTCTACCAACCCTGCATTAACCTTATACTTTCTTGACACTCACAAGTACTCTCCAAATCCCAAGGTTAATCCTGGATATGATTGGTTGAAGGAATCTCAATTAAAATGGTTGGAAGAGGAAGCTTTGAGTAGGAAAAAGAGCCAAGCTGCCTATACCCACATTCATTTGAGTATGACCTTTTTCCACATACCACTTCCTGAGCATAAAAACACCCATGGTCAACCATTCATTGGAGAATTAAAAGAACCTCCAACCGCACCAAAGTATAACACAGGAGCTAGAACTCTTTTGCAAAGACTTGGAATAAAAGTTGCAAGTGTGGGACATGATCACGCCAATGATTATTGCCTATTGGATGTTTCACAGAAGGACACTAATTTGGAAAATAAAATATGGTTGTGTTATGGTGGAGGATCAGGAGAAGGTGGTTACGGTGGATGGGGAGGTTACGTTAGAAGATTGAGAACTTTTGAGGTTGACACAAATACTGGAGAAATATCTACTTGGAAACGCAGAGAAGATAAACCAGATGAAGTATTTGATCAGCAAATTATTGTTTCAGGTGGGGAAGTTGTAAATTTTTGAGTGAATATTTGAGCTAATAGAGTATATAAATCATAAATAAATATGTAAAATAGATTATTGTGTTATACTCCATTGTATTCTCTACATTCATGAATGAAATGAAATGTGGGGTACATTTTTTTTTTTTTTTGATTTTCAAGGATCTGTTAGAAGCCATTTCTATTTTGAAGCCTTTTAAAGTCAGTGCATTTTCTCCTAGGGCCGTATAAGCAGTAGGCAGCATTAATACCAAGACAACTCGGCCAGCAGTTTCCAAGTACATTGGCAGAAGTGTACGTTCTCATGTCTGAGACAGTGTACTGTTTATGGGATACTGGACCATGACGTCAGTCAGAAAGTCGAGGAATATTTTTTGCGCACCTCTCATCTTTCCTCACATAAATCATAAACTACAAGAGACACTGTTCGGAGAGAAAACCCACTAGTGAACGAAATTAATAACTAGAATTAAGTAACTACATTGTTACTTCGAAACACACACAGAATCAGCATTATTTGCGGTATTTTACGTCACTTTTTTTCAGAAAACACGAATTATTGTGCATAAGTTCTTTAATTGGCTCTTAACCTTAAATTTCATTCAGGATTGGAAATGAGTTAGAACAGATTATATGTATTCACGGACTTGTGTCAGCGCATAATCAGTTTGATCTCATGAAGAGCAACATCTGGCTTTCACTATCTATAAATCACTCCGACTCGAAGAACCATGCCTGGTTCAGCTAGCTCTGTTATGGTATCTTCATAAAAGGGCCACTCGGTTATAAGTATTTATTTTTAGAGCGTGTCGCTAAAGTTGCTGCAGTTTTCGAAAGTGGGGAGGGCTGCAGCATTGCAGCATAAGAAAATTCTGAAAGTATGTTGCAGATATGCAAGTCCCGGGATTAGGTTCAGTAATTCCGAGACATATATGGATGTATATTTACTATTGCTCTATAGTTCTCCATACTATAAATGGGGTGTATTTTCTTTCGCCTGTGTTCACTTGTGCTTCTAGTAGTTATTTCTGCTCTTTTCAAATTAGTTACTTGGGAGTGCTAACATTTTAAAAAGCTATCAGCTAAACAGTGTGCAGAAAAATGTCGACTTCAAGTTCAAAGTCTTCAATGACTGAAAAGCCAAGCCATGATTACGACAACTACTCCAAAATCCATTCATTTATTGGGTTGAGGGGCGAGAAGTTGAACTTAGCAGTTTCGGTGCTTTCTGGAGTCGGGTTTCTTTTATTTGGATATGATCAGGGTGTTATGGGAAGTCTTCTTACATTGCCTTCTTTCAGAGAGACCTTCCGACAAATTGATGTAACTACCCATCCTGAAAATTCTGTTCTACAAGGTGCCGTTATTGCCTTGTATGAGATTGGATGTATGATCTCTGCTCTTTCAACTATGTACTTTGGTGACAAGCTTGGAAGAAGAAAATTGATATTTATTGGTTCAGTTATTATGCTTATCGGTGGTGTAATTCAATCTTGTGCTTACACAGTCGCTCATTTAACTGTTGCTAGAATTATAACAGGATTTGGAAATGGTTTCATTACTGCTACAGTGCCAATATGGCAAGCAGAATTGGCCAAACCTAAAATGAGAGGAAAGCTTATTATGTTGCAGGGTTCCATCATTGCTCTCGGTATAACAATCTCATACTGGGTGGATTTTGCTTTTTATTTCTTAGATAAACCAGGAGCTTCATATGCAAGCGTTTCATGGAGATTTCCCATTGCTTTCCAGTGTATTTTCCCAATCATCATTATCCCTTTTATTTTCAAATTACCAGAATCTCCAAGGTGGTTATTGAAGAAGGAACGCAGGGAGGAGGCGCGTATTGTCTTCTCTGCCATCTATGAAGTCCCTCTTGATGACCATTTGGTTCATGCTCTGATTGAAGAAATTGAACAATCTATTGCCATGGAGGTTCGTGAAGGTGCAGATAAATTCAACTTCAAGAGTTTATTAAGTCAAGGAGAATCCAAAAACTTCCAAAGAACAATGATTGCAGCTTGGTCCCAAATTATGCAACAAATTACAGGTATTAACTTGATCACTTACTACGCTGGTACCATTTTTGAACAGTACATTGGAATGCCTCCTTTGCAGTCTAGAATTTTGGCGGCTTGTAATGGTACCGAGTACTTCTTGGCTTCTTTACTTGCATTCTGGACCATTGAAAGGTTTGGAAGAAGGAAATTGATGCTCTTTGGTGCAGCTGGGCAGGCAATTAGTATGGCAATTCTTACAGGTTGCAATCATAAAGCGGATCCAACTAATTCTGGTAATTCTGTCGACCATAAGGCTGGTATTGCAGCAGCCGTCTTTCTTTTTGTTTTTAATTCATTTTTTGGATGTACATGGTTAGGAATTTCTTGGTTATTACCTCCTGAAATCTTACCGTTAGGTATTCGTGCTCCTGCCACCGGTATATCTACTGCATGTAATTGGGGATTTAACTTCATGGTTGTGATGATTACCCCAGTGGCCTTCAGTAACATAGGAGCTTATACGTATTCTATTTTTGCAGTCATCAATTTCTTGATGATCCCAGCAGTATATTTCTTCTTCCCAGAAACGGCTGGAAGAAGTTTAGAAGAAATGGACATCATATTCGCTCAAACACCAGCTAACCAGCCATGGAAGAGTGTTAGCATTGCTAGATCATTGCCATACATGCATGCTGGTGCTAACAACAATGAAGACATCGAAAATAAGAGACACGCCTTTGCTGAGCATAGGGAGAATATTCTGATAGAAGAAGGTAGTGGAAATATACCTCCACTCTTAGAGCCTAATGAGGATACTGGAAAAGCTCACTAATGATATACTGATAGATATGTTACACACGTAAATTATGATCGAAAATATATACTATTAAACTAGACTTACTGACTAGTAATATTCTGAATATAACTGTCTCCTTATATCACTTAACTCTTGTTATTTCTTATAATTGAAACAAATATCTGCAATTAATAATTGACTAAATACTCTAATTTATTGAAGAGTCACTACTGTCTCCTTTCAACTTCATAAATTGTTCGTACACATATAACCTATGCACATACGTTGCCATATTTGTATTAGTCTTACATTTGGGAACTCTTGGCCTTTTCAGTATATATTTCGGTGTAGTTGAATAGTTCCCATTGATCCAACTGTCATTTACGTGCTGGTAGAATGACAGGAAGAAGGGTGGAGGCAGATACTGGGGAAGCTTTAGTTTCTTTTTGGGTTTCTCGCTCTCGTTGTCCCTAAGTCTGAGCTTCTTTCTAATTGGCTTGTTTAGATCGAAGGAGGAAGGGTCAGATGAAGAAGTAAACTCAAATGAGGTCGTTTCCTTTCTGTTTATGGTTACACCTAAGCTGTTCCCGCTGACCCGCTCACTTTCCTCATTATATGTTGTTTCACTCTCTTTTCTTTTGATAGTAGGTAGCCTTATAATTTTGGTGTGTCTTTCCTCAACGACTTCGGGAGCAATAGTCTCAGGTATGCTGAGATCGAGTTGTAGGGAAGTATCAAAATCTGGGTGAATTGCATTAATATATTGCGCTTTCATTATAAAAGAGAAAAATAGCTTGATAAATATGTTCACTAAAGGTCGAAAAAAGCTGGCAAACATGTATATACCCTGCCAGGCTATAACAATATATACAAAAGAATTAATGGAGAGCAATACAAACATATCCAAGCATCTTCCAAAGCTTTAAATATAAATAAATATAACTTTTGGGTATGGCATACCAGAAATGGCTGCAATTTAAAACTGCAGCATATTCTCTCATCCTCTCTGCGTGCAGGACGACCTCCAAATCCGGGTAATGAATAATTTGCATTCGATTTTTTTTTCTTCTCATTACCAAACCAACGAAACTAAAAACTGAAAAACTTTAACGATTCAGACAAAGAGAGTCAGTGCCATCGACGACAACTTGTAGTAAAAATTATATAAATATTGAGGGGGGATAACCAAACTTGAATTTTATCAAAGGAAGGATTATTTATTAGAACAAAAAGCATCTAATAAGTGAAAGAATAGAAGCTAAAAACTGCGTTGAATTTGTAACATCATATTTTTGGAGGCACTTCACAAAGCTAAGTTTTAACACCATACATATAATTTAGCATTAAAGAATAGTAAACTTTTGAGAAATGTCTTGGTTATTTGGAGGAAAGACTGAACAACCTAAAAAGGAAGAATCTTTACAGCAAACGCTCGGCTTTGATCCTGCACAAGTGTCCGATGTTTCATCTATATTACTGGCCCCTGGTGTCCTTGATAGTGCAAGATTGCATCCATTGGCAGGATTAGATAAGGGAATCGAATACTTGGACTTAGAAGAAGAACAATTAAACAATGTTGAAGGTGCGCAAGGTTTAATCCCTTCGAGAAGTTGGACTGATGATTTATGTTATGGTACTGGTGCCGTTTATTTATTGGGTTTGGGTATCGGTGGAGCATACGGGTTCCAAGAAGGTGTCAAGAATTTACCTAAGAACGCCCCACCAAGATTGCAATTAAACACCATTTTAAATCATATCACGAAAAGAGGTCCTTATTTGGGAAATTCCGCTGGTGTCCTTGCCTTAACCTATAATTTGATTGATTCCTCGTTAGATGGATTCAGAGGTAAGCACGATGACATCAACTCCGTAGCGGCCGGTGCTTTAGCCGGAGCCATTTTCAGAAGTAGTGCAGGCTTAAGACCAATGGGTTACTCCACTGTCTTAATGGCAGGTGCTGCAGGTGCATGGTGTGGACTTAAGAGATTGTTGGCATAAAGATATGAAACAAACTCAAGACAAAGCAAAGAAGAACATAAAACAGTAAAAAAAAAAAAAAAGGAATTAAGAAAAAGAACAACATAACTAGTTGAAGGATGCAACCCAATTGCATTTTCTCATATCTCAAACATTACCCAAACGTGAACATAACATAATCCCTACCTTTGTCATCATTTTAGCCAATATGACATATCTTTCAATCTGTACATAGAGTATCAATACAATGAAGATATAGAGATAGTTTTAATCAAAATGTGTATATATTGCATATCCGTAAGAAGTTATGTGTAATTGCCTATACTTTTATGTGTGATGTAAGAAATGTGTGGACCTATGTAAGCTATTAATCTATAAAGGAGAGGCTACTTGATGGACCTTTTCTGCGTTTAGTTCTACCTTATGCTCCAATTTTCTCTTCGTTAGAATCACATTTTCCTTTTCCTTTTGAGCTTCATCTTCCTCTTCTAACTTTCTCTTGCCGTTCTGCTTGGGTAACTCCTTCTTTGTTTCAATAAGCTCAATTTTCTGAAGCACTTTCGTAACAATTTTGTTTCCGCTTTCCCCTATTTCATTTGCAATAGATAACAATTCTTGATTGGTTTTACCTCTTGCGAATCTTTGATAGAACGGAGACTTTCCTGGGATTTGATTCAATATCACGTACTTCGTGTTACCAGCGTAATTGCTAACCAGTTCGGCAGTTTCAATAAATTCTTTTACTACCTTGTTCCATGTTAATGGCTGCAAGCTGAAACACGTCGGATTGCTCTCTGCTCCCTCGGCAATCATGCAGCCAATATCAGCCCCGTATTGGGACTGCAACTCCTCGTATTCACGCCTATTAGTGATAGCTCCATTGATAATAAAACTAACATTGTTTGAGTGACAAGTGCGTATAATCTCAGGTAAGAATGCTCTGACAGGGCTTTGTCTGTTTCGCATATCCTTTGTTCTGCAGTGTAGCGTCAAGTTGGTGATACCGGTCTTGCACAATCTGTCCACCAACTCCACAGTAGGCTGAGGATCCTTGTCATCCAATAACCTAATTTTCACACTGATCGGTATGTTAAAGATCTTTCCTTGGCTGACTAGATTCTTTAAAATGGATTCCAATAAATCTGGGGTACTTAGTAACGCAGCACCCATCCCCGAATGAGTCGAAAACGGTTTAGGACACCCGGCATTAACGTCTATACCGTCAACGTCCTTGGCTACAATCTTTGCTGCACTCACGGCAAGTTCCGGGTTGGCAGTACCTATTTGAAAAATCAACTTGCCACTTTCTACTTTAGGTAAAGTTCTGAAAACTAGATTAGATACTCCAGGTATCTTGTAGTTTCCACCCACTTCCACAAAATCCACAGTGCCCAAATTTTCGTTAACAACTCTTTCACATTTAAGGAGCTTTTTATCGATAATTTCCGGACTCCATACCAAATCTGCACCATACTTAAGTGCCATCAATCTAGTGGGCAACTCTCCACTCCTAACCATAGGAGCGAGGCATAGCTTCCCTGTATAAAGCGACATCAGATCGACGGTCCGTACAAAAAATATTTCACCTTTTGTGAGCACCAAACCCTTCAAGTCCTACCTGATACCAAATCGGTGATGATCATGTCAGACTGCACGTATAGAAAGCCCATCGCTATATGGGTGTGCATACTGGAATTGTTCCTGTATAAAAGACAGCTCTTGCAATGAGTAACAAAAGCTCAGTGCACGACTTTCCCCAGTTCCAAATTTATGCCCACGACGAGTAAATATGAGAATGTCTGGATTGAGAAAGAGAAAAAAAAAAAAAAAAAGAAATTCGATGCGATGAGAAAGTCAATTAAACTTCTTTGTTGGTGATGGATCCTGATAAAGCCAAAGCATGATAAGAGAGCACCATATCGAGCTCTGGCATCAAATTTGAAGGTAGATTTGTGGAGAAACTTTCCATGTGCTCAATTCAAGCAATTGCACTGGATAGTTGAATTATTATCTGCTAAAGTAAATCAAATCATTCCCTCCTTTTTCTAGTGACTATCAAGTGTAGAATGCAGAGTAGACAGTAGACAAAAAAGAAAAAAAAAAAATTAAAAAAAAAAAAAGAAAATAAGATTCAAATAACGTTCTAAGGAAAAATAATAACTGTGATAGCCATTTCGAGAAAGCCCTCTCAAAAGAAATTTTTGGGATATGGTGCTATTGGCTGAAATATGCATGTGTAGAGCTGTTTCTCTCCGTTACTATCCGTTTTTGCATTGGTACTGGGCGTGATACTCATTCCTCGAAGTCATGGAAGCACCTGATAAGACACTGGAGCTCATACAGCATGCATTATGCAGGAAGCGAGGTCACTCTCCCAGATCCGAGAGTGTACATCCGACGGTGTATCCATAGTAGTATAGCATGCCATTAGTCATCGGGGAGCAAAAGCCAATTGTGCGGGCATAAGCCAATTGAGCAATGACCTGGCCGCAACATTGATGTTTTCGACATAGAGTCTGCTGACCATTACGCAATGTTCCATTGACTTCTTCGATTTCAATCATGTAATCACTTTTATTTTTTTAGTTTTTTCTTTTTCTGCGCCGCACCCATTCTAAAAAAAAAAAAAAAGAAATTCGATGTAATAAAATTTTTTTTAAAAACCATTTGATTGTTTTGCTTTTCAATATTTTTTTTCTTTTCCACTTCTTCTTCTTCCTTTCTTCAAAGTCGTTAGTGATAAACTAAGCATATACGAACGAAACAGATAAAGAAACAGCTTTTTAGGGTACTTTGATATTCCAATTGTGCAATTGAGAAAGAGCCATAAAATAAAAAACAACATTACTCACGCGAGCTTAAGAAAAATACATTCACAGCAAGGAAAGCAAAGCAACAACTCAATCGGACAAATGTCTTTATATCACCCAATTTCGAGAGCATCGAGCCAGAGAGACTTCTCTGGTACTATCACCCCTACAAACTTGGACCATTTCAGTGTTGGATCCAAGAAGGAATCAATCACGGTCAATTCATCTATTAGAGATGAAATTAGTAATAAGCCTGTACACAGCGCACACAGTATACATAATCGTAAGTCCAGTATATTGTCGCCACCACTCTCGCCATACCAGAAGGTTAGCGATGACGATGACTACAATGAAGTGGAGGAGCCAGTAGACTCTTCAGAATCTTCAAAAGTGTACATACCGCTGAAGCATGCCTTTAAGATTGAGAACTTCAAAGAGTACGACCTCAAGGTCAACCCATGGGCCAATCTTAACTCAGATTACAAATCGAACCAATTCAGGTTTCTCGAGCAATATTCAATAATTTCGTCCAAGGAACGTCAAACCATGAAGATTGTCGAGAAAAGAAGTAATAACGTTAACCGTAAGAGAGTTTCGTCTTCCGATTCAGACTCTGAGTTGGAAAGGGTCAGAACTAGAAGGATTGTAAAAGAATCGAGTGCAAACCTCTCTGAGTTTGATAATGCCAGAGAAAGCACCCCCACCACACCACCAAAGAAGAGAAAGGTCACAAGAAAGGAGCCACATGCTGGTTCTCCTTTAGCAGTCCAACAAGCTGCACTTATCGATGAGAATATCCCAGATTATTCACCAGATCCTGCAGTTACCTTACCTAAGGGTAACAACAGATGTCTCAAGGTAGAGTGGAAGGGACAACCCATGGATTTGAGATTTGACAGAAACATTGATAAGTTACATCCAGCAGAAGTTTTGCTAGCATCCATATTAAGGTTACCATGTAATGTGTATTTGGATTCTAAGAGGAGACTCTTCTTCGAGAAGGTGAACAGATTGAAGAGAGGTCAACAGTTCAGAAGGACAGATGCTCAGAAGGCATGTAGAATTGATGTTAATAAAGCTAGTAGGTTGTTTGCAGCTTTTGAGAAAGTCGGTTGGTTGGAAGATGACCATTTTGCAAAGTATTTATAAGGTAAAGGAATTTCAAGGAATAATAATAAGATAAAGAATAGAAAGGATTAATAAAGAATAAAGAAAAAGGAAAAAAAATGCATAAAGGGAATTAAAGCATAGTAATAGTATAAAAGATTTATATTGTTACCAGGAACAAAGGGAACAGGAACTTTTAGATACATACATTGGATAAGAAACATTGGACAACATTAATTTTTTATTTTCTTTGCGGTCATTTGGGTTAAGTTATTTGTATAGGTAGTATTTTTGTTACATAGGAGATATGTATTTAATAATGTTTAATAATAGTGTTAAGAAAAAAAAAAAGGTGTAGCTCTTCAGCCATTTGGGTGCAAATTGCTGCTGACAATTATTTTTGTATGTGCGGCACGTTGTCAAAAAAACGGTCGCTTAAGATTTCTAATGCAGCGATGTGCATCTATTGGCTCGAAGGATGCGACTAGATTTTTAATCGAGAGCATATCGCGATGAAACCCAAATGGCCTGATATTAGATTAATGAGTGTATAAGAGGGGTGAAGGACCTTAGACTGGTAAGTATACCAACGGAGCACGGTTTTCTCTTATGTTATGGGCCTGACTAGTAGCAAGAACGATTTTGGAAATTTTGAAGCAGAAAAAAAAAAAATATTATTTCTTTCAAGCACTGCGAGAGAACATTGGAGATGCCAGGTACCATTCACACGTACTGGCCTAACTTTAACGTACGATCAGAGTACTAGTCAGCAAAAAATAAAGCCGCTTCGTATTTATTCTAGTATTGCAGAGCACCCACTACAAAGAAGGACTCGATGTCTATTATTAAATACTTAAAAAAAGCATCCAGAACTGAGAAGCCGGCGTTATTTAAATGAGAAATTCTCCCAATATAAGCTTTTTGGAGAACGGCGGTTCTTTCTCCGGCACCATGAAGCAGTCTAGAAACCTATTACAGTTTGCTCGAGCAGGCAGCAAGGGAACCATCACTGTGAGCATCTGGGCCATTTTCAAGCACTGCTTTAGCGTTCCCTTCCCTCTTCACTGTATCCAATTTACTGTCTTTTTTTTTTTTCCACCCAACCACCACTCACCGGTGTTTACGAGCGTATTGCAGCGAAGACTCAGGTACTACACAGCACAATCACCACCCTACGACTGTCACAGCCCCACGATGAGGTCTCGAACACCCCAGTAAAATGTCATATTCTGTGTATATATTTTCTTCTATTTCACATCTCCCCTTCCCCTCCTTCCCAAATCTCTCCCTCCCCCTTTCCACTTTAAACCTTACTCCCTACACTCGTCGAGATTCGCTCGCTCTTATTCCTGGGTGCCCCCATTTTGTTCCCAGCTGATGGGTGCCCGCCCTGCGTGCACAGAACGCACCGCACCGAAATTCTCCAATTCTCAAGAGTTGCCTTAATTTCTGGCTGGCTATAGACCTGTACATAAATAGATAGTGAGCCAGCTTAATAGTTGGATACAATTTCCACAAGTTGCTCAGAAAAAGAGTTAAGCGGTACCAAGAAGAGAAGTCATCTTCACTAGGAACTACAGAGTAGAAAGTCAAAGAATTTGCAGGCTCAAGGATCTCAGCTTACTTTCCATTTCCTTTCCTGGCGCAGCTTACACGGACAGACATTTTCCATAGTAGAGTACTATAGCGTTGAAATATTTCATCCCATACATTCGTTCCATAAAACATTCCAGAAGTTGTTCAAATCGCTCACCTCGAAATCCCCTCGCTTACATCCTCCATCTCTCGCTGTATTCTTTAACCTGCTCCTTACTAGTTGCTTCATTAGGCGGCCATGAATAATCAGTTCAACCAATCCCCTCAGCAGCCCTTGTACTACAATGGGAGCCCATTGCTCCAGTCAAGCCCAGCTTTGGGTCAACCATCCCAGAGTCTTCCCCCGCAGGGCCATCCGGTACTTCAAAGTCAAGCTAGAGGAGCTCAGAACTCTCAGACGTCTCCCCAAGTCGATATGATGCAGAGGCAGCTCGCTTCCCAGATGAACGGGTTTCATATCCAGACCCCAGTCACGGAGTACGTCCCAGCGTTTGCACCGGTTAGTGCTCAGCAGCAGCAGCAGCAGCAGCAGCAGCAGCCCATCCAGTACATGCCTGAACATGTAGACAACAACGTGGTGTACCAGCAGCAGATATCCCAGCTCCAGCCGCAACAGCAACAGCAACAGCAACATATTCACCAACAGGGCCAACCACACAACGCGCAAGTGCCTGGCCACATCCCACAAGGGTCACTTCCTCATGGTCTTCCCATGGGTGGCCCTCCTACCTTGAGCGATCAACAAAATCCCATAACACCCCCACAATTCCAGCAATCGCCAAGATCTGGTATGTCGACGTTCTCTCCTGATTACCCAGTGACTTCCCGAAACTCGACCGTAGGTGTCCCACCATCGCAGCATATTAGAAATTCGTCCCTAGATGAAAAGCTCAAGCAATCCAGAGGCTCGATGCTGAAGGAAGAAGCAGAGGCTGAACTCACCATTGAAGATATTCTCAATAGTGATCCCTTTGACAGTAGCTTGACTAATGATAATATCGTCTCACCAATGCATAACTATACACACAACGAAGAAGATGAGGATGTTTTAATATCAAGCTTCATAGATTTGGAGAGCAGTACTAGCCCATCTATGCCGTTGGGCTTGGGTTTGGATTTTAATTTGGACCCACCGAAAAGACAACACTATCTGGCCCTGCTGCTGTTATCACAAAAATCTAAAATGCATACATCCTCCTCTCCCAATACCTCCAGTGTACCCACAAACATCACCACCATGTCACCAACCACCCCCATAGTTCCCCCACAGGCACCATTCAGCCATTCTAAAACCAGCTCAGTTGATGCTAGGTCTCCTAAGAGGATTTCTACTTCACCTTCGAAGTCTCATACATTTAATGTTTCTAAAAAGCAGATACGAAAGTCCAGTTCTTTCACTGGTGGAGTGCTCCTGAGCCCTGTAGGGCAGGGGCAGTCCAGCCTGGCAGGAGTGGCAGCACCCTTCCAAGTTCATCTTTCCAACTCTGGAACCATTAAGCAGCAACCACAGTTTTCACTCAGCGACTGCTCCAATTCATTTTCTATTATCTCGAACTCCACCGAGAATTTCTCTTTCGTGATGGAAATGGCTCCAACGTCTCCATCTACAGTTCAGACTACGCCGACAATGCAAAGTTCAGCTTCAAATAAATTACGGAGAAAATCCCTATCTAAAATTCAGCCTAGATCTATAGAGAAGCCAGGTTTGAGAAAGACCCAGTCGTCTTACTTTGCCCTGGACCTTGAGGCCCAGCCTCAAAAGGTATTGAAGGGGATGAATGACGGAGTGGTTATTTTCCAGCTAAATAATTCCAGAAAGTAGGCAGGCTACGAAAAGGTTACTTAATAAATACCATGTATAAGTAGAAAATCGTGTAGAAATCGTTTTAGAGAAGCGCTAGTAGATTAGAGTAGGAATGCAGCAGATCGTACAGGACAAGGTCGGGCATAAGGCGTGGGAGAAGGAGCCCAAAATCGAAAGGAAGATAGAGGAGAGCCAGCTCAAGATGTCGGGATCGAAATAGAGATAAAGAGGAAAGTTAGGCATAAGGTAATGTGAATACATTTACTATAAAGCACACACTATGGTGTACGAAAGAGGAAAGGAGCTACGTCTCACACAAGAGGTACGGCTTCATGCAGGGAAGGGTACCACATCCCCCTAGTGTGTGTGCTTACAGACGTAGTTCTAGTTCCCCTAGGCCGACTGCAACAAGCAGTCTTTAATGGCCAGCGGGCTCTTCCTGATTGGATAGCTACAAGCGAAACACTGGTCCCATGTTCCTTCTATTTCCTTCTAATAGTACTTTGTTTATTATATATATGCAGTTATCGTCGTCCCAATGGAGTTCAAAATCTATGAAATTGAGGATGTTTTGTTATTTTTTGTTTTCCAGTATCATCTACAAGTCCTTTGCCCTTGGAACATAATCTTCACCGTGCAAAACCTTTGCTTGTCTGAACTTTCTGTTGTAATTAATTTGACCATCAGTTCCATAAGCAAAGTATGTGAGAGCAGAAGGGACAGCCACCATACTTAACGCTACAAAAGCGATAGATCTTGGCGTAAAACGGAAGTAGGTACCGTACTTTTCCTTAAGAACGTTGAATTTTTGAAAAGCTGGATCTGGTTTCAATGTACCTGCCATTTTAGTGTTTGATGTAGAAGAAGGCTAGTGTTAATGATAACTTTGTTTTGTTTCGTTGAAATTTCATTGGCTGAGAAAAAAATAAATGGGGATTTTTTTTAGAGGGGTGCGCCATATGCAGGATTTGAGAATACTAGGGTAGTGGTGTGCCAGTATGAGTGTTTGTAGTGGTAGATAGAATAGGCCATTGACGGTGTTTTACCACTGTTGTTATGCTTTGATTGTTGGCTCTGTATGCTTATTCGGATTCTAGAAGGAGTATGTCATCCTCAATTCCTTGCATTGTCTCCTCGATTCTCTCTTCCACGTTCCGGATTTCTGTGTTTATCAGCTTTGCATCTTCCAAGTCTTTTTCATTTGTTACTAATATGGGATCCTTCGGTATGCTGCTGCTGGTAGACTCAGCTTGGATTTCTCCGTGTATCACCTCTAGTAACTCCTCCCTGTTTTCATTTTCTAGTACACCAATGCTCTCTAGTAATTTGTAGCTCTTCCCATTCAAGTACTTCGCTCTCGCTGACGGGTACAACTTCAAGTCCTTAATACCCCCCACTTCGACCCTGTTTCCCAATTTGAACTGAATCTTTTGAACCATTGCAAATAACTCATTGGCTTGTTCCAACAAGTAGAAGAGGTTTTCATCCAATGGCGACAATGCCTTCAATAGATCAGCAGTAGCAGGATTTTCTGGAGTTTTTAGGAATTTAAATATTCCCTTGTATTGCTCCAAAAGTGCCACCAACTTTTTGGCCTTGACTATTTGAAGCTTGAGGATTTTACGCAAGTGCAACTCAAACTGAATGTCTTTAAGTAGAGATTCGATCTGGGCATCCAACTCAGCACTGGGATTTGATTTGCCCTTTGCAGTTTTCTCAAAGTCTATGCCCTTGTGATGACTTAGGCGGAACATCCCACTGTCAATAAGCTCCTTCGGTATACTGAAAAGATTCCTGAGGCAATACAATTCAAACTTATCAAAATTCTTAGAGATCTCTGTCTCTAGTAATGTTTCTAGCTTTGCAGTGCCCAACTTGATCTCGTCTTTGGAAGGTACATGCTCGCCGCTTTGATTGTTGAGTGTCGCGTCTTCCATCAATACATCTTCATCCAAATCCTTTGTCTTCAACAATTCTTGTTTCCTTTTTTCTTGTCTTCCAAGTAGGTACTTCTCCATACCATCTGTACACCTGTACATAATCAGATTGACCGCATTTATCACGTCGTCGATCAACGCTATGGGCGGGAAACCAAAGTGCTCGGTGAGTATGGCATAATCGGGGCTCGACATGTTAATTTTGTCGCTGTGCCTTTAGGATTTTGTACACTTCTCTGGCGATGAAAGATGTTGTTTGCAGTGTGCTTGAGTCTTTGTTTTTGTTTTGATATGTGGGTTATATGCAGGATGTGGATTTAGTGGGATGGGGCAGCTGGAGCTGAGCTGCTAGACAGGCAGGTTGCCAGGCAGGTTAGCAGGTAGCGCACTGGCAGAGTTCTCGCACATCAAGTATTATACTGCGGTGTATTGTGCCTGGTTTCCCGGTAAAGAATGCTGGTATTCTGGCGTTCTGGCGTTCTGGCGTTCTGAGGTTCTAGCGTCGGTTCCCCTGGCTCTACTCTTCTATTCAGCACTACCGTCTGCCCTCACGCGTATCGCTGAACAGACAATAATCATTCTACGATTGCGCACCAGAGGCGCTAATTCTCGCGCCTCTTCCCTGGAAAAGTGCGCCATCTTCCAGGCCTCATGCACGCAGAACAGCGCATATTTACGCACTATAACTCCAGCCACTCCAGTATCTCTACACATCTATGGACACTGTGTATCCGTGGAAGAGGTCAGGTAGTACGGACATGTAGCGTAGAGTCGTGCGGGACTTCGCTTCGGAGTAGACCTGTTAGTACCATTTTTCTCCCGCTTTTCGCTGTCACTCATCTCGCTAGCCATTATCCATCTCTGCATTCTTCTCCTCCCTACTACCATCCCATTCTCCAAATTGGCACTCTAGTGATTTTTATCTTTTCTTTTTTTCCCTTCCGCTTTTGGATTGCCAACTGAAGTGTATCGCGATTGTTTTTTTGAGTTCAAGATTTGACTCTTGCCCTTTGCTTAGCCAATTCCGTACCCAGCATATCGTGTTGACCCTCTTCCTTGGTAATAGTTCGACAAGTAGAACCAGCGTTGTTAAGCGAGCAGAAAAGTAAGAAGAAAAAAAAAAGCAAGAGAAAGAAGGAGTTCTGAAAGGATTCAAGGTCACCAAAACACGAAAAAGAAAAGTACACTGAGATGAACTCGCTAGATAGTAAGGTCACTCAATACTTGTATGCGATAAATAAACTTCAGTTATTCATCAGTTCCTTGAAAAGACTCTCCAGTCGAGAAAACATCAAGGACCTCCCATTGTGTCAATATCTTGTGTTGTTGACGGGGAATGTGTTCTCAATCAATGAGTCTCTTTTCAACCCTAGGTTAGACATCATATCCCAGTTCAAATTGTTCAAGAACACCCCAATAACGATTTCTTCCACAGTCACTCATGTGCCCTATGATACCCAGGATTTACAAATCACATCATTGGCAGAATTGCCCACCGCAGAGAGAGCTAATAAGGTGTTGAAGTTGTTGGAGTCCCTCTGCTTCAACTGTTTACAGGCGTACCAGAAAAGATTACAGCAGGCTAAAATTGAAAGAAGGCCTTCGGACCCGGAATTTTTCTCCAAGTTGGAAGACATCATCAAGAACGATATCTTTGACGAAAAGTTGGACTTGGATTTAGATCTCACAGACTCAAAGGTGTTGCTTAACTTGCCGCTGAACCCGAATTTGCTCAACAACGAGGATTTCATTGAGGCTACATTGGTTGACATGGACATTAGAATGTTGTTTGCGGTTAACTCAAGCATACAAGCGACCGTTGAGAAATTAAAAGTACAGATTTCTAAGTATTTACTTATCAAAAAACTGGCCCTGCCTGAAAAATATTTGGCATCTATAGCAGACGACCAGGATGGCGCCGGTGAATCGTTCACCATGCACAGATTGTGTGCACTTGCCATCAGATTGAATGAGCTCTACATAATCTTCAGGAAAATTGGCCGGAAAGTGTATTTTTCCAACTATGACCATTTATATGACTCTAAGTTCCTTTTCCAATCCAAGAACCAAAACTACTTCAAAATGCATTTATTGAAAGATATGGATGATGTTTTCAATACTACTAGAAAAAATGGAACTTTGATAGCAACCTTAACTAGATTCTTCAGACAAGGTGCACAGTACGAATCTAATGTTAAGAATGTAAACGACTTTGTGAATTTCATCAACCAGGGGCAAATGATGCTCAGTGGATGCTTGAACAAAGTCGATGAGTTCAGTCTTAACTGGTTGACTAGTGAATTGCGATTCAGAAAAGTTTACGGATTGCCAAAGAAGATTTTGACAGACTTATATACGCAGCAGACCCAAGCAGAACATGAAGGTAGTACTCTGGGAGTCAAAAGTAGAGGAACACCAAACGGCAAGACCACTTATATAAACGGTAGTGATTTTGACATTAATACGGACTTGAATAACTTCAAGATCTCGTCGTCTAGGTCATCTTCCATTACCAGTCAGACTTCAATTCCATCTAGTATTACTACACCATCCAAGCCTCTTGTTAGAAGAACTTCCGTTAATAGAAACTCAATGATTGTATCTCCGAGCCCAACTTCTAAAAATCAGACCAATGGAGTATCAGTGGGTACTTCTGACTCACCTATCAGAAATGGCAACTATGCATCACCAAGCAGACCTCAATCGATGATCTTCATGAACACCAATTCTTCATTATCGTCACTTCCGCTGCAAAAGCCATCTTTACAACAAAGATTAATAGCAGAAGGCAGCAATCCTTCCATCACTGTCACTTCTGATAGTACGCCAACGATGGCCGGCCGTCGTAGATCTAATTCCCAACCCATTAAACCACTGGAAAACTTGTTAGCATCAACATCTACTTCATCAAATTCCGCTTCGGCGGCTGCTTCGGGGGCTGCCTCTGCCCTTAGAAACAATCTAGCCAGGTCACCTTCTGGATCCATAAAGAGGAATGGTTCTGTTTCTAGATCCTCACCGGTTCCAAAACAATTGATTTCTGTGGAAGAGGAAATAGTGCAACAGGGGCCACCACAATTGACTGCCAACCAAAGATTGCAGCAACATTTGAAACAAGCGGCTAAACAAGGGTCATTGATGACACAACAGAAGGAAACTTTCTCCTCTGTGGTTTTCGATCCAAACAGCCCTTCATCTATTAATTTAAGACCTCATCCAAAGCCACAAGTGACTGAGAAGAACTCTCCTCCGCCACAATCAGCTCAATCTGCTCCTGCTTCGCAACTTCAGGCTTCAGTCAAGACAACTCCACAGCAAGGGTTGGCACCTCCTTCAGCACCTGTCCCTAAAACTAGAGATCAGGTTACAAGGCTAAATACTAGAAGAAACAGTGTCAACCAACCCATTCCTGCACCAACCTTGGGACCCTCTGCATCATCTACCTCGTCTATGTCAACTTTATCCGATGCTGCCTCGAATACGGTAGTTAGCAACAATAATTTGTCAAACGAAACCGAAACCTTCAAGAAAGTTAGATTTACAGGGGTTCCTGACTATAATGAAGCTGAGGACGCTCCTACTTCATATTCCAGTCGTATATTGAAGAATTTCGCAGCTTTCAAGTCCCCAATCCCCTCCTCCAAACCCACTTTCAAGCGGAAAGATCAAATGTTGAAGAAAGAAGAAAGTATTAGCTTCAAGTCCCAATTGCATAGTCCAATTCCCCCAGAAAATGTCACTGGGTTCCAAATTCCACCTGCCAATGCAAACCCAATCTCAGGCACCCGTCTTTCCAAACTCAAGAATAAGATAATATAATAGACTTAGACTCGGGCATGTATATAAATTAATACTAATCTCTGAATAATATACATAGTTACCAGTTGCATACACTTCACCAGCACCTAGACCAGGTTGCTACCAAGTAAACCGGCTCTAAGAATCTTATTGTTCTTCAGCACTAAGACATGGTTGCAACCAACTAAACTGGCACAGAGAATCTCATCGCGATCACGTGATTTTCGTGAAAATATTTGGCTCAATTTTTTTTTTTTTTTGGTATTTTTTTAGCTCATCTAGAGTAGAAACAGACACTGACAAACCCTCTGCAAACTAGAGTAGAAATCTTGCTGCTATGTCGGACGTTTCCAAGAGACCTTATTCAGAAGCCCAGGGTACTTCTGTCCCGAAAAAACTGAAGAGTTCTGGTCTTCAAGAACAGAAATCAACCAACCCTTTGAACAAAGATGGAATTTCAGAATGCTTCCAAAAGTTCACCACTTCATTATACGTTTCGTTAGCTCCATGTCATGTAAATAACCCTATAAACGGTATCAAATCGCAGCATTTAGATCCTTTGATCATGAACTATTTTCCCAAAGCTCGTGGGGTGGTTCTTGCATATTCCAACATTAAAATTGGTGAAGACAACCAATCTGTAGACTCTCAAGACCTGCCAATCACAGTGGGGAGAATCTCTGAATCATCACCGTTTGTATTCTTGTGGATTACTGTTGATTTTTTGATATGGAGTCCTCAAGTGGGTGATGTGATAGAAGGTAATAGCTACATGCAAACGGCATCGCATATTGGTCTTTTGATCCATGATACATTCAATGCATCGATTAAGAAATTCAACATTCCACAGAACTGGAGCTTCATACCCAACCAAGAAGATGAATATACTGAAGAAGCCGCTGAAGTTGAAAACTTGGTGGATGGAGTAGCTGATAAGGAAGGTTCCAGTGCAGTTGCTGAAGGAAATAAATTCAAATCGTTTGGCTACTGGGTGGATGAGAACGAAGTCAAGATTGAAGGGAAATTGAAGTTCACGATCAAGTCTATTCACTCCACCGGTAAGGTGGTATCAGTGGAAGGAACCTTGTTGAAGCCAGGATCAGAGAGAGATGCTCAACCAATTTTCAGAGAACGTCGCTCTTCAGTGCAACAGCAAGCATCATCTGCTCCATCCAACAAGCACATGAAGTTTGATGATGTTGCAGAGGAGACTGAGCCTGTACCAAGCTATGAAAGGGAACAAACAGGGGATGATGATGATGAAGATGGAGAGGTATTGAATAATTCCGATTCTGATGAAGAATCCGATTAACGCAATCAAAAGTATAGAATTAAATAAACGAATACATTCTTAAAAAAGAGCAAGTGTAGAACGGGGAGACTTGGAAGCTCGGTGCAAAGGGAAGAGTGTGCGTGTCGTTGGTCTTAGTTTCCTCAACAGTGTCGGGGGACCGGTCGAAGTATAAATATGTATATTGTTTTGGTGTATATGCTATGTACATGATAATGCTACAGGTTGTATTATTTTCCTCTTACTTCATAGGTTTGTCGTCATTGATCATTCTCCAGATTACATCTTTCTCTCTTGAAGTTGGGCGATCGAATTTGGTATTCCGATCTCCATACAAAAATCGATGGTACCAGCTCTTTTTTCTGGCCCAATTCGATATCGTCCAATGCCTGTTCCATTGTTGATGTAAGCTATGTTGAAAGTGGGCAGTGGGAAACGCCGATATCGTTTTCTTTTGTTTCATTGGTGCCATACTGGCACCTCCCATCATGGTGAGTTTTTGAACACTGCGGAGCTTTTTGAACATGTATGATGTAACAATTAGTCCCTGAATGATTGAAAATACCACTACAGCCCCAAATCCAAGTTCTGATTCTTCAATGTAGTTCTTCAAGTTCATACCATAGAAAGCGGGGACCAAGGTGGCCACAGCGAATCCTAATGTGTATACCGTAATCTTTAATTCAAACAACATCAATGAATTTCTGTTTGCATCTAGGATGATGTTGACGATTTCTTCGGTAGCTCTGATATCGTTCAAAAGAGATCCTGCCTGTTGCACAAATTCGTCACAGTGATTGTAGTATGCTTCTAGAAGCATTTCTAGCTCCTGATAGTCCAGCGGATTCTCAACAGTTGGATCGTATTGCTTTGGTTCCGACAAGTACATTGCCGCCAACGTTTCATCGCTATCGAGCAACTCGTCCAAGACGTCTCGAATCAAGAGCGCCTTCTGGTTGAACAGAGCCAAACTTTTCAGCTTTATGAGCAAGTCTCGAAGCTTATTCCTATCTATTTGATCTTCTAGCTCGTCCAAGATAGACCCACATTCCTGTAGGTGTTTCCTAAGGTCTGTGTCCAAGTAACTCATCACACTTATAAGAATTGTTTCTAGCGCTCTGAATTCGTAGGGCAATGCGTTATTGACGGCTCCTGTCTTCAACTTCATCTCCAAATCATACATAAATAGGCCCAATTTCTTGGCTATAGTAGGGGTGGACGTGTCGAAAATCATCACTCTATCCTTCTTCACGATGGCTTTTATGTGAAGCAAGTTTATAAGTATACTGTTGGGAGACCGCACCATTATCAGTGGAACCACATCGATCGACGAGGTATCAATCTTCCTCAAATCACGAGGAAAGAGGTTGTTTTCTTTCAAAAACTTCATCTTCGGGTATCGCCTACTGACGGCCACCACATTCCCCTTGGAATCGAAGGTGGTGCACGAGACGTAAGAGTCATTGGGAGTGATGGGCTGAAGCTTTCTGTAGACAGCGTTTGCAATGCTAAGGAACTTGGGGTCGTCATACTTGGATATGTTATAAGGATCGCCATTTGCATGGCTGTTTGCACTAGGTCTTTGGAAATCTTGTTCGGCAGAGAACTGCTTGTTGGATTGCTCGTAGGATTCATTATCAGTGAACTCTGCCACCGTATTGCCCTTGCTCTTGAGTTTCCGTACAACCTTGCCACTCTTTTCAGCCTGGATCTTCTCTAGAACCGATCTGTTGCGCTGGGAGGTTGAAGAATATCGTAACACACTGCTTATACGTGAAGGTAGGCATTGCCTTCGGAGTTGGCATGCAACAAAGTTCATTTGTGCGGTGCAGTCTTCTTCCAAAGTGAAAAGGGTATGTTTAATTCCACTACTTGGTCTTTTTTCTGATAGAACAAAAGGGTAAACTTCAACTTGATATCCTTTGTACCTATATTCGCCTATTTTTGTGACAATACTATCTGCAGCAACTGTCCTATCTGGAACAAGAGTACCAGGTCGATCTTTAGTATGGCGGATGTCTTCGATTTTTTCCTCAGCCATATCGCACCAAAATTTTTCGCTGGGCACCAGCAAGCGAGTGCTCGGTCAAAGAAGACAGGAAGTTGGCAGACTCTTGGGTACGTTACATGGTATGTGCTAGCTGCTACGTGCTACATTTTGGCATGGAGATCATGCTGGTCGTCTACGATGGAGGAAGCACTTCTAAAGGACACTTTTATTAACTAAACTTTATCTTAACGTTTACTCTAGGTCCCACCAACTGTACTTATAGAATTGAACTTGGCCACTTTTTTAGAAGTAAAGCATCTTACTTTGATAATATATATTTTTGCTGTTTTATCTTTCTTTCTGTTATTGTTTTGTTTGTTTTATTTCTCCCGCTTTGTTGCTTAATCAAAGAACTTTCTGGTTGGGGAAATACCGAACAATTCCAATCTCAAACCTGGTAAGGCTTCTTCGGACAATAACTTTAATCTTTCTTCCAAAGTGTTATTGACTTCGATCTTTCCAGTTCCGTTGGCAATAACGGCACCTCCCGCAATGTCCTTGCCCAAGAAATCTTCTTCATCAATGGTGATTTCAACCTTGAACTTGGACTTCTCTTCGAAGGCCTTGGCTGCCTCTTCTGCGGCTTCCTTGGCAACTTCTACGTCAACCTTTCTAACCCTGACAACCACCTTCTCTTCTAACAAGGCCAACACACCTTCTTCGATCAAACCGGCTAAAATAGGTTTGTATTGGTCCTTCTTGGCTGAGATCTTCTTCAATTCCTCTTCGGCAGCTTCGAAAATTTCGTTCAACACCTCTTCCTTGGTACCCAAGATTCTCAATCTGGTCTTGTTACCGATAGTGGACTTGGTGATTTGCTGAGCCAAAGATGCCTTCTTCAATTTTTGCTCGTAGGTGGAGTCAATGACGGCGGTTTCAGATCTCACGATAGAGGCCTTTTCGATTTCGTACTCTTCGTCGGCCTTCAACTTGATTTCCTTGGCCTTTTCTTGAGCTTCCTTCTCGATGAAGGCCTTCATCTTACGAAGTTCGGCGGATACCTAAGAAGGGTGGTTAGTAAGTTAACAAAATAAAAAAAAAGTCAAAATAGAAGCAAAACGGGCGTTCTTCACTTGCGGGCAGGGTGCTACAACCAGAACGATACATCGCTCTGTGCTTCTCGAAATTGAGCACACCCCTAATTGGCCCTTGCAATTCTCAATCGCTACATACTTGGTCGTCGGTCAATGACATCTTGTGTTGCTGTGTACTGTGCTTGTAAGAGGAGCAGAGCTAATTAGCCAACTACAAAAATGTGCAATCTTATCGATATTAGGGAGTGAACGTATTTGGGCGGCGCACGCACAATTGGCCGCTGGGTTGGTAGAGCATTTGTATGTGCAGCACCAGTGCGTAGCGGCGAATGTATAGCGTGCAGTGCGTGTGTAGCGGTGAATGCGTAGCGTGCAGTGCGCAGCGTGAAGTGGTAGCGATGAGTGAGACATAAGTGTTTTAGAGTAGGCAGAGACGGGGAGGAGTTTAGAGTGGTTGTGGTAGTAATTGCGATCTGGCAGAGTTGGGAGGTTCGAGAGTTGGCTCAGAAATATAGAGAAAGCAAATGATATGCTTCTTAGTGGTTCCTCCTCTCGTCTATGTTCCTTCCTGGTAGTGTGGGAAATTAGGCTTAAATGCAATTCGCACTCTGCTGTCTACTGAGCGCCCTGCGGTACCCCGTAGTGTACCCTGCTAGAGTAAGGTTATTTTGTACTGGTACGTAATTCTGTACTTTTCAGGGTTAGTAGGTCGATAAGTACCATTTGATTTTTGTTCTCTACTTCTCAGCTTCGCATCTTCTCGCTTTCACTGTTTCTCCTGTTCTCTGTTTCTCCATATCTCCATTTCCCCCTCTATGGCTACACTCACTACTATGACTGAATCTTTATTCAATAAATATAATACTGTAAGCTTAAATAATCAACATTCTGCTAATAAATAATCATATCAAATGATATATGCACCTTTTCTATTCACCTTTTGTGTTGCCGTTTTGTCATAACCTCTCTTCAGTGGCTTTACTTTTCTTCTCTCACTTTTCTCTCACGCTTAAATGAGCTTATCGAAAAAGTTTCTTGCAAGTTCCACACCTAAGAATGTTGCTGCGTTGGCTGGGAAAGATCTGGCCAAGGCTGGTCCAACCCCAGGGAAGAAGGCCTTGATTCCTCCAGAACGGTAAATACTCTTCGTGGTCTGGGCAATTGAAACGCTTGTGTTAGAGGACTGCTGCTTGGATTTAATGGTATCAATGGGGAAAACACCCAACCACATAGAAACACCAGCAAACCCACCAGCAGTACAAATGGCTAAAATCGACATCTGCTCACCTGGAGTGGACAACTTAGCCTTTAAGAACTCATAAGTGGCGAAGTACAATGCAGAACCTGGTCCGTCTCTAGCCAATGTGGCTACAGAACCCTTGAAAATAGATCTGATACCTCCAGTTTTGTACATTTCCTTGATCACTGAGCCCATGGTGGCCTTCTTGGATCCGTCTGCAACTTGCATCATCACCTTAACTCTTTCGAATGGTGCAGCAACCAAGGTAGTGGGGATGGCCGAAAAGAACCCCGCGGTGGATATCTCACCAATTGTGAAATCCTTTGCCTCGTGTCCAGTGTATTGACTAACCAATTTTTTACCCATATCGTAACCCCAGAACGAAACAGCAAACATTGGAGTAACACCAATAAGAGGAGGTAAAACACCTCTGTAGAACCCCTTTGGCCCATCTTTGGCCAAGGTCTGTTTGATACATTCAGCAGAAGATTGGTAGATGCCCGTCTGTAAACGGACTTTAACCAAATCAAATGGGTGACCTGTTAAGACGGCGCTAGTTTGAAGTTAGTAAGGAGTTTTACAAAAAAAAAAAAATGGAATTGAATTCCTAAAAAAAAATTGGAAAATCATGGGGAAATTTTTCATCTGGTAGACTAGAGAGAGCCCCCATCGCATACTGTGCTACTTACCAGATACCACCGAATCCACCAGAGGCGAATGATTTAACGTTATCGACGAGAACACTATCGACTTCTTCCATTGTATAATTGTATATATATCTATATAAATAAATAAGCTAGCAAGCACGAAGTATCAAATTTTACAAAATCTGGGGTTCGCGCCGAGTCTTTATACGTCTTTGAGATAGAGCCTAAAGGGAAAAAGTTTTTAAAAAAAAAAATAAAAAAAAAACATTAATTGCAGTGAATTTAGCGGGTGAACCTCGGAATGAAAAAAATAAAATAGCGTCAATAGTCACTAAACTATGCACGATACAAAAACACCACTAATTCGCTAGCCTAAAGGAGATTAGACTGTTTAAGGTTATAGATAATTGGAGGAAGGTAACGATGTACGATTTCTTTTATTTTTGGTTTGTTATGGGCTTCTTTCTGTTTCTCTTGCTCGTAAAGTGTTGAAACCTTATTTTTGATGTGGTTACGGGACCCATTATTGAGCGTTTTATTGCTGATGGTCCTGTCTCGTGCATTTGATTTTCGTTGCTCGCTAAAGATGAAATTAAGTTTTGTGGGGGTGATTCCTCGGCAGTCACCACATCGCACATCACTAGGAGTCCCACACTGGAGCCTGTGGGCTTGGTATATGCATAACCATTTTAGACCTGATGACGACTGTAAATTAAGCAAGTCATATTGAAACCATGTGAGGTGGCTTATTTGAAGTCCTGCCCTGGAATTTCATGGTACCACATTGATTGGGTGGTGGTTTAACATTCCCTCTATTTGTTGTTGCGGTTCCTGGATCGCAGCCCTATATATCTCTTTCCGTAATGGGTTATACGTAGAAGTTAGTTTCGGAGTGTCCGTATGATGCATAAAACCGCATGCAGCAGATGTCTTTTTAGTGATTGCTTGCGTATATTTTTTAACTGACAGTCCTTTAAATCAGCCATTATGGGGCCAACCCATCTTTAGGCTAACCATGCTCTCCCTCTCTCCGTATTCTTTGATCACGGGCCTGTGAGAATGTTCTGTCGTACATTTCCTCTGCTTATCATCAAAAACCTTTCAAATTATATTATTTGATTTGATACTTATAATACACTAATATACATAAATTAAAATAACCTACTCAACTCTCTAAGCTCTAATGTACTTCTCAAGTCCCTTGTAAACAAATCCAATTTGGGTTTAAAGGTCTGGAAGTATAACTCACGGCAAGTCTTATCCATGATATTTTTCAAATTTTCCTCCAATTCAACCAAATCCTCATCGAAGTCTTCATCCATATACTCTTCTCCTCTTTCATCAATACTCAAGAGTGATATGTACTTTATTATCAAACTTTCAAACTCTTCTGCTCCCTTTATGAAATGGAATGTGATATCAAGAAAGTCATAAATTTGTAAAATCAATGATTCTCCAGAAATTGAACCAATTTCATTTTCATTCAACAATTTGCACCCAATGATTTTTTGCAAGTATGCTGTATGTATGTGGATCAAATCATCTATTGTAAGCTCCACCGAGTCACAATCTTGAAATTCGGCTTGAAGCTCGTATTGGCTTTCAATGGATGCCGAGATCTGCTTCATAAAACTCGATGTAGGTTTCACAATCGACTCGTTTGTGCTCTCTCCCCTATTTGTTCTTCTCCTTGTTTCTGATTTCTTCATTTTTTTAGTAATCATTTCATTAAATGACTCATCGATAACATCAATGGATAAATATTTAATCAACACATTAAAAAATTTGGTGAATTGATTTCTAATGAGACAAATCAGTCTAAATGATTTGACAATCCATATAATTTTCTTATCTCTTATGCTAGTATTGGCACCGTTAATTCTTCTCAACTTATTGTATCTCCTGTTCAAATTCCTCAAGTCATCTTTCATCAACCTTGAACTTTCAATGTACCCAGCATTGAGTAAGTAGTTCAAGTTCTTCAATTTCCAGAGAAAATTAAACATCTTTAAATAACCCAATAGACCACTTTTGTAATTTAAAATATGCTCAATGGGTAAGTCATTGATCTTGTACTCTAAAGTGAAAACTTCCCATCCAATGGATCCATTCCCATTGCCGTTATTAAGATTAAGAATTCTAGCATCCAATCTCTCTTGGTACTCAAGATTCAAGTTTCGAATAGACGACGAGTTTATAGAGTCTACCAAAACCTTGGTCAACTGACTTGTCGTCAATGAATTAGCAGGCTCGTTGAACACTTTCATTCCATTTTCAATTAATGACTCTATAAAATCATTGGAGTTCATAAGCAAAAATGTTTTGAAGTTCTGTAAATGGTTGAAAAGTTGATACTTACCCTGGATTAAAAATGTAAAATATCCTAAGAGCTCATTATATTGATCGAGAATAAGCGACGTGAATTGGTTAGGCGTCATCCTTTGAAGTGTAGAACGAACTCTATGTGCATACTTTATTCCAAATTCATTAACCCATTCTAGTTCCTTACAGTACTTCTCTAAAAAGATCAACATCTTACCAATTTGGTAGATCTTCACTCCCAATTCCTTCTTGAAATTAAGAAATGTCTCATTCGGTATCCTCTCAGGTCTGAACTGGATTATATCGTTTATATTATCACCTTCAAAATCATATGAAATGAAGAATTCTTCGTTGGAATTATCAATTAGCTCTCCCTTTAGGATCCAAGTCTCCAAAATTTCATAGTAAGGTTTAGCTACCTCCACTAGCAAGCTAGTTGCAAACTGTTTGATATTCAAGTCTCCAAATTTGCTGAATGCATACACTTTAGAGAGGAATTCACTTCCCTTCAAGGGGAAGTAATTGGTATGGATAGTATACAAGATCCGCAATTTGGAAGTTAGGGGATTCAACTGACGGTATATCGAAAGCAAAGTGGAACTCTGAGATGAGGTTGACTGGAATATCTTGTTTACTTGCGTTGTGTACTGGTTTAAATGAAACTCCAATGATCTGAGAAATGCAGTTTTGATGGGAGAAGACGACGAATTAGTGATACTGTCGTTCGAAACAGCCAGAGACAATTTCTTGTAGATCAATGCTGGTTCAAGAATGTTGTGGAGGAGCCCCGAGTATGAATGATTTATGCTGGACGACAATTGTACCGAGAAGCTGTTGGTACCGGTGGGTGTGAATGTGAATATTTTGGAGTCTATCCCTAGTAATGTGTAAGATAGATACGTTATGATGGTCTGCTCGTCTAGTGAGGTATAGTAAGGCAATATATGCTGTTGAAGAGTGGCATTGGGTGGTGGAGGGCTTGCATGTACGGCAGAATCATGGCCCTGCCAGCTGCCTAAGCTTCTTCCACCTTCTATCGCTGAAAAGGTACCTCCTTGTAGCGGGCTACCTCCCGTTGTAGTTGCTGTCACCGCTGTTGGTCCCACCCTATCGCCTGGAGCTTGCCGGTAAGGAGAAGACTGGATCGCGCTGAAGTCGCTGCTCTCCATCAATCCATTGAAGAACACCAAGTACTTCTCCACCTGGTCCACAGTCTTGGCTCGCATCAACTTGTCGACCACATCCTGGAATCTCACCCAATCATGCGACCTTCCCTGACTGAAGAAAAAGCGCTTGAATTGTGACAATGTGCCCTCGAACGAGCCGACGTCGTGCTCATTGCCGGCTGGTCTGTTTACAATGTGCATGTACAACTCATTGGAGATGGAGTTTATATATTCTTCTCCGAATTCCTCGGGCACCAACGAATTCACAAGTCGAGTGGTATATACCTTTAGTAGCTGGTTCCTATCGAGCCCCATGCTGTATATATCGATCTCTGGTCTAGTTCTGGCTACTGATCGGCTTGCGTTCTTTTGTTTACTTGGGTGTTTTGATTTCACGGTGGTTTAAATTTCGCGTTCGATCACAAAGCCGAGAAAAATGGCTGCTGCACGGTAATTCGTAGGGGCAACTAGGCACTTAGCGAGAAATTTTAGGGGAGAAAGGGCTTGTAGCGCGGGATCTTTAGGGGCATGAGGCGCTAGCGAGTGGCTGCGAAAGAGTGCTGGGGCGCTGGAATGGAGGTGAGAGAGATCAGTAAGCCAGAGATACAGCGAGCTTGCAGTGGACATACAGTGGGCATACAATGAGCATACAATGAGAATACAAGAAGCAACAAGAAGCAAACGAGCTTATAGTGAGACACGCTGACTACTGAGAATGTATATCAAATCCTACTAACTTCATTACCGTAGCAGGCTATTGTACGAATTTAAATAACCATTTATTAAAACAAAAAAGCTATAACAATCAACTATGTTGACAATTAATAAAAAAATATTAATAAATTTGGCTAGTCAAAACTTTGAATGGGAAAACAGCAATATGAAGAGGAGAAACAACGCCAGGTAGAAGTTAAGTTGCTTATTACTTTTTATTCCTTGAGATGCATCTCCCTGATATTTCTTTAGTAAGCAGTTACACCTGAACTGACACCAACGTGTTGAATTACAGGCTCCACAACGTTAGGGTTTAAGTCCTTGTCAGTTAAACTTAATTGTTCATCAGTCCAGATGTGTTCCACTGCTGGACCATTTTCTCCAACACCGCACAAGCCACCTTCAATTTCCCAATCGGAAATCTTCTTCAAGCTCAATTCGTTGAAGACACTTTCAACTGCATCCAACAATTCGTTGGCGATCTTAGGGCCATGGCCTGGAGTTGGAGTGATTCTTAATCTTTCTTGTCCAATTGGGACAGTTGGGAAGTTAATGGCTTGAACATAGATGTTGTGTTTGTCTAACAACAAGTCAGATGCAGCCTTTGCATCAGCAGCGTTACCGACCAAAATAGGGACGATATGAGATGGATTAGGGATGACTGGTACACCAATGTTGTTCAAATTGTTCTTGACGTAACGAGTGTTCTTTTGTTGGGCAACTCTGTCAACCAAGGTAGATCTTTGGTGACGAATAGACTGTCTTGCACCAGCCATGACACTTGGCGGTAATGTGGTGGTGAAGATGAAACCTGGAGCATAAGATCTAAACCAATCAATTAAGTTGGCTTTACCGGTGATGTATCCACCGACACAACCATATGCCTTTCCTAAGGTACCAGTAATCATGTCGATTCTGTTCATAATGGTTTCAGTGGCTGGGGATGCAATACCACTAGCTAAGTGCTGTTGAAAGTTCAAGTGCTCAGCAACTCCGGCACCGTGTGGACCGTACATACCAACAGCGTGGACTTCGTCTAAAAAGGTCAAGGCTCCATACTTTTCGGCCAAGTCACAGATCTTTTCAATAGGAGCAATAGATCCGCACATGGAATAGACACTTTCGAAAGCAATCAACTTAGGGGTAGATTTTGGGTACTGTTGCAATAAGAGCTCCAAATCTTCCAAGTTGTTGTGCTTGAAGATGTGTTTCTTGGCTCTGGAGTTTTTGATTCCTTGAATCATGGACGCATGGTTCAACTCGTCGGAGAAAATCACCAAGTCCTTGATCTTTTGACCAAACAAAGACAAAACGGCATCGTTGGCTACGAAACAGGACGAGAAGACTAATGCAGCCTCGTGCTTGTGCAAAGCGGCCAACTCAGCTTCCAACTTAATGGCTTGCAAGTTGTGACCCGCGATATTTCTGGTACCACCGGCACCGGACCCATACTTGTCCAAGACCCGCTTCATTTCGGCAATGGTCTTTTCGTTTTTGCCCATACCCAAGTAATCGTTGGAGCACCAAACGGCGACCTTGTCCTCTTCAGAGGCACGATGAGCCAATGGGAATTCCTGGGCCAAACGGTTGATGTTGTTGAAGAAACGGTAAGACTTGTCGGATCTCTTTTTGTTCAACTCGTCGCTGAGGTAGCCCTTGAAGTCGAACGAAGTTTCGTTGGAGGACCTGCCGAGGTTCAATTGGCTGTCGTTCAAGGCTGACCCAGTGAATGAATAAGGAGAAGAAGCCTTTGGCGATGAGACGGATGGTGCTGCGGTGGCATTGACAGGCTTGGAAGCAGAAGAGTAGTTTCTGGATCCACCGCTGGCCCTTTCCTTTGCGAGCAAAGCAGCACCCATGAATGGGCACTGACGAGCCTGGTTAGCCAAGCCGGAGTTCTGGCTAATCTTACGGAGGGCTGAAGCTGAGGATGATTTGACGAATGGGCAAACATTCATAGATACACGAGTAATGGACTCCATCTTGCTGAGGTGAGTAGAAGAGTTGGAGAACGTGATACACTGGAGAACAAGAAGAGAAGAAGAAGAAGAAGAAGAGAGGGCCTCTGTTTTTTGAAAAGTTGAACTCTAAAACTTTTTCTTTCTTTTTTTCCGCGCTGCTTAACGCTCGAAAATTCCGAAGACGCAGACCTCGAACCAAACAGAGCAAGTGAAAAACAGATCATTTTGTATGCACAAAAAAAAAAAATTAGTGAACTGTTCGGGGTTGCGGGAAGCGTGCAGTGCAGTGCAGTACGGTGCAGTGTGAGATGGGGACTACGGGTGTGCTAGAGGTTAGTGGTTAGATGAGTTTTGTAGAGCTTGTGAGGATTGGACATGAATGAGAGGGAAGAATACTGGGCACTATGTGTAGTGTTTATTGATCCATTCTTAGTCATATTTTTTTTTGCGGGGCGCTCATGTGCTAACTGGTGTGGTGCATTAAAATAAAAAAGAACCAGATTCAGTAATGATCAGTAATCCCAAGTGCAAAGGGCCCGCTCAGGCTAGCTCGGGTATTTTGTTCTCTTAAGGTAAGTTTAGCGCGCGGTGCATTGGTGGTAGCTCTCAGTAATACCACCCTAAAACAAACCAATGGGTAGACGAGAGATGGTAATCGTACCATGTGATCAGGATGCGATGTGGTGGTGTAGGGTGTTGGTTGGTATGCAGTACTGGTTACTATGCAGAGACCGGCTAACACACATAGGCTACAGAGATACAGGAGAGACGTAATAGAGGGAGTAGGTCTTGGCTTCAAGATCAAGCCGGGAGCGCTATTCGGCAGCCTTTTTCTCCTATTCAGACCTCAGGCTCCAATCTTCGGTCGCGAGTCCCCAAATCTAGTCCTACTCCTAGTCCTCTATCCTCTCATCGCTACACCAGTTCTCTGCTTGCATGTGGGAGTGCATAGAGCAATGTTCTTCCCTCCCAAATGCACTGCCTGCATACTGTCCCTCATAATCCACACACCCATCCATCTACATGCCCATACTAACCATGCGAACTACACTGACTACACTAGCACTTTCCTTTCCTATTTTACATTAAAATTACCCAAAGATAAACTATATATATTCAAAACCTAAATAATCTATTCGTCATCTTCTTCTTCTTCGTCAGCAACGGAGTAGAATTGTAATTGGTATTGGTTTTGCTTAACAGAGACGAATCTGATCCAGTCTCTGATTTGGTTCTTCTTTAAGTATCTCTTGGATAAGTACTTTAAGTACTTACCGGAGAACTTGGTGTTAGAAACAACAATAACCTTGGAACCTTCTTCAGTGACGGTAATTTCGTCACCTAAGTTACCAGCAATACCATCAACCTTGATGTTTTCAATCAAGAACTTGACGTATGAAGATGGGTCAAAGACACCGTTTTCAGTTGGAGCAGAAGTGTCAACGACGAACTTCTTAGCAGCCTTAGCTTTCTTGTTGGTCTAAATATTCCTGTTAGCCTACCGCACAATAAATCGAAGAAACCAAAAAAACAAGTATCTCTTAGGTTTCCAGATCAAAGACAGCATAGCCCAGGGACGGGTTTGTGTGTGTTTTGAATATAGAAAGATATCAAGGAAAGGTGAAAAAAATCATTAAAAAAAATCATTAAAAAAGTCCAAAAAAAAAAAAGGTCAAAAAAATTCATCATTCATCATCAGCAAGAATACTTCTATTCTTACATGATATAACACTTATTCACGAAACCCGTTCAAAGGGGTAATGCCACCTAGGTATTAGTTAAAGTATACATACAATTGGAGCCATTTTTGTATTTATTATGTTGATGTCTAAAAGAAAGGATGTGTTGAAAGAACAGCCTCTGGGTTTTTTTTTCTGTGTGGGTGAAAATTTGAAAATTTCACGAGAAGGTTGAAAGTTACACAAACTGAAAGGAAACGAAGATGTCTTGTATGCAGACTGCATTTGGTGCGTATAGTTTTAGGGCTTCAGCCCTGGGGATTTTCGAAGTCGCTTCAGTAGTGACTCTGAATCACATAGTAGACCTGATTCCTTAGTCACTGAGTCGCGGGCAGATGATTCCCCCCAAAATGACTATAGCCATTGCCCCACCTGCCCAACGAAAGATAACTCGTGGGAAATACCCAATTAGAGCAACCAAATTTCCAATTCTATTGTGACTTTCTAATTGCATTTACTTTTCTTTCATTTTCCTCTTCTCAGTGTATTATCTCTATTACCATCTATCTATAATATACATAATGAAGCTGAACATGTTAAGACTGTCACTCAGATATATGTCCCACAACGTCAATGCCAATGCTATTAATCCAATTGCAAAAGCCATTGACATCGCTCTTTTATCTTCGCCTTCTCTAAACTGGACAAAGAACCAGATCAAGGAAATCTATGACACACCGTTAATGGAGTTGGTCTTCCAAGCCCAAATCCAACATCGTAAATACCATAATCCTCAAGAGGTGCAGTTGTGCACGTTGCTCTCAATTAAAACCGGTGGGTGTGCAGAAGACTGTAAATATTGTGCTCAGTCTTCCAGGTATGATACAGGCACCAAGGCTGAGAAATTGATCTCTATTGACGAAGTCATGAAGGCAGCAACTACCGCTAAGGAAAAGGGCTCAACAAGATTTTGTATGGGTGCTGCTTGGAGAGACATGAATGGGCGCAAATCGGGCCTCAGAAAGATTTCAGAAATGGTCACAAGAATCAACACTGAATTGGGATTGGAGACTTGCGTAACACTTGGTATGGTTGATTCAAAGCAAGCAGAAGACTTGGCCAAGGCTGGCTTGACTGCTTACAATCACAACATTGATACTTCCAGAGAACATTACCCAAACGTCATTTCAACGAGATCTTTTGACGATAGATTGGAAACGATCAAAAACGTCCAAAACGCAGGCATAAAAGCGTGCACTGGTGGTATTCTTGGATTAGGTGAAACTCCTGATGATCATATCGGGTTCCTCTACACTTTGGCCACCTTAGAAAATGGCCATCCGGAGTCCTTACCAATAAACAGATTGGTTCCAATTAAAGGTACTCCTATGGAAAAGGAAATCTCTGACTTACCACAGAATTCTGAAAAGAAATTGAAGTTCGAAAATATCTTGAAGACCATCGCAACCGCAAGATTGATTATGCCTGAATCGATCATCAGGTTGGCCGCAGGACGCTACACCATGAAGGAACATGAACAATTTTTGTGCTTCATGGCTGGATGCAATGCTATTTTCACAGGTGAAAAGATGTTAACAACCATGTGCAACGGTTGGGACGAAGATATAGCAATGTTGGAAAAATGGGGAATGAAACCAATGAAGAGTGCTCCGGGACCAGCTAAATCATCCACCAGGAAGCCAGTGGCTACATTCCAGGCACCAGCTCAGACTCCAGCTGCTGCTGCTTCTTAAATAAATAACTACCAATAAAAAATAGTCATGGAACAGTAGCTTCTTTTGCGTCTAGCTTTTACAAGTTTATTTGCTCTAGTTTTATTCAATTTCACTGAGGAGATTTTCTGTATGGTGAAGCTGATTATCCTTGTCCTCTTCTCCTTCTTCCTCTTCCTCTTCTTGCAACTGATCTTGCTCTGGAATCTCCTGTTCGTTTTTGTCCAGCTGTGAATGTCTTATTCCTAGTAAGGAATTGGAGTTGTTTACTACAGGGAGCAGAAAGGACTCATCCATTGATCGGTCTATCACCCTGGGAGACGATTCCTCCAAGAGACTTCCAGGATTGGGGGAGTCTCTCACGCTGCTAGTATCCACCGCGTCGCCTTCATATTGAAATGTTCGATCAGCATCTGCAAGTTCAGTGTCCTCATCTTCTCTATCACTTTCACTGCCGTGAAGGTGCTCCAACTCGTTTTCATCTTCTTCCTGTATCGCCTGGTCTCTAAGGTCGGAATCTTGTGTGAACAAGTCTGGGGAAACCGACAATAAGTCGTCAAGTCCACCTCCAGACCAACCCTTCTTTGCGATCCCTTCATATATCTCTAATTGTGCCCGCACAAGAGATCCTGTTCTTGTTAAAAGTTGATCCTGGTTGAACTTCTCCAACATTAAGTTGATCTCATGGTAGTATCCGTACTTGAGCCTATCGATCTCTTCAACTTGCTTGGTAAGTTCAACAAGATTGTTCTTATACTCTGAAATATTTCTGGTTTTCAGCTTGGAAAGTTTGATATTCTTCAACTCCTGTTCCCGTAAGATCTTAGACCTCGATCTGATCTCCTGTTGGTAGTAGATATGATTCTGTTGGTACTCGTACTTCAACTTCTCCAACTCGCTCCTCAAAGGTTTCTCAAAATTTTCGCCAATCAACCGTCCAAGGATCTGCTGGTTGGTACTGATCAAGATCTGGAGCCCGCCAGCGTTATTTATCCCATCACGCACAGATCTTGGGTTTTGAATCTTGGGGTTCTCATTGATGGAGTCTTCTAATGCCTGGCCAAACTCACTGGTTGCCCTTGAAACTTCATCGAGTGCCTTTTGGAGGCCCTGCGCCTTCAGTATCACCTTGCTATATGTCGACACGGTCGTCTCGAAGTCTTTTGAAGTCAAAATGTTGGGCAAGTCTAGCACCGAAGGTGAAAACGATGTGAACGTATCAATGGTGTTCAAGGAGGTCCTTCTGATCACACGGTGCCCGCTAGCTCCGCTACTGCTAGCATTTGAGGCTGCTACACTCGGTAATGCAACTGGGACCCCAGAATTCTGGCTCTCATTGCTTCCTTTCGTATTGCTGATGAATGAAAAAAATTCAGAGAGGTGTTCTGGTGGGTGTTGGTGGTTGGTCTTACTGCCATGGCTCGATGAGGCTGCCAGCCGAGGCTCTGAGGGATTCATGGTACAGCTTGGGTACTGCGGATAGTCTCAACAAGGAATTGGAAGGACAGGGCTATTCAGCAGCAAGGTAATGGCTGTGGTTTCTTTGTTTGTTTTGCCTTGCTAACTGCTGGAAGGTTAGCATGTTTATCTTATTGTGTGTCCATATGCAGGACGCGCATTATCATTAGCATTTTTTATTCACCTTTCACCACTGTGTTACCTGGAACAAACAAGCGTGAAAGTTGACAGATAACAGCCAAGGCGGTGCTTAGTATGTTCATGTCGGGCAAAAAGTAATCCAAAAAAGAATGGACGAGTCCGGAGTCGAACCGGAGACCTTTCGCATGCTAAGCGAACGCGCTACCAACTACGCCACACGCCCAATGATTTGGAGAGAAAATGGTCCCTAGCAGGATCGAACTGCTGATCTCGGCGTTATTAGCACCGCGCCTTAACCAACTGGGCCAAGGGACCAACTCATGTTTTGTTTTTTTCCTGCTATTCCTAGGTGGCTCTGAAGGATGGTATGAAGGGCTTCTAGGCTGGGCTCCCATAGTTGTTACATGACTGGCTACTGGGGTATTGGAAACTCCTATGAAATAGAGTATGAACATGTACAGCTGTACATACGAAATCTTAATTTATTAAGTTTGCCGAATAAATTTTTAGTTTAAAGTATAATTTTTCACAGATCCGCAATTTTCTCCACTAATATACTCTAATCGATACTATACTGTACATCATAATGCTTAATAACACCACAATAGAATATGATACAAATAAATTCAGATTACATAGCATGCATCGTATTTTACTTGGACTGACCAGGTTTTTCGCAGTATTTTCAATTTATAAAGAGTACCATATTCGGTCTCTCTGGTGTACTAGGAGTTCTAGGCACATCTCATCATGAGATGGGTTTCTCAAAAATTCAACCACCCAAAAAAGTAAACCGCAAGTTCTTCTTACCCACAGTTTGACGATTGCAGAAGTTCCCCTGAAAACTCAAATTATACAATGCCAGTTACTTTGCATTGCCTTGCTGACGTCTGTTTAATTCCCATTGGCACGAACTCGGCGTCTGGATCTGACGAAATAGCTGCAGTTACTCAATTGGCAAGATCTAGCCACTTGAAGTGTACCCTTCACAGTGCTGGCACCACCATAGATGGTCCCTGGAACGAGGTGATGGAGCTAATTGGCCAAATGCATGAACTTCTCCATAAGAGAGGGATAGTAAGGCTCCATAGTGATATACGTGTAGGAACAAGAACCGATAAATCACAATCTGCTGCATCTAAGATGCAAGCAGTCGAAGAGAAGATTAAACGCTTGGGAAAGGATAAAGATCCAAGCTCATAAGAGGATACGCACACAGCAGTAAGGAAGCAAAGAGTGAAAATATATCTACTTAGGTACAAACAATTTAGAGATAGACGTTAATGTGATGATAAAGCTAAGGACAACTGCCTCTCTATGTAGTATAAGAGAATAGAGTATAATCCTTTGCCTTAGTCGAACCCTGTCTTCCTATTCTTAGGTACATCCCAAAGTTTGTTGGAAGTCATGAAACAGGTCTCAACCAAATACGCCTGGTTAGCTCAATCGGTAGAGCGTTTGACTCTTAAAAGAGTAGCTATCAAAAGGTTGCGGGTTCGACCCCCGCATCGGGCTTACTTTTTTTGCTTTTATACATCTGTATATATATCTGTATATTCGAATGGACCCTAGGAATATCTAGGTGTTGAGTTGAGTTACAAGTAGCCGAGAGCGCATGGAACTACATTTATTTAGTCATGAATCGCTTCTATTCTGTATAAACTTTAATAGAGGTTTCAAAATTTCCTCTATTGTATTACCTATAACTTACCCTTCAAGGCTCTCACTCTGACTATTTGCAGAACTGAATCTCTAACTGAATCTTCGAACAGTGTGAAACTGAATCCTAGGAGTCTCTTGGTTCTAGAATTGTCTATTTTGCAGAAGCTCTCCAAAATGTCGTTTTCAGATCCTGGAACCCCTACGGGGACGTTCAACTCATTCTTAAAGTTTCTATTGATAACATCAAGTATCAGCTGAGTACTAAATCTGTCGCTGGCGAGTAGTAATCTTTCATTCACTATAGCATCATTCTCAATAGCTGCTATGTGGGCCCTGGCAACATCTCGAACATCTATAAAACTTCCCAGTTGCGAAGGAATACTATCGTCATCCTTGCCCGCAGTCAACTTGACAATGGAATTGATGATCTCAGACGACGTATTTAAGGTGTCCTTGCCAGCGGCTTCAGAATCGAAAGCCTGGGGCCCAAAAACATAAGACGGGTTGACTACGTTTAAGGTAAATTTCAATTGACCTTCATTTTCTTCCTTAAAGTCCCACACAGCTTTCTCAGCGAATTTCTTGGAGCCAAAGTATCCGAAGAATGCGTTCTTCTTGGCTTGGTACCATTGGACGTTATTCCATGTAGTCTCATTGATAGTGAAAGTGGGGTCGTTCTCCCTTTTAGGGAGCAGCACTGCAGCATATGAAGATGTAACCACCACCTTTCGGATCTGAGGTGCGTAGTCCTTTATAGCTTGCAAAGTGTAGAGAGTACCATTCTTTGCTGGCAAGAGCAAGTCCTTCTCCGGGTCATCAGTGTTGAAATGGAAAGGAGAGGCGGTGTGTAAGAGAATTTCTGCTTCACGGTGTTTCAATAGAAGCTCTTTCAAACCATCTTTCTTTCCGATATCGGGGACAATCTCGTATGTAAAATTTGGAGAAATCGAATCGAAGCTCTTCTTTAATTTTTCACCTTTTCCCTTTGATCTTACGGTTCCGACAACTTTGTAGCCCTTCTGGAGAAGCTGTTTCACAATATGCTGAGCAATGAAACCCGAGGCTCCAGTTATAATAACAGTCTCTGCCATGTACGCAAAATAGCCAAATAACTCTATATAAAGAATGTGAAAACAGATTCCTTCAAAAAGAACGAAACATCGACTCTTAAATACATTACAATGGAAAAATGTGGGGTAGCCATACAGAGAGCGCAGCAGCAGCACCTAAAAAAAAAGAAATCCACATGTCAAAGTACGTGCATGCTAGCCTTAAATGTGCTGCATAACCGTGGCTCTTGAGAAAGAAAAATTACAGAGTGCTGCAGAACTGTTAAAATGAACTATTATGTATTAACTTTATTTAGATACCACCGTTCACATCCAAGATTTGCTGAACTGTGTCGGCAACGGTCTTTTCCAAAGAAGCAAATTCGAAACCAAGCGACTTCTTGGTCTTGGAATTGTCTATCTTGGCTAACTTACTGGTGACTTCAGGTCCGGAGCCTGGGGTACCGACTGGAATTTTTCCGCCCAAAACGTCTTTGAATTTAGTGTTTAAGATATCAGCCACATCTTGTGCAGCAAATCTTCCGTTAGCAAGTAACAATCTTTGTTCTGCCAACTCAGGCTTTTCAAAAGCTAAGATGTGGGCCTTAGAGACGTCTCTAACGTCAATAAAGGCACCCTTGAACGCAGCCAATTCTTCGTCTGGCTTTTGCTTCAAGATATTGTTGATGAACTCTGCAGAAGTGTTCAATTCTGCCTTGATTTCCGAGTCGAAAGCCTGAGGCCCGAAAACGAACACTGGGTTGACAATTGACAAGACAAAGTTAGGCTTTTCGGTCTTAACGAACTCCCAGGCCGCCTTTTCAGCAAATGCTTTGGATCCACGGTAGCCCGAAAAGGCATTGGCCTTAGCATCCTCCCATGATATGTTGTTCCAAGTTTCTTCGGTAATCGTGAAAGTTGGGTCGATCTCCTTATCTGCAGGTGCGATAGCTGCGTAAGATGAAGTGATTACGACAGTCTTGACCTGTGGTGCGAACTCAGCAACGGCCTTTAAAGCGTTCTTAGTACCGTGAACAGCTGGTAACAACAATTCCTTTTCCGGGTCAGTGGCCTTGAAATGGAATGGAGATGCAGTGTGCAATACAACAGTGACCTCTGGGTGCTTCTTCAATGCTTCATTGAATGCTCCTTCTTCTTGGATGTCCTTGACAATTTCGTATGAGAATTTGTCACCTACATTTTTCTTTAAGGCTTCACCCTTTTCGGTGGACCTGACACTACCAACAACAGTGTATCCCTCTTCAATCAACTGCTTAACAATGTGCTGAGCGATGAAACCAGTGGCTCCAGAAACGAAAACTGATCCTGCCATATTATTTGTGTTTTGATACTTATTTAGATACTTAGATATACAAGATCACTGCAGAACAAATTATAGTTCCAACCATTTTTTGCACTAATCAATGCCCTTTTATACCTCTCTCCGCATTCTTCATGCTTATTTTCAACACCACCACACTTATGCTTCCACCCACTCAGCATGATCGCGTAATCTCCAACAAAATTTTCTTTTTTGCTTGCTTATCATGGTACCAAGTTGCGCACTAAATGGTTAGATTGTATTACTAATTCGGAAGTCGGAACATTCAGAATTAGCCAACGAGATTTGAAATCCCTCTAATAATAGGTTAGTGTATGCGGACCTTGTCAATTCTGGACTTTCAACACTTCTGCCCCAGCCTTTTGGAGCGTCGCAACTTTCCCAATTTGGCCGAGAGACGGAAAGTCCGCATACACTTTTTTTTTTTATTTTATTATTTTGGTCTAAAGTTTTCAATTGCAGATCGAAGCCCATCGCTAGTGTTGCATGTTGCAGCAATTGATAGGTTCTGCCCTACACGTTCTCTTCCTTACTATCATCATTCATATTCATTAACAAAAAAGAGTAACTATTCTAAAACCAGTAAAATTCAAAAAAATAACATTTTACGAAACGATCTTTTCAACTTCATTCAATGCGTCCTTATTTTTAAGTAGGGCCATGGCGGCCCTTGTAGCAGCCTTTTTCTTGGAGGAGTCAACTCCAATCGCTACTAGTACATTCGAGATATGTAATTCTCCTTTAAATTTGTCCTCTTCCAGACTTACCCTATACTGAGGCACGATGCCTTTCTTGTTGAGAATTGCGTACAAATCGTTTTTGGCTTCAGGAAGGAAGTTTGAAGACTCGTTGCCGATCACTGGGAAAAGATTATTGGATGCTAAGTACGACGAAGAAAGATTCTCGTTGTTGCTTGTACTATTTTGCAACCCAGAGGTGGTGTACGTATCATCGAGAGGGGTCATAACAATTGTGGTACTGCCCCCTCCTACATTTGGATTTGGTGAGCCATACACTGAGTAGTATGATACGTCAGGCGACGATTCCTTTGACAGATCCTGTTGATATTTGTTTAACAATAGTTTCGGGTTAATTCTGCTTTCGTTTCTATCAGTATTCAATCTGATTTGACCGTATTTTTCCAATAACGGCCTGTTTTTCAAGGCTTGCATTGCAGCTCTCAATCCAGCTTCCTTCGCTGATGGTGCCACACCTTCGCCCAATACATCACTCCCCATCTCACACCTAATAATAAACGGTTTGGTAGCACCATCTCCTGTCTTCACCACCTTGTATTGAGGGTGAAATGCTGCGCTTCCAATCAACAGATACAAATCAGTCTTAGCATTCTTATTTACAGGCTCTAATCCACTAATTTCTTGGTCGAATTCATTTAACTTCCAGTGTAAGATCTTGGTAAGCCAGTTTCTGATGGAAGTCAATTCCATTTTATGTTCAATGGCAAGAGCTCCAATGTAAGCTTCAAACACATCAGCAAAGATTTTTTGATTCCCCTGCTTTAAAACCAGGTCGCTGATATTACTGCGGAGCCTTTTGTTTAGTTGGTAAGCCATGGCAAACTCAGCCAATGTCTTGTTGTTGACCAATTGTGATCTAATTTTGGATAGGTCGCCTTCTGGGGAGTGCTCGAATCTTTCGTAGATAATCATGGTAACTACGTTATTCAAGATGGAATCGCCCAAAAATTCCAACCTCTCGTTGTGAGAGGCAATCAATTCCTTCTCTGAGAGGTAAGTTCTGTCGTTTAGGGTCGATTTATGGATGAAGACTCGGTCAAGCAAGTGTGGATTGGAGATAGGTGGAAGCGGAGGAAGTGAGTTGTTACTATCCATTCCGTCATCATCATCATCATCGTATTCATCCTGGTCAATTACATCATCCTCACCATCACCGTCATAGTATTCAATGTCTCTCAAGTCGTCGGCAACGTTGCCGCCCAAAATGTCATCGAAGATTTGCAAGTCCTTCGACAAGTACTTCGATTTCAACGCAGCGGCCATGTGCACCAAGGGGTTTCTCTGGATTTCATGCTTAACGTCGCTGTCTACAGCAGGTGATTCCAATAAGGACTGGAGCCTGGCAAGATCAGGGGCTTCGTTGATAATAATTCTTATTTGCTTCTGCAACGTTCTAGCACAATGCTCCAACTTCTTCATGTCAACGTGTCCAAATGGAACGGTGCGTGCCTTGGATCCCGAGCCCGAAGTGTCGGACGCCTCTCTGGGAGTCCCCGGAGGAGATATGGACAATTTTGTCCTCTTGAACGTATTGCCTACCTCATCGTGGGCATTGCTACTGCTCTTAAGCGCTGTCATATCATTGAAATTATTTGTGTTGGCATTCTGACTAAGATGCCGTACAAATTCGTCTAAGGATGAAGAATCTGCCATCAAGTATTCAAAACACACAATATATGTATAAAGAGTGGGTTTTGAACTGCTAAGGAGGAAAGAAAGGGTAAGCTAAAGGGGAGAAAGAGCAAAAATCCACAAATTCAGAAAAACACAAAAATTTTGGTGATGGAAAAAAAAAAAAGAAGAAAAGCAAAAAAAAAAAAAGTGCAAAAGAGAGGTGAAAATAGTGTGGAACAAGATAGAGGAGAGAGAATGGGGCCAGAGAAACGAGCATTAATGAGGGCATTTTGAGCTCAGATTTGGACAGAACGATTGGCTGGGTAGTATGAATATAGCTGGAGAAAATGAGGGTGCTCAGGGTTTTGTGAGAGCCAATACACATGTCTTCTTCTTGAATACTCCTCCCCTCACTTAGTGAGGAATTTGCAATCGATAAAATTGTTGCATGGTCTACCCTGCGCAGAAAAAAGATAAGCACGCAGGCGCTGAGAACGCACTGGAGGGCGCGCTAGAATAGGCGCTAGAATGGGTCTGGGAGAAGCGCACAGGAAAAAGTTCACAGGGAAGAGACGCTAGCCACAAGGCATTACAGATACGACTACGAGACGGACCGCTCACTCGTTATGCTTATTAGACGTAAGGTAAGATCTCTATCCTGATATCCATCCCCTTATACATCCCCTTATACATCCCCTTATACATCCTCTATCTTCGTCTTCATCAGAATATCTCTATTTTAGTTCACCCTTTCAGCTCTCTTACTGTCGTTTCTTCTCCACCCTAGTGAGATTTCTAGCGGCTCTTTCTAGGGGCTCCCTCACGCACACTCTCATCCTCACCCCAGGCTACACACTTACTCACCAAATTGACGCGCGCACGCACCCTTGAAAAATTTCAAACTTCAAGATCCAAAAAAATCCTCTACAGCTCACCAACCAGGGACTCAGACTACATCACCACATACCCGGTAATCCACTATGAAACTCCTTGCTTCTGTTTTCGGGGGCTTGCGCATATCCGCATTACCAAAACCTTTCCAAGTTGCTCCCAGGTTATACTCCACAGCAGCTGCATCTTCTGAAACAGGTGCTAAACCATTCGCGAGCGGACACAACCTTGATTCAATCTTAACTGAAAAGAGAAAGACCACCAAACACATTCTTTCGAGGAAAACGTTCTTGGTCGACTACTATACACACCTCAACAGGACCAACGAAATTGTGTTGTACGTGCATCACAATAATCTTGTCAAGACTGAAAACAAAAAGTTCAGAACGGAATTGTCCAAGAACGGTGCCAAGTTAACTCTTATTAGAAACAGCATATATAACGTTTTCTTGAAGTCCGAGAATGAAGCTGACCCTGCAGACGAACAAACCAGCAAAAAGAATAAAGATGTCAAGCATCCAATAGCACCATTGTTAAATGGACCAACTGCTATCATCACGGTTCCTAAATGTGAACCTCAGGTCGTTGAGAAGATCTTGAAGACTCTAAAGGGTGCCAATGAAAAATTGATTTTGATAGGTGCCAAGATTGAGCAGCAAGTTTTCAATATAGATCAGGTTGACGAGTTCAAGAAGTTGCCATCTAAGGAAGATTTGCAAGCTCAATTGTTGGGTACGTTGACTGTATTGGGAGGTAGCGGATTAGTACAAGTGTTAGAAACCCCAGCAAAGTTGTTGTACTTAACTGGTAAAGAGCTTGTTAAGATGAACGAAGAAGAAAGTGACTAGGTTTGCTAAGATAAACGAAGAAGAAAGTAGCTAGATAGCGAGCGAAAGAGATAGAGAAGAAAGAGATAGAGAAGAAAGAGAGTGATGAAAAAAGCGAATGAGTTAGAGACTTATATATTAAGGCGCGGAATCTTGTAAATAATAGATACACTATACTACATGAAAGGAATGTAAGCGATGGATTTTGTACTGAATACTTTTGGGCTTTTTCACTTATCTGACTTCTATTTATACCACCACTAGCCTGTAGTGCTTAAGACTTGTTTCTGCCTCATAGAACGCTCTCTTTCCACCGAAAACCCACCACTCTGTACCCTTCATCACCATTCATCAGCACTCGAGGTTTATGCAATTCTCAAAATTTCCCGCGCATCTCATCTCAAATTTTTCACTTCCCTATAGCTCAACTCCGTCGAGGTATACCACAGCTAAAGCATATAACTTCCTTGAGCAAGATGGCCGAGTTGAAAGATAACAAGAGAAAATTGTACAGGAAGGAAAAGGCCGAGACAAGAAAGGCTTTCAAGCAAGCACGTTTCGAGGACGACCAGCAAATAAGTGCCACTCCATCTGGCGATGAGTCTGGATCCAACTCGTTCTCCACTACGACAGAAGTTGACTTACCAAGGAAAAGATTCTACAGGCAAAGAGCACACTCCAACCCATTTTCAGACCATAGCTTAGAGTACCCAAGGTCTCCAGATGCCATGGACTGGACCAAATTGTACCCTGCGTACTACAATGAAGAATCCAAAGACGTCCAATCCAGAGTGGAGATCGCAGATATTGGCTGTGGGTACGGTGGTCTTCTTATAAACTTAGCAGCTGAATTCCCGCAAATTTTATGTCTTGGAATGGAAATCAGAGTCCAGGTAACCCAATACGTCGAGGACAGAATCATAGCCTTAAGAAACAAATATAAAGATGAACCCAAAAAGAACTTCCAAAACATCTCAGTGTTGAGAGGTAATGCCATGAAGTTCCTTCCAAATTTCTTCTACAAGGGCCAACTCTCCAAGATGTTTTTTTGTTTCCCAGATCCACATTTTAAACAAAGAAAGCATAAGGCAAGAATCATCACAAACACCTTGTTGTCTGAGTACGCATACGTCTTACGTGAAGGTGGAGTGGTGTATACAATTACCGACGTGGAAGACTTGCACTTGTGGATGGTTAAGCACTTAGAAGAGCATCCGATGTTTGAAAGATTAAGTAAAGATTGGGAAAAGCAAGACAAATGTGTACAACTTATGTGGAATTCCACAGAAGAGGGCCAAAAGGTTTCCAGAAACAAGGGAAACAAGTGGGTTGCTTGCTTTAAAAGATTGCCCACCCCAGAAGACTGCGAGTAGCTAGCCAACTAGCTTGGCCAAACATCTCTAGGGATAGTTTTTGTAAAATAGAGTAATAAAAGTAAGAAAGTAGGCAAATAAACACCTTCTTAGCACATTTTCAATGGCCGAGCCCCATGTATCTTCAATATTGTGTCAATTGACTATATAAAACTAAAATCACAGTAATTCATGCTCCACACACAAGAAAATAAATGAACAAAACAGAGAGAACAGTGATTGAGTCAAATAAATAATTCAATCATAAATTAAAACAGAGCTTTGAAAGAAGGAGGTTCAAAAAAAGTAACATGTGTCTTTTAATTCCCTACTCTCAAATATTAAATATAATTCCAACTACTTTCACTACTAATCACACTACTACTTCCAATACCCTAAAACTCTTACAAGTTTGGGGCTGGAACTTCACCGGTAGCTTTGGTAACTTCAGCTTTAAGACCTTCAGCTTCATCGACAACTGATGCAGTAGTCTGTGGAACCTCTGGGAACTTAGATGCACCAGTGGTGGTAGCAGATGGGGTTTCATCAATCTTGTTGGCGTAAGCAGCTGGAGATTCACCAACAGTGGAACCAGCAGTTCTAGTTGGGATCTTTGAAGAGATGAATGAACCAACTGGACCAGTCTTCTTAATCAATGTGTCAAAGTGTGGAGCAGCAGCCTTATGACCCTTTTGGTACAATTCAGAAGCCTGGGCCTTAGCACATTCAGAATACTTGTGAACGGCAGCATCAATTTGCTTCTTGTTGTGGAAGTAACCAGCTGGTACAGTGAAAGTTAAGATAACGGAGGTGACAAGCAAAGTGTACAAGGAGAACCAAGAGGTAAGCTTGTACAATATGTAGGAGACACCAGCAGCCTTTAAGGTGGTTTCAAGGTCATGTGCATAAATAATCTTTTGGACTTCGGATTCCAACTTGAGGTTGAAGTCAGCGATAAGCGGTAAAGCTTCATTGTTTAACTTGGCAGCAAACGACTTGGTAGCTGGCTTGTACTTTGTGACAAAACCTTGACCAGTGACCAACTTACCAGCGTATTCAGCGGCAGCGGCAGCTAAAAAATCATATGTTAGTAAGTCTAATTTCAGTTATAAATCACAATCATACCTTAACATGTCAAACTCTTATCTAACGAGTGAAAAATTTAAGGCACCAATCGCGTCAAGGAAGTAAAAAGTTCAAAAAAAATCAAAAAAAAAAAAAAAAAAAACGCAATTTTTCGGGAGTTTCTTAGCGAGACGGCAACAGGATGCTCTTAAAGCAATGAAGAAAGCCATAGCAAATCCAACTAAATGAGCCAAGATCAGTGCCAAAAGACATCGATTGGATCTCCTCATTGGCACTGCTTAGCAACTACCTTGCTTAAATTTCCAATTGCCTTGCTTTGCTCACTTTTTTCTCCTCGAGCTCATTGCTTACTATTCATCCTCTATCTAAAGCGCTCGCAGGCTCTCATTTGATTTTTCATTATTTTTGCCGACACTAAGAAAGAGTTATCAGGGGTACGGAAACAGCGGTCGATATATATACCAAATTCCAAGCTAACTATTGCAATTGAAATTCGGTTCTACCCCAATCGTGCTTCACGCACCCACTCATGAATACATACCAATAAGTCCCAAATATGATAAATGGAAGAATACATTTAACAAGTTGACAAACTTGAAAACGATCAAAGTAGCCACAATTCCACCAAATACCTTACCGGTTTGAGCAGGATTCTCCCAGGTTAATAATGAAGAAAGGTTTGATTGAGATGGTTGAGCAACTGAAGTCATTGTTAATTAATATTATTAATTGAGTTAATAAATAGGATATTTCAAATGGAGGTAAAAGAAATACGTTGTAGAAAAAGAAAATTTTGTAAAGAAAGGATAGGGAGAGAAGGAGAGTTGTTCGAATACACCCCATTGATGGCAAGTTTATTGCATGAAGGAGCAAAAAAAAAAAAAAAATAATTATACACAGGATAAGACGAGTATGCGCAGGTCACAAGACATGTAATAAGGTTATCTATAAGCTGATGGAATACATAGAAGGAGCAAAGGAAAAAATGTTTGGAAGACGTGGCGCTTGGTTTAGTTGCAAAGAGCAACTGAGATTATTGCATCGAAGCAAGCAAACACAGATCGTAGAAGAATATGGTTTGACATTTTCTTGATTGCTAGGTTAGAAGACGCGCCGCTGATCTAATATGGGGCGTAGACTTTTCACAGATTTTTATTTTAAAAATTTTTTTTTTCACCTTTTCTTCGTATCTATCTACGTACTGTTACTGAAGCCGAGGCAGATGAATGCAGTAGACTGATGAACATTACTTGTCTTGTAACAATAAGGTTCTTTTTTTTTTAGTTTCGGTACATTTGAAAAGCCTAATGGAACTTCATGCCGGACATTTTTATAGTGTCTCTGTATTGTTGCACAATTTCAGAAACATGCCTGGATCGAGTCAGCGAACTCTGTCCAGCGTAGATCTCTACCCACTGTAGAAGAGCCTTTCCCGTCTCAGTCTCTATTCCAATGCAAAACTCTTCTATGTATGCTTTGAGTTTTGGAAGCTGGTCCTTTAGCCTGTTGTCTAGTAGTATATACTTCTGCGCTGAACGCCTCCAACTAGAATTACTCTCTTTCTTCAGAGTATACAACATATAGCTCTTACTAAGCTTCTGACGCAGGTTGATCTTGATCTCTACATCCTTGCACATACCCACCGCCATTTTCAATCTCTTTATAATCCTATCTTCAAATTCTTGAGCTACTAGCTTGATTGCAGTTCGTAGCTGGGTAGTGCTCTTATCGCAATAGCTTTCATAGGGGGTACACATTTGCACCGCTACGCCATTCAAAGTGCAACCGTCTTCCATTGAACTGTTACACAATTCGTTCCATGCCCTAGCATACCTGTAGCTCTCGTTTGAAAAGTTTAGAATCGACCTGCTGAGTAACTCAATCGCCTCAAGCAATCTACCTAGCATATCCGTCAGTGCTTTGAACTCTACGAGAAGCTCACCATGGTCCACGAATGAATATGGCTCGTCCTCTGCAAATATCAAACTATCACAGTCTGGCCAATTTTCCACTGGAATTGACTGGTTACATGAATGCAACATTTGGCTCAACTTGATTAGACAAACACTAAGTTCATGCTTCTGGATCGGAGTCCAAATTTTGTCGCCCTCGTCTAAAATCCTCTTCAACAATGGCGGGTATTTGGAAAACCGTTGAATCGGTTTTGAAAGCAAAGACTGCAAACTTATAGCATCACCATTTCTATCCTGCCTGGTACAGTATAAATCAGATTCCTTCAACCATCGATCAAATAATACACCACCATTCCTTTTTTCATGTTCCAAAAACTTCAATCGAAACTGCTGGGTTACAATAAAAGAGTTCATTTGGGTTCGGTATTCTTTATTATCACATAACTCCCGGGAGATCAAACTGCCCAAATTCAACCTTTTCAAATCTGCTCCGAGCACTAACTCTAGTCCCCCTCCATCGTACTCGAATGAACCTGTGGTTGAAGATATTGATTTCAAGTATTCTTTTAGTCTCTTCACGAATTTATCGGAAATGATTTCTAACAGCAAAACGTTTTGAAACAACAATTCTTTCTCTCTTTGCATCAAGATGTTTTCGTATTCAGTACTTTTAAAGAGTAGTCCGGAATACACATCCACCAAAGACTTCAAATCTTCACAATAAGCCATTTCTGTCGACAAAAGTTCTATAATAGCGAAATGTAAAGGAGTAGGAGCTGCTTTCAAATCACTTAGATCTGTAAGAGGTGATGCGTGTTTAAAGAAAAGCTGATTCTTTTCATGCAAGCCTTTTATAGAAAGCTCTAAGTTCCTCCTTCGGGATTGCTTTAGAGGATTGGAAGACATTTCATAGGCTAATTTATATTACTTTTTTTATAAAAGGGTGAAAGTAGTCAGAATCCAGCAAACAAGCTAGCAACTACAATGATTATAAGGGATTTATACTCAAGATATGTATCGTATCTGTTGAAGCTTCAAGCCCTTATCCCGTTACACTCATGAAACAACTCCGAGATTTGCAACCATTTATTTTCTTCGTTTCTTTTTTTGGTCCCATGCAAGGTGCATATGGAACATGCATGCTATTAACACAAACGGAAATCTTCCCAGCATTTGCAACCTTCGAGGTTTACCCTTCAGGATTTTAATTATTGTACCTTACTTTTCTTTTCTCTGGCTCATGTAGAAAGTTATAGAGCTGGGTCGTATGTCGGAATTGGGAATAGATAATAAGAACCTTGTAGTCAAGTGTGCAGCTGCCACAGGCAGAGGAGTCTTTACAAAATGTTTTATTCCAAGAAATGAGTTGATTCACACCTTCAGACCGAGAATTAGAGTAATTAATGCCGAGATTCCGGGCACTGATAATGATTCTTGTTCCAACATTTGTCAACATTGCTTGGAGGTACAAAAGGCTGGGCCCTTTAACACCGAATTTATTTGCATGGATTCCTACGTAGATACTCAACAGGTTGACCGAATTGGGTGCAAATATTGCCAACTATACACTTACTGTAATTTCGAGTGCTACCAACAAGATTGGCTGGTATATCACAAATACGAATGCAGCATTTTTCAACGTTTAATTTCCGATTATGGTTCGACGTACATCTTGGAACCTCATATTAGGCTTCTCATTCGCACATATGTTTGCTGTTACTTGGATAGTTCATTCAAAGAAATGGTACTAGGATTGGTGTCAAATTTAGATAACTTTAGTCAGAAAGAGACTGAGTTATTCACATGGATTGAAGGTAGATCCGCTGAAATTTGCATGGCTATTTTGAATACAAAAATTGGTGTACACAATGGATTAAGATTGGATAATATACTGAATGGCACTTTATGTTCTACAGAAGAATCGTTAAAAATTTTTTTGATGCGTTTATTATGCATTTGCTTAACTAATTCGAATGTCTTCATCAACGATTCACTTGAAAGCATTGGAGTTATATTAGATCTAGAATTCTCTCTCATTAACCATTCATGTATCCCCAACACATCATATCTTCGAACTTCCAACAGTACCTTTGCCTTACTCGCGAATGTGGATCTAATTCCAAGCAGTGAAGTTACAGTAAATTATTCAATTACCAATTACCCTAAGTTCATCAGACAAATGTATCTCCTGCAACAATTCAATTTCGATTGCAGTTGCAAACTATGCACTCAAGAGCTTGACTGGTATTTTTCATATAACTGTCCCAAATGCAAACAAATCTTGTGTGATTTAGACCTTCACTACTTCTTTTCCCAAAAATTCGAGAGAGCATTCAACTTCAAGGGAGAAGAAAATAATATATGCTACACCTGCTTCCAAAAAATTTGTTATGATTCATTATTCGATGCTAGAAGAATTCATCTAAGAGCTCTAGCGTTCTTGATTTTAGAAACTACAACACCTTTATGTGACCAATTTGATTTTAACGACCTAAACCTTGATAATATTGTACAACAACTAGACCTTCCAATTGAACAATTGATCTATTTTATGTCCATCTCCTATAGAACCACGCTAGATTTGAATTACTATTCTCAAAAGGTGATAGAGAAGTTGCTTAATGAATTAGGAATAGTCGGAGACATTATTCCATCATATTGTTTCCCATACAGCATATTTTTCAATTCGATGAAAGTTTACCACGAATCTCTTCTCCCCATAGAAATTCTGAGTGTAAGCGCTGAGTTTGTGGTTCAATATACGAACTACGCCGTGAACTTGTGTTTCGAAGTTGATATTCCTTCAATTCTGGGTGAAGCAAAGCTTTCCATAATTTACCAATTGAATAATCTTGGAAACGAGTTGTTGCGAGTGATCGATATCATTTTGAAATCCAAAAAGTCAGACAAACATTACTTCCAAGGCTCTTCTTGGGCAAAATACCAAGATGATAGTGTAATTGAAGCGTTGATAAAATCAAGTATTTGTATTTTAAGGCAAGCCTTGGAGTACTGTAACCAATTTTATAACTCAATCAATGGATTGCTGAAACTGATACAGACAAATATTGAGTATTCCCGCCTCCTATCAAATAAAGCAAAAAAAGAGGTACTGCGGCGAAGCAATATGTATAATGGAGCCTTCAACGATTGTGACTTGCTATCTTTTGTAAATGATCTTTTCAAATTGACCAATGTCACCAACATTCGATGCAACAGTTCCAAAATAGATGTACAATTTTCAGATAGAAAGTTTATTACAATTTTCACTCCATTTGAAGAGTAGGAAGCCTTACCCTTGTTTAAATAATACAAGACAAATTTGAGATTAAAATTATCTACTCAAAAAAGTTGAGTAAGCCCTTGTTGGTGACTGAACTATGACTGATGATTCATTTTCCATTATTCCTTTACCCAAAAAGTCTGTGATAACTTTAAATCTGTCATCTTTGTCCTTCAAAGATTGCTCAAATAAGTTGATTTCATCCTTTGAATTAAATTGCTTTCTACGCACTTCTCTTGATGATTCCAAGTCATTTATACACAAGGGGCAATCTCTTTCTTTCGAATGTACAGCCAGCTTGCTTCCTTCATTCAAGATAGACGAAGATGATATAATCGTATTTTCATCTAGGCACCTTTGATGGTATGAATGGTTACACTTAAAGTGGATAACAGGATAATCCAACTTTAAGTGGCATGAAGAGCATTTATTGTTTTGAATGATGAAAGGCTTTGTTGTTAGCTCGCTTAATTTGTTTCCAATCTTTGTTGTCTCAGATTCGTAAGATTTAATAAGCTTTCGGTTATTTGAGATTTCTCTATTTTGAGTATCGATATAATCAATTAAATAATCTTTAATTAATCCAATAGTTGTCAATTCAGTACTGGACAAAATCTGAATAACTTCCAAAGGAGTCGCCAATTTTAAAGTCTTGATTTTCAAAAGTATCGATTTAAAGTCAGAATCACTTACTTGGTCGAATATTTCCTCTTTAGAAATTATAAATTTCAATAAGAGTTTGTACAATTCAGGCTTAGCATCTCCATACTTTCTAACCAAATTGAAACAATTCTCTATATTACCAGCTATTGCAGAAGACCTGAATAGACTTTCTTCGAATCCACCAGATTGTTCTTTTGCCGAAATTTCACCTTCACCAAAATCATAGATGTGGGAAACAAGAAGGAGAGAAGATTTATTCAAAAGTGTTGAATATTCCGAAAGTAATGCATTGGCCTTCTCTTTCCACTCATCATCAGGGTCTTTACTTAAAGAAAGATACATTTCAAACAACGTCATAAGAAGTTCCTTCTTGTCATTTATATTTCCTTGGTATTTATCAAAGGTTTCAATACAGGCTTCTAAGAAGACAACAAACTCATTTGGATTGTTTATGAATGATGGAAAGATTAGACTTGGACGTGGTGGTAGGTATGTAGGTGCTGAAGGTTTGTTTGAGGACCCGTTTAGACTTGTATTTTCACCATCCATTGGGTCATTGTTTTCACTTCCAGATAAATATGTTACGAAATTCTTGTAACTATTGATAGGAATGGATGTAATTCCTGAATGTAAGGCACGACTATCGTGACCATATACTTCCACTTCAGGCTCATTTTCCTCTTGAGGCATATATTTACCAGTGAATACATTTATCAACAATTCTGTAGTTTCAATAGGACTGTTATCCAATAAAATCTTAGAATATTCAATCAAGATCAATAGTAATTCGTCAATAGACAAAGTTTTAACATATTGAAGGCATTTTTGAGGTTGATTCAAATAATTTAATTGAATATCAACAATATGACTTGGCTGGTTCAATTTGTACAACAACTTCACCACTTGAGGATAGTACTCACATTCCTTGAACAAGTTTATTATGAGTTGGAAATTTAATTGCTGAAGCCTAAGCTTCCCTGTAGACAGACTGGTTTCGTTAAAATCAAATTGATCGATGAATTCATCCAACTCTTTCAACTTTTTCAATTTACAATAACAACACAATAAAAGAGTTAGATGATCATTATCCGCGAGCTTTAATTCATATAGCTTATATAAGAACTTGGTCAAATTATTAATATTGGATACATCTTTAAATTTAGTAATTATATCCATAATAAAATCTGCCAACTCCTCGGAGTTCTCGCCATTGCTCTTGAATATATCCAAACAACTTATATACAAGTTTATAGATTCATTGAAGTCTTGCTGTTGATCGAAGAGATACTCACCGTGTAGTCTTTGAATCCTAAGCAACATCTCTTTAGATAATTGGTTCTGAATTGCTAGCGTATAAGCAATATTGAAAAGATTTCTCTGCAAAATTATTTCAATTTGCTGATTTATTGATTTTTCATGAATCTTAAACAAGATCCCATCGCTACTCAACATGTATAGATCACCCCACATCTCAAATACATAATTAATTGTATTGTTAGGGATCGTCAAACTGAATGATATATGCTTGTTCAAAAGATCCAAAATTACAATTCGAGATAAGAGCTTCTTAGGTGAGGCAACTACTCCATTTCCTGACGATCCTTTACCAGCTTCTTCCTGTTGCGGCGAAATGATAAGCAAATAATTTTTACCGAATCTATGTATAAGCTTCTTAGGCATATCAAGAAGAATGGTATTTGTTTTACTTACATGATTATAGTACCTGATTGAGTCTTGAGTGGCAACTATCAACTCACCTCCAGCGACTTCCCTTTCTAAACCAGAACAATTTAAGTCCACACCTGTCTTTTTAGACAAGAGTCGATTCAATCTTCCGTTGTTTCTGCCATTTGTCAACACGGTTAAGATCTTAGAAGTCGTAGTAATATAGAGAAGATCCTCGGACAAATTAAAATGTATGCCAGTAATTGGCTCATTTGACTCATATATGATTCTTTGCTTAGACCCACGATCTCTAATCAAGTCACCTCTAATCAACAAAACCGTCCCATTAGCGTATCCTACGGCCACACAGGATAATCCCTTGTTGAATTGAATGGTCGTTATGGGGAATGCATTATCTCCATTGGAAACTCTACACATTGTATGGTACTCATGTTTATACTGATCTTCATCAATATTTTTCAAGGTCAAAATTTTAGTCAAGTCCCATAACTTTAACACAGAGGGGAACCCTTGCCTTTCAGCTACTGTAACCAACAAATTTGAATGCGGGAGCGCTTTCATATAATTGATTCTATACTCTAAATCATAAGCTACAAATGTTTTTACAGGTAAGAATTGCTTGGAGATGATTCTAATATAAATATTGTTAGTTGCCATTAGCAAGTTGCTTTCAGTGGAGCATATTGCAGATAATGATGGGTCTGAGTACAAAGGATCATTTGACTTGTAGTTAGGATCTCGTATTGGCGTTAGATCAAACAATTGAAATTGTCTCCACACGTCCGACATCCTTGTAGTCCTAGGCAATAATGTCTAGTTTACTGTTAATTGGTCTTTATGCTTCTGCTGAACCACTAGAGCTCAATACGTTAGCTAACGAGCTGTATGCAAGATAGAAGAGTAGCCATACTATCGCAAACCTACATGCAGGAAGATATCATATTCGAGCCCAAGCATTACTATGAGCATAGAGCAGAGCTAATAGCAGAGCATAGAACAGAGCAAGGAGCAGAGCAAGGAGCAGAACAAAGCACAGATAAACATTTCATGTGACAGAGAGCCAATTATTACAGAGTTTTTTTATACAAATTTCAAGTACAAAACTTCCTCGAGTGCTATCAATCAGCTCCTCTCGCTCTTTTCCTCTCTCTCCGATTGCCGATCACCTTCCTAACGATTTTGCGCGTCAAAGCGTGTCTTCGAAAAATCAAACACAAAGAATAAATTTCAAAAGGGAACCTCACTCTCGCCCACTAGAACAAATATTTCAACAAACAGTCAAGTGCTACATACATGTAGTCCCAAAGTCACCCACTCACTTAAACTCCATAAACATAAAAATTTTCTCAATACCCAAAAATTTTTCCCTTATTTTTTTTAAGTTAATTTTTACAGTCTTTTTCCGAAAACCAGTCTTTGCTTTTGGAGCTCCACTTGTACGTCATACGTAGACTGAAGATTATCATTGGAAATTTCAAGTAACCTTAATCTTTATAAAGTCGAGAATTGATTAGCGATAGTCGAAAATTGATAAGTCGATTTTTTTTTGTGAGAATTAAATTCATTTTTTTTAAACTAGCAACCTCTTATAATGACAACTTATGACGCGATAAAGGACGAAGTGGTAGAATCGGATTCGAATAGACCTCCTGTACCTAAAAGTCATAATAGCGTTATGGAAATCAAACAATTGACGGCTCCGGCTCCTGCTCCTGCGTCGCAGGCTCTGGTGGCGGTTGCTACTCAACAACACCATGGCGAATCACAATCTCAAAGGATATCAGATTTAATGAACCCTACACCTCCAGTGGAACCCCAACCAGTAGTTTTAGTGGAGCCAGTACAGCAACCTGCAATAGTACCTGCTCCAACAGAGGCTCCACCTACAGTCGCGCCCCAAGAACCAACCACGCCCTATAAGCAACAAAATTCCATGAGAGTCTCAGATATGGTCAACTCAGACCAGGATCCGACAGAAGACCAATCTATGATTGACGATGATCCCGAATCTCCTGACAGAGTACGAACAATCCTAACGCATCCAGACGACTACGTCCCATACGTCCCAAAACCAAGAACAGCCAGAAGATCCGTAGTTCTACCATCTGCGCGTACATATAAACATTTGAAGAAGAAGGATGGAGAACCATTCTGGAGGAGAGACATCCAGTACGAGTTTCAGAAACATATTTTCGATAACAAACAAAAGGTATTCACTAATCCTTTTGAGGATCCATTCATTCCTGGCTACATAAATGAGCCCAAATTTACATTTGCTGAGCTTTACGTAAGAACTTTAGCAGAATCTGGAAAATGTTCTAAGATTCTTAAAGAACGGTTACTCAAAGAAACTGAAATGGGAATTTCGGTGCTGAAAGTTTGCTTATTAGTAAACTCTGGCAGAATGAACACTACGATTAACTTTGTACCAGAAATGAGATCCACATTAAGAACATATCATTCAATTCCATCGTTACAAGCAGACCCAGTGCATGGAGGCTCCAAACCTTTACAAGACACCCCCAGATTGAAATCGATTTTGAAGTCTGTGAGTGACGGAATCGAGCCATATAAGATATTGGAAGATTTATTACGTCACCCCAAGAGAGACAAACCAAACACAAATGTCATCGACTTGATCTTTCTATTAAGTAATCATACACATGGTATCAAATATTATGTGGAAGATGTCAGCACTGAGAACAGTTTTATGGATTTCTTTTTAAATACCCATATTCACCCACAGAATAGAGCTCAAAGATTTTTATGGTTAATGTATACTTATTTGGAAACGAGCTTCTCAAATGATGAATTAATTGATAATCCTTTCGGAGATGGCCTGGGATTACCAAGAATCCCAAACGTCCAAACAATCTCGCCGGAAGAAATTGCAAAGTATGATGTGGATACTGATTTTGAAAGGAAATATTCGGAAGAAATGATTATTTTGAGACAAAGGTATTTAACTGATGAAGAACATAACAGCACTCCAAAGAGAGGTAATAAGTCTAGGAAGGATAAAGAAGAAGAGGAAGAAATCATGCAAGCTCAGCAAGAAACGACTGCAGCAATTGCAGGAGCTTCAATGGAGAATGGAACTACCAATGGAGAGGCAAATGGAGGAACAGTTGCAGGGTGGGAAGAATACGATGATAAGAAGAGGCACCTTGACGATATGGACGAAATTAAAAAAAGGGCAAAGAAAACGGTGCCATTCAGCGCATCAATAAGCTCGCCATTAGCTCACTCTGTTGTCTCTGCAAACAATAGACATCTAGAAGACGCAGACAATGAAGGATATCAAGATCATATTACTTCGGAGGGTAATGCAATTTCTACCAATGGGATTGTATCGAAAGATGGTCATGCTGCTCACAGTAATAACCAAGTGATAATGTCCTCAAGTCATTATGGAAATAATGGTGTTGCCTCACCTTTCACGGCTTTAGGAGCACATACATCTAGAATGAAGAATTCAGACCATAATCCGGAATTTCCTATTGAAAATTTGGACGCTATCCTCGATAAACTTCAAGAGTTATCATCTACAAATATAGCTCCACACAATAGGACCTCTATGGCTTCCCATTTGAACATTTTGAATAAGTCAAAGCCTCAAATTCGTCAGTACCGTAGTAATGCTAAGATTTCTAACCAAGAGTTCATAAACAAGACAGAAGAATTGAAAGAGAAGATAAACAAATACTTTCAATACAAAAAGTCACTAAATAATGGCCTTCTTGGAATGGAGTGGGAAAATATTAGATACGATCTCATCAACGGGATCGAAAGTTTCGCATATAAACAACAAGGAAAGGCTTTCCATTCCCTTTTACAGCAAAAGAATCCTGGTGAAAAAGTTTCTGAACAAAATTCAGTAAGTACATCTGCAATGGGCTCTTCTAGTGGATCGTCCGCTTCTGCTACCAACGAACCCGATGAAATTGGATTTGGATTCGTGCCAATATATGACTTCAATAAGATTAATGAATTAAACATATTCGTGAAAAATTTGATTCGAAATTCCAATGAATCTTTGGCTATCGAAGAGTCCAAATCTTTAAGGAAAAATAAACCATTGAATAAGAACTACATAAAATTTAATTTGGCAGAAGGAAAGACAGACATTAATTTAGAGTTTTAATTATGCCCAAAAACTTATAGAAGACAATGGTATTCTATAACCAAAAAAAGAACCGGGCCAAAACAAAAAATGAAAATAAAAAGTATAAATAGTATCAATATACGGGAAATTATTTAGCTAAACCTATACTGACTTCTTCCATTCCTATCTGGTAGGTATTTTTTAAATATACACATATTGCCGTAAGGACGTCTGTTTCATTTGACAAATGCACTATAACATCCGAACCTACTTCAGAAGTAGTGCTTTGAATAGGATCATGCTTAATTGTAAGCAATTTGAGTTCCGTTTCAACCTCACCTGTAATCGAATCTTCCAACAAGATATTCCATACAAATACCATGCTACTCACATCATTCACTTTGAATGTGAGGGAGTTTGTACCTCTTTGAGGAGATGGGGTATCAACAATCAGTGGGTATAGTCTCACCAACTCTGTCATAGTCTGTAGTCTTTTGGAAACTAATTCTGCCAAAGAATTCAAGCTATATATTAATAAGTTTATCTTCCTTTGCGGTATATAATTCTTTACAAGAACACTGTAGAATGAGAGAGATAGGAGTGATATCGTAGTCAACTCATTGCTATTCGGCAAAGAGATAGATACTAGAGAATTGTCAAGCTTCTGAATGATGATTCGGATGAAAACAGAAAAATTCTCAGATCTAACTGTAAAACTTATCTCTCGGGTACCCTCATCGCCTTCTTGAACGGTTGCATTTGTCAAAGATATATGCTCGTAAAACATTTTTGAGAATTTCAACCTATCATCCCAATTGTCTGATGGCAAAACGTTTAACCTTCGAAATATATCCTTGTCATCACTATCCTCCGAGGATACTTCAACAACTGGTGTGGGGAGCGCTTTTTCATTGCCTTTTCCTGTCAGCTTGTCTTCCTCTAGCATATCTAACTTTCGCTGTGCTTGTCTGTGCTTCCTCTGGTCCAACAATGTCTTTGTTTTCAACCTCAATTGCTCAATTTCGTCTTTAATGCTTTCTCTCTTCTTTATCAAATCGTCTTTATTCACTGTAAGCGCAGATTTTTCCTCCTGTAATGCAATTAGTTCTTCAACTTGGGTGTGGGCGTTCAATGCAGCATCTCTATTCAGTTCAAGTGGACCTGCACCTGGACTAGTAGACCTATTGGGTACGTTTATCTCATCCTTCGGTTCTCTTGGAGACGTATTTAATATGTCTGATAAAGATGTAATGTCCTGAATGTTACTCATGTCAATTAGCAGTTAACTTTGAGAAGAGAAAGAAGGTAATACACTATCTAGATCAAAGTGACGTCTTTGTTTTGGTTGTAGCTACATATATGTGTTGTGCTATGTACAGGAAAGTACACTATATATATAGATGTATATGCAGTACACTGGGCATCACTATCGATATTTCACTTAGCTCCAAAAATTTACTTTTGACAGTGAAATAACTGTAGAAGATCAACTACGAAGTACTACAAAAGAGAATATAATGGTTTCTGCTCCGGAGTTGAAAAGTGTACGTATCAGGACTTGGACATTTCATATTTCAAATATATTTTACTAACAATTCTTTTAGTATATGGATAAAAAGCTTTCAGTTCAATTGAATGGAACGAGAAAGGTTATAGGGACTCTTAGAGGGTTTGATGTAAGTATAACCTACACGAAAGCGTGTTGCTATGAAGACAATATCGAGACCACGAATTTTCTCTCATCAACATGGACAATAGTGCGAGAATTTCCAGCCAACTTACTCTCGATTTGCAATTTTGTCTCTACATACTAACACACAGGTTTTCTTGAACATTACTTTAGATGAAGCACTTGAAGAACAGAAAAATGGTGAAAAGCTTAACATTGGCACGATAGTATGTATATCAGAGCATGAAAGAAGCAATAAAATAATTGGCTGTTCAGCCACATACTAACATCATTCTAGGTGATTAGAGGTAACTCCATAATATCGATTGAGGTAAGTACTACATTTTGAAGAATAGTTCATCAAATCTCTTTAACGAACTTTGACAATACTAACAAACTATAGGCACTTGAAAAAATATAACTAAGTGTGTGTATAATTTTAACCTGGTCTAACTATAACTATGTATATATGCAAAAATAAATATAGCAAGAAAAAATAAAAGGAAAAACACTGCAATTATGTAAGACCAGACACCCGCTGCAACCAAAAGATGAGCTTATTCAGGCCTCTTTCTAATATCTTTGTTGAAATCATTTTTATAACCTGAGACACATCTCTGAACCATCATTCTTGTAACCACATTTTTCGTAGAAGCCTACATTGTGAGGAGAACAGTCCAAAATGACCTTGTAACAGCCAACCTCTTTAGCTACACCACTCAATTCTTTGATCATAGAAATTCCAAGTCCTTTCCCTTGTTCTGACTTGGCTACAGAGATATCTTCAATGTGCCCTACACTACCACATTCATGAATAATTTTACGTTCAACTAATAGCATACCAGTTGCCACTACAATCCCATTTTCGTTGGTGATGACTCTTGGCATATATGTGTCAGATAGCTTTTCCCAGTGAGCGAACACGTCTTTGAATTTATCAAGTGGTATGTCCCCAACAGTAGTGAGAACTCTCAATGTCTCAACATATGGCTCATAGTCACCTAGTTCTAGCTTCCGGATTGTATAACCTTGAGGAAGCATGTTCTCGATTCAGATATATTGCGGGGGCTTAAAAAGGATATGTAGTGGAGCTTCTTAATTGCCCGAGAAGGTTAGTGCCTGCAGAAGATCCAAGAACGTTTTTTTCTTCAGTAAAATATTTTTAATGATACTTTATCAATTTGTGTAGAAGGGAGATTATTTATTTAACTCCGTAGGCACTCATTTACCAAACTAAAAAATCAAGCAATGAGCCTCTTCTATTTACCCTCAATAAACTACGCACGCATTTCCTTCGCTAATCAAGCACAGGGCGCAACATCAGCGGGGTTATGAAGGAAAAGGTGTAGGTGCTATTGATTTTGTCCGCGGATGTTACTGCCTGTAGAAGATTCAGGAACTTTTTTTCCTTCAGTAGTTTCTTGAAATACGGTTTAATGATTGCTTGGGAGGAAAATTATTGCCTTCTCTACTTGGCAAGAAAACTATTTAAATGAAGCGAATGGTAATTACATAAGAAATAGTAGAATAATCTCGAATTCAGCCTTATCTGCATTCAATAACATCAGCTGAATAAGTTTTACGATGACGTTGACCTCTCCAAATTTAACCTTTAAGTCTCTTAGTTATAGTTCCAATCGAGAAAAAATTAGTATTGGTGAAGATACCATCCAGTTGGTCGCCAATAAAGACGGAACTTACGATGTGCCAGAGAAGAAAATTTTAGTTAGAGTTCATTCAGCCGCACTCAACCCAGTAGATATGATTCTCTACAACTCTGCACATCCTATTTTATCATACTTTTTCGGCAAGCAGGGCATTGGAAGAGACTACTCTGGTACAATCGAAAAAATTGGCGCTGTTGCGGGAAAGAAGTTTGATTTTAAAGTTGGTGATGAAGTTTGTGGATTGTACAGACACCCCTTTGGTAAGGGAACTTGTAGTGAATACATATTGATTGACCCAGCTGTTGACAAGGCTATTGGCTTGAAGCCTAAGAATTTGACTATGGAAGAAGCTAGTTCTTGGCCCTTGGTTTACGGAACGGCTGAAAGTATGCTTGGAGTAAGGACTGCCAAAAACAAACCGAAATTTAACAAGGAGAGTAAGGTTTTAATTATTGGAGCTTCAACTTCTGTCGGAAGATACCTCCTTCAAATCTGTTCCAAGAAGTACCACATGAGGGACATTGTAGCTGTATGTTCACCCAAGTCCGAACAAGCTGTTCGCGAACTTGGTGCTACTAGTATTATCGATTACACTAAATTGTCGAAGGATCAAGGAGGAATTTACCCTCCAGCGCAAGAGCTTGCGGTATCTGGGAAATTCGATATGATTTTGGATTGCGTTGGAAATTCCGATTTTTTGGACGATACTCGTATGGATCATACTCTTAAGTCCAATGGTGACTATGTTACCATATGTGGTGATGACAAGAATGAATATGGTAGTAACTCTATGTTAAATTCTATGAAAAATTTGGACCCGTTATTTAGAATGATAAGAAAGTTTTTTGGTTGGTTACCATACAGCTACCAGCTAGTCTTCACCGAACCAGAGAAAGAATGGATTGATAGTGGAATAGAAGGCTTCGAAGATGGATCACTTCAGGTTCAAATTGATAGCGTTTACGAGTTTATAGACTATGAAAAGGCAATTGAAAGATTGAACTCCAATAGAGCTACAGGAAAGGTTGTTATTAAAATTTGATTATTAATATACTGCAATTAACACATAAAACCATTGCAATTTGGGTATATCTCTTTTTTGTCTTTACTGGGCTCGTATATATTCTTACTCTTTATATTCTACGTGGTGATAATACCTGGCAGGTATGTGTCCGGTCACTGTTCCCAATGAGTGAGCTCATCTTTGAACTTGTCAGCGATATGTCTTCGAGTGTAGTGAGAGCCGTCGAAGTTTCGCCATATGGCTCATAATCAATTAGTTCTAGCTTTCGAACTCAAAACTTTTTTGAATCACGCTCTTAATATATACAATTGCGGGGACTACAAAAAGATATGTGCTTGTGCTCTTAAAATTGTCCGCGGTTCTTAGTGCTTGTAGAAGATTCAGGAACTTTTTTTATTTCAGTAGTTCTCCAGAGCTTAAACTATTGCTTCGGAGGCAAGTTATTGCCTTAGATAAGTGGCAGGAAAATTACTTAAAAGTGACTTGAGTCTTAGTTAATATTAGATAGATCATTCTTTCGTAGACAAACTTCTTTGCAATTTTTCCTCTGCACTAAAAAAACAACTGATGACTTTTACGTCTTCGAATTTAACCTTTAAATCTCTTAATTATGGTTCAAACCGAGAAAATATTAGTATTGGTGAAGATACCATCAAGTTGGTCACCAACAAAAATGGAACTTACGATGTGCCAGAGAAGAAAATTTTAATCAAAGTTCATTCAGCCGCGCTTAACCCAGTAGACGTGGTTTTATACAACTCTGCACATCCTCTATTGTCATACTTTTTCGGCAAGCAGGGTTTTGGAAGAGACTACTCTGGAACAATTGTAAAAATTGGCGGTGTTGCAGCAAAGAAGTTTGATTTCAAAGTTGGCGATGAAGTGTGTGGATTGTATATGCATCCATTTGGCAAAGGAACTTGTAGCGAATATGTAATGGTTGATCCTACAGTTGACAAGGCTATTGGCTTGAAGCCTAAAAATTTGACTATGGAAGAAGCTAGTTCTTGGCCCTTGGTTTATGGAACGGCTGAAGGTATGCTCGGAGTAAGGAATGCCAAACATAAACCGGAACTTAACGAGCAAAGTAAAGTTTTAATAATTGGAGCTTCAACTTCTGTCGGAAGATACCTCCTTCAAATCTGTTCCAAGAAATACCACATCAGTGACATTGTAGCTGTTTGCTCATCCAAGTCCGAACAAGCTGTTCGCGAACTTGGTGCTACTAGTATTATCGATTACACTAAATTGTCGAAGGATCAAGGAGGAATTTACCCTCCAGCAAAGGAGCTTGCGGCATCTGGCAAGTTCGATTTGATTTTGGACTGCGTAGGAAACTCCGATTTCTTGAACGATACTCGTATGGGAAATACTCTTAAGTCTAATGGTGATTATGTTACTATTGTTGGTGATATTAAGACTGAATATGGCACTAGGACTATTATGAAAATTATGAAAAATTGGGACCCATTGTTCAGAAAGATAAGAGAACTACTTGGTCGGTTGCCATATAGCTACCATGTAGTCCTCACCGAACCAGAGAAAGAGTGGACTGATAGAGCAATACAAGGTTTTGAGGATGGAACGCTTCAGGTTCAAGTTGATAGCGTTTACGACTTTGAAGACTATGGAAAAGCTATTGATAGATTGAAGTCCAACAGAGCGACTGGAAAGGTCGTTATTAGGATTTGAAAATTGATTAACTTCAATTGATACATAGAGCCATAGCAATTGCAATATTTTTCAATTCTCTCTTTGCTAGACTACTTACTTTTTAATCCACATTTAACTATAGATGCTATGCTGTGCGTAGACACCTTTCCGCGAACTGAGGAGTCATGCAACGAGCCTCATTCAAGTATACTTTCCGAAAATATTCACACGCAACGTCCTATAGTGTCACTGCTGCAGGTGCCAGTTATAACAGTAAATATCTAATAGCCTTATTTTTCAGGAACTGATCACGAGTAAAATGCTGCAGACCTTCGTAAAATATCGCCAATGAGTTCCCAATGTATCATTAGACTCCTCTGCCAAGCAATAGGGCTCTCTTCTCTATTACTCTCATTTTCTATTCTAAATTTCTACATACCCGTTTTTCCATTGTTCCATTTTGGTTTTACTAGCTTATCTTTTTTTAGCTATCCTACCCTCCTGTGTTTCTTTTTTCTTCAACATCCCCATACCAACATGATCTCCATTCTCGACTGTTACGCGAAGAACTGCTAGTGCCATTTATTTATTTTTCGCATTCCTTTTGTACACAGTACGCTTACCTCTGAGACATGGTTTGTTTGATGAGTTGGATTTAAAGAGAAGCACTTCTTTCATAGCCAATACCTTCGATACCGAGACACATACGCTATTAAGGATGACAGACTTCGAAGACAGCGACCACAAGCCTGAAGCAACCAGGGAATTAAAGCTTTGGCTAGCTGCTTGCAATTGTCAACTGTACTTTTCGCGATTCATTGAGAATGGGATCACTCTTGATCTAGTACCTGAGCTAGATACCGCTGCCCTTAAGGAAATTGGTGTAAGTTTGTTGGGAGATAGAATGAGATTGGAATTGGCCATCAGCAAGTTGAAAATGGAGAAGTCGATCACAAGTGCGATCTCGAATGAAGAGCTTCAGAGAATGGTCAATTTGCATCTTAATGGAGGATCAACCACCACGCTAAACGGAGATGGTGGACTTGGAACACCAATATCGAGTGCTGACGATTATTATAACTCGGGATCAACTCCCACTCATGGTAATATGATTGGCAGATCGGTCCTTACCCCGACAAACGAATCAAGCACTTCAGTGGGAGGGCAACCAGGACTGCCATACTTTTACAATAGCCAGAGCAACAATAACAGCAGTAGTAATGGATTGGGTGGCAGTACCGTAGCAGGCACCTCGTCTAGTATCGGCACCTTGGGAAATTCCAATAACAATAACAGCGGGACATTAGTATTCAATAAGTCCTCTTCATCATCTGGTACTGCTCCTAGCAACGACAAGAATATTACATTTATTTTACAAGATGGGTCAACCAAAAAGGTGAACATCACAGGATGTTTTAATGCCCAGTCTATAAAACGTAAAGTATTGAAAAAATTAGGTATAAAAGGGTCAGCTCAAGATCAAAATGCATACGATATCTATATTTTAACCAACAACACTACTGCTTCTAACTTCAATGCCAGCAACGACTCTCTCCCCGAAGGCACGAGTATGCTATTTGATGTAGAATTGGTCACCATCTGTTATTCACCCGACAGATTGGAAAAACATAGAATTATGTTATGTCCCAAGGACTCTTACCCCACAGAAGCACAAGTGGAAGTGTCTAAGAAGATTATGCAAAAGTATGATAGACTTATGGCAAACAACGCAAAGTCATCCCGATTTGAATCAAATACATCAAAGATGAGTGAATACCATATTCCTGATCAAAGAGCCTCTAAACCCCCTCCAACTCTTCGAAACTTCTTTGGCCAGAGACCCCCAAGTGAGTTAATTTCGTCTAATTTAGCAGAGTATTTCCCAGAAGCAAGACAGAAAGAGTTAGAGCAAACAGTGAGGAACTCGGTAAGGTACAGTGTACGGTTATCGAAAAGATTCAACTTACCTCAATCTATGATCTTATCTTCTTCTTCCTCCTCCATATATAATCCAAATAAGAGGACTTCAATAATGAGTACCAACAGAGGAGCTCCACTGTTTGTGTCTTCTATTGAGCATAAGAGACTCCCTACAAGCAAGACTATTGGTGAAATGATGGTTAACAATATTAATGCGATCGATGAAGCAGCTGCGGCTTCCACAAGCTCACTAGTTTCCCATCAACAGCAAACTTCCACTACTGCGATCTCGTTAGGTAAACCTCCTTCAATTTATTCTAACGTCAGTGGGCATAACCAACACAACTTAGTTACTAGTGGCAGTGTATTCAACCCAAATTTAGTCAACAATAATGCTAATAACACCTACACCAGTATAGGGAACTATAGCAACAATAGCAGTAACAATAATAACAATAACGATGCTAAATCGATATCATCTGGCATTTCGTCTAGATTTAGTTCTCCGAACCATAGATTGTCCATACCTGCCAATTTCACTGATCATTATAACACTAGCAATAATAGATATTCGAGAATAGAATTATTGAGTGTTGATTCTGACGATGAAGAAAGCGATGACTTCCTTAACAGTTATTGGGACAGTGAGAATGGAAGCAGCACCACAGATTTAACTAATACTAATACGCCCAGGAACACACTTGGTTCGATAATTGAAGGAGGACCCAAGAATTGGCTACAAGGTGCTAGAATTGGTGCTGGAAGTTTTGGTACTGTTTATTTGGGAATGAATCCCTTATCTGGAGAATTGATGGCTGTGAAGCAAGTGAGCTTACCCGATAAGAATAGTGCAAATCATAACCTGCAGAAGTCCATGATTGAGGCATTGCAACATGAAATGAACTTATTGAAAGAGTTGAATCATGAGAATATTGTGAGATATCTCGGATCATCTACTGAAGATAAGTACTTGAATATCTTTTTAGAATATGTGCCTGGTGGTTCTGTTCTGTCCATGTTACAATCTTACGGTCCCTTTGAAGAGCCTTTAATCAGAAATTTTATTAGGCAAGTGCTAATCGGTTTAAGTTATTTACATGGTGAAGATATCATTCATCGTGACATCAAGGGTGCGAACATTCTTATTGACATCAAGGGTACAGTAAAGATCAGTGACTTCGGGATTTCTAAAAAGGTCAATAGAAGCAGTAGATCAATGGAAGACGAGCTGGCTCTGGAGTTAAGAAAGGGTAGCCGCAGAGCTTCGTTGCAAGGTTCAGTATATTGGATGGCGCCAGAAGTTGTGAAACAGACAGCATATACCAAGAAGGCAGACATTTGGTCTGTCGGTTGCCTTATTGTGGAAATGTTTACAGGTAAGCATCCATTCCCGGATTTTAGTCAAATGCAAGCCATTTTCAAGATTGGTACTCATATCACCCCTCAAATTCCTGAATGGTGTACCAGAGAAGCGAAGGATTTCTTAGAGAAGACTTTTGAGCTTGATTATGAAAAGAGACCAGATGCCGTTGATATGTTGGGTGAGCCCTTCTTGAATACCTTAATTATGTCCAAGAAGTAGTCCCTGATCAACACAAATAGGCAAGCAAGCCATTTGTCACTTTCCATATTAGTATTAGTATTATCATTATTTATTCATTATTTTTTTTTTTTTTCATTTATATATTATAGTCTGTTTAATGAAGATTTATATAACAATTGGTGTAGAGAATAAAGCAAATATCCAGAAGGATATAGACATGGCTTCGTTCTCCACTTCGACGATTTCTAGATCTTTAGTTGTAGGGCATAGAGGAGAAACCCAAGAGGAAATTGACTTCATTCCTACTCTATATCTTTTCGAACTACACATTGTTTGCCTTGGCAACTTTTTGTCTCTCGTGCTTGGGTGGGTGATAAGCTGGCAAGTGCGCTTAAGTGCGCTCGCTAGAAAATGAGCTTACCATTTCTCACGCTGACGAGGTATCCACCAAACACCTGATTCGAGCACTTTCTTCAAAATCACCAGCTCAAAATGAGCCTTTATTCAGATATCAGTAAAGCACCTTTATGCAAACCACAGTTGACACATTTTCGGTTGGGCCCGAAAAATTCGAGTACTTCCTTAGTTTGCACCCAATGCTTGATGCTTCTCCGCCAAGTGCCCTGCACACTAACACAACACAAAAACCCTTTTTGGATTGTTCTCCACATAATCTAAAGAAAAAAAAACTGAGGTCATTATGAATCTGCATCATCGCTCCAAAGGAATTTTAATTATTTTCTTGTTATTATTAGCATATTAGAAAAAGTGGTTGAGTCAAATAGATAATTATTTTCTTACAGAAGTGTTAAATTGGTGCCACTGGATTTTATTGTGCGTACAAGGACAAAAAAGAAGATATAAACTGAGGGAGAGAGGAATATATTGAAAAGAAAAGCTAATTGATAGGTATTTACAATAGTGTATCGAGGGCGGCTGACTCCCGACTGCAAAAATATAAGTAAAGGTTTTTATTTTTCTCTTCTCTTTTTGTTTCGAATTGCTTACTAGATAGGAGCAAATAGGCATATATACAATTCAGAATGGAGATACCTTTGAAGTCTAAACCAAAGGTTTCCATTGTGAGACTGGTGGATGAATCGAAATTCAACGTGCAGCCGCCCACAAACGTGAGTGGGAATGGCAATGGCAATAATCAACCTCCTCTGCTAGATGTTTCTCCCACAGCTACACCACCACCACCACGACCTATTACTCCCCAATTCACCAAGAACCCAATTGAAAGAGTAAGGCGAGATGCTGGGCTCAATGAAATTGGGTCATCCAACTCTGAGGATTTCTCCTCGAACCTTTCCAACTATAAATTGACCAGAACATACTCCGAGACGGAGGCAAACAATTTCGACCTGGAGACCGGTCACAGACTTTACGATGACGGTAAAATTCGTCCTACTATATCACGGGCGAACTCCAGATCTCCAGATAAATTCAATAAGAGATACAATAGACACTTCTCCGAGAGTGTAAACAACGATCCCAACCATTTGCAGCCGAGATTGTACACGAGATCGCATGGCGAATTGGATGGATCCGATGCCGACATGAGTGGTACTATGGGACTCGAAGATGAGTACATCCCTGGACTTGATTTTGGCAAGATGGTATATCATTGGAACCATTCCGTATCAGACCTTGACTTGAGCAAGGAATACGAGGAGAGAAGACCAAGAAATCTGCTCAGACATGGGAGCAACACAAACTTGAACCGTATCAACAAGAACAATAGCAACAACACAACAACTTCTAATACCCCACTGAGTAGGGATGCGTCGTACCTTGACTTAAATTTATTGCACTCACAAGTGGCTCCGCAGCCAATTGTAAGGCATCAATCATCCCATGACCATAGCTTTACCAAGCTTCATGAGTACATGCGACTCAGAGCTCCTCAGATCGAAAAGGATAATATAATGGAGGAGAGTGGTAGTAACGACAATGGAGAGGTATCCACAGCTACATTAACAGGAGAAGAACATAAAAGTAAGAGGCTCAAATCCAACCAGGTGTTGAACCCAGATACAGGTGCGATTAATTATGAAGTCATTCTAAATTCATTGCCATCTAATTTTAATGAGCTTCCGTATTCTCAACGTAAGAAGATCATTAAGTCATATTCAGAATCAATAGATTATTCACAGTTCTCGATGATTGCCAAGCAGTTTTTTGTGGACAAATTCGGATCTTCTTCAGCTGGATCGTCTTCTACAAACACTACAGGAGGTGTGCCTGGGAGTTTTGGGGGAAATAATAAAATAGGGGGAGGGTCTTCATTCATCAATAGGAGATCATCTAGACGAAATAGTGCGAATACAGTTGCCGGGCGTTTACTAGCACTTTCTTCATCTTCATCCTCTGATATGCATAAGTTAGCAAATGGAATGCTGCATCCAGTTCAAAAAGTGAACGTAGATGAGAAAGGCGCTCACGTACTCAACTATGAGCTAGGCAAGGTAATTGGGTTTGGTGCTTGGGGAACAATTCGAGAATGTAGCGATTTGACCAATGGAGAGATTAGAGCTTGTAAAATAGTGAAATCGATAAGAAATGAACCATCTACTACCAGTGGCTCTCCACCATTGAACAGCAGTAAAAACTTGAAGGTTTTACAAATTTTCAAGAAGGAAATAGAAATATGGAAACAGTTACACCATCCAAATATTTTGCCACTTCTTACTCATTTAGAAACAGAGAATGCGACATTTTGCATAACTGATAGAATATTCGGAGGTACTTTATTCGAACTTGTTTCCTCGTGGGGAATTTTCGATGGAGAGATAAACAATACCCAGGGCCCATTAGGATTTCTGATTGAAAGCCAACGAAATAGAATCAATCAGACCATTCGCTGTGCATTGCAGATTGTGGACGCTCTAATGTACATGCACCAAGATATGGGGATTGTGCATGGTGATATTAAACTTGAGAATGTTCTTGTTGACAAAGAGAAAATGATCCTATGTGATTTTGGTATGTCAAGAGTCTATTCTGCAAGGCTTAGTAGAAAGAATTCCTTAAGATTTGGTACACCCGAAAAGAGGGGCATAAACCATGTAGAAACGGATGAACCCTCATTGAGGAGTAAATCTTCGGCCTCCAATATCAGGAGACCTTTGAATAGTTCCGATACCTTGAACACTAGATTTTTGTTCAAAGACGATTCAAAAATTGGAATTTCCCACATGGGTAGAGCCCATGGCCCTTCGCTACAGTCTGTAGACTTGACTCCTACACAATCATTAATATGGGGAGATTTGAAGGAAGAAAGGGCACGTGAGAAAGATGAACAGGAAAACAGCGAAAGCCGAGTGTCTAAGAAAGGAATCGAATCCGAACTTCCCCATCTGCACATTGGTTCCTTGCCTTACGCTTCTCCAGAATTGCTCCTACCTTCCCCACCTCCCTTGGGGCCTTCTGCAGATATATGGGCCCTTGGTGTTTTATTGTACACGATGGTGGTCGGGAAGTTGCCGTTCCAGCATCCGTATGAGCCTCGATTGCGAGCATTTATTTCCGCTGGGAGGTATAACCGAAATGATTTGAGGAAAGCATGCCTCACGAAATTCATAATGGAAGACGAGCTGGTTGACAACAATAAAATGTCTTTGCAAGACTTAAAGAGAGAGGAAGAAATAGTGCAATTGAAGAAGGATTGGCAAGAGTATGACCAACTGGAATTTAATTGGATGTACGAATTAATTTCCGGATGCTTGGAGAAAAACATTACTAAGAGGCTCCTTTTAGATTCCATTTTTAGACAGTTAGATGAAGCGGTTAGGAGAAAGGATGAATCTGAAGTCAGGAAGGTGTAAAAAGAGCGGTGCGTTTAAAGAAAAAAAAAGAAAAGAGTAGAAAAAAAAGCATGAAAAAGAAACCGAAAAAATAGTATCATAGCATTTGAAGTAACATTTTACTTCATACTCATAGTGCATTCAAACCTAGGAGGTACCACATTGTATAATTTTTACGAGACAAGACTAATGACAATAATTTATTAATTGAAACTCTGGTGTCCTTTGTAGAGAAATGTAATATGAAGAGGTCGGATATAAGGTTGACTTGGATCTTCGGATAAATACGTCATGGGATAAACGCCAGTTTTCCGATGTGCGTCTGACGAAGGCATTGTTTAAGGAAGCATGTTATGAGCTTTGGGCCGATGGAAGTAGCTTACTTTCATGCAGTGATGAGAAGACATCTTCCTTTAACGTGAAATTCATATTAATAATTGCAGAAATTGTGACAATTTTATGGACTTATGATTGCTCTGAGGCTTTGAGTGTAGCCACGCCATCCCCGGGCCAACATCCTTTCAATTGAAATTACAAGTAAGAAATGGTACAAATAGATACCGACTTTAGATGGATGCCATCAGCTCACATTCTTTCCCTTGTTGTCTCAATTCGACCAGTAACGCAATTCCTACTAGCTACGTTATTCGCTGGACCGGAGGATTGGTGTTCATAATGTAACTGTACTGTCCTTCTTCAGCCTTTAACATTCGCCTATTTTCCTTTAACTTGCATGCTCAAGTTGCATTATGCATGTTCTGAGATACATGACAAGCGGAAAAAGTGCACTTTTCTTTTTTTTTTCGGGTGGCAGCTGCATGGATGCTGCATTTTTATTATTAATTTGTTGCACGAACGTTATTACTGTGTTGACGTAATGGAGCAGGGAAGTAACTATCCGCAGGATGAATGCCTTCAAGTATGTAATCTGGTATACCTATATATATATGTAACGATGTATATATATACACGTATATCTCCGTTCATTTAGCTTCTTCTTCTTATTTTTATCTTTAGCTTTTTAAATTGGATTAAACTTTAGTTTTGAAATGTTTCAGAAGAATTTTGGTCTCAAAGGAGACTCTTTGATTAATGCCATCTTAGCAGCTTCAACCTGTGGGTTTTTACTTTTCGGGTATGACCAGGGTGTTATGTCTGGTATAATCAGTAACGCAGTTTTTAATGACGATTTTCCAGCCACTAAGATGGCTGATTCAGATGATGTGTACCATTCTACTATTCAAGGTACAGTGACTGCTGTATACGAAGTTGGTTGTTTGTTTGGTGCACTTCTCGCTCTTTTCATAGGTGATATGCTTGGGAGAAGAAAAATAATGGCACTTGGTGCTGTTATTATGATCATAGGAACCATAATCATGGTTACATCCATTCCTGGTCATGTTCCATTAGCCCAATTTATTGTTGGTAGAGTTATCTGTGGTATTGGTAACGGTATGAATACTTCGACCATCCCATCTTGGCAATCCGAAACTTCTAAATCTCACAATAGAGGTGCACATGTTTGTTTCGAAGCATCCATGATTGCCATCGGTACTGTAATTGCATATTGGATAGATTTTGGATTGGATTTCGTCGATACATCTGTTGCCTGGAGATTTCCAATCGCTTTCCAATGTATTTTTGCAGTTATTTTATTAGTATTAATAAGTAATTTACCAGAATCTCCTAGATGGTTGTTGACGCAGCATAGGGAAGAGGAAGCATTACAAATCATGGCTGATTTAAACGGTACAGAAATCACTGATCCAGAAACTATTGCTCAAAAGGAAGCTGTTTATGAATCTATCAGAAAGAGTACTCAGAAGGTAACAAACAGAGAATTATTAGATCGCGGTAGATCAAAGAACTTGAGAAGAACTCTCATTGGTGCATCTTCACAAGCATTCCAACAGTTGGGTGGATGTAATGCAGTTATTTACTATGCTCCAGTATTGTACCAAAATTCTTTAGGTATGGACAGATTAATGGCAATGATTTTATCTGGTGTTACTATCATTGTGTACGCTTTATTTGCATGTTTCAGTTTCTACTTAGTGGAAAAAGTTGGTAGAAGACCATTATTTTTGTGGGGTGCTGTGGGTCAATGTGTTGCGATGGTAATTACATTTGCCTGTTTGATCCCAGATACTAAAGAAAGTTCAAAGGGTGCAACTTTTGGTATATTCTTATTCCTTGCCGTGTTCGGTGCCACTTGGTTATCGTTACCTTGGTTATACCCAGCTGAATTATCTCCTTTGAAGATTAGAACCAAAGCCAATGCAATTTCCACATCTTCTAACTGGTTATTCAACTTCTTGATTGTTCAAGTTACACCCGTAATGGTCGCATCTATTCATTGGGGTACTTACTTGTTTTTCGCCATTTTGAATGGATTATTCATCCCAATTGTTTATTTCTACTATCCTGAAACAAAGGGAAGGTCATTAGAAGAATTAGATGTCATTTTTGCCAAGTCCCATGTTGAGAATATGGCTGCTGTTCAACTTGCGAAGGACGAGCCATTTATGGAACATCATGAAATTTTAGAAGCTATTAGAGAATTAGAATTGAAAGAAAACGCCGAAAAGGGTGATTTCGAAAGGGGTACCGAGTTAATGGAACCAAGTGATGAAAACACTGCACAAGGTTCTTTGAGTGAGAAAGAAAACCCATCTAACTAATAATATATGAGATTATATATATGAGTTGTGATTAATATTTATTCAAGTAATATAACTGAAAAGTGTAGCATTGTAAGCGTGCCAGAGATTGTAGAAAATCAGAATGAGTGTAATCAAGAAATATCATTTAAATGTGTAGCTCTGTAAGTGTGCCAGTGAGTGTAGAAGAGGTAAATGCTGCAACATCTTTAATCACAAGTCAAGAAATAATACTGAAGATCGCAATTTTGTATGCAAGCCAGTGATTTTAGAAGAAAAGAAGTGTAGCTAACAATTCTATCGCCGAAAAGTATAACCTTGTAATCAACCCTATCATTGTAGAAGATAAGAATGCTACAATCTCTGATGGTTATGATATTCCAAATAAAATGTTGAACGTAGTCCTCACGATCCAGCACATAGTGGAAAAAGAAGGTTGTATGGGTAAAAGAACTCGATCTATATCCCGCTGTACCTATGTCCGAAGAATTTCCATACAGGAAGTTTAAAGTTATTAGGGGGAGTCAACAAAGCTTAACTCAAGCGAGTAAGAGTAGAGCTAAATGAGAGACTGGAGCTCAAAAAAAGCCCAAAGCCAAAAGGGGCAGAAAACGAAAAAAAAAGAGTGAAAAAAAAAAAAAAATAATAGTGATGTACCTGGCTCTTGAAATTGAAATACTGGACTTATAGGCGACATACAATCATAATGATTGACACTCTGCAACTGATTTTTTTTACTTTCGACGTTGTACTTCCTCTAAGTTCACTCACAAGACGCTCAGACTCTCTTCCTGGACAAAGACAGCCAGTCCAACGTTGGCTACCAGTACCCAAAAATCGTCTTACAGTTATATGTAGTAGAGTTGACGAATAATGCCAGGCACGACTTTTGGCAACCTTTTTTCTTCATATCAAGATTTTGGCACCCAACTGCCAACATGCACACCTACTTTTTGTTGGGACAAGGTTGATATATATTTCCAGTAAATCCATGAATTGATGCAGAATGTTGTAGTAGTAGTTCAATTGAAGTGATACAATTTAGGTATGTAATGTGTATATGAAGGGTTTTTGAGGCTCAATTGAGAATCATTTCCACAAGAAAAGAAAGAAAGAAGCATCAAGAACGGAACGAACATGTATTTTCCAGCTGGAAGGAAAATAGTGGACCCTAAACATTTTTCGGTCGCAATTTTCAGCGCTGATTCAAATGATCGGTGGTACTGCGTGAGAGAACAAGAGTATGGATCTGGAAAATTATGAACGAATAGGACCCCAATGCAGTAGTCCAAGCAGTAGTCAAGGTCACTGCCACTACTACCACTACTACAGCTACCACTGCTACTGCTCTTACTTAGAGCAATACGACAGTGGGCCGTTGCAGTTTCATGTATAACTACATTTTTTCCCCCACTACTACCTCACTACCCAAATGTTCATGCCGGCACTTTGAATTTTTCCGCTATTAAACTTTGGCATCTGGCAACGGTTTCTCTATTGTTTGATCCTTTTGCTCAACATATGGCACTGCAAAGTACAGGATCTAAATTCCCCAAGCTTAAACTTAACATTTTTTCGCAGAGGCGAGCCATGTGCAGGAAACATATACCAAGAGTTTTTGGGAAGAGCCAACAAACAAACATAGAGAGCGTTTGCACTCCGGAGTTGCATAGTTGCACGAACTCGAGATTTATTTATTGACGTCAATAATTTTTTCTTTTTTTTTATTTTTTAGTCTTCCAATTCCTTTTCTTTGTTTGGCACTTCGTTTCATTTGCAATTTTCTTATTTACTTTTAAGTAAGAAGAAATTGACTAGCTTTGTTGTGTTGTTCTGCTGCTGTGTATGACATTGTTGTCTCGAGCGTTCTTCCTTAATAAAACCTTCCCAAGATACATCAAGACTTTCGTTACTAACAAACTTCCTAGATCATTAATCCAACGCACAAGAGTGCTTGTAAATCGAAAATTAAACATACTAAATAATACCCTTCAATTTAACTATTTGAATAGTAAACGAATAACGAAAATGACCACAGACTACACGGACTTACATAGTACGTTACCGCCCCATTTCTTGGGTCTCAATAGTGTTGAAAAGGCGGAACCAGGACCAGTTACAGACTTTGTTAAGGCTAACCAAGGTCACACCGTTATCACCAGAGTGTTAATTGCCAATAATGGTATTGCTGCAGTGAAAGAAATCAGATCTGTCAGAAGATGGGCTTACGAAACTTTTGGTGATAACAGAGCCATCCAATTCACCGTTATGGCTACTCCAGAAGATCTCGCTGCTAACGCTGAATACATCCGTATGGCAGATCAATTCGTTGAAGTTCCAGGTGGAACCAACAACAATAACTATGCTAATGTCGACTTAATTGTTGAAATAGCTGAAAGAACCAACGTTCATGCTGTCTGGGCAGGTTGGGGTCATGCATCTGAAAACCCACATTTGCCAGAAAAGTTGGCTGCTTCCCCTAAGAAAATCGTGTTCATAGGACCACCAGGTTCTGCTATGAGATCTTTGGGTGACAAAATCTCTTCAACAATCGTTGCTCAACATGCACAAGTTCCATGTATTCCATGGTCTGGTACAGGAGTAGATACAGTTCAAGTTGACGAAAAGACTAAATTGGTTTCCGTTTCTGACGACATATATCAAGAAGGTTGTTGTGATTCTCCAGAGCAAGGTTTAGAAATGGCTAAGAAAATTGGTTTCCCTGTCATGGTTAAAGCTTCCGAAGGTGGTGGTGGTAAAGGTATCAGAAAGGTTGAACACGAAAAGGATTTTATTGCATTATATAAACAGGCTTCCAATGAAATACCAGGTTCTCCAATCTTTATTATGAAGTTGGCCGGTGATGCTAGACATTTGGAAGTTCAATTGTTAGCAGATCAATACGGTACTAATATTTCCCTTTTTGGTAGAGATTGTTCTGTCCAAAGAAGACATCAAAAAATTATTGAAGAAGCTCCAGCTACAATTGCCAAGAGAGAAACATTTAGAAAGATGGAAAATGCGGCCGTCAGATTAGGTAAATTAGTTGGTTATGTTTCTGCTGGTACCGTCGAATACTTGTATTCTCACTCTGATGATAAGTTTTACTTCTTGGAATTAAATCCAAGATTACAAGTTGAACATCCAACCACTGAAATGGTTACTGGTGTTGATTTACCTGCATCTACCTTACAAATTGCTATGGGTATCCCAATGCATAGAATCAGGGACATCAGAACCTTTTATGGAGTTGATCCTCACACTTCCACTGAAATTGACTTTGAGTTCAAAAGCGAAGATTCTTTAGTCAGCCAACGTCGTCCTGTTCCAAAAGGACATTGTACGGCTTGTAGAATTACCTCAGAAGATCCAAATGAAGGGTTCAAGCCATCAGGTGGTAATTTACATGAATTAAATTTCAGATCTTCTTCCAATGTTTGGGGTTATTTCTCCGTTGGTAACCAGTCATCAATTCATTCCTTCTCCGATTCCCAATTTGGTCACATTTTTGCTTTTGGTGAAAATCGTCAAGAATCTAGGAAGCATATGGTTGTTGCCTTGAAGGAATTGAATATCAGAGGTGATTTCAGAACTACTGTTGAGTATTTAATCAAATTATTGGAAACTCCAGCCTTTGAGAACAATACCATAACGACTGGTTGGTTAGATGAATTGATTTCCAAGAAGTTAACATCTGAGAGACCAGATCCAATAGTTGCTGTTGTATGTGGTGCTGTCACTAAGGCCCACATACAGTCCGAAGAAGATAGAGCTGAATACATTCAATCTTTGGAAAAGGGGCAAGTTCCTAGCAAGAACTTGTTAAGAACTATTTTCCCAGTAGATTTCATCTATGAGGGCCACAGATATAAATTCACTGCTACCAAGTCTTCAGAAAGCTCTTATACTTTGTTCTTGAATGGTTCAAGAGCAATTGTTGGCGTGCGCTCGTTATCTGATGGTGGATTATTAATCGCCATTGCTGGTAAGTCTCATTCAGTTTACTGGAAGGAAGAAGCTGCCGCCACTAGATTGTCCGTTGACAGTAAAACTTGTTTATTAGAAGTTGAAAATGATCCTACTCAATTAAGAACACCTTCTCCCGGTAAGTTAGTCAAGTACCTTGTCGATAGTGGTGACCACGTTGTTGCTGGTCAGCCATATGCTGAAGTAGAAGTTATGAAGATGTGTATGCCATTAGTCGTCCAAGACAATGGTACCATTCAACTTCTTAAACAACCTGGGTCCACTGTTAATGCCGGTGACATTTTGTGTATCTTGGATTTGGATGATCCTTCAAAGGTTAAACATGCCTTACCATTCGAAGGCACATTACCAGATTTGGGAGATGCAATGATTCAAGGTACCAAACCAGTTCATAAATTCAGACATTACGCATCAATTTTGCAAAACATTTTAGGTGGTTTCGACAATCAAGTTATTATGAATACCACTTTAAAGGGATTGACTGAAGTATTGAAGGATAGACAATTGCCATATTCTGAGTGGAATCAGCAAGTTTCTGCAATCCATTCTAGGTTACCTCCTAAGTTAAATGATCAATTACTGGCTTTAATTGAAAGAACTGAATCTAGAGATGCTGATTTCCCTGCCAGACAAATCTTGAAACTAATCCAGAAGGCCGTCAATGACCCAGAAATTGATTCCAGCATCACTGATACTGTTGCTCCATTGATAGAAATTGCAAATCGTTACACCAATGGATTGGCAGAACATGAAAATTCTTTCTTTGCTGGAATAATCGAACAATACTATGCTATCGAGTCTAACTTTTCTGGTAGTAATGTTCGTGAAGAGGATGTTATCTTGAAGCTCCGTGATGAGAACAAGTCTGATTTAACTAAAGTTATCAACTTTGCTTTATCTCATTCCAGAGTTAGTGCTAAAAATAACTTAATTTTAGCTGTTTTGGATATTTACCAACCAATAATGGCTTCTTCTTCGAACTCTGCAAGCATTATTAAGGATGCATTATCGAGAGTTGTTGAATTAGAAAGTAGAGGAACTGCTAAGGTTACTTTGAAAGCAAGAGAAATTTTAATTCAGTCTTCTTTACCATCCATTCAAGAGAGATCCGATCAATTAGAACATATTTTGAGGTCATCTGTATTGCAAACTTCTTATGGTGAGATCTATGCTAAGCATCGTGCTCCTAATTTAGAGGTTATAAATGAAGTTGTAGACTCGAAGCACATAGTTTTCGATGTCTTACCTCAATTCTTAGCAAATAAAGATGAGTGGGTTGCAGCCGCAGCTGCAGAAGTCTATATTCGTCGTTCATACAGAGCCTACTCATTGGGCCCAATCTCTTACAACTTCCATGATCAATTGCCAATCTTAGAGTGGAAATTTCAACTTCCAAATCTTGATGCCACAACTAGTATTGCTAAAGACTCTTCATCTAACATGAACCGTGCTGCATCTGTATCTGATTTGTCATTCGTTGTTGACGAGAAAAAGCAAACCATTTCTAGATCCGGTGTATTAGTTCCAGCTAGACATCTTGACGATATTGATGATATGATTGCTGCTGCTTTGGAAAGATTTGAACCTCAAGGTGCTATTTCCTTTGACGCTGGATCCAAGAGACCTGAACCGTACAATGTTATCAACATTGTCGTTAACTCTGTTGATGGGTACGTCTCAGAAGATGAAATTTTGACCAAGGTTAGCGAAACTATTGAAGAATTCAGGGAAGAATTATCAGCTGCTGGTATTCGTCGTATTACTTTTGTCTTTGCTCACAAGATTGGTCAATATCCTAAGTACTACACCTTTACTGTTCCTGACTATGTCGAGAATAAAGTCATTCGTCATATCGAGCCAGCATTGGCTTTCCAATTGGAGTTAGGAAAGTTGGACAATTTCGATATCCAACCAATTTTCACTGACAACAGAAATATTCATGTCTACGAAGCTGTTGGAAAGAACGCTCCTTCAGATAAGAGATTCTTTACCAGAGGTATTGTTAGAACTGGTATTATGAGAGAAGATATTAGTATTAGTGAATACTTGATTGCCGAATCCAACAGATTAATGTCAGACATTTTGGATGCTTTGGAAGTTATTGACACTTCAAACTCTGATTTAAACCACATTTTTATTAATTTCTCATCTGTGTTCAATGTTTTACCCGAAGAAGTTGAAGCCGCCTTCGGATCATTTTTGGAAAGATTTGGTAGAAGATTATGGAGATTAAGAGTAACTGGTGCTGAAATTAGAATTGCTTGTACTGATCCAAACACTGGAGTTTCTTTCCCATTAAGAGCTATTATTAATAACGTATCAGGTTATGTTGTTAAATCAGAATTGTATATGGAAGTAAAGAATCCAAAGGGTGAATGGATTTTCAAATCAATTGGACAACCTGGCTCTATGCACTTGAGACCTATTGCTACTCCATATCCAGCAAAGGAGTCATTGCAACCGAAACGTTATAAGGCTCACAATATGGGAACCACCTACGTGTATGATTTCCCTGAATTATTCCGTCAAAGTACAATCTCACAATGGAAGAAGTTTTCAGCTACGGCTAAAGTTCCTGAAGATTTCTTCACCTCTTTGGAATTAATCCAAGATGAAAACGGTGGTTTGACTGCTGTCGAAAGAGAAGCAGGAAGTAATAAAATAGGTATGGTTGGTTTCCAAGTTACTGCAAAGACTCCTGAATACCCACGTGGAAGGCAATTCATCATTATTGCTAACGATATTACCCATAAGATTGGTTCCTTTGGTCCTGAAGAAGATGCATACTTCAACAAATGTACTGAATTAGCTAGAGAATTAGGAATTCCAAGAATTTATCTCTCTGCTAACTCTGGTGCTAGAATTGGTATTGCTGATGAATTAGTTCCATACTTTAAAGTTGCATGGAATGTTGAAGACTCTCCTGATAAGGGTTTCAGATACTTATACTTAACTCCTGAAGATAAGAAGGCTATTGACGATGACGGAAGAGCAAATACAATTGTTACCGAAAGAGTCGTTGAAAATGGAGAAGAGAGACATGTTATTAAATCTATTGTCGGTGCTGAAGATGGATTGGGTGTTGAATGTCTTAAAGGTTCTGGTTTGATTGCTGGTGCAACGTCCAGAGCATACAAAGATATTTTTACCATCACTTTAGTCACTTGTAGATCTGTGGGTATTGGTGCTTACTTGGTTAGATTAGGTCAAAGAGCTATTCAAATCGAAGGACAACCAATCATCTTAACCGGTGCCCCCGCCATTAACAAATTGTTAGGTAGAGAAGTCTACTCATCTAATTTGCAATTAGGTGGTACTCAAATCATGTACAGAAATGGTGTTTCTCACCTTACAGCAACTGATGATTTGGCTGGTACAGAAAAGATCATGGAGTGGATGTCTTTCATTCCTGCCAAGCGTGGAATGCCAGTTCCAATCTTGGAGTCTGAAGAAGACAAATGGGATAGAGATATTGAATATTTCCCAACCAAGGATGAACCATATGATGTTCGTTGGATGATCGCAGGTCGTGAATTAGGTGACGGCCAATTTGAGTCTGGTTTATTCGATAAGGATTCATTTACCGAAACTTTATCTGGATGGGCTAAAGGTGTTGTAGTTGGAAGAGCTCGTCTTGGTGGTATTCCAATGGGTGTAATTGGTGTCGAAACAAGAGCAGTTGACAATTTGTTCCCTGCCGATCCAGCAAACCCTGATTCAACCGAAATAATGATTCAAGAAGCTGGTCAAGTTTGGTACCCTAACTCCGCATTCAAGACTGCTCAAGCAATTAATGATTTCAACAATGGTGAGCAATTACCTTTGATGATCTTAGCTAACTGGAGAGGTTTCTCTGGTGGTCAGCGTGATATGTACAATGAAGTTCTCAAGTATGGTTCCTTCATTGTTGATGCTTTGGTGGATTTCAAGCAACCAATTTTCACATACATTCCTCCACATGGTGAATTGAGAGGTGGTTCATGGGTTGTTGTTGACCCTACTATCAATTCAGATATGATGGAAATGTATGCTGATGTTGACTCTAGAGCTGGTGTTTTAGAGCCAGAAGGTATGGTTGGTATCAAGTACAGACGTGATAAGTTATTGGGTACAATGGAGAGATTAGATCCTAAGTACGCTGAATTGAAGAAGAAATTAAGCGAGAAGAATTTGAGCCCAGAGTTATACTCTGACGTTTCTAAGCAATTAGCTACACGTGAAAAACACTTATTACCAATTTATGCTCAAATTTCAGTTCAGTTTGCTGATTTACATGACAGATCTGGACGTATGTTGGCCAAGGGTGTTATCAGAAAAGAATTAAAGTGGGTTGAAGCTCGTCGTTTCTTCTTCTGGAGATTACGTCGTCGTTTGAACGAAGAATACTTATTGAAGCTCATTGGGGATCAACTCCAAAATGCTTCTAAGTTAGAAAAAATTGCAAGAGTCAAGAGTTGGATGCCAACAGTTGACTATGAGGATGATAAAGCAGTAAGTAACTGGATTGAAGAAAATCACTCTAAGTTGCAAAATAATATCGACGATATTAAACATGAAGCTATTCATCAAAAGATTAGCCTGATCTTAAAGGAGGATCCTGCCGACGCTTTTGATGCTATCAAGTCTTTTATGTCTACTCTTTCTGAGTCAGAAAGAGCCAAACTTGTTAAAATTCTCAAATAAGATTAATTAAAATAAATATTTAATATATAAATAAAAATAGAATAAGATTTATAATGTTCAATATCAAAAGTGAAAAATCTAAATATGAATAGCTTTTGAAATTTACCTAGTAACTGCTCTAATGTATTTGTGTTGAAATCACAAACCAAAATCCTGAAGTAATTATGTGTTTTGAAGCCAAACGTGCAATAGTATATTCTCTTGACACTTTCTTTAATGTTATTCTCTCAATGAGTATTGGTAAATATATAATTCCGTTTTTGATCTTACTTGGTGGTAGTTTATGTGGGGAATCAAATAAATATTTGGTTTCTCTTAAAATCACCGAAACTCTAGATAATTTTTTCAAGTATGACAAAACATATCCAATATCTCAACACATAAACCCATTGATTGAAAGTCTGTTCTCTATTGGTAAATACTCCGGGTTCGCAGGTAATTTTTCAGATTCTGCCCTTGAAAGGTTGAAAAGGTGTCCATTAGTTGCTGAAATCACTCCAGATGTTGAAGTAAAAGCCTTTGATATCCGATTACAAGTGGACGGTCCAAGGCACCTTGGCAGGATATGTCAAAAAGATACATTGCATCAAACCTCTCCTTTCAACTACTGTTATGATGAGGGAACTGAGGTCTTAGCATACGTGATTGACTCAGGCATAAATATACACCATCCTGAATTTGGGGGTAGAGCAGAAGCTGGTGCTGACTTCACTGGAGAGGGACCAGGAGACTTCAATGGCCATGGGACTCATGTGGCAGGATTGATAGGCTCGGAGACATTTGGCTCTTCAAAAAGTGTGAAAATTATTGAAGTCAAAGCACTTAATTTCATGGGGTCTGGAACATTAAGTTCTATAATTTCTTCCATAGAATTCTGTGTTAACCATAGGGAGCTGAGTGGCCTACCTGGTGTTGCTAATTTGTCACTTGGAGCACCAAGAAATAGAGCATTGAATAGAGCAATCAATGCTGCAGCTGATACTGGATTGGTTATTGTGGTTGCAGCTGGGAATGACAACTCAGACGCATGCGGAACAAGCCCAGCAAGTGCCTCAAGGGCAATCACTGTTGGAGCTATTGATGATATCGACGACAGTTTATCCATTTTCACTAATTGGGGAGGATGTGTCGACATCTTCTCTAGTGGAGTTGAGGTAGACAGCATTGATTATGCGAGCGCAGGTCCCAGCAAGAAGTCAGGAACATCTATGGCTTCGCCTATTGTGGCTGGATTGGCTGCAAATCTATTAAGTTTGGGAAACCCACCAGACAACATACAAGAATTAATAAAAAGCATGTCACTGAAAAATCGAATTTCCTTTAAATCATCTATAACTCGATTCGGAACTCCAAACAAAATTGCTTATAACCGATTAGAAGGTGCCTGTGAGGAATATATATGATCAAATATTGCTGCAATTGACTTCTGATACTTCTTCCATAAACTAATAAATAAATGGCTGCGAAAAAAAAAAAAAATCTGTTCGAACGGTCGCAAACCTACTCTTTTAACAAGTCAAAATCCTATTTGTGACTCTCGTAATGCGTATAAAGAGTGTTGCAAATATTGTTGAGTCAGGGTAATTCATATCTTCCTTTACTTCAAGAAATAGATGCCGGATACTTTTATCAAGTACAATAACTTCTCCAAGGAGGATGAAGATCAGAAAACTCTCTTTGAGCACGCTTGTAAGTAGTGAGCATGGATTCTATCTATAATTCTTTAGACTAACAAACAATAGATGGCGGTGAGTTTAGCGATAATCAAATTGGAGGTATTAGTGCCATTCCGACGGCTATCCCTCTCAGTGGATTCAATACTCCATATGTCCCATCTGGTCGGTGGAATGATTTAGGCAAACTATGTTATGGCCAGAATGATTCCCATGCTACGAGAAACCCAGGAGAGAAATTAGCGGAAAAAAACATCCATGAAGTCTCCATGAAAGCGTATGACACCTACCCTTCTTGGAGTGGGAAGGTTCCCATCAGTAAACAAGAAGTGGAGGCGATTTTCTTGCAGTTAACAGAGATCTTCGGGTTTCAGTTTGACAGCACAAAAAACATGTTTGACTATTTCATGCGCCAATTAGATTCTAGGGCCTCAAGAAAAACACCTAGTGCAGCATTGAAATCTTTACACTCAGATTACATCAGTGGTATCAATGCTAACTTCAGAAAATGGTATTTTGCATCTCAGATGGACTTGGCTGATTCCGTCGGATTTGACAATTTCACCAGTGATGGAAGGGTGAAACCGAGAGCCGACAAATTTGCAGAGGATTTACAGTTTCATTCTTTGAAACAAGCAGAAAGTAGGTGGACAGCTAATATGAATTCATTGTCAGCAACTGACTGCGTGATTCAAGTAGCATTATATCTTTTATGTTGGGGAGAGGCCAATAATATCAGATTCATGCCAGAGTGTTTATGTTTTATTTTTAAATGCTGCAATGATTTTTATTATTCGTTGGATGTTGACAGTCCAGTCAAAAATGTTACTTCCAGCTTCTTAGATCATGCAATTACGCCTTTATACAACTACTACAGGGATCAGTCGTATACCATGGTCGACGGAAAACTAACTAGACTTGACAAAGATCACAAAGACATAATTGGTTATGACGACATGAATCAGTTCTTTTGGAACTCACGAAGTTTGAAGGGCCTTACTTTGAAAGATAAACACAAAACGAAATTAATGAAATTGCATCAATCAGTTAGATATCTCAAGTTAAATGAAGTATCATGGAAGAAGGCATTTCGAAAGCTGTTTAAAGAAAAAAGATCTTGGTCCCATGCATTGGTAAATTTCAATAGGATTTGGATTATTCACATTTCCGTGTTTTGGTTGTACACTGTTTATAATTCACCTACGTTTTATACAAAGGATTATAAGCAAACCTTGGATAACAGACCCACTACTCAAATGAAACTAACTATCATGTCACTTTCAGGAGGTATTGCCAGCTCCATTGATATCATTTGTTTGTTTTTAGAGTTGTCATTTGTTCCTAGGGATTGGCCAGGAGCATCACCATTTTTAAAGAGATTCTTTATTTTGCTAGGAATTTTCATATTAAATGTAACCCCAACAGCATACTTGCTTGCATTTCATCCTTTGGATTACGTGAATAAATATGGAATTATTCTTACTTCTTTCCAGTTTGTCTTTGCAATATTGACAGTATTATATTTGTCAATCACTCCAACTTGCTATTTATTTGGAAATGAAGGAGACAAAACTGATAGAAGGTATTATGCTAACAGAGTTTTCAACGCCTTTTATTATGAATTAAAGGGAACTGATAGAATGGCATCCTTTGGAATATGGGTATCGATATTTATCTCGAAATTTATTGAGTCTTACTTCTTCCTCACACTATCACTAAAGGATCCTGTTAGAGAGTTAAGCACAATGAAGTTGAACAGATGCCCCGGAGATGTGTGGCTAGGATCATGGGTGTGTTCAAAGCAAGCACTTCTTGTATTGTGTTTGGTCTATGTCACCGATTTAGTCTTATTCTTTCTCGATACATATCTTTGGTATATTATCTGGAATACGATCTTTTCAGTGTGTAGATCATTTTATATTGGTGTCTCTCTCTGGACTCCATGGAAAAATATATACAGTAGACTACCAAAAAGGATACTCACAAAGATTACATCAACTAGGGGAAACAAGAATGTGAACTCCAAGACTTTGATTTCGGAGATTTGGAATTCAATCATTATTTCAATGTATCGAGAGCACTTACTCTCTATTGAGCATATAAGTAAACTCATTTATCAGCATATACCTGATACAGAGACTGATAATGGCTATATCTTGAAGGAGCCAATATTCTTCATTTCGCAAGAAGATCAGTCTCTAAATGTATCAACATTGGGTGGTCATTCTGAAGCCCAAAGGAGAATTACATTCTTTGCTCAATCATTATCTACCCCAATGCCAGAGGTCTGCTCAGTTAATGCAATGCCTTCTTTCTCTGTGCTAATTCCTCACTATAGTGAAAAAATCACTCTTACCTTAAAGGAGATAATCAAAGAAGAAGACCAGTACTCTCATATTACGATGTTGGAGTACTTGAAGCAATTACATCCCTTCGAATGGGAATGCTTTATAAAAGATACTAAAATGCTAGCCGAAGAATTTGAATCATCTGAAAATTCCCCTGCTGACTTGTTAGACTACAAAAAGGTTGAAGATATCTCATACCACTCAGTTGGATATAAAATTGGAACTCCGGAATATACCCTTAGAACTAGGATCTGGGCCTCTTTGAGATCGCAAACGCTATACCGTACAATTTCTGGATTCATGAACTATCCCCGTGCTATTAAGTTATTATACGACGTTGAGACAAATACAGGAAATACTTCGAAGGAAACTGAAGCAATCAAGTTCGAAGAAGCTGCAATTATGGCACTTAGAAAATTTAGACTCATTGTTTCAATGCAAAGGTTGTCAAATTTCAATGAAGATGAAAAAGAAAGTACCGAATTCTTATTAAGAGCATACCCTGAGTTACAAATAGCATACTTGGAACAAGAGTTGAATCCGGAAACGGGAGAAATCGAATTTTACTCATCTTTAATAGATGGCAGCAGTGCCATTTTTGAAAATGGAGACAGGAAACCCAAGTATCGAATTAGATTATCTGGAAATCCAATTCTTGGTGATGGAAAGTCGGATAACCAAAACCATGCCATCATATTTTCAAGAGGTGAGTACATTCAGCTTGTAGACGCAAATCAAGACAACTATTTGGAAGAATGCCTTAAAATCCGAAATGTTTTGGCTGAATTTGAGGATCTACCTCACTCTTATACAGACGATCCGTGCTCAACAGCCGATGTCGAGGGTACCATCTTTGAGCATCCTGTAGCAATTATTGGAACAAGAGAATATATATTCTCTGAGAATATTGGAATATTAGGGGATGTTGCTGCTGGAAAGGAACAAACTTTTGGAACTTTGTTTGCCAGAACATTAGCACACATTGGTGGTAAGCTACACTATGGTCATCCTGATTTCTTAAATACTATATTCATGACAACCAGGGGGGGGATATCAAAGGCTCAAAAGGGATTGCATTTAAATGAAGATATATATGCTGGTATGAATGCTGTAATGAGGGGAGGTCGTATTAAACATTGTGAGTATGTCCAGTGCGGTAAGGGAAGAGATTTAGGTTTTGGTTCAATTCTTAACTTTACCACTAAAATTGGAGCAGGAATGGGAGAGCAGATGCTTTCCAGAGAATATTTCCACTTGGGCACTCGGCTACCTTTGGATAGGTTTTTATCCTTCTATTACGCCCATCCTGGCTTTCATTTAAACAATGTATTCATCATGTTATCAATCAAATTATTTTTATTTGTTGGTGTTAATTTAGCGGCATTGACAAATGAGTCAACGATTTGTGAATATAATAAAAATAGACCAATAACTGATTTAAGAAAGCCAGCAGGTTGTTACAACTTAATTCCAGTGGTCGAATGGCTAGAAAGGTGTATCTTCTCAATCTTCATTGTGTTTGCAATTTCGTTTATTCCACTCTGTGTCCAAGAATTAACTGAAAGGGGGTTCTATAAGGCAACAACTCGATTGGGGAAGCACTTTGCATCGTTTTCTCCGTTGTTTGAAGTATTCGTTTGCAGAATTTATGCTCAATCCTTGGTCAGCGATATCAATATTGGAGGTGCTAGATATATCGCTACCGGTAGAGGATTTGCAACGATAAGAGTTCCATTTTCAATATTGTACACTAGGTTTGCCTGTGAAAGTCTATATTTTGGAGCAATATTGTGCCTTCTAGTATTGTACACGTCAATTTCAATGTGGACAGCACCATTAATTTACTTCTGGGTAACAATCGTTGGATTATTAATCTGTCCATGTTTATTCAATCCTAATCAATTTTCATGGAATGACTTCTTCCTTGATTATCGAGAATTTGTGAAGTGGTTGCACAGAGGAAACTCGAAGTCAAGAAATTATTCTTGGATTGGTTATACAAGAATGGCAAGAAGTAAAATAACAGGTGTGAAGCAGACTATAAAAAAAAAGGGAATTGTCGAGATGAAGGGAATTAAAGGAGAAAACTCAAAAGTGATAGATGATATCAAGCCCTCCGTACTCAACTTAATTCAATCGCAGATATTCTCTGATACCGTGGGAATAGTAATTGTTGGCTGCGCTTACTTGTTTTCGAACTCACAAAATGATACTAGGGGAACTTATCCATCTTCTGCCCTTGTCAGAATACTATTAATTTCCATATGCCCTATTATTTTCAACATAGGTATCTTATTTACTTTCTTCATTATTTCATGTATAATTGGGCCAATAGGTACACTTATTACAAGAAAATTCCCAGCCTTCATTTCATCAATAGTTCATGCACTTTCGGTAGTAAACTACATCATGCTTTTTCAGATCCTTTGGTATATGCAAAATTGGGACCTTTCCAGGACTATAATCGGTTGTTGTTTAGCAATAATGATCGAAGGGTTCATTTTGAAGTTGGTAACTATTATATTTATTTCAAAGGAATTCAGCCACAGTAAATCAAACGCAGCTTGGTGGTCAGGCAAGTGGATCACATCGGGCTTGGGGTGGTATGTGTTGTCACAGCCATTGAGGGAGTTTCTTGTTAAGGTTTCCGAATTGAGCTATTTTGCCGGTGATCTAATATTAGGGCACATCATCTTATTCTCGCAACTACCTATTATATTAGTGCCATATATTGATACTTGGCATTCGATGATGCTATTTTGGTTGAAGCCAATACATCAAATCAAATCAAAAGTTTTAACAAAGGATCAAAAAAGAAAAAGAAACATCAAGGTTGCTTTTTCAATGCTTTTGTTTATATTCGCCATGTTAGCTTTCGTAGCTGCAATAATTTTACCAAGAATTCTCATTCTGGTTTTGGATTTAGACTTGGATGAGTATATTCCCGATATGCTTCAAGAATTGATTCAACCCTATACAATCGTCAGCAGCCGAAAGGGGATTCATAGTAATCACTTGAAGATTCAAACTTAAAATAAAATGTGCTCAAATATATATCATCATATAAATTCCTTGAACTTTCCATAAGATTCTGGATTGAAATGTATCAACTTCTGAAGAAATACGTCGATGTCATTCTTATCACAAAATGAGAGGGCAATTTGGAATCTGGGTATTTCATAGAATGTCTTTATGAGGTTATAAATTTTCTGCTCGTACTCGGAAAATACAATGGTTTTATCAGTTATTATCACTCTAATAGCTTTAAAAAAAGTAGGCAAAAAATCAGTATCAACCCCACCAATTTCAAATGCTTCTTCGTAGTCGGTCGGCGGTATATCAATAATTGCCTTATACACTTTCAACCTTTGGGGCTCCGTCAATTGGTCGTTTACTAAGGGTAAGAAATGCATAGAAGAATGTTTATGAAATTCGGTAGCTTCTTTATGCTTCACTGGTTTGCTAGATGGTCTACTTGGAAATAATTCGTTGATTTCTCTTTCAGCTTGCTCAGATGGTTTGTCAGCCAAGTTTTGGGTTTTACTTGGTTTCTTGGATATCAATTTTCTATACTGTTCAGGCAACTCTTCAACAGATTCAACCGGAACAGTTACTGGACTTCTTATAGAAAGAAGAACTGAAACCTCTTCTAATGCAGATTTCGCTGGTGTGTTCTCTGGGTCTAATAACAACGAATGTTCCAATGCTGATTTTGAATGCTGTAATTGTCCCATACCTTTGTAAGCTACACCAAGTCTATACCATAATTTTATTTCCAAGTTCCTCTCAGGTGGAGGGGAATTGCTTAAACCTTCTTTGCAATCTCTTATTGCTCTCTCCCAATCCTCCAATTTAATGAAGCACATTGCTCTGTTACTGAGTAATACAGAATTGAAGTCTAACTTCAAAGCATCCCGGTAAATTTTAGCAGCTTTTTTATATTCTTGTTTAGCGAATGCTTCATTCCCAAGCTTCTTCAAATCAGAAGCAGATTCGGACATGTCTGACTCTTTACTGCTACTTTCAGAAGAAGAAAGATGAACTTTGTATGCCCTTAATCTGGTGAAATTTTGTTTCGCAGGTGGAAGAGATCAGAAGAAAAATGAAAAATGCCTAGCCACGATTCTTTTATGGTCTTTAATCGTGGATTCTACATGAATTGGATGAAAATATGACCGTAGAGGAACTCCAAGATGAGATATGTGCAATAGATGCAATCTTTCCGAACACCACATCGGTAATGGCGCCGCAAGTCTATGAACTTAAGGTGCCCCAGCATGAACAACTTTTGATCCAGATGAGCTTTCTGGAGCTGTACCCAGATGTACCTCCCGACATTCTTCAACTACGTACTACTGATCCCAATAAATACACAGACTTGAACTACCTAGAGCATTCCTTCAAGACCATCCTCTCAGGTATATTTAATGTTGGAGAAGTTTGTCTATTTGAGTTCTTTTCGGAATTGGAACAAACTCTCGAAGTCTATGACGTGAGACTCGAGGAAGCTGAAGCGAAATTCCAAACGGAACAGGAAGTCCAGAAAGAATATAGGGACATAAGTCCAACTAGATATATAAATAAAGAGGGACATCGGGAAGTCTCAGTAGAACCAGACCCTGACCCTTTTGAAGGTTGGACACAGTCCGAAGTCATCGAAGACAGGGGCTCCAAGTTCATAGGCTTTGCCAGAGAGGTGCATTCTGTACAAGAAGTGAAACACTTTTTGGGACAGCTCTTGACTGATAGAAAGATTCAACGTGCAGCACATAATATGACCACATGGAGAATAAAGGGAGAGAACGGCGTACAGTACCAAGATTGTGATGACGATGGAGAAACGGCAGCAGGAAGTAGAATGTTGCATCTATTAACAGTATGTATTTAAGTATGAGAAGAAAAAAAGGAAAAGGTACATGGCTTCTCAATGTATTTGATTATTGGCATATCATTGATCATGAGACAGGCATACTATAAATACCAAAGATACAACATTATCTGGTATTTGGGTAGTAGCATGTTCTGAATAATGAAGCGGTGAAATATTGAATTCTTTTTAAAAATAATCTGGTCATTGAACACATACCAAAATAACTAGTACAAGTACTATAACCTATCTATTTTCTTAGAAGTATGGGTTGACCTTTGATGGCCCTTCTTTATTCCTTTTTATTGAAAAAATAAAATTTACAAGCTTCGATTTTTTACTAACGAACTATAGATGATGAATGTTTGGAATGTGATGGTTGTGGTGAGTAGGTGGTTCGGTGGAACACATCTTGGACCTGATCGCTTCAAGCACATTAATAGCTCGGCCAGGAATGCAGTGATGAAATTAGCCCCAGCAGAAAGTGAGGTTTCAAAAAAGAAAAAAAAGTAGAGAAGGGGTCTATTCTCTAGTTGGGAAGTCTCTTTTGCTTAAATTTAATATTTGGTATGTAGTCTCCTTTTCGTTTCTTAGAAAGTTCAACTTCCTCTTCATTCACCTGTTCCTCACTATACTGCTGCAGCTTGTCCCATAAATTTCTCAAAAATTCCTTTGGGGCGTCTTCAGACTGGCTAGATTTCTTAGTCTAAACGTTAGTACTAATGTAATTAAATAGAGTAAAACCTAAATTTTAATGATACAGAATAGAATACAACAAATGGTAGTCCAATGCTACTGCTTGGACTATCGACTTTGTACTACATTAAAGAACCAATGGTACATACCTTTTTATCAATTGAATCTTTTAGTTTCAGAATTTTCAATTCTTCTTTTCCACTCTCGCTATCCGCATCGCTGACTTTAGGCGTGCCCCATACTCTTCTAACGGACGGTGCTGAAGCACTAGCTTGTGAGATATCTTCACTATTGTATGCATTTATACTTGTATACCCTATAGTCTCCACTGCATTGCTCTTCCTGGATTTGGATATTATGTTGGACGAGCTTGGGAGAGCCCATTCTGAAGAGTCTCTGACGTTTTTCACAGTTTCTTCTTCCTTTGTCTCTGTACCGCCTTTTTGCATGAACTTCATGTTCATGACTCTGCTGGAAAGGTTACTCATGGTCTACTGATGTTGTACCCTACTGTAATACGTTTTTGTGTAAATAAGAATACGAGGCGTCAGCAACAATAACTACAACTTAGCGGGAACCTAGCTTATGGTATCCCATGACCTTCTTTATCTACTCCCCATCTCCGATTCAGAGCTCTATCGCATCGCACCCAGCTCGCCTAGCGAGAGCCTCAACGTGCACACACCAAAACTCATTTTGTTTGATTTCCTGCACACAGAAATTTCTTTGCGGCTCATCTTCGAGCTCATCGCCAAAAAGAACCTGAAAGCTTTAACAGTACCATCTGAAGCGACGCTGTCTACTCTTCTCTATAGCACAGGATGAAATCAGACTTCAAATTTTCGAATCTATTGGGTACAGTGTATAGACAGGGAAACCTTGTGTACACCAGCGATGGGAAAAAGTTGTTATCGCCCGTAGGCAATAGAGTATCATGCTTTGATCTCATTAACAATAAGTCATTTACTTTCAACTATGAACACAGAAAGAATGTCAGAAGAATTACTCTTAATAAACAGGGAACTTTGCTTCTCAGTGTGGATGAGGATGGAAGGGCTATCTTGGTAAACTTTGTATCTCGAATAGTATTACATCACTTCAACTTCAAGGACGCTGTCAATGATTTGCAGTTCAGTCCAAATGGTGAGTACTTTGCTATAGCCATGGGTAGATTTATACAAGTATGGAAGACACCCGACTTCACTGAAGATAGACAGTTTGCTCCATTTGTGCGTCATAGAATCTATTCGGGCCACAATAATGATGTTCTCTCAGTCACTTGGTCAAATGATCTGAGGTTCTTCATCTCTACTTCGAAAGATATGACATCCAAGATCTTTTCATTGCTGAGTGCTGAGAAAGATGTAGCCATGACGTTGGCAGGACACAGAGACTACGTGATAAAGGCATTCTTCAACGAAACACAAGAAATCATTTACACTATTAGTAAAGACGGTGCCTTATTCCAATGGGAATATACTGAAAAGCCAACCGATGGAGATAGTGAAGATGAAGATGATGAAAATGATAGCGATGACGAAGAATCGGAGTCGCTGAAAAAACCAATGAGTTGGAGAATTACTGCAAAGAACTTCTTCCATTCAGATGCCAGGGTAAAGTGTGCCACATTCCATCCTAAATCGAACTTGTTGATTGTTGGATTCAGCAACGGTGAATTTAGGCTCTACGAGTTGCCTGAGTTCAACTTGATTCAGCTGTTGAGCATGGGACAAAACTCAGTCTCTACGGTAAACATCAATGCTACTGGTGAATGGTTGGCGTTTGGATCATCTAAATTGGGCCAATTGTTGGTATATGAATGGCAATCTGAGTCTTATATCTTAAAGCAGCAGGGCCACTTCGATCTGATGAATGCTCTTTGCTACTCCCCTGATGGATCTAGAGTAGTGACTGCATCTGATGACGGTAAAATTAAAGTTTGGGATGTAGTAAGTGGGTTCTGCCTTGTCACTTTCAGTGAGCATACATCAAGTGTTACTGCTGTGCTGTTTGCCAAGAGAGGACAAGTCTTGTTCTCAGCTTCATTGGATGGTACTGTCAGAGCATGGGATCTCATTAGATTTAGAAATTTCAGAACATTCACAGCAACTGAAAGAATTCAGTTCAATTCGTTGGCTGTCGATCCCCTGGGAGAAATTGTTGTTGCTGGTTCCCAAGACACCTTCGAAATTCAAATCTGGTCTGTACAAACCTCACAATTACTTGATACTTTGGCAGGGCATGAGGGCCCAATTTCATGTTTGAGTTTTGGTAATGAGAATGGTTCTATCTTGGCATCAGCTTCATGGGATAAAACGATCAGAATTTGGAATATTTTTGGTAGATCTCAACATGTTGAACCTATCGAAATTCACTCCGATGTTTTGAGTATCGCTATGAGACCAGATTCTAAGGAAATAGCAGTTTCCACTTTAGATGGTAATATTAGTATATGGGACATCGAAGATGCTAAGCAATTACATTTAATTGATGGTAAGAAGGATATAATCGGTGGTAGGTTTTTGGAGGATAGATTCACATCTAAAAACGCCGCTAGATCTAAGTTTTTCACGTGTATTGGATACTCTTTTGATGGGTTGACCTTAGTTGCTGCTGGTAACAACAATTCCATCTGTATGTATGATATTTCTAACGAGGTATTGTTGAAGAGATTTACAGTTTCTCAGAACATGCAACTTAATGGTACATTGAAGCAGTTAAACAGTAGTAGATTAACTGCTAATGGGGAATCACTAGACTTAATTGATAGAGATGGTGAAAATTCTGATTTAGAAGATAGATTAGATATTACATTACCTGGTTCTCACAAGGGAGATCCTAGTTTGAGAAACGTTAGGCCAGAAATTAGGGTTACCTCGATTGTGTTTTCTCCAACTGCTGCTGCCTTTGCAGCAGCTTCAACTGAAGGGTTATTAATTTACTCAGTGGACGAAACAATTTTGTTCGATCCTTTCGATTTGGATGTGGACATCACACCAGAATCAACATTAGAAAGTTTAAAAGAAAAGGAGTACCTTACTGCTTTGATCATGGCTTTCAGATTAAATGAAGACTACTTAATTCACAGAGTTTATGAAACTATCCCAGTCAATGACATTAAATTGGTCTCGCAGGACTTACCTATAGTTTACTTGGACCGTTTATTGACATTTATTGGTAAATTGGTTATGGAATCATCTCACTTGGAATTCAACTTACTCTGGGTTCAAAGTTTAATTACGAGCCATGGAAAGTACATAAATGCCCACAAGCATCTATTTTCGTCGTCATTGAAGTCTATTCAAAGATTTTTAGCCAGATTAGCTAAGGATGTCGTGTTAGTATCGAAGAGAACTGGATATTTGCAGAGCTACCTCACTCAAGAGACGAGAGAACTTGACACTTATGTCGAAGAAGAAGAAGAACATGAAAATGATGACGAAGAAATGGATGAAGATGAAGAACAAGAGCACAATGATAATGATGATAGCGATAGTGATGGCGAAGGTTGGTTGGGAGCTGCAAACGGCAAGAAGGCGAGCAATGCATTCGAGGAAGAGGGAGAGTCTGATTCCGACGAGGAAATGGATAGTAATTGAATGATAAAAACAAAGTAAGTATATGAAAAAAAGCAATATTAGCATTGTATCATAGATAGCATTAATATATACAGACATATATATACATATATTTATATAGAAAGAAAAAGAGAAACAGAATAATTCACCTCCGTACATTCTGCAACCGATCTCGAGACTTCATGTAAAGAAACTTAACTCTTACCCACTCTCGGATTAATTATGTCATTGTTGAGATTTTGGGCATGCAATGTTGAGCCTTATACTGCGGCACTCACAAAAATCGAAAGTGTTGGTGGCAGAGGTGGAGAGCTTTTCTCAATGTGGGGGAGAGAGTCATATTGAAGATGAACCATTTCCGAAGTCACATTTGAGTCAGATAAGATGCGATATAAGCCATGCATTCATACATGCATGAGTTGAAGAAGAGAGGGGTGGGGTTCTACGAAAACATTCCATGAATGTACCAGTTCTGTGTTACTGACACTTGTTGCCCGTGAATTGAAATTAAGGTCGCCCATCGACTTCCTCGAGTCATTCCTCAACACCAAAGGAAAAATGAAAAAAAAATAAAAAAATAAAAAATAAAAAAAAAAATTAAAATAAACAATCGCATCCAATTCGAATTTGAAAAATGGATATATTCTCAAAGCAACTAATCTGGTGTGCTGCTGCTACAAGCTTGAACACCAGAAGGTATCGGAACAAATAAGCAATGTGTGTGTAGCGCTTACCGCGAGCTAGTAGAAGCTTGTTTCTCTTCCTTTTCCTTCGTCCCCTTGACTTCCTTCCCCTGCTGATCACCCTACAGCTTGCATGCGTTAAGCCATTCATTCCTCAAATGAATGATGCGAAGTCCGCACGCAGATCGTAAATACTTCGCGGTCGCAGAAGTTTCTACTCCCCTACATTCTTCGGTGGACAACAATTATTTTTTCCATCGCTGGCTTTTCTCCGGCTCTGAACACACTGGTGCTTAATTCCCCACAATTCAGTACAAGCAGTGAACATTTTGTCAATGGGTTCCCCGAAAGATACCACCACTGAGCAAAAGAGTCTGCTTGTAATCAGTGAACGGTGTAAGATATTTTGCTCTTTCTGCAACTTTTTGTTCCATATAACTTCTCTCTCTCCTTTCAACTAACTGACTGGTACCCTAGCACCTTTTAGGAGTGTCCACATGTTTTGGAGCCCTTACTTTGTTCAGTGCCTCCCCCAACCACATTCGCTAATTTCTCATAAGTCACCCCACCTTTTCCAAATCTTTTTTTTTTTTTTTCCCTTTTATTTCCACTACTTTACTGAGTCTCGGGCTTTTATTAAGCTTTGGTGAAGGGAAGCGAGACCACGTTATTTTGAGTTTGCGGAGAATCAGCGTCATCCTACCTTCGACGTCTCAAATTAAGGAATATCCATAACTCTATTTAAGCAATGGACTTGCTCTGAAACTACTTTCCTTTTTCCTAGACAGATTTTTTTCTTCTTCTTGCTCTTGCCCTTTTCCGTGTTTATCCTTCCATACATAGAGAGCTCTTCGCTAGCTTTTTCCGTGCTGTTTACCCCCCTAAATTTAGTGTTATATTAAATCGTTTGCGCCGAACCCACCAGCAAATTATAATCCAAAAAATAGGGACAGAAAGAAAAAAAAAAGATCTTCCCCTCGCACCTCCCTAATTTTCCCCCGCCAATTTTATATATTAAGCAGCGATAGAAGGCCAGTAGCCAATTCAAGTTTATTATATCCAAGTTACCTATTCTTTATCCAGTGTTGTTGGTTTCTGATAATTGAACCTACACTAAAACTAAATATCAAAAGAAAGAATGCCTCGTGACATCAAAAACCACCTTCTCTTTGAGGTTGCTACGGAAGTGGCTCACAAAGTTGGAGGTATCTATTCCGTGCTTAAGTCGAAAGCGCCAATTACGGTCGCTGAATATAAGGAGCGTTATACATTAATCGGACCATTGAACTACCAACTGGCTCAAATTGAGGTTGAAGAGTTGCCAGTTAAGGACCCCTTGGTCAAGCAAACTTTGGACTCTATGAGTGAAAGAGGAATCCGCTGGTTGTACGGTAGATGGTTGATCGAAGGTGCTCCAAGAGTGTTGTTATTTGACATTCAGCTGGCCGCCTACAACTTGAATGAATGGAAATCCGACTTGTGGACCACTGCTGGTATCCCTACTCCCGACCACGATCAGGAGACCAATGAGGCAATCTTATTGGGTTACTTGGTTGCGTGGTTTTTGGGTGAATTGGTCTACCATGATAGAGAAAGAGCCGTTATTTGCCATTGTCATGAATGGCTTGCCGGTGTTGCATTGCCTCTTTGTAGAAAGAGAAGAATTGACGTCACCACCATCTTCACTACTCACGCTACCTTATTGGGTCGTTACTTGTGTGCCGGGTCTACCGATTTCTATAATAATTTGGCTAATTTTGATGTTGATGTGGAAGCTGGTAAGAGAGGGATTTATCATAGATACTGTATTGAAAGACTGGCCACCCACCTGGCTGATGTTTTCACCACAGTTTCCCATATTACCGCTTACGAATCTGAACATTTGTTGAAGAGAAAGCCTGATGGTGTTCTTCCTAACGGTTTGAATGTTGTCAAGTTCCAAGCCGTTCACGAATTCCAAAATTTGCATGCAATCAAAAAGGCCAAGATCAATGAATTCATCAAAGGTCACTTCTACGGGAACTTTGATTTCGACTTGGATAACACCTTGTACTTCTTTATTGCTGGTAGATATGAGTTCAGAAATAAGGGTTGTGATTTCTTCATCGAATCCTTGGCAAGATTGAACCATAAATTGAAAGAATCTGGCCTGAAAATGACTGTGGTTGCCTTCATCATTATGCCAGGTAAGACCCATTCTTACACTGTGGAGACCTTAAAGGGTCAAGCCGTCATCAAACAATTGGAAAATACCGTTGAAGAAGTGCAGAAGAAGGTTGGTGAAAGATTATTTGAACATTGTGCTAGATTTAACAACGCCAACTCCAATCCAGGAACCAGTCACGGTCAAGAAGTGCCATCCATTGATGAGTTGATTAAGCCATCTGACAGAGTTCTCTTGAAGAGAAGAATTTTCGCTTTGAAAAGAGATGGTTTACCACCTATTGTCACTCACAACATGGAAGACGATTCCACTGATCCAATCTTAAATCAAATTAGAAGAGTTGAATTATTTAACAAGCCTGAAGATAGGGTTAAGATCATTTTCCACCCAGAATTCCTTAACGCAAACAATCCAATCTTATCATTAGATTATGATGAATTCGTTAGAGGTTGCCATTTGGGTGTTTTCCCATCCTACTATGAACCATGGGGTTACACACCAGCTGAATGTACTGTCATGGGTGTCCCATCGATCACCACCAATTTATCTGGTTTTGGATGTTACATGGAAGATCTTATTGAAAATACCGATGATTATGGTATTTACATTGTTGACAGAAGAATGAAGTCAGTAGATGAATCCATCAACCAATTGACTCAATGTATGTTTGATTTCACTGAAAAGACAAGAAGACAAAGAATCAACCAAAGAAATAGAACTGAAAGATTGAGTGATTTGTTGGATTGGAAGAGAATGGGCTTAGAATATATCAAGGCAAGACAATTGTCCTTGAAGAGGGCTTACCCAGAGAAATTCAAGAATGGTAACAACCCATTCAGCAATTCATCGAACTTGAAATTGACTCGTCCATTATCTGTTCCAGGATCTCCAAGAGGAAAGATTGGATTAATGACCCCAGGTGATTTAGGAAGCTTACAAGAAGCACAACAATCGTTGAATACTGAAGATTACATTGGATTCAAGTTGGGAAATACTGAAGACAAGGACGATGATGAAGAAGGTGAAGGTGATCACTACCCTTTGACGTTGAGGGGAAACTCAGCACCACCACAAGATGATGACGAGTAGCTCACCTAGCCCAAGCCCGAGCCCGAGCCCATGCCAAAATATGAAATTGTAAAAAAAAAAATTGAAAGTGAAAAAAAAAAAATGAAAAGATGTGCTTAACTATGAATTTCTTTTTGTTCAAATTAATTTTATCAAAACTTTTTGCAGCCATTCGTTACATGCAGGCGCATGACACCCTAAACCTGAAAAAAAATAAAAGTTGATTTAATTTGATAAGAATAAAGCGAAGGAAGGTGAACCAGTCTAGACATCAGTTAGCTTAGAATATGTTTGGTTATTTTTCAGTTCTTGTTGAGACTAATTCAATTTGCAGTTAGTCTATAATTTTCCATTTCCCCTTGTATTGTTGTTGTTCTGTTGTTTTAGTTAGTTGATTATTATCTCTTAGTATATAGAATAGACTTATCAGGACTTTATGCAGGATGTAGGGTGCCATAGAAATTTTTGATTTTTTTTTTTTCGTCCTTTGATTTTGTGCTTTTTGTGGCCCGACCACCGCCAGGTAGCTTTCGCCCTGGTGCACGACCTTTTCATATGTTCACTGAGCACAAGAAAGAAAAAGAGCAGAAGAAGGCACCCTGGTAAGCATTCAAAGGGGCAATAACACATAAATTCGATATGGTATGTACCTTTTATGCGAATGGGAAGAGAAATAATTCGATACTAACCTTCTAGTTACCCTTGTACTTATTGACAGCAGCCAAAAATCAACCGATTTTGGTTGAATTGAAAAATGGAGAAACCATCAATGGCCAGTTAGTCAACTGTGATTCATGGATGAACTTGACATTGAAAGATGTGATTCAATCATCACCCCACGGAGATGAGTTCTTAAAGATCTCTGAGTGTTACATTAAGGGGATCCACATAAAATACTTAAGATTGCCAGAGCAACTTATGGACCAAGCCAAGGAACAGAACCTCCAGAACATGGAGCAAAGAAACAGAAACAACCAAAAGAGAAGAGGTGGAGGAAGTGGCAATTTCAATAATAGAAGAGGCGGTTACAATCAACACAACAATAACCAAGGCGAGAGGGGAGGACATAGCAGGAACGGCGGGTACAACAACCACGGAGGCTCTAACAACAACCGTCGTTATAACAATTCTAACTCGAACCAAAATCTGAATCTGACCGGAGGTCAAAGCTCGAACCCCAACGCCAATTCCAATGCCAGTGCCAATGCCAACTCCAACAACAGTAACAGCGCCCCACAGCGTCAACAGTAATGCAGCATCGAAGCGAACGCTAAGCTTTTAGAAGGTGTCTTTGAAAGACACCCTTGACATTGGCCTAACGTCGACATGATAAAACATATGTACTATAATTATACGTTTTTTCTTTTTTTAGGTAGCAAGTGTAGACCTAGCAGAAGCTGGTTGTTCCGTTTGAAGGATCTCGGATCTTATTTACAAATCTATTTGTACCCACATTCATTTTCTATGTAACTATAGCTTAATTAAGGATTGCACTATCTATTTCAGCTCAAGGAACATCCGCTGCTGTACATATCATATTCAATCCACGTCCGCTACCGCAATTGCCATCGCTGTCTCGCGGGTTCCAGTTCCATACCGCTGTTGCTATCACAGAGCTAGCTAGCAGATCTCACTGAATTTCACTGAATCTCACTGAATTAACTCCCTGTGACTGCTACCATGGAATATAGTTCCTACCGTATCAAATTTGGTCAATTTAAGGGCCGTCTTGACGAAAGAAATCGATTCTGTCACAGAGCTTCATGCAATGGGTGCACATACTGCAGTAATCTACCGTACGTCCTGTCGTATCTAAGAAAGAGCTTCTGCCAAAAGGGTCCAGAGCTAGCTACAGTATACGAGGATTCCTGGGATAACTTGGTCCTGGATGCAATAGGTATACTTCAGGAAGTGCAGGTGGATCGTGAAAACAATTCCAGCCCAACTAATTCCAGTACATCTTCATCAATTAGCGCTTGGTTAAGCAGAAGCTTATTTCCGCAAAGATTTGACAAAGTGAGCAGAAGAATCACCAAGAGTCACTAAACTGATCAACGAGATGAATTCGGTATGTCAACTTAGAACAGTGTACTCCCCTAATGCGCAGACGTGTGCCAACTTTTCAAATCTTCCCTGAAGCCAACTTCGTTGATCAACCCATTCAAATCTCTAACCTCATCGTCATCATCCGTATTACCAGCATTCCAAATCTCTAACTTTTTGGATATCTTGTCACTCCAGCCTGTTCCTTCACGAAATATAGAGTCCACGATTTTCTCTGGTGTGTAGTCAAGTAATTTGTATAACTCTGGATCCCAACTGGATTCGAGAATCTTTTTGTATAAATTACTCACAATAGGCTCCATCATCACAGCCGTCTGTTGATCGTTACCACTCGCATTTTTGAGTGCTGAATGGCCATACGAACTATTATTGTTTGCCCTTTCTGAGTTACCACTTATGGAGTTTGCTTTAGAGTTTGCATTGGACCCGTCAAGCTTACTGTTGGAGTGATGCGGACTCAAGTGTTGCGATATCTTCTTGCTGATTGAGCACTCTTTTCCATTTTCTTCAGTCTTACCGTTTATGTTCAGCAAGTCCAACTCTGACTCATTGCCCAGATTCTGATGCTCTCCCGACGACGTGTTGATCACATCATTTATTCCTCCAAACACTTTCTTCTTTTCAAAATTTGGAACATTGAATTTGGGGTTTTGCGACAGAGGCAGCGAGTCAAGCTGGAGTGTCAGCGAGGTGGTCCTGTTTGTCGTTTGCGCCTGAGTCGGACGTGAAGTACTTACCTTGGTATTTGCATTAGACAAGTTCGTATGTGCTTCTGATATTTGCAATTGTGTATGAAATTGAAAATCGCTGGGCAATTCCTTCAACGAAACGGTTAAGCTGATGATGGAATTAACTTTAGAGTGCTTCAAAAGATATTTGAAAGTGGTAGCCTCTTTGAAATTAAGGTATTCTGATAGGTTTATATCCAATTGTCCCAACTCTGATGCACTATGACTATCCTCTCCATGATGATGACTCAGATCTGGGAGATAGTATATGGTCAAGATCAAATACTTGTTACCAATTAAGTTCTCCTTCTTTTTCAAGGGGAATCTCAAATTACAGCTCAACAGAAAATGGAATGAACATTTGAAGTTATGGATCTTCTTCTTGGACGTTACTGCTGTTACCGTAGACGGTGTGGATGACGAGTGGCTAGAGGAAGATTTCGAATCCAACTTACTTTGAATCGAGTTCTTGGAGCTATCGAATGTAGCCTGAGCTCCCGCTTGTGCATGGCTCGGTCTAAGTGAGAATTTCGATTTCTTGGAATCCCTAATGCTCACATCAATGTAACAACTCCCTCCAACGTGAGGTATGTTTGACAAATCATTTATCGTGAAGTCTAAAGAGAATTTAGGTTTATTGGAATTCAGAAACATCTTCTCTTTGACACTACTTAAGCGAATATAAGAATAGTATCGATACAGGGCTTCTCGTGCTCCTTCCTTTAGCAATCAGTAAATTATTCTCTTAAATGGGAAGTGTGTATGTGCGGAAGCTGACGGAAAAAGAAATTTCATGCATGTAATCAAAAAAATAGGCTTATGTGTAGGAATTGGTTGCAATCTTGTCTATGTATGGAAGCTCTTATATGAGCGATGGAAAATGTGGGAATGCACAGTCGATGCTATTTTTCTCCGAGACAAGGCAGAGAAGGGAAGAAGAGTATGGGAATTATATGCGAGAAAGTTTCTATAGATAGATTTCGGCTTGATCTCCCTTTTCGGTTGTGTTTGGCCATGAATTTGTGTCACAAGTGTTTTAAATACTGTCTGCCTTATATCATCATGCGAGAAGAGAATATTTATTGGCCAGGTTTCACTATTTTAGGTTTCATTCAGAATTCTGTCAGGAATAAAATTCAAAACGCTATCACAAAGGATATGACATATCCAGTTGCATACTACAACTTTAATCACGGTCAATATTTTCCGCTTGCAAGTAACATGATAATCTTCCGAAAGTACAATTCCTCAGAGTAAGCTAATGTCTATTCCTTTTGGGAAATATTTTTCCTGAAATGACAAAAATGCTTCTAAATGAAACTGTAATTTGCATATATCTCATACATTGATCAACTGCTCACTTAAAGTATAAGAGGGCATATAAGATGCATGTTTCTTGTCTTTGTCCAATGCACATGTGAACTTAGCACTGTATTTTCTTTTATTTTGTGAGCTACGCAAATTATGAGAATTTTTCACCTCACCCCACCAGGCTAGCTTGATTTCACATGATATAAAATTAACTAGCAAGAGTAGACAAGAGAAAGCGTAAACCGCTATAAAAATTGGTCTCATGAGAATAAACTTTTTTGAGTATTTAAGGGGTAAGGCATGAAGGGCAAAAAAATCCTATTCAACGCTTTACGATACAAATTTACGAACTTCAAGAAGATACCCCAGCTACATAATATTACAACAAAGTACGAAAGGGTTCACACCTAGAATTTTTCTCTTTTGCTTTAGGCTAATTCGCTCCCACTTCCAGTCAAAAAGATTTACCTAGTTTTAACCTCTAGCGACATTATTTTTTCTTTGTTTTCAAAGGATTTACTCACGTAAACGCCCTACTCAAATCTAGGGCAAACTTTATATTTTCTATTCAAAAAGTGTAGTAGAGTATGCGAACGTTTTTTTTTTTTTTTTTTTTTTTTTTTTACTACGTAATCAAAGTGCATATAGCAGTGCATAAAACAGACAGGTAGTCGTAATGCACTAGAACTGAAGACAGACGGTGGGAAAGTAAAACAAACTCAAAGCCAAAAACAAAGAAAAAAGGTTTCTTGCAAAGCACATTTTAGTACATGAAACAAGATACTAACTACTCCCCACCTCTAATTGCTTTGCAAAGTTACTTTCAAGGACCAGCAGCCCCTTCTCTGACTGGCTTGCTTTTTAGCTAAAGTTGGAACACCTGCAACTTTCCGGCATATACATTTTAACCGACGCATGTAATCAAAAAAAAATAAAAAAAAAAATAAAAATAACATAAGAGAGTGCCAAATATACACGTAGGAATTTAAATCACACTTTGAATTTAAGGTACAAAGTATAATACTAACGTGAATTTTTGAGTCCATACACACAACGAAAAATAAAAATAAAAAAGACTTAAAAGAAAACAAAGAGACGATATTGGTAGTCAGAAGGGTACCACAGGCATTTGTTTAATCTTTAGTAGGAAAGGATAGAGCCACATATATTGAGTGTAAAGTAAACAGCAAAGCAACAAAGAGCACTTTGTAAGCAGGAGCAATTAAAGGAGACATTGACATTGACACAGGCAGGTCCAGCAAGAAACGGCCAGAGGTTAGCAATAAAAATTTTAAAGGGGAGTCTAAACACTACACACAAGAGAAAAGTGAGAAACAAACAATAACAGGAAAAAGACAGAGAGAGAATGGTTATGTCAGTATCTCTTGAACCTACGTCAGAATCGACCAGAGAGGCGTTCCAGTCGTTATCTCTTTCCATCCCCATCGATACTGCCAAGTATCAGTACATATGCCAATTCCTTGAGAGAGTATTGCTGCTTAAGGATGAGAGATCCATCTTGATTGATACCAGTGAAGGTGTCAATTTGAAGTTGGGATGTGTAGAGCTTTTGCCCAACGTATCGTTTCCATTGGATGCTTGGGTCAACGATCAAATTGTAGTCAGGGACATCCGAATTAAGAACTCCCTTTTGAATGAAATCAACTCTTTGATTGAGAAAGAGGTAGCAAATACCCAGTCGGGTACACCGGTGAGGATCGATGGTAATGTCATCAGCTACTACGAGAAGTTGTTGGTTGCCTACCGGTTCCTCGAGGCACCAATCATGCAAGTAAACTCATCTCCCACAAATTCCACCTCCTACCGTACAGATTATCCCTTGCGTGAAGAAGAAGATGAAGAAAATGACGATGTTGTGATTGCCAGGACAATCTCCAACCAATCTTCTACGAATTCGTTACTGAAGACATACCACTCGTTATTTGGAAATGGCAATAGTGCAAACACCAATAGCATCATATCGGGACCAACGTTAAACCACAATAGCAGCATTGCCAATGGAACTTCACTCAATGGCAATAATAACATCAGCAATGGCAATGCTTTGAATAACAACAACGGTAACAACATCAATAGCCATAATACTGGTAACAATAATATGAATAATAACAGTAGCAATAACAGTGGACACAGGTTAACCTTTACCAGGAAGAAGAGATTCCTGACATTGCTTGGCCAATCAGCTCAAGCTTCAGATACTAATTTGAACGAACAGAATGGGTACTATGAAGATGAAGAGAAGAAACACCAAAACTTGAATGGGTTGTTGGCCAAGTCAAGGATTTATAATAAATTGAAGAAAAATCGTGATCTGTCAGCTTCATCCACGTCTGTCATATCAAATCCTACTAGTTTATCTCATAGCAATAGGAATAGTATAGCTACTACCATGACTTCTAGTACCAAAAGAAGAGGCAGTATCCAGACGCCTGAAATGCTCATAGAGTCAAGATCATCTGTCATATACGGGGGTTCTAGCGGAGGCGCTGGTGGAGTAGGGATGAGTGCCAGTGGAGGTTACACAAGCGCTTCAAGACATTCATCAATATACTCAATACCTGGATTGACCCCATCCCAAAGACAAGATATCCAAAAATCCAAGTTTGACTACTACGTACAGTTAAAGAAATTGTTACGACTAACCAAGCAAGTCTTAGCTGTGATCAACGACTCGTTTGAGTCTCGCGACATGCTTAATCTTGTGGAGTTTATAAAGAGATATGTCATGAAATTTATTGTAATAGATATGAACGAAATTCTTCTCGAATATGTCGAGCATAAAGAACTTTCGTTGTATAGGAAATAGGTAAAGACAGGCAAATATTTAATCGATAATAAAATCTTAACTAAAATGTAAGTGAATATAAAATCGGTCGCAGTCACCGGTACTGTCTTCCAGCTAACAAACGTGCTGGACTTTGCAAACTACTGTTTTCTGCATGGGCGCTGGTTATACGGCGGTTCAATATTAACGAATCAATTAAGCAATCCCTTAATTCTGGGATGGTGCTGCCATGCTCTATCTTGCAATACTTGTGGTATTCACTTTCTTTTGATACCGTGCTTATTCACTTTCTTTTAATACCATTCTCTTCTATTAATACCGTGCATATTCTACTTGCATGAGCTAAGCATTTGCAGTATAACTGTCAATAGCTGATCATTCTCACATGCTGCTGCTACTCTTTCCTTGTCATTAAGCTGCTTATTGACCTGGTTCTCTGACTGATGAGTTCCTTCCTTAATCAAGATCTTGATTCTGAATCTTGGAGGGAGACATCTCTCCAACCTTACTCTTATTCCAAGTCCGATGAGTGTCGCCAAGGAGCAATGAGTGATGGTAGGAGTGATTTTAATCACTATTTCACAGATTTTGCTTTTATCAGCCTGATGGTCTGGAACGTATATATCAGCCAAGTTCACCACAGCCAACTGGGCCAAGGTCAATGGATGTTCTGGGTCAGATATCGAAGAAATAAGATCAAATATCTCTTGTGCGTCGACAGGGTCCTCTTCTTCATCTTCTTCGTCATCCTCAGATCCTGAATCGGACACCAAGTCTGGTACTTGGCTGGATGTAGAACTAGCTGATACCTTAGCAGATTTTGGGAGCAACGAGAGTGATACAATCTGTGCAACTAGCTGCTCACCAGTTCCCTTTTTGTTCTCGTTTTCGAGTCTGGTGGGTAACTCAGAGACATCGATGATAGTTGGGTTAGCGTTAATAGGATCGTCCATATCTTATGTGTCTGAATGTGAAGAACAAGAGAAAGATCATCTGATCCTACCGCTATCAAGATCTTGACTTTAAAACTTTTTCGCATGATTAGAAATTGGTGGATAACGGGCATTTGCTGGGTGTCCGGGTGCTGGATGTTTCTTTTATTTTTCTCTGGTAGAAATACGTTTAGTGATCTGACCCAGTGGGTATTGCAGTCAGATACTTCGGTGTATAGCTCTCTCGTCGGCGAGTGGTATAAAGGAAAGGAAAGATTACGAAATGGACATATATAACCAATTGCTTCTCCAGCAATTGGCACCGTTCATTAAAATAAACGACTCCAAGTGTCAGTCTGATATCACCACTCAGTTGCGATCCAACTTCAACAAGTACAACATACTGAACAGTGTCTGGGACAATAGCATAATTAAAAATAGGCTTCTGACTACAAATTATCTCATTGAATTCTCAGATTCTTGGGACATTGATGTCCCATTAAAACCACCGTCGCAAGAGCGAGAAGATAATGGGAACGAGGTGCATTCTATACTCTCCCCATTCAATCCTCTGTCTGATATCTATCCCAATGGTATCATATCAGAGGACTGGTTTAAAAAATATATTCAGAATTTACCCTTTGCCTATGTGGCGGCATTCCCGTTACCTGAGCTGGTCCATGACGACGGTGCATTAATAAGAGAACTTGCTGACTTGAGGGTCAAGTACTTAGCTCATGGAATCAAATTTGTGTGTATATTGATTTCAACTTCCGTAAACCCCAACGATGACGACGAAAGAGTAGACAAAATAAGGCAGCAGTCTGGCTTACCCAGGCTACACGGCTTACTCTATCTACATGCCAACGCATCCAAGAACGTAAACCTTGCAAGAGATCTCACCGTGCTTGTTACTTCTTTACTTTCCAATTTGAAACACCCTTCATTTGAGTTCTACCAGCAAATAGAAGCCAAGATAAAGCAAAGAAATAAAAAGTACTACTCGTACCCGTCTGCGGCCAAGGTTCAAAGCAAGATAGTGTTGACTCCCACATTCTTAGAGACCCGTAATTTGATTAAACTGGGGATGTTGATCCAGTTCAGTAGCCCCCATAACGTTGAATTGAGCTTGAAGTACTTGATACCTGCGTATGATAATTTGATAGACTTGGTGAGAGAAAACTTCCAAAGCCAGGAAGAGGATATCGAGGAGCACGATATGAAGTTATATACGCATTTCAGGCTATTGTTAGATATTCTTGCGTTTCATATAGTGAGATGTTACTTAGCTGCTGAAGATCCAATATCTGCTTTGAGGAAGCACAAGACCCATATTGCAAGTGTGATCGAAGCTGTACACTTTTCCCCTTCAACTAACTATTATTTTTCCGAAATAAACAACTGGATATCGATTCAGTATCAATGGTTGGCACAGTTGCTAGAATTAATCCCTCAATCAATTCGGGTGGAACCAAATCCAAAGAAATTTGGCAACACAACTACATTCTACTTCGGTGGAGTTCAATTCATAGACAATGGATTGAAGTATGATATCATTACTAAGCCAGGATTGCTTTATCTTAAGGCAGCTGAATATTTGGACAAAGTAAAGGTTAGCAGAACCCAGAATAAGAAGAATGAGTTGCACTACAAATTATTGCCTGAATATGAGGAGCCAGTAACTAAACAGCAAAAGAAGTTAGCTCTTTTGAACAAGGCAAAGTCGTGCTTTGTTGATTTATCTCCAACAAGTGTTGACTATAAAAGTGAATCTGCCAACTTTGACTCCTTCATCAACTATGTGAATTGGATGATTGCAGAGGAATATTTCAAACTCGATGACTTCAAAACAGCCATTGACTTTTATAAACTTTGTAATAGTCTGACTAACCCACTTATTTTGCAGAGAATATTTGAGTGTATTGAGCAAATAAGCGGAAGCGACAAGGAGGCATTGGAGACTGCTATACAAATCTCCAGCATAAAGTCACCGATTTTAAGAATATTCGACTCCAAGATTGCTAATTCTTTGAATCTAAAGAATATTAAGAAAATAGACTGTACATTATTTGAAGTCACCCCTTTGATTTTGAATAAGCAACAATCAACCACCACGTATCTATATGATGAGTGTTTATTTCAGATTAAGTTGCAACCAACTATTAATTTTGAAAAGTTGAATAAACTATTATTGAAGAAGGAAATTAAGATTAGAGTAGAGAAGATAAAGGTTATTTTCAATAATGTTTCAGGGTTTAAAGATATTCTGTTAAAAAGATTGGACTCACTTCCTTCCACAGCATTGCAACAAGTCACTTTAGATGAAAATTCAAGTGGCCAGGTTAGGATAGACTTTTTTAATTCAAGTGAAGCCAAGATATTTGAGTTCTCACAAGTTGCCGAGAAGATAGGTAAAGCTCAGATAAGCTCCATTGAACTTGAAACTATTGTTGAAATAGACAACTCTAATTCAATATCACATACACAAACTGTTGAGTTCAAAACTAATAGTTCACCAGACGAGGCAAGTGAAACCCTATTCCACAATATTAAGTACTATATCAACAATAGGACTTCCGAAAACTTGCTGGACTACAGGTTTAGAAATATAAGATTAAATGGAGAATTTGCATATTCAGTCAACATTATTCCAGTTAGACCAAAAGTTAACTTAAATATTAAGGATCCTTTGAAATCATTAATTATGGGAGAGAAAGTGAAATTGAATATACTCCTTGATGTGGAGAAGCGTAAGGGAGTGGATTACAATGCCTTATCCATCGTCTCTGACATAAAATTGTCTGGAGGTGACTCCGATGATTACACAATAAGAACAAGTTGGAACGATCTTAAGGATGATGAGCCATTGAAATTAAGCGAAGACTCTCCAGATATGGTCTTGCTAAACTTATCTATTCAAGCTCGTCCGTCTATTGAACTAAAGGAGGGTGTGAAATTGATGCTTAACTTCAAGCTTGTACTAGATACAAATACGGGAAATACTGAAGGTGACGTTAATGTTCCTACGTTGTTCGATATAAGCAACTTTGAATTTGATCTTGTCAAGGAACCATTTGAACTCAAATATGGCATTGCTACAAGATATCGTAATCAAAAGGAAGCAGAGAATGACATGCCTAATCCATTTATTATCAACAAAGGCAGTTCAATATCTATGCCTGTGGCCACTCGGGCATGGGTTGGCAATGTAACTTTCAGCAGTAGATTATCGTCTTCCATTGATATCATAAGCACAAACATCAACATTAAATCTATGAACCCTGAAGTTCAATTAGATTGCTTAGGGCTGACGGTGTCTCACGCTCACGCTCAATCTGAACCTCAGACATTTTCAAGGTCTTTTGTCACCACCAGCAAGACAGGTTATACTCATAGAAATATAGCAGTTTCTTCAGTTGGTACTATATTTTGGAAGAGAAAGAATTCAGAAATTATAAATGAGTTTAAAAGCATTTACTGGGAGGTGACTTTACCATTAGCTGATCCAAGAGTATTGTTAATGGTTAAGAAGGGAGAAGACGATACAATTTGGAAACTACACTTCGTGATTGAAAACCCAACACCAAGGATATTTACCTTTTCCACGCAATTGTTGGATGAACAAGACTCGGGTTGGCAATACATTGACGAATTGAACTTGGTCCCATTCGTTCAACCGCCCTTCCCCGTTCTCCCCTTTCTGAGACATGCCATTGACTTCTACGCCAAGTACAATGGAACCAAGGGGGAGGAGAAGTTGGTCAAATTACCACAATTGAAAGTATTCGATATCAATTATAAGGTTGGATTGCCTACATTGTCAGTTAGCGAGGACGTGACGTCGGTAGAAGGATTACTATACTTTAAGAAATAGGACAATACAAATGGAGAGGAGAGGCGAGCACCACAGATTTAAAAAGAATTGTAGGCAGATGTATTAAATCTTGTTATATAGTTTAATTCTTTTTGTAATAATATTTATTCAATTTTGACCTATAACCATCTAGTTAACACCAATCAACTCAACATCGAAAAGTAAAGTAGCGTTTGGTGGGATTAAACCTGGGAATCCTCTTGGTCCGTAAGCTTCGTGGCCTGGGATGGTCAACTTAGCACGGGTACCGACAGATAATTGAGGGATACCAGAGTCCCAACCCTTGATAACTTGACCGACACCAATGGTACATTGGAATGGCTTACCCTTGTCACGGGAAGAGTCGAATTTCTTACCGTTTTCTAAAGTACCGGTGTAGTGGATGGTGACTAAGTCACCTGGCTTAGGGAAAACAGTTCCGTTACCTTGTTGGAGGACTTCAATTTGAGTAGTGGCTGGAGCAGACATATTTAAAAGTGGTGAGTATTGGGAAAAACTTCTACAAGAACTAACAAACGATGTTGATTTGTAAGAATTGATACCAATTGATGATGTTAAACGAACACTTCTAGAGAACATGCTGACGCTGATGGGCTCAATTTCCAGAAGGATTGCCAATGGGGCGCTACTGTGGAAAATTCGCGGCAAATAAAAAAAAACCACCCCCGAGCGAAAAACTCAAAAAAAAAAAGTTGGAAAATTATTCGTCATTGTGCAGTATGCCTAGAATGTAGTGCTCCTAATAGCAATTTTAGCTTCGTAGTTCTGGTGTAGTGTTATGTAAGCGCATTGGGATCTATGTTTAGATGTGCTGCTTCATTTAGACGTGGTAGTGCATATTGCACAGTACTGATCGATCCCAAAAAGGGCTGTGACAGTGGGTGAAGTGGATGGCCCACTTGGGATCTGAACTGGTATCTCTCTTTACCAGCTGATAGGCAGCTTCGCGTTACACATTATATACTCCTCATGCTGAGTGAAGTTAAGATTGAGATAGATAGGAGTTCCACGGGTGGCACTTTCACCAACTATGATATTATTCGAGGAAATATCACACTAGTGGTGACATCTTCGATAACACTCAACTACATTCAGGTCAAGTTGGAGGGGATTTCCAAGACACAGTTGACGATTTCCAAAGACCACCTCGCTTTGGATAACAGAGCCGATAATGTTGATACTAATGGAGCCTCCGCAAATGGAAGGCGTGGAAGAAAGCAAGAGAAGAGAGACAGGAGGGAACAAAAGAGAAGAGACAGAGAAAGGGAAAGGGATAGAGGAAAGACCAAGACCATTCAGGACGTCCACAAAGTGTTGTACGATACTTCCATTGTGTTTCCTCCGGAAAACGTAAGAAAGGTTCTGAACGCAAAGGAGTTCACTTTGGCACCTGGGAACTATTCATATCCATTCGAGTTCAAGATCCCATTGAACAATTCTTGTATTAAGATGCGAGGCATCACCAATAAACTTCTGTTTAACAAGAAGACCTTCGATCTTTCCATAAACAATGGGAACTTCAATACAAATACTATCAGAAATGCAGCCATGCAGTATTTAGATGGAGGAGGAGGCGGTACTTCTGGGCCTGCTGATCAAAATGGAGTAAATGCGCCAGCTGCTGCAGGCGGTAATGGATACCATTGTACATCACAGTTACCCCCTTCACTTTCAGGCTTGGGGGATTTGGCTGATATCCGATATTTCATCAAAGTCACCTGTAAGAGATCTTCATTTATCAAGCCAAATTTAAGATCAATGGACCCATTCATTTTCTTGCCATTGGATCTTGATTCCCGAGGTCAACCTATAAACCATGAAAACGCTTTTGAAGATGAGCGCAGAGAGGTGTTCTTCCGTAAGGAAATAGTATTCAAGAACAGAATACCTGAAATTGTGGGGGTTAGAATACCTCCAACACCCTCGAGATCGAGCAGTAAAGTGAACGTTAAATCTCTCCCTTCTCCGCCACAGAAAAAGGGCTTTTTGGAGAAGTTTTTTGAAGCCAGACCACCTCAGCAAATCCCAAATTCAAGTAGTTTACCCGGTAATTCACTGGTGAGCAAAACTTTCCATGAAGTAAACTCCACCGACGTCCCCTTTGGGTTTGAGATAAGATTCAGGCATCCAGCTTTCCTCATACCGACGAAGGCACCTTCGTTCAAATTGTACCTTGTCTCCAATCAGAAGCCTTCAAGATATTCATTGGCACAGTATGGGAAGCCGGACGACAGCAATGGACTTGGTATCGTATACATGCAGAAATTAAAGGTTGAAATCACCTGCACCACAATGGTATCGGTTCTCGAAACAGATGGTTCGTACAAGGAAATCCATCGGTCTAAGACTGACAAGGTTATACCGATATGTGACAACACGTATCAGAATTTACTGTTTGATTTGAAAAACTCAGTAAGACAAAGATCGTCATCGGCGACAACGGCTACGAGCTCACGCCATTCCGCATACGAATTGGAGATTCCCAAGAAATACTATTCCAACTGCACTCTTCCTGACTATCTTTCGCCATCGTTTGCAATCTGTAACGTAGCTAGAAAGTACTCGTTAAATGTTATTGGAGGATTCTCAAGCGAGAAGGTTCTTGATTTTAGAAACGAAGCGGAACTAGCATCAAAGGTCAAATATGTGGATTTGTACTGTTCGTCTATTAAAGTTCTTAGTGGGTTGAACATGACTCAATATTTACATGAGAACAATAGCAACTTGAACCAATCCAGTAGCAGTGCATCCAGCTCGCTTACTTCTGGATTGAACCAAAAGCCTCCTCCCCGTATACATAGCAATCCTCCCAGCCGGCTGTCCAGCTCACCTGTTGATTCAAAGGATCCTGAAGGAATGGCTCCTCCCATGCCCCAAAGGCCAGCCTTGGAATCTGGCCTGCATCTCCCCACCTACGACGACGTCATTCGTGAGAGCAGCTATCAAGATGACACAGAGCATTTGAGAGCAAGACGAAGGTATCAACAGCACGAACAGTACTACACCCAATTGGACTAATAAGAAAACCTAAAGGACAAAATCCCATTGTAGATTCCTGCTTCAAAACGACCTCCTGTATGAATAAATAGACAATATATGGCCCAATTTGACTGAACCGTGTAAGCGCTCTCTCTCTCTCTCTCTCTCTCTCATGCATTTGCAGCCGTTGATCTCTCCTGCATGTAGATGTTCGTGCGCCGCCTAGTTGCTGAAAAATCGTTACAGAGGGCGGCTCGATTTGAGGGCAAGCCGAAAAAAAAAAGTAAAAAAAAAGAGCTAGTGAGCAACTACAGTTTGTACCAACAGTAGATATACAAAATCGTTGTTATTATATAACATTGTTATCATGTCAGGGGTTGATAGATCAGGAAGCTTTTTTGCTCGCAACAAGGTCGCTATTAGCGTTGCTGCGGTAGCCGGTATCTCTGCAGGTGCCTACCTTTACTACAATGCCGTACAAAACCAACAGGCAGGTGGATCAGACGGCAGTTCTAATGGCAACAGCTCTTCTGCAGCCAGCGGATCGACCAATGAGTCTTCAAAGAAGAAGAAGTCCAAGAAGAAGAAGAACGGAAGCGCTGGAACTGAAGGAGAAGTCTCTGCCAAGAGTAGCAGTGCTGCTAAGTTATATCCTGTAGCCAACGGTGTTCCAGCAATCACCGAAGAAGACATTGCCAAACTTTCTGAAAAGGAAAAGGATGAATGGGCTGCCGCTTTGAAGGAAGATGGTAATCAGAAGTTCAAGGCCAACGAATACAAGGAAGCCATTGAATACTACAGTGCAGCTTTGCAATTGAAGATTGATCCAGTTTTCTTCTCCAATAGATCTGCATGTTACGCTGCTTTAAACGACCATGAAAATGTTATTAAGGATACCACTGAAGCTATCAAGTTGAAGCCAGACTATACCAAGTGTGTCTTGCGTCGTGCCACTTCTTACGAAATCTTGGAAAACTATACTGATGCCATGTACGATTTAACTGCTTTGACCATCTACGGTGGTTTCAACAACAAGTCTGTCGAACAATTGTTAGAAAGAGTGTTGAAGAAGCATTCCATTAAGATTGTCGAAGAAAACTTGAAGAACAGAATCCCTGAATTACCATCTGCTGCCACTATTTGCTCCTTCTTTGGTGCCTTTGTTGAAGAACTGACCCCAGAAGGAATTCTGGAAGATTCTGAAGAACAAGCCGATAAGTTCTTGTTCGAAGCCTTGAAAAACTTGAACGCTGCTACTCCAGAAGGTTATGAAGCTGCTGACACTTTGATCAACCAAGCAGTTACCGCTTATGATGTTGAAGAATTGACTAAGGAATCCGCTAATGCTGGTAAGGCCGCTATCGCCTTGGAATACTCTGCTGCGATCAAATTCTTAAAGAACGACCCATCCTCTGCTACCATTGACATTGAAAGAGCTATCGCATTGAAGCCAAGACCAAGATCCTACGTTTTCAGAGCCTTGATCAACGTTGACAGATCCTCATTCACTGACGCTAATAACGATTTTGAAGCTGCCAAGAAGTTGGACGAAAACTTCCCAGATATCTACTACCACTTAGGTCAATTGTACTACCTTACTGGTGACTTGGTACAAGCCGAACAAAATTTCAACAAGGCTAGAGACTTGAACCCAGAAAATGTATACGCCTACGTCCAATTAGCATGTATTAAGTACAAGAGCGGTAGCCCACAAGAAGCTGAAGATATGTTCACTGCTGCCAAGTTGAAGTTCCCAACTTCTCCTGTTATTCCAAACTACTATGGTGAAATATTAGCGGATAAGAAGGACATCGAAGCTGCTTGTAAGCAATTTGATACTGCCTCCAGATTACAAAAGGCTGTCTCATCATTTTCCGTTGGTGCCTTACCATTGATTAACAAAGCTTCAATTTTATCCAGAGAAGGATATGAACATTTCGAAGAAGTTGAAAAATTATTGACTGAAGCTTGCGAGTTAGATCCAAAGAGTGAATTAGCAAGAATTTCATTAGCCCAAATTAAGTTACAAAATGAAGAAGTTGATGAAGCTATTGTATTGTTTGAAGAATCATCCACGTTAGCAAGAACCATCGAAGAAAAGGTTCAAGCCACTTCATTTGCAGAAGCAACCAAGATGCAAAAGAGACTTAAGAATGACCCTTTCATGACTGCTAAGATTCAAGAGGCTATGGCCCAAAGAGGAATGTAAAACCCTTTTGACCTTTTAAATGACTAAAATAAATAAGGGAAAACCTTTCATGAAAAAAAAAAGTAGAATGAAACAATAAGAAAATTGAAACAAATGAAAAAAAAGAAACAAATGAAGAACGAATTTTGAAATTGTTGTGTGGTTAGATTGCAATTGCTTCTGTATATATTAATTAGTTAACTTCATACATAAGAAAGATCAGAATGACTGATATTGTGTAGAGCTCTAATGAGCAAGTCGCCGGTAAATAAACTTAAAAAGACCGCAAATTTTCTTTGCATATCAATTGGTTAATGATCTGAGCATATTTACTAGCCAAATTCACCCCCCGGCTTGACAAAAGCGATTGATATAGTGTAGGAGGTGGCGCATTCTCGAACCTTAAAAGCATAGACTTGCAAGTGAAAAATCTACGCTCGCCACCTTAGTGGCTGCGGTGTGCGGTGCGTTTCATTCCCTATCGCTAATTGTTTATTTACCATTCGGATTTTTCAAAGAGATGAACCTTTCATACGCTATACCTCTCTTTCTTTCTAAAAAGCCAACCATCTTGTATCATATAAAACTCGAGACAGGAGAGCATGAAATCGTTTATACGATCCATAGTATCATCTCCTAGGCAATTGCATTACGATTCAGAATCTGGCGTGCAGCTAGATCTCTCTTATATTACCTCGCGTATAATAGTTTGTTCTGGCCCAGTAAATAGCTCCATAAAATCAATCTACCGATACCCAGTTAATAGCTTAGTTAAGTTTTTAAATGCGAACCATGGTGTAAATTGGCATATATGGAATTTTAGAGGTGAAGAGCAAGGCTACGAGAATGCTGATGTTTTGGATAAGATGACCTACCTCCCGTTCCCTGACCATCAGCCTCCCTCTTTAAAGATTATCGAGGAAGCAGTGAGAGGGATCGATCAATTCTTGGAGGAAAATAAAAATAATGTCGCTATCTTGCATTGCAAAGCCGGGAAGGGGAGATCTGGCACGTTGTGTTGTGCCTACTTGATGTATAAGCACCACTACGATGTTTCTACAAGCATTACATTGTACACATCCAAAAGGATGCAACCATTTGCAGGGGACGGGGTTTCCATAAAATCTCAAATCCGGTATTTAAAATACTGGGGGGAATGTTTAAACAATAAAGACCTATACAAATTCGCAATCAAAAACAGCACTAAAGTCGCGGAATACACCCTAGATACAATCAGATTGGAAGGTCCAGTAGAATGGCTCTTGTCTAAGAGCCAGGTTCAGAAATTAAGTTTGCAACTATTTACATACAGGATCAGGAAAGATATATATCCGACGAAGGGGAATCGACTGCGCCAAAGAGGGTCGGTTCTGCTGCTCCTGCTACCTCTGGTACTAGAACTTGGGGTCGAGATACAGCCCATATATAAAGTGGAGGAAAGGGATGTCTTCCTAGGTGACGACTATATCTTAATTAAACCATTTGAAAGTTTTAGCATCGATTCAGAAGACATCCAAATCATTGTAAAGGGTTTATTCTACTTTTGGTTCAATATCAAGTGCGAATCGATGAAAAATTCGCAGCCAAATGAGGTAAGCTTGACTTGGGACGAGATTGACGGCTATAAAGGAACGGAACTCAAGGGACCTAAGTTATTCGAGAGTATGAAGGTGACTTGGCATTAGATACGAAGAAAAAATAAGATTTCAAGATATAGTAATGATGATCATTATGGGAAGGGTAGGAATGCAACAGAAGAAAAAAAAAAAAAAAAAAACTAGCAACTTGGAACTTTAGGATTGAACATGGATTAGATAAGGAATACTTGGTGTATGATTACGGTATGTATAATTTATTACTTGGAATTTGGGATGTAGATCTATAAGGTTTTCTAATTTGCTGAATATAATTCTGGTCGATTTGCTCTTGTACTTTTTACCATTTAGTAGGTTTGTATCTACCTACTTTTCAACTTTGGATTTAATTTTCACTTTCAATTTCAATCTCATCATCGATGAAACTACTAGCTTAACCACCAATTTTATCATTTTCAATAGTTTGCCAGTACTCTTTAACGATTTCAAACACTTTATCTAACTTCTTTGAGTCTCCGCTATTGCTATTAATTTTGGAAATTGTGCCAGATTTAGCCAAGTATGGTTTCGCTATCTTGATTTCTTCCTCAATTATTATAGAGCCATATGGGCCCCACTTCACTTTTCCACCAAAGTTTGAGTACAATTTTTCAAATAACATAACTGCAATATTGGATGCATTGTGACTCTGCGATATGCTGATCATCTCTTTGTATTGGGCTACGGATTTATTTAACAAACTTTCAAGCTCATTGATTGATAATTGGGTGAGCTGGGGCGATGCTGGGGCAGGTGATGGCGAATTGGAATTCAGCTTGGAATTAATTGCGACTGCTGAGGAAGAAGCTTGTGCAGCTGGCGGTGGAGAATTGATTCTTCTAGGGAAAGGAGGTAAGACCTGAATAGTTTTAATGAATGCAGTATTTATGAATTTGTAACTCTCATTTTTATTTTGGGAATTTTTAACGTGGTTATTGGTTAATCTTATGGTCAACACTTCGTGGACTGAAGAGTATGCATATATGTAACCAGTAGTAGGTTGATCAAGCAACGTTGTCACTTTCACCTTCAAATTGATCGCTTGTTCTAGGCTATTCATATGCAAAACGGAGAAGACAAACGAATAATGACAAATATGAAAAAGTGAATGAATATAGATATAATATGATAAGGGTACTAAGCGAAGATAAATCAGCAACCTGAACAATAATTGGCTTCGCTTTCTTGGATCAAAAAATTTTGGCGCACATATTTTTTTTTTTTTTTTTTCACTTGATCTGAAGGTTGTGGTTTGGGTGTAGAGTGTGCGCAGTGTGCAGGAACGTTCACAATTAGGCTAGGAGAGTATGGTAGACAGCACAAGAATTTAGAAATACAACTGGGGCGGTGTGTTTACAGTCTCAGTATAGTCAGTTGTGTTCAAAAATGGATAATGATGAAGATAACGAGGGGAACCTGATCGACCAGTTGGAAGATCTGATCATTGACCATCCGGATGCAAAGACTATGGAGCAGATACTAGACACCTCACTAGACGAAACCTTTCAGAAGAAATTGAACGCGAGGGCGGATCAGATCACCAATTCACACTATGACAATAAGGGTGGTGACCTCTCCAATGAGGGAGAAAATGGAGGAGATATGTCTAGCGACTCATTGGGAGGCATCGAAAATGAATATCAATTCCTTATACAGAAGACCAACTTACTCTATGAGTACAAGGACTTTAATTCTTTGGATGTGGAGATTAGTGAATGGTTCACCTTTAACGATTTAAAGGTTATTGGTCCATTGACTTACCTCGCAGATAACTATAAGTCTAAGGTGTCAGAGGGGAGGGAAGAAAGACTTCTCAAATCGTACATAAAAGCATTGAAACTGGGTGCTAGTGATGAAACCTGTCTTCCACTCTTGGTGTACTTTTGTATGGGTGAGTACAGAACGGCTGTGTCCGAGAAGCAACAGCAATGTCAAAAAATCAGAGAAAATTGCAAGAAGTTGTATTCTTGGGGCATAATAGAGTACTTGCTCGATACAATTATTGCTTTTTTTGATCAAAGAATCCTTGCTGATACTAAGGAACACAAGAATAGCGATTTCTCCAGTCCAGTATCCGTAGAAACACAGATTCGTAACTTCAGAATTCTAACCATCTTCTATTTCATACTTAGCGTGGCCTTGGAAGAAGAAGATGACTCAAAATCTTTCCCTGGATTGAGAGATGCTCTTTCTAACAAAGACATCCTCCTGAAAATAGTTCAATTCATCGAACACTGGAAATGGAAACCAAACTCTGCCTATAGAATTCGCTCACTTATTCAAATACTATGGAAGCTACTTTTGGTTGAATTTGGTGATTCTAAATGTCTTGATAAATGTGATGACTTCTTGTGTGATTTGCACGAGATTATTCATAAGGAGGGTAAGGACTTACCTAAGAATCAATTGACATGCTCTCCATTAGACTACTACACATTTAGAGAGGATCTCATGGCAAAGTACCCTCTTTTCAGTAAAACCATAAGTACAAATAACGAGTTGATCAAAAAAGATCCGTATGATTTCGAGACTGTCGCAAGAATCGATAGTTCTGAAACGTCCTCAGTGAGGAATTCAGACTACCAGTTTTACATGGCCATGAATGAAAATTCCAATTCTCTTACTAATTTGATTGAAATGCCTAGGACAAACAGGAGCCATACAATTTCATCTCAACTCCCTAGTCAAACGGTTCACATTGCTACCCCTGTGCCTTCACCTCCAAGTACGCCTTCAGATTACATGTCCGGAGGAGAAAAGATCAGGAAGCTGTACCATCTAAATCAGGCAATGCCATTTATTTACCCAAATGCTGATGAAGGGGAAATCCCTTACGCCATCAAAGAAGCAGATGAAATATTGAAGAATTCTGTGTATGAAAGTTATTCTAATAAGCAGTTGTGGGAAGAGAGACAGCTCTTCATGAGACAAGAAAGGGGGTTCATTAGCGAATACGGTGATCAAAAAGCGGAAGATGGCCAAGTAAACGACGTAGAAAATAACTACAATGAATCTAAATTTAACTATTCCGAATCACTTTACACAAAATATCCTGAAAGTAAAGATCAAATTAAATCACTTCTTAGGGTGGAATCATTTTATTCTAAGAGCATGATTCGTTTAAATTCTTTGATAGAAACACTTGTTGAAACTATCAAATCTAACAAGTTTGATTATGATCTTAATTTCCCAGAGTGGGAATTGAATCCTGAAACCTCCTGCTTCACCAAACAAATAGAAGAACAAATGGAATTCAACAATGGGAATTATCAAAGTGGGAATACTAAGGAAAAAATTCAGTTCATGTTAATGCAGCAACTCGAGGTAGTCAATGTTAAAGAGATAACCTTGAAAGCTTCGACAGGGATTATATCATTATTGCTTCGCTGGTTCAAGAAGAACCATATACTTAAATATTGGTACTTGGCAAGTCTTCTATTCGATCAGCAATATCTTTCAATTATGATGGATTTTTTAAACCTGAGCTTTAATAACAATAATATTCAGCAAATGAAACAGCTGTCAGACTACAATATGCAAAATAATAACGGTAACGGGAATGGAAATGGGAATAAGAATAACACTAGTAATGTTGACAGTGTTTTGTATCAAAATAAAATCATGAATCCAAAAATTGAATTACCAGATTTTGAATTCTTCAATAACTGTTTAGAGAAATTTCCTGAACAGTACACCTATGAGCTAATAAACAAAACTACTATTCAAGAATTCGCCACTAGGAAAGATTCAAACAACATCAACAATATCCTTATCACAAAATTCAATCCCAATTATTGTTTTATATTGAGCAATCTTTTGACAATTGGAGATAAAATATTGCTTGGAAATATAACTCAAAGAATTTTAACATTAAGTGACTTGAAACCATCTGATATGTTTAAACTAATTCTAATTAATTTCAGCACAGAATCGATTAATAAACCCATACTAAAAATGTTGAAGAAATTGATACCCTATCAAGGACGTAAATGGAAGTCAAACAACATGGAACTTATTTCACAAGTATATTTGCAAAGTAAATTAAGTTTGAGAGATAGCTGGTTGTCTGGGAAAGACTTGGAAAATGATTTCAATAACTCATATGGTCAAGAAATTGCCCTAAGAGGACTCTTACAGTTCTATAATATGAAAAGATACCCGCAGCAAATGGAAATGTTGGGTTATGAGATACTAGATAACGATTTCACTGCCCTAAATTTGAATGTGGAATATTAATGACTATAACGATAATATAAAATAAATTGGATATGGAATGAACCCATATAATATACATACAAATACACGTGTGTAAATAAAATGAATGCTTCAAATAAATATAACTTTGTATTTAACTTTCTATATATAGAAATATATCTATTGTAATGTGTCCCAAATAAATTAGTTTTGTATAATTTTATCCTAGAGCCCTCTTAAAAGCCTCCTGTCATGTCTCTGATCCTATCTACTTCATCTTGAAGTGCCTTCAAGTCAGTTAATAAATTTGAAGTACTATCATTCCCATTTTCATTTCCATATATGCTTTGACTATGTTGTTGTGGTTGTTGTTGTTGATGCACAACCTTTGGGGGTAGTGGAGGAGGTGACGTTGTTGAGGTACTCAAATTTCTTCTTCTTGAAGGCGGTGGAGGTGGTGGTAATCTCGCAGATCCATTAACCGGAGAGCTCACATTTCTCTGAGGTATATTGGGAGCATGGAAGGTTTCCCCGAAAGATCCTGACAATGGAGATGAAATTATTGGGGGGGAAGTTGCAGATCTACTTCTTCTATTTTGTGGGACAGGAGGTGGTGGTAATGGCCGGTTTTCGTATCCATATCCGTTGTTGTTACTATAATTGTTATTGCTGTTGTTGTATTCATTGATGTTATTACTCAGTCCGTTAACATGCATTGGTGAGCTAGTTGGAGAACCAGTCACCGAGGTTCTAGAGTTCTGTAAGGTGTTTGATATAGTGTTCCCAGTCATTTGATCAGTAAACGATTGAAGAGAGATCTTAGGCTGCTCTGAATTTTCAGGTGTAAATATCCTGGCCATATCTGCGGGACCCGTTCTGTTCGGTTGCAATCTCGCCATTTGAGCTGGTCCTGTCATATTTGGTTGTAACACTTCGTCTTGCAGATACTGGGGTTCGGGTGAAGGACTAAATAGTTGTGACATCTGTGCGGGGCCAGTCATGTTTGGTCTGAGCAATTGATAATTATCATTGTGGCTATTTTCCTCATATGCTGATGTTGGTTTATCGACAGTATTCAAATTTTGGAAATGGTTTATTTGAGATTCCATATCTTTAAGAATTTCTCTCTCCTCTACAGATTGTGCTTGCTTTATTTTCCCTAAAAGCTGGTCCATGGGCAAAGAATAGTCAATATCTTGGTTTGGTTGTGGCGATGGTGATGCAAAATTGTTGTTATTCATATCAAAATCATGTACATCTGTTACCACTTGATCTGAAAATTTAACTGACTTGGCCTTTTTCGTTCTCTTCTTTGTGCGTTTTTCACCTGGTCTTTCACCAGTCAACATAAATTGGGTGAATGAATCAAGATCAAGCGGCTTGGATGGTTGGCTGGAGCCATCTGAGGTTCCCAGAGAGGATACAATCTCTGCGGCATTCGACTCTTCGTTATTCTCATGGTCATCTTCATCTTCAGTGTGGCGCTTCTTGGATAAGATCGAAGGAGGAATGGGCGTTGGTGCTTGCATCTTGATCAATTTTCTCGAAATATCTTGTCCATTCAATGCGTGGGAGATTAACCTTAACAATGCAAAAAATTCTCCAATATTGATAGAGTTTAGTATCTTAAAGAAAATTCTATTGATTTTCTCTTTGCAAATTTCGGGAATCTTGAAATTACTTAAGAATGAATACACATCATTCATTGAAATGGTCCGTGAGTTGTTAGTACGTGCGAGTATATCACTGTACCAACGCATATATGTCTTTGATTCTTGAAAGGTAAGTTCATGCGTTTGAAGTGATAGGGGTATACTGTCACCATTTTGGCCCGAAATACTATCGTCATCATAATTTTTATTGTTGGTCATACCACCAATGTTGCTGTTGTTACCACTGTGATTTTGGTTGTGGTTTCCGTGAAGGCTCCCGGTGCTTAGATCGTCGTCCGACTGATACGTTGCAGAAGATGAAAAGTAATTTTGTGTCCTCTGGGGCAATACAGAAAATGATGCAGCGTGTGTTCTATTAGCAGGGTTGCTGACATCAAGGTTTGAGATTGAATTCAAAGGCGAGTTGTTTGTGGTTGTCGCTTGTATCGGGATATTCACCATTGACCTAGCGTTATAAAGGCGGCCCGTCTCTTGCCCATTGACACTTGTATTGGGAGACATATCCTTCTGGAAACTGGGTGACAAACTCCCATTCAATGGTGACAGCGACCGCTCCTCTCCACCTCCAAAGGATACTAGTGGAGCCGGCAGAACTTTCCCGCTATTATTGCCAGACGTTACCTGTAACCAATCAAATCCAGATCCATTCATGTTAGGCTCAATTTGTGTTTGCTTTCCTTCCTTTCGTTGCTTGTCTTGTCTCTTGTTACCTGTACTTGACTACTACCTCCTGAGCTTCGTAAATGCAATCGATCTATCTGTGGTACCTCTCGATCAGAAGCAGATTCTAAGCCAAAATCACCTAGAAAATCAAAAATATCCAAGCACGTAAACGAGATTATGTATGCTATTTATTATGCAGGGAAAGGAGTGAATGGTGAATGCAGAGGACTAAGGCAGTTCAGATTATTATTTTATTTTTTTCTCGGGGTTCGCATGTATGGGCCACTACGAAAAGAAAAGCAAAGGTAGAAGAGAAACTAAGCTAGAGTAGTTAGCGAGTTAGACAATTGTTGAGGTTTGGAGTCAAATCGCATCCACTTTGCAATTGATTTCATTTACCTTTCAACCACGCTGCTGACGGTATTTTTTTTTTGGCCCTTTGCCCTTTCGCCTATTTCCGTTCCCTTGGGCATACTGACAAATTATTGCGGCGTAGACGGTAACGCTCTTGTGTGTGGGTGTGTGGGTGTTTGGGTATCATAGTAGATTCGCTTGAGTACTGGTGTGGAAAAAAAAAATGTATAGTATAGGGCCCTACTGCTGAAGGCTTTTTTCACGTATGTTCACATGAATTTCAAATTAAAGAGGAAAAATGTTGGTACGGTTGGCAAGAAACCCGAGAAGAAGCTAAAGGCATCCGCTTTTGGGCGAAATAACGAGTCTGGCTCTGGATCTGACTCGGATTCTTCTGGTAGTGAATCGAATTTTAAGTTGGCTATGGCTGAGAAATCTAAAAAGGTTGCGAAACAGGTACAAGAGAAGGACCTCGAACTGGAGTCACAACAGTATGATTCCAGTTCAGACTCTAAGTCATCTTCCCAGGCGAAACCTAAACCTAATTCCATAGTTAACAATATTCTCACGGCGAAAAGGCTCAGAGATCATGAACATCTAGCTGCTCAGCTGAAGCAGAAGGAATTGGACTTGAAGATGTACCTTGAGAAAAACAAAGATGCAGTTGTATTCTCGAGCGAGGCGTATCAACAGCACCAGACACAATTAAAGCTAGTGGAGAAGCAAGTGGAGGAAAGGGAGGAACAAGAAGATCTAATTAATAGGAGCCTCTCGCCTTCAAAGTCTTTCTACTCCAAGATGATCCAATCCAGAGTTGGAACCGCAGAGCTTGAAGATGAGCATGATGCGGAAAAGCTCAATTTTCCTCAATTGGAAACCATCAAACCTGTACCAATAATACATAAGAGAGGTAAAACAGGGATAGGCAAAGAGAAATTGGAAATAAACTATGCTCCTTCTCCTGGAACTGCAAATTCTACAAGTAGTGTACTTCTTTCAAGTGTAATGACTTTTATTAAATCGAAACTCACAGATGATGATATTAATGAGGAAAAGAGAAAGTATTGGGATCGTACAAGGTCGTTAGCACATTTGACAGACATTAGAAATAAATAGTCATATACGGATATGGTTTTTGCATTTTGGAACTCTGGCATATTCCTTTCCGTTCATTTTTTTCAAGTTTTTCGTTTTCTTTTTGATATTATAGCCTGAATTGATCAATCACTTTCGCTTGTAATAGATTACTTGAGTGCTTCCTGCAAAGCAACTGTATCTGCCATTTGTCTATTCCTATTGGCTGATCCAGTGTTAACGGGAGAGAGCTCAGTATGACCGGCCCAATCTGAGTCCTCTTCTAAAATGCTACCGCCAACATTCGAAGTCTGAGCAGGAGCAGAAACATTACCGCCAACATTAGAACCCGCCATCTTTTCAATCTCTTGGGCAGATGGCATAAAGATAACTCTGGTACCTGGACTCTTAGCCATGTTTTGCATAGCATCCAAGTATCTAATTTGCATGGCAGGCTTTGAGGCCAAGATATCGGCAGCCTTTCTCATCAATTTGGCACTTTCAACTTCAGCCTTGGCATTAATAATCTTGCCTTCACCAATTCTCTTGGCTTCTGTAGCCATAGATAAGGAGGATTGAACCTTTTCAGGTAATTGCAAGTCCTTAATCAAAATTGACTCGACATTAACACCCCAATCAAAGGCAGTCTTGGCAATGATGGACTCAATGGCTTCAGCAATTGCTTCTCTTCTTTCAACAACTTCTTGTAATGTTCTACCACCAATGACGTCTCTCAAGGTAGTTTGGGTTCTTTCAATAATAGCTTCATCAATGTTAGAAATACTATAAATAGCCTTTTGAGGATCGATAATATTGTAGTAAACGACCGAGGTGATAATTACACTAACGTTATCTCTGGTGAAACAACGTTGAGCAGGAATCTCTCTAATGTTGATCTTGATGTTGACTTTGTAAAGCTTTTCAGACCAAGTGTTAACATAACATAACCCAGGTTCCACGGTTCTAGATAAAGCACCAAATGTTTGGATAAGTCCAACTTCACCTTGCTTGACTTCCTTATAAGGATTGTCGCAACAGAAACAACAGACACCACAAGTACCAAACATTTTACCTAAGTTTTCAATAAAACTCTGGTAAGTACCACCCTTCGGAGTTTCATAAGACCTTGCAAAATTCTTAAGTACCATTTCTGGTTTATTTTGAGGTTGCTTGGTTACTGGGGTAGTATCTTTGTACTGATCATCTTGATCACCTGAAGAATGAATTTCTAATGTCATTGTATTTTAATTAGTATAGAAGAAATTGGAGTTTTTTATTTCTTTGGTATGGGGTTGAAAGAAAATAAATATGGTTGACGAGCGAAAGTCTCTTTTCTCAATTTGTTATTATGGGCGAATATGTTTGATTTAAATACAAATGTGTATTTTATTTTTCTGTCGCTTCAATCGCCCAATTATTGTAAAGTCTATCCTGTTTCCATTTTGAGTATCAGTAATGACCTAGGAATGGCTATAACCGAAGCCGGCCTGACATGATTAACGTCGTGAGGCTTAGATGATTATGCATTTTTGAGAATACGAGAATTTTTAATATTTTTTACGTCATTTTTGAGCCATTCGGCGCACAATGGTCTACTGGTACACAGCGCATTTCATCAGATCAGTAACTGAAAGGGAAGAAGATCGTTGAGACGATATTAGAGAGATGGGACCATCACAGTCATTGAAGCGATTGAATTTCCACGTTCATTCAAGTTCACAGATGATCAGCTGAGCACAGAAATGAACGCACCAGTCAATACCCTAAGATGTAATGTTGCTGTTTAACGCACAAACCTTTTCAAGGAGGGGATATTTGAACCGTTATCTAAATAGCCGCATGTAATAACTATATCTTTTCTTAAGTCTATAGCTGAAAGACAGTAATTAAAACAAGAAAAAAATGACCTTGTTCATAGACATAGCTCTGGGGTAATTGTAAACGTGCAGCTTTCGGGGATAATTACTCTGTCTCCTCCAATCATATTCGGAGCATGTTTTGTATTTGCCAAGATGTTAATTTACAGAATTGGTAACTGGTACATGGTTCATATCACGAGTTTGGGTTTTTTTTTTTTTTTTTTTTTCGCTCGCTTTTTCTCCACCATAGATATTATGCACGAGCATTTTAAGCCCATACACCAGAACTGTACTATATCTAAGGTACCAATGCAAGAGATAAGAAGGGAGAGATTGACAAGAAGCGACATGTGTTGGAATTAAAATACCTCAATTTAGGTTTATTGACATCCCTGAAACGAACCAGCAACGAGCTAACTATGATATAATTAATGGGTGTGAGCATTCCACTCGAATTTTCATTTTAAACTTTTCAGTAATTAGATAATATCATCTACATTTTCATCAAAACTGGCTAAAAAAAAGTGACACATTTATTGCGCCTACACAGTACCCACAGAAAAGAAGGCACACTAAAACAAAAAAAGAGATTAGTAAAAGTTCGGTAATAACAACAAGGTATCAATCATATATATTTGTACAGTGTATGGTCTAAGTATGTATGTATGTATATATTTTGTTCTATCATTGCAAAAGGCGCCTAATAGTTACCTTGCGCTCTAGCCTTTTCAGTGTGGTCATCGATATCCTTTGCGTCCCATGGGTACACAATCCATTTGTCCGCAAGATTTTCTCCTACAACGTATCTACCATCTTTAAACATGTCTGCAGGCAATTCAGCCTTCTTCGGCTTTTCCTTATTGTGTAGCACAAAGATGGAAAATCTGGTCTCTTCATCTTCTCTGCCGAGTTCCTTCTGTAATTTTCTAACATCCTTTTCTAATTCCGTGTAGGCGTAATGCAAAGTTGTTCTAGTATCGTCAACTTCATCTACAATAATTACATTTTTTCCAATAAGGGCATCAATGTGCTCATTCAAATTACCAAAATCGATCCATTGAGTACGAACAACTTCCTTCCCAATGGTACTTTCTTCAGTATCATCAGAAAGCTGTTCATACAAAGATAAACCGATGGCTTGAATGGGAATATTTTTCTTACCTTCTTCCTTTATAAAAGATCTTAAGATTCTCGCTGGGATGAAACCACCACCACCAATTGCGATAATTAAATCGATTGGCTTACCGCCTTTTTTCAATTCTTCTGCTGCCCTCTGACAAAGCTTATGAACATTGTTGTAAGAGATGTATAATTTTTCTACAGCCATGCTAGATATTTCAGGTTTACAGAGTGGAACTGAAGAATGGAATAGGGCGTTGAACAGTGGGCAAATAAATGAGGAGGAGGGAATGATCTGAAATAAAAAGTTACATGCAGGAGTCGCTTCATGTCGAAATAGGCATAGTCGAACTAGGCGTAGATGAACTAGGCATAGTCGAATTAGGCATAGTATGTAGTGGCTTGAAGAAAAGTCTGCTTACATGAGGGGAATACTTTAACATCAGGGCCCCAGAGTAGAAGAGATGTGAAGAGAAAACGTGATGGACAGTACCAAGCCCTGTTTGCTACTATGTATGTTCTTGATTTGATTGCTAATAAAAAAAAAAAAAATTTTGATTCACTAAAAAAAAAACCATACAAGTGCAACAGTTCCTTTCTACCGCACATTCTCCCTTCTCCATTCTCCATGGCGAATTTCTATCTTACATTCACTTCCGCTGTAGCTATGTCTCAAACCACTCTTAAGCTTAAAGCCTAAATAATCTATAGGACAAAAAATAATTCGTACTCTTTACCCTTTATACTCTGTATTTACTCCAACTTTACTCCATTACCTCCATTATACTCGTTTCTTGCTGTTCCTATACGCCCATGTTGCGCTCCCCCTCTTTCAGCCTCGCGTGTCTGATGATTGCAACCATATGAAGGAATTTCTAGGCCCATATGATTCGAAAACGTAGAGAAAATCATTGAAAAATTACACAAAGCAATTTAAGCCGACCATGTGCGCACTACTTTTCATGATTTCGTGAATCCAATGAGATGTGGAACAAGCAACGTAAGTTGATACCGATGGATATATAAAGTGGGTATAATATTCGCATTAAAGAGAGGAATAGTACAAGTTTGCCGAAAAATAAAGATTTGCATTTTCTCAGAATTATTTATTCATCTATCTATTATTTATTTATTTTTGGATTTATTCATTGCCATACCTACAGGCAACAAAAGAAAAACACAGCAAACACTAAACTATGGGTGTCTTCATTCCTGCAAATAAGTTGGCAAACTTAAAACTTTACAAGTACCAATCGGAAGATCATTCGGTGGTCTCCAAACTTATATTGAAGTCATGGTGGAACAACTTCGTTAAAATTTTCCCCTTGTGGATGGCTCCCAACGTCATCACATTGACTGGGTTATTTTTCATTTTCGCTAATTTGGCCGTGGTATTCTACTATGACCCTACTTTGGAACATACCACTCCAAGATGGACGTACTTTTTCTATGCCTTTGGGTTGTTCATGTATCAGACATTCGATGGGTGCGACGGGGCTCACGCTAGAAGAACTGGCCAAAGTGGACCATTGGGTGAATTGTTTGACCATTCAATTGATGCCGTCAATACTACCTTGGGTGTCATGGTGTTCGCATCAGTATTCCAGATGGGACACGGAATTATGTTGCTTATTGCCCAATTTGCAACTGTCTGCAACTTCTATACCTCAACATGGGAAGAATACCACACTCACACATTGTTTTTGTCGCATTTCAGTGGTCCAGTTGAAGGTATCTTGATCGTTATAGCATTGTATTTAATCACTGGTATCTTTGGACCAGGAATTTGGACTTACAACTTACTCAATTTGGACTTATCCTCCTTGGGATTATCTCTGAGTTTCAAGATAGACGCCTCAATTGTCTATGTGATGATCGGTGTCCCATCATTGTACTTCAATATCGCAACTGCTGTGGAAAACGTTAAAAAGTACTACAGAAACCCATCTAGAAGTAAGCTCTCTACCGTGGCAGAGCAAGAAGCAGCAATCCAAGAGTCATATAAGGGATTGTTACCATTTGCTTTCTACTATGCTTCAGTGGTTCTCTACCTCAACTTGTACCCTGGTGTTCTCCCAACGTACGGATTCCCCTTGTTAATTTCCATTGGATTAACTGTGGCATTTTCTGTTGGCAGAATGATCTTAGCCCACTTGACCTTACAAGACTTCCCATACATTCAGGCACCAATGTTTTTACCAGTGTCCCAAATCTCAATCTGCTGGTTATTGACCAACGTCTATGGGTTTGACTATGATATCGTCTTGGGAGCTGTGAACTGGATAGGGCTTGGTTTGACCTTGGGTATTCACGCCATGTTTGTTACAGAAATGATCTACGAGATCACAACTTACTTAGATATTTATACGTTATCCATTAAGCATAAGAAGCACTAGAAGAGCTGAAACCATAAATAAAAAAAGAACGAGTGAAGAGTTAAATAGATGTTTTTATAGAAAATATAAATAACCACAAGTACACACCACCAGCAACCCATAGTTCTACACAAAAGAAGAGTCGTCAACAACCAAGTTGCACGATTTTCCTTTACATTTGTCAATTAAACTTCCATTATTCATTTTTCATTTTCAAATTTCATTTCATTTTTGTTATTTCTATCTTCCTCCATATATATACAAGAAAAGTTACCATTCTCCAGTCTCTAAGCCTTTTGCTCTTCCTTTTGGAACGCATTTTCAGAACCTGGAGCCAAAACATCTTGGGCGGATTGCTGTAATTGCATTTCCTTTTCCATTTCTTGTAATTGAGTCTCAGCTAATATAGCTAAAGACAATGGGACACCTAATAACAAGGCAGATGAAGTTAAAGTCCATAATAAATTACCAGACTTATTGATTCCGGAGGTGATGAGTGCCTTGGCAGTTTCAGCAACAGAAACAATTTGAGTTCTCTGGGATGGTGGGATAATATCCTTCAATGCAACAACTCTATCAAGTAAAGTTTCATTTTCAATGTCAAATTCGTCATCGAAATCGGAATCGGATTCAGATTCAGATTCTTCGCTGTAATTTTCGGTTTTTTCTTGAGGTTGTGCGGTTTGTTCGAATGTGGTGGCAGTCTCGTCGTCAATTTGAGTTAATTTAACCATTTTTGAAGTGTTATATACTGGATAAATGAATGAATAAAGTTTGCCTTTATTAGCTTGATTGTCAATTTTTGAATTTGGACATTGAAAAAAAAAATGATGAAAAAGTGAGAGAGGAATGGTAGGGGCACGAAATTATAATTGCTGCAATATGTTAAGGTAGGGAAAGTTATGAAGAGGGTTGATTCAATGATAGAGAAGTAAAGAAGGATAAAGGAAGGTAGACAGAATGGGATTGCAGGAGCTAATAAGGTAGAAAGAGGAAAAAATGAAAAAAAAAAGTGAAGTGGGACACCTGTACTTGCTAAGAACACACAATTGGCGAATGGTATCTGGCGCATAGTACATTACAAGGAGAAGAACAACCGAGTCCCCACAGTGGAAAACAGGAGACAACAGTGATTCCCACCTGCACTCACTTTTATTTCAAAAAAGGCATGCAGTGGCGATACAGTCGCTGGAAGAGACAATATCGGGATTATCAGGATGTATACTACCACGGTACCACCCAGGATATGTAGGTAATGTACCACTTACGCTACTTATTAGTAGGGTATAAACATCTTTCACGGTGGTACGAGTTATAAAAATTCACTTTCAGAAGTTGCTTCACTAGCTCAGTCGGTAGAGCGTCAGTCTCATAGTTTCTGAAATTGTGTTATCTGAAGGTCGACAGTTCGAACCTGCCGTGGAGCATTATACGCTCTTCGCAACTTCTTTCTTTTTTTTTTTTTTGACTTCCGAGTACTTACTGATTTACATCTAGATAGCGGCACTTTTGCAATACGGAAGCTGTTAATAAACTTACTGCATCTACACTCCTTCCCAACCGACTTCACATTATCAGAACTTCATCTAGCGTTCCTTTTTTCCATCTGATTCGATCCCAACTGAAAATCAAAAGGCATCAAGCTCTAAATTCATATCCTGCATACAGACAACTGTATTTCCCTTTTTGCACCTAACCTTAAAAATTAGCCCTTTGTTTACAAAACTAACGAACGCGATACAAACAATCGTAGAGATACCCTAGTAGCTCATATTCAACAAATCTTCCCAAACCAGAGGAGCCAGACACTAGCACTACTGTTTCTTCCTCAAGATCTCCAAAATTCACCACCTCCAGGCTCGTTCACACAATCAAGTTGTTCATGGTTAGATGGCACTTCGAGATATAACACAAGTGGAAAACAATATCCCCAAGACTGGGACTTTCAAACGAAATCTACTAAACTTGCATGGCGATGACGATAATACGTTTTTACCGCCCGTATTGAGCAGCTACGCCATATCATTACTTGGCGAAGTGAATGCCAACAAGCTGCCTCAACAGCAACAGCAGCAGCAGCATCGGCAACAACATCAACTCCCCAACCAGCATGACGATTCATCAAAACCTACAACAATTACAGGAATATACGAGTTGGACTTCCCTGATAATGAACACAGAAATTCCCTCAGAAATAAACTCTCCGTTCATTTCAGTGAATCCAAAGAACAGCAGCATCAGCTCCAACAAAGAGCTCAGGACAGAACCAATAACAGCACTAATAACAATTCGAACTTTTCAGTTTATCAGGATTACGAGAACAATTTTTCAAGTCATTCTTCAATGACAACAAATAATCAAACCATTTCGGAAGTGAATGAAGAGATGAATGATTCCTTGCATAACCACCAAAGTAATAACAGCACCGGTATACATAGTAACAACAGCCCCAAAAGCTTACCTTCAGGTGGAAACGAAGTGGATACACAGAAAAGTGGGCATCTGCAAGTACATAGCATAAGAAAGTTTAGAGGATCGAAGAGGTTTGGCAAGCTATTGGGACCCCCAAAGAGAAGTAAGCCTCAAAGTATTGAGAATACCGTTGAGCCAAGTAACAGTAACAGTAATTTCTATGCGTCCAATTTAACTACCCCACCACCATCGTACAATGTTGACTTTTCTCCGAGGTTGAAAACACCGACTAATGAACACCAAATGAACAATGGAAACATTCATGAAACTCCGCCAAACTTTCCCATTCAAGAGAAGAGCGACACTGAACGTCCAAAGGTAAATTCCCCACATCCCAAGGCATCTCTTAATGATGAGCATAAACAGGACGAATTTGGTTTTATGTCTAGCCAAAAAAGTGAAGAACTTAGGGAAAGAATAGAACAACAGAAATTGTTAAACGAGTTGGAGAGACAAAGACTAAAGCAACTTGAGAGAATGAACAAATTGGATGATATTGTCATGACAGGGCAAGAGAGCAAAGATGACCAGGATGCGTTACGAAAGGAGAATATGTTTAAAGAAGTCAACGTAGAAAGAGAAAGAGAGTTGGCAAATAAACGTGTACACGAAGATATTGAGTTCAGAAAACCAAAGACTCCCCGGGTATCTCCTTCTTTGGAAAGACCAAGAGAAGTTCCAGTACCTATGGTCCAAGCACCACCTCAACCGCAGCCACGAGCAGCATCTGCATCTAGTAAAAAGAAAACTATCACCATAAATGGAGTTCAGTATGAGAAGTTAGAACTTTTAGGGAGGGGTGGTACATCAAAGGTCTACAAAGTGAAGTCCCTTTCAAGTAATAAACTTTACGCGATTAAGAAAGTAACATTTGATCAATTCGATGAAACGTGCGTTAAAGGATTTAAAGGAGAAATTGACTTATTGCTAAAATTAAAGAACTTGGAGAGAGTAGTTCAAATTGCGGATTACGCGATTGGCGAAGGCTCCATATATGTGGTTATGGAATGTGGAGATGTAGACTTGGCACATGTACTCCAAAATAAGATAAGTATGAGTCAAAAACTAGACCTTAACTTTGTCAAGTTTCATTCTATTGAGATTCTTAAGTGTGTTCTAGCTGTTCATCAGGCTGGGATAGTACATAGTGACTTGAAGCCTGCAAATTTCCTTTTTGTTAGAGGCATATTGAAAATTATTGATTTTGGAATTGCCAACGCAGTCCCAGATCATACTTCCAATATTTACAGAGAATCACAGATTGGGACTCCGAATTACATGGCTCCAGAGGCCTATATTGAAGTTAATCAATCATTCCCTGGATTACCTGATGACTCTTATATAAATAGTGGTCATGGTGGTAAAAACAGCAAGAACACCTGGAAAGTTGGAATGCCATCGGATGTCTGGTCATGTGGATGTATCATCTATCAAATGATATATGGGAAACCACCGTATGGTCATTACTCAGGAAACCAAAGAATAATGGCAATTATGAATCCTCAGGTTAGGATTCAATATGCCGCAACTGGTATTGGAGGAGTGAAAGTTCCTGTGAGTGCCATTGAATTGATGAAAAAGTGCCTCGCAAGAAACCCGAATGAAAGATTGACCATTGAGCAATGTTTGAACTCCGATTTCTTACATCCCAAAATTGTCAATGAAGGATACATCAGAGATTTGGTTCATCTGGCAGTTAATTTTGGAATTAACAATAGAGCTGGAGGAAGTGGCATTATAACCGCAGAAATTTACGATAAGTTGGTAGACGGAGTATTGAAGCAGATAGAAGAACTAAATTACGGCTGAAGAGGAGACACATATAGAAGTGGTGGTGAATAGAATAGCATTTATTGACTTTTTTAATTTGTAGAAATGTATGTAGAAGGAGAAGTATATCATATATATTATTTTTAATTTATCTTAACGAGGTCCTAACTTCTCCAATACACGAGGACCTTGTTCTTCCCATTCCTGTTTCGATATCCACATGTGGTCCTTGTCAGCCATAATGTTTGCTAAAACAGCACCACCAATGAAAACCATGTGTCTTCTTCTTGGAGGGTCTTCAATTCTAACTTTGAAGTGCTCCAATCTTGTAGCATCACCACGTAAAACTTCGGTCAACCATAACTGCTTCAATTCCTTTTCTAATCTTGAAGGTAAGCCTGGGTACATAGAAGAACCACCAGAAAGTACAATAGCTTTGTAAAGAGAAGATCTGACATCGAGATCGGCGGATTGGATTGTTTTGAAAAGCATTTCTCCTACACCTGGCTGTTCACCACCAATCAAATGCGGCTGGAAAAGACATTCTGGCGCTTCAAATCTTTCAGAACCAACCTTGATCACTCTACCATCAGGTAATTCGTACTGTTCGATCAATGTAGTCGTTTCATCAGCCAACTTCTTGTCGAATGCTAAGTCATACGAGACATAACATAACTTTTCCTTGATTTGGCGAACAGTCTCAAAATCAGCAGTTCTGTTGAAAGCATACCCACGACGAAACAATAAATCGATCAAATGTCTGGTTACATCTCTACCTGCGACGTCCAACCTTTTGGTCAAGTGGTTCAATACCACAGACTCATAAACTGGGACAATATGCGTGACACCATCACCAGAGTCAACGACGACACCGGAACTTAAACCTTGAGCGTACAACGCCAACACTGCCTGAATTGCTACATAAACACCTCCGAACTGGTACTTTTCGAACATAACATCACACATGGTCTCTCTATTCTTCAATGGATTCATTGGTGGTTCTGTCAATAACACCTTCTTACCTGTAGTGTCAATTTGCATCTTCTCGTGGAAGGCATAGTCCCATAAGTGTTCCATATCTTCCCAGTTCTTGATGATCCCATTTTCCATTGGGTATGAGATTTGTAATAACGAACGCACCTGTGAAGCTTCAGCTCCACACATTATATCCTTGATTTCCAAGCCATCTGGTACCAATCCGCTTCTTTCCTCTGAACGCAAGATAGGTCTACCAACAATGGAGGGAAATGTGTGGTCTGGGAAGTTGGTTCCTGCCCTTCCTATCTTGACAAATCCTGTACCTTGATCAAGCACTGTGAATGGTTAGTATATAAGCTAAAGGAAAGCCCAACGAACAGAGGAAGAAAACACCAGAAACTACGCATAAAAGTAGTTATACTGGTATTTGGTCATTACTGCTGTAAGTAGATGACAGAATCCCAGCCATTAAAGTTTCGAATCTCCCAGAATCTGGAATACAAATGGCCCGCTAAGCAGTCGACCAAATTCCGACTTTGGCACTGCCGGCACTCACCGACTTATCTCTTCCGTCTACTATGTTCCCCACCCGGAGGTTTATACATACCAATTGGTGTCTCACTCATCTTTTCTTATCTGCAATCTATTTAATGTTTAATGCGCCTGAATTGACCGCTTTTGTATAGCCCTATTGCCTTTCTTTCCACTCTCGATAGGGGGAGGTGGTGGTGACTTGACACTCGGTTTTTTCTGTAATATTTCGGACTATGTGCAGGACAACTTTAACAGGGCAGTAGCAGGTTAGGATGGAGTGTGGTGGAGCAAAGAGGATCAAGGTTTAGGGGCACTAGAGGCCCATAGGGCACTTTATGCAAGATTATGTTATTGGCTATTTAGTTCTATTTCGGATTAAGGAGAGAATGCCTATTATTTTTCAATTTTGTATACAAAGCTTTTCCCATTTCTAACTTCACACTTTCCATATTCCACTTCTTTCTCTTAGTGCAAGCTAGCTTGATTCATTCGTCGTGGTTTGCTTTGGGAACTCAGCGATTCTAACGTTTGGATTCATATATGCAAATGTAAGATACGAGGTATGACTCTTTATGTCAGCCTCTATCTTGGTGACGTTTGTCCATGTCCACTGGTCATCTCCTTCCTTGACTCTGAGTCCCTTTCCGAATGGATTGAAGCCCTTCCCCAAGTTCTGAAACTTCTTTGGCTCAGATCCGCTATCTTCGTCGTTGACTTCACTTATTTCCCTCTTTTCGCCGACAACCTTGGCGTGCCTTCTGTTTTCAATGCCCTGGGATTTTCTGGACTGGATGTCCTTAAGACGCTTGACCACGTCGGAGATATCCTTGACCATTTCCTTTCTGGCCTCCCATCTTTTACCTGCAACTTCCACCATTTCAATGCTGCTCCAGCCGTTTTCCTGGAGCGCCTTTACGGTCTTTTCAACTTGCTCGATACATGGGGAAAAGCAGCAGATCCCCACTCTGGACCTCTTGGCTATGACCTTTTGCAAGTGTGGGATGGCGGTCCACGGAGAAGGCAAATCCAAGAATACAACGTCTGCGTTCACGGACTTGCAGTCCGAGCTGAACCTTTCAGGAATCGACTCTATCTCAAACCCTCCATTGCAAACATCTCTGTGTGTTATCAAGGTGTTCACATCGAGCAAGCCATGCTCTTGGAACTCCTTCTTCGCTTCCAAAAACCTTGGTTCGTGGAACTCGTATGAAAACAACACCCCCTCTGATCCAACGGTTCTGGCGAACGAATGTGAAAAGGATCCAGACCCAGTACCTGCCTCTATCACTCTGGTTCCAGTGGTAACTCCTAGTCTTTGCATGATGTAAGAAGAGTCCGGCGTGTACACAATCTGAGTACGATGAGGTAAGGAAATGGTCCACAATTCTGGAGATGGGTGCAACAAGTGGATGAATCCAACTCCCCTGGCTCCACTCATCTGATCACCAAATTTCATTCCGATCATTCTCTCGTGCTCGAAGCTACCATATCTAGTGTTCAACACAGAGCCTGGAGTAACTGTTATATGCTTCAAGTTCCCTCTTCCAATGAAGGCAAGAACAAAGTCCCCTTCCTCTATGATATCCTTGTACTTGTAAAACGACATAATATCTCGATTCCACGCGATATAAGAGCACCTAAACGGATAGAACAAAGGACCCTGCCATCTTTTTGCATCTATTCGTACGAGATGAGGGTCTGCACATCTACGGGACTGCATATAGAATTTTTCAATGCACTTTTTTTTTTTTGGCACCCTTCAGTAGCTGAAGGAGAAGCTTAGACAGGGACAGATTGCAGGCTCAGAAACCAAAGTTTTTTGGCTTCAGTGGTCAATTGGTATTCAAGTCGCCTAGTTCAGCATCAAAAGCTTTAAAAAAATGCAATATTTTGCAAAACATGTCTCTTTGTCTATACCTTCATCAATCTCTTTCACACCACTGGGGTGCAACACACTTTCTTTTCACCGTGCCGTGTCCCTACCGATTGCGTCGATTCTGCCCCAGCACATTTTTTTCTTCTTGTGAAGCTACGGGAATCAACAACCATGGAGACAATAGATACCGCCTGTACGACTACTATATATTAACATATTGAGGCATTAGACCCGTTTGATACTCACGTCACTTTTTCCAATTGCAAAAAACCCGCTGAACAATCCGAAAAGCAGAGAAATCTAATCAATTTAATATAGTAGCACCATGTCAACATCTCCAATACAACCGGAACAGACAAGCATACAGCAAAAGGACCCCTTGACTCCAAATGTCGAAGATTTATATCTTGAATCTTACGCTTTCACAACTGCCGCTGCTATAGTCGGGTCTGTAGACAGAAAGATATTTGTAGTATTGAGAGATGGAAGAAATGTGTTTGGGATTTTACGAACATTCGATCAATTTGCTAACTTAGTGTTACAAGATACCATAGAGAGAATCTATTTGGAAACCGAAGAGGCCCAGGAATCTGTGCCAAAACGTTTTGCGGAAACTTATAGAGGTGTTTTCATGATCAGAGGTGAAAATGTAGTCATGATGGGAGAGTTGGATATCGATAAGGAAGACGACCATTTGCAAGAATGGCAACAGATCCCATTCCCTGAAGCTGAAAAGGAGTTGACTGCTAGCCAGGCCGCCAAGATAAAAGAACAGAAGCTCAAATCGAAGAATTTATTGACCAAGGGACTTATCAGTGATTTTGCACCCTCTGATTTGTATTGAACGGGCCTGCCTGTACCAAGCTAAAAGACATAAAAGAAAATAAACAAAACAAAACGTAACGGGACAGAATGGAAATGTAGAAGCAGTAGAAGGAGAAGTAGTAGTAGGAGAAGTAGTAGTAGGAGAAGTAGGAGAAGTAGGAGAAGTAGGAGAAGCAGTAACAGGAGAAGCAGTAGTAGGAGAAGTAGGAGAAGCAGTAGCAGGAGAAGCAGCAGTAGTAGTAGTAGTAGTAGTAGTAGTAGTAGTAGCAGTAGTAGCTACGGAGAGGAATTCTCAAGTCATTGCCATAATATTAACTAATATATACCTATGGATCACAATTTTGATAACTTTTCGAAGTTAGCCTTCTTGTCTGCGAAGTACTTGTCCATAGCAGGGAATCCTTTCAAGTAACTCCTACCCAATTGAGCAAGATGTGCTTCATCTGGACCGTCAGCTATTCTTAAAGTTCTGTTCAATGCATACATTCTTGCAATCTCGCAATCCTGTGACACACCTTCAGCTCCATACATCTGAATACACCAGTCCATAACGTCCAATGCGGTTCTTGGAGCTTCAATTTTAGCAATTGAAATTTCCTTTAAAGCTCCCTTGGCATTGGAGATGTCAATCTTGTGAGCAGCATTCAAAACCAACAATCTACACCTTTGAATATTTATTTTATGTTGAGCGAATGCATAGATAAACAGTTCCCTGTCCTTCATCGGTTTTCCAAATATCAATCTGTGGCTGGCTCTATGTGCTACTTGTAATAAAGCATATTCAGCAGCTCCGATAGTTCTCATACAATGGTGGATTCTACCAGGACCCAATCTGGCCTGAATCAACTCGAAACCTCTTCCTTCGCCTGCAAGCATAACATTGGGCATTTCTTCAGCGGAGATTTCATAGTCATTGAATTCAACTTCACAGTGACCATGTGGAGCATCGTCATAGCCAAAAACAAACAATGGACGAACAACCTTCGCCTTACCTGATGCTATAGCCTTCTTGGCATCCAAAACTAAAACAGAGTGATTTCTGTATGGATTAGACTCATCGTTACTGGTTTTGACCATCACCAACCAGACGCTGGTTCTTGGGTCTCCGGCACCTGAAGCGAACCACTTCACACCGTTCAAGACATAATTTCCCTTGGGATTTTTGACAGCAGAAGCGGAAATGTTCAAGGCATTAGACGATGAAACACCTTTCTCAGTCATCAAGAATGCCGATCTGATCTCACCATTCAACAATGGCTTCAAATACGTCTTCTTATGGAATGGTGTACCGTATTTAGCAAGCAACTCCATATTACCTGTATCTGGAGCGCTTGTATTGGTAGCTTCCGGAGCAACAAAGGATCTACCGAGATATCCCGCCATCAACCCGTATTCCAAGTTGGTGTAACCAGGCCCTTCTGGGTAATGCTTTGATAAAAACATATTCCACAAGCCGAGCTCTTGAGCCTTTTTCTTAAGGTGTTCTGTAATTTCAGGGTTGGATTTCCATCTCTTTTCAGGATCCTGAGATACTTGGCTAAAGAATATCTCGTCTGCTGGATTACAATACTCTTCTACAAATTTCTTTGTCTTCTTAATGGCTTCGAGCCCACGAGGAGAGATCTTATCCAAGAAGATCGCAGGAATTTCTTCTTCTAACGACATGATGTAGCAATTGGTCACAGACGGTGTAAATAAGCAGAATGTAGAAAGTTACACGCTAGGTATAGATGTATACTTATTCTAATTCAAAAAAAAAAAAAAGTCTGCTTTCAACTCAGCTTTATATTCCATGGAACTCGGTCTCCCCGCAAAATGGATACAGCAGAAGCTGGGGAAATAGAATGAACCGATGATAGACTGAAAAATCTCCGACAGGCCTGCATGAAGAAATGAAGACAAGAGAGGCCATATCCGAGCCCTATCCATGAACAACAAGGAACAACTAGCGGGAATGAAGGAGGACGGACGAGAAGGTTGAAAAGAGACAACAGGGAGGTGGAAAGGGAGAAGTCCATTAAGCACTATCCAGAGTAGAAGACAGTTGAAAGTTAGTTGAGCAGCGTTTGATGTCTTACTCTTGCCATCTCCTAAGATCGTCCTACCTAGCGCACTCTGGGGGCCGGAACCTACACCTGCCGCTGCGCGCGCTTAATTATTTAGCCATTGTAAATGGGACCATTCCTAGGGTGAGCCACTAGCATACATCGGAGGACCGAAAGAAACATGCTGTTGGGGTGCTGTGTTGGGCAGATATCATGGTGATAGTTTCCGGATAAGTAATCAAAAAGAAAACCGCTAAGAGACGCTTTTACCGAACACTTGGTGTGGACTTTCCACCCATACTTCTCGAGACTCATACCGAGAGCCTTACCACAACTGAATTACTGCATATAAACCGATTGATCTTGGATATTCGATGTTCTTTCACCTTCACTCCTAACATTACACAAAAGCGCCTCCTTCTTTGCGCAGTTCGCCCTCAGAAACTCACCATCAAAATGTCAAGCTTACGGATACCTCAAGTGTCAAGCAATTAATCATTAGTTGAGTCATTATAGCTAAATCTAGAATTTGTTCAACAGCTTCACTTCAAAATGGAATATTTCGACTCGGATGTGCCTAACATTCCAGACTACAGACTCTCTGAAAAGCAGTTCTTGCTCACTACGTGTGCCACTACAACTCCAAGCACCAAAGAACAACTTGTTGGCGAAATACTCGAATCAATCAAGACCGAATCTTTAGGTTCTTACTATAAATACCTCACCACCGAATTTCCTCAGTATTTCCCACTCGATGAGGAACTTTCTTTGAAATTGAACTCCACCAATGAAGAGGAAATTGAGAAGCTCAAGGCTTCCATTAAAGAGGCTGAAGGTGACGACGAAACTGAGTTAGATGTAACCCAATGTTACATCAAATTGGCCGAATACTACACCAAGATCATTGACCGTGAAAACTCGATTGAAACTTATCAAAAGGCGTTGGAATTGCCACAGCTGACGGGATCAAAGATCGACATCTTGCTTACTTTGGCAAGATTGGAGTTCTTCTTCAACGATTACTCCAACGCCAAGGTCTACTTGGACCAGGTTAAAATCTTGATCGAAAAGGGTGGAGACTGGGAACGTAGAAACAGATTCAAGATGTACTCGGGTATATTTTTGATGGCTACCAGAAACTTCTCAGAAGCATCGAAGCTTTTAATCGACTCCTTGGCCACTTTTACATCCACAGAAATATGTTCATACGATCAAGTCGCCCATTATGCCATTGTGTCAGGAGTGTTGACCTTGGACAGAGTAAATTTGAAGGAGAAGATCATGGATAGCCCAGAGATTTTATCAATATATTCGTCTGCTCCTCATTTGGAACCGTTGATCAACTTAACAAACTCGTTGTACACCTGCCAATATAATTATTTCTTCAAGTACTTGTTGGAATCCCATGACGAATTATTAGTCAGTAACAAATACCTTTACAACCACAGCAACTACTTTTTGAGAGAGATGAGGTGCAAGGCATACGGTCAATTGCTAGAAAGTTATAAATCGTTATCGATTAAGTCTATGGCTGAAAACTTCAGTATTCTGCCTGAATTTTTGGACAAAGATTTATGTAAGTTCATTCCAAACAAGAAGTTAAACTGTGTCATTGACAAGGTCAATGGAATAATCGAAACAAACAGACCAGATAATAAAAACAACCAATATCATTTATTGATTAAGCAAGGTGATTCATTATTGACAAAACTTCAGAAGTATGGAGCTGCTGTTAAGCTTAGTGGAGCTGAGCGTGTATAGAGTAGTAGAAAAGAAAATAAAAGAACATATCGAAGCACGATACCGAACTAGGCAATATCAACAGGAGAAGAAGACCTGATGGACCTGATGGTATTTGAATTGCTAATCTTATGGTAGAGGGTAAAAAAATAATGAAGGATGCGAGGTTCGAACTCGCGCGGACACAGTCCAGTAGATCTTAAGTCTACCGCCTTAGACCACTCGGCCAACCCTCCAATTTACAAGGTATCTTTTTCGCGCAACTCATATCAAAAAAATGAAGTGCGTCTGCCTATAATTTCACAATGTGATACTGCCAACCTATTGTTCCTACTATCATACTCTTGACGGGTATGTCTTGTTATTATTTATAGATATTAGCAGTCGAACAGGGGCCATTCATTGCAAGACTCGAGCTGAAAGAGGTGAAAAACCAGCAAACTACTTTAATGTCATCTGGGCCCTGAAGAGGCTCACAAACTATATCAATGGCTACTCGCTTTATATTTTACTGTTAATATTATAGTACATTGGGTGATGAACTCACTGTTATATCCTATCTCCCAAAGAATAGGTGGTATTCATATGAAAATGTGGACCATTTATTTTATCAAAGAAGGAATCAATAAGGGGAATATTTCACGTGTCAGTGGCAAGGTACAATGCACAGAATATACTTTAATCCAGTTTGTTCGAGAAGGAAGCTAAAGTTGGAGCTTGCAGGCCAAAGTTAACCCAGTTTGTCGTATCACATATACACCGACAATTACTTAGTACCGAGAGAGTTCCATTCACCATGCCATGAGATACAATTATCCCAAAAGCTAAATTACAACAGGAAGAACAAACTGTTCCCCATCTCACCCCCACCTTTTCGATATAGGGTCTTGCTGGGGCGCGACATTACTGGTACGTATTTCACATGCTATCTTAGAACCACGGATAAAGCTGATTTCAGAAATATGGAACACCTTAATAGGATATATCATGAAATTGACAGCGAGATGCTGCAGAATCAAATTAATATAAAGGTAGAGCAATATATTCACGTATCTGATGAAAGAGAATATTTTCGATACCACTTAAAAAAAAGATTATAGACTACACAATGGGAAAAACTAAGGAAGAGATTTTAAAGGAATACGAAAGTGAATTCCTTGATGTAGTAAGAATGGAACTAGAAGTTGATGGTTTTGATGAGAAAGTTGTGTACTCTACTGACATGGAGGTGGTTCCTGAAAAGATGCACATGATTCTACCAGAGTATTCTACCTACCATTTGACTATCTATTACAGAGTAAAGAAGAGAAGCATCAAAAAGCTTCATTATTACCATGGTATTAAAAAGGCAGGAATTGCAATCAAGACAAGAAACTTAGATATTGGTGACGTTGAACCAAATGAAGGGGAAGCTTTACACAAAGCGGTCTTTGAGCCAGACACTTTACCAGGCGGTTATTTTATTAGAGGAACTTATCCTGCAAACACCATATTTCTGGAAGACGGAAAGGCCATTTTTAATTTCGACTGGAACATTGAAATTGCAAAGAAAGATGTAAAGCCCAGTATAAAAATTTGAGTATATGGCATTAATCCGGATACAAGTAGCCGAATTTCTATTCAGAGCTTAGTAGGGCCAGAATATGTAAAACAAATATGAAACGGTCAATTTATTTATAGCTGTCTTTGTTAAGATTCCTTCACCTGTATATGAAAATAGCAAACTAATAAAACGTCATTCTTGAATAATACAAAATAGGTACAGTCCATAAATGGTAGCTCTTCCTGCAAGGGTAGTGGATGTTATGCACGGTAAGACACAGTGCGCATATAATGCGAGCTTTTGGTTGCGAATCCGAAATACGCTAAACGCAGATCGGGATTGAGAGGGGGTGGGGCGTGCAGATTGGCCAGGCCAACGCTAAGCAATGGTCAGGAGATCACTATACAAGACAAGCTGTTAGTAAGAGTTGCCGCTGGCCATCAAATTGCTTAATCTTCACACATTTTATCCCTATTTACACCTACCTGACACCAAGGTTCAAATAGAATAAAGTAAAATAAACTTGTTGATTACTGGAGATAATTGACGAACATCTCATACATTCACCTCAGTCATATTTAGATCTAGAGACTAGGAGTCACTCTAAGACATAATAAGTTTATTCAAGAATTAGAGATTAATTTTAAAGAAGATCAACAAAAGTGAGGAAAATATTTGCCCAAACCACAAAGTAGCACCAGGAAACACAATATACCCTTCTAGTTCGACTATATTTAGCTGGAACTTCCCTATAAAAAGAACCACATTTTATTTTATTTTTATTTTATTTTTTTACTTTTCTACGTATAGGCCCCAGGTTCGCATTAGATAAAGAGAATTGTCTGACCCTTTTTTTTCCCTTCCACAATTGCCTTCTTCTTAAAACACCTAGTTACATTGTAATATTTAAGTATGAGTTCGCCTAAAAGAAGAATAGAAAAGGATGTTATGGATCTCATGATGAGTGACCACGATGTTACACTCATCAACGACTCAATCCAGGAGTTTTACGTTATATTTCATGGCCCTACCGATACCCCTTACATCGGAGGAACCTGGAAGATAAGGGTTGAATTACCGGACCAGTACCCGATTAAATCACCATCCATTGGATTTTTGAACAAAATATACCACCCTAATATTGATGAGAGCTCTGGCTCTGTCTGTTTGGACGTTATAAACCAAACTTGGTCTCCTATGTTTGGATTATTAAACATTTTTGAGAATTTCTTACCCCACTTATTGAGGTACGCTAATCCAAGTGATCCATTAAACACCGATGCATCTAACTTGATGAACAAAGATGTTAACAAGTACACTGAAACTGTTAAGCTATATGTACAGAGATATGCTAAAGATAAGAGTATTAGCGAGAAGCCGGCCGAAGACGATGAAGACGAAGACGAAGATGAATTGAGTGATGTAGGCAGTTTATCTAGTGACGATGACATGGACGTCCATGGAGAATTTGAAATATAATTGTAATGTTGCATTAGTTGAGGGTATATTTTTTTTGGTATTGCATATATTTAGATGGGTAACACATCACACATATCTATTATATGTATGGTTGTAGGTATTTATCTACTTCTTTAGGACTGGTCATATATATATATATATATATATAAATTTTAGATAGGTAATTTTGAATTGAAACATAAATTTAAAAATCGAAAATTGAATCAATATGAAAAAAAAAAAAATGGTTTGGATGAAGGCGTAGACCCTTCTTAGATATCTTGAACCTCTCTCATAACGTTTAATTCAACACATTCATAAAGGGCATTTTCGGCATTCATTGGTTGGGTTTCACCTTGTGGTAATCTTCTAAGCTTTCCTAATTCATTTCTTATCTTCTTCTCATCTCTCTTTTGACGTCTTCTTCTAATGATTTCTAATCTATTAAGCTCGTCTCTCTTTGGAATTCTAATCTTTAGCAAGTTAACATTATCGGCTTTCTCTGTAATCCAATGGATCTTTTCAGGGTTTACTTCGCTTAAATTGTAAATAAATTCCTTTTGATAGTTTAGCTTATTCGATTTGAGTAAGAGCTTACAGGTACCTGTACCTGTAAGATAGAGTTCGAACGATTGAAAGGGTTCATTGTCATGGGTGATTCTCTTAACACAAATCTCAAAGTTAGAGCCTACTCTATAAGTTGAAGTGATTGGAGCATTATTTGGTAAATCAAATGAATCGGTTTCAATTGAAACCGAAAGAGATGGAGTGTCAGTTTCTTGCCTGTGTTGATTAGTTTGAATGGTAATAGAAGACATTGTGAAAAAAAAATAGTAAATATATAAATATAAGTAAAGTAGAAAGAGAGAAAAGGAAAAGAAAAGAAAAAGAAGACACTTATTCAACCCCTTAGCAAACTGCTCGTTATATATATTGTTCTAAACTCATTTGATACGTGTTTAGTTGTATCCTATTCCTAGTAGTAGCTAAGTTGGGTGCAAATATTACTGGAAGGTTCCACGAAAAAAGTTAGTACGCTTTGGGACATCAAGCGAATTGCATTTCTTTTTACATGGCTACAGTCAATAGATAAAGAGAATTCTCCGCACTTTGTGCGATGGAAGCCAAGAGAAGGAAGCCATCACACAGAAAGCACAAGGTAGGAGCATTGGTACGGCCCAGCTGTGTACGTATACTATTATGGCCCGTCACTGTGGAACAATAAGTGCTGCAATAGGAAAATCGATGCGGCAGACATTGAAAGAGTGTAACCCACACCATGAGTCACATATTCATTGATCCAGCCTGAAATCCTGTTTCATTAGACATTATTCCAATGCTAGAGATCAGCTCAAAATTACTAAAAAGGAAGATACACTTCTATTTCCCCCTCGTGTCTTCAATTTCCTTCGTCTCTTCACTTAATCTTCCTTTCTTCAATTTCTTTTAGGCTTTTAATTTTCTGATGCTCTTCCCACAGCATTTACTAGTCTGGGGTAAGCGCTAAGATAGAGAATGGAACTCTTAGCGCAATATGCACACTATAAATATAGCAAGTTTCCATATCCCCATATTTTGGACCGGAATAGCATTTGAACTCCGAGTATTGTATTGTGTTGACCTGGTATTGTATTCTGCTGGCTCAAGATGTTAAGAACTATCACTCTCAAAAGACTGTTCGTGCGGTCGTACTCAATCGAACCTTCGTCTAAGGTAATTTCATCTTTGAAAAATCCAGATCTCTTCAAGACTAAAGGCTATGTAAATGGTGCATGGATCTCCGGATCGAGCCAATTCGAAGTCAATAACCCAGCGTTGTACAACAGCGAAGGAGGCAAGATTGCAGAAGTAGATTCCTTTGATGTAGAGCATTATGAGACCGCCGTAAATGCTGCTAGTGATGCTTTTAAATCGTTCAAGTCAACTACTGGTAGATACAGATCAGAGATCTTGCTCAACTTGTACAGATTGATGTTAGAAAATAAAGAAGACTTGGCCAAATTAATTGTATTGGAAAACGGTAAGCCTTATAATGATGCCTTGGGAGAAGTTACATACGCTGCTAGCTTCTTCCAATGGTTCTCGGAGGAGGCTCCAAGAGTTCCAAGCGATATCATCCAATCGCTGAACCAAGGAAACAGAATTTTATCAATTAGACAGCCAATCGGTGTGTGTGGGATCTTAACGCCATGGAATTTCCCAGCTGCAATGATCACTAGAAAGTTAGGTGCTGCTGTCTCTGTAGGCTGTACCACTGTCATTAAGCCAGCTTCCGAGACTCCCTTGAGTGCTTTGGCGTTGGCACACTTGTCCGAATTGGCTGGGTTCCCTAAGGGTGTAGTCAATGTTTTACCTTCTCATAATTCAAGCATTATTGGGAAGTTTATGTGTGAGCATCCTAAGATTAAGAAGATATCCTTCACTGGGTCAACTAATGTAGGAAAGATCTTGATGACACAATCTTCTTCTACGTTGAAGAAACTTTCAATGGAATTGGGTGGTAACGCTCCATTTATAGTGTTTGACGATGCGGATGTAGATAAGGCAGTTGATGGTGCCATTACCTCGAAATTCCGTAGCAGTGGACAAACTTGTGTGTGTGCCAATAGAATATTCGTCCATGAACTGATCTACGATGAATTCCAAGCAAAGTTTGTTGCTAAATTGGCATCAACAGTTAAGATTGGATACGGTTTAACTGAGGGAATCACTCATGGACCAGTGATCCACTCCAAATCCATGCAAAAGGTCAGACAACACATTGAAGATGCCACTTCGAAGGGTGCTAAAATATTATTTGGTGGGTCTAAACTTCCAGACATCGGGGAAAATTTCCATGAATTGACCGTCTTGGGAGATGTGACCACTGATATGCTCATTTCAAAGGAAGAAACATTTGGACCTGTTGCTCCATTGATTAAGTTCAGCTCAGATGAAGAAGTTTTACAAATGGCAAACGATACAGACGTAGGATTGGCAGGTTACTTCTATTCTTCCAACGTTGCAAGGATATTTAGAGTCGCTGAAGAATTGGAAGTTGGTATGATGGGTGTGAATACTGGAGCAATATCCGAAGCTGCACTTCCGTTCGGTGGAGTCAAGGAATCTGGATTTGGTAGAGAAGGTTCCAAGTATGGTGTGGAAGACTACACAGTAATAAAAGGTATTGTAATGAATGTTCAATAGACAAAAACGAAAAAAAAAATATCAGCTGAATAAGTTATATTATATATATTTAAATGAGAGTTCTAGCTATAATATAATACTATGATACAAAACTACCCTCGTTCAAGGGAACGCATTAAAGGGTGGGGGAACCTCCACGTTAGTAGGTACATAAGGTTCTGAGGCAGGATTACCAGGAAGAAGTGATTCGAAAGTCGAAGTTGGAGTTTCCAGTTCAGCTTCCAATGGATTTGGTGTAGAGATAGTGTCAGATACTACTGGGGTTGAGATTGGAGCCTGTTCCAAAGAGTTTTCCGCGTGCATTTCTGCATTTTCCTTTGCAATTGGGATATCCTCGTCTTTCTTCTTGTCTACATGTACGTTGAACTTTATTCCTTCAATCTTGTTGTAAGGTAAGCCATTTGAAACACTTAATACGGTTTCAGGATGAGTCTTGGAATAATCTTCAAATAATTTATTTTTGAATGTTTCGAATTTTTCGATACTTTCCAATGAACTGTCCAAATCTTTGGACAAGGTTTCAGGACTGGCTCCCGTCGTCACTTGGCCGCCATTCTTAGTTGCCTTGAGCGCATTTACTTCCAGTTGCAATTGTGCTAGGCGGGACTTGAGGTCAAGATCCTTATCAATTATTCTCGTTGGTTCCTCAGCGGTGTTGAAAAGGATACTATGCAACCAAGTCATTTCTTCCACTAACTGCGCGCATGCTACAGATTTAAGAGTTAGCGACACTAATCCATTTTCTTTTGTGATCCCATTCACGATGGACGATGGGAAATTTATGAGAAGTTCCTGCGGAACGTCATATGCAGTTGGAGGTATGGGCTGAATAAAGCTCTGGTTAGTGAGTTTCTGTCTCTTTGGCATGTCGATGTGGTTTAAAGCAAGAGTCTTCGGAGTGACTTATTTACATTTGCTTTTTATTCAATCTTTTTTTTTCTGTTTACTCGTTTGTTCGCACTGCCAGATGTTAGCGTTCTACATGCAGGAATGAGAACTGTCTAACGTCTTGACTTTTTCAGGGAAGGGCCACGCCTAAGCGCACAGGTGGGGTTGAGTCACTTGAGTCACACTGAGCCAGGGCAGCACCGATGGATCGAGTTACCAAGTTTGAAAAGCTTTTAGAGTAAGGCCATTCTCAGTTCCATGATTCAATCTGATAAGTGAGACCATCATCTTTTTGCTTATACGAGGAGCGTTTGCGCCTGCTTGGCATGATATGTAGTGGCACTCGCACTCGGACTCAGTTGCGAAGCAATTGAGCCATCACAAGATCGCTTAAGGGAATGTACGCAATGATCACAGTGATTTTGGTACATTAGTGAGAAGTGGTTTCAGTTCTTTTTTACTTAGTGTCGCTGGAATTTTGCAGCCTTGGATAAGCTTATCGCAAATTACTGGATTGGGACGGAATATTGTCGCTTTCCAGATCTTCATCTAGCACGATGCTTTCCTCAGAAAAGCAGTTAGCAGATCCAGAGTGGGCCAACCATGGAACAAGCGTGCAACTATCATTGAGCTGTCGATGTGGGTCTATTCTGCAGCGAGATGGTTCTGCCAGTCCCAATTCCGTCTATATCATACAATTTTAGGCCGGACAGCAGTGAGACTACAGTGTGTTTACTCACACTCTTGATAAGGAACTGGCATTCCGCTCTTATCAGTGCGAAATACGCACCCATTGCAATTACATGAAATGGCACCAAATAAAGATAACAAGTCCATGAAATGATAGAATTATAGGCTACTTATAGGAGAGATATTTCCAATGTCTTTCCAATTTGCAACACCAATAGTATTATAAATTCAGTGAAGAAAAAAAAATAATATTATCAATCTAAAAACATACAATGACGGTTGACAAGCAAACTAACCTCATTATGAGTGGACACGTAGACAAGGGAGTCCCAACTGTCAGTTCAGGAAAGGGTGTCTATATTAAAGTCAAAGATCAAAAAACTGGTCAAGAAAAATTAATCCTCGATGGTGTGACTGGTGCTGCTGTTGGTGCTCTCGGATGGGGCGATGAGTCGGTGGTTCAGATGATAACCGATGCCGCGCGCGAAACTGTGTACACTTATCCAGCTATTATTGGAAACGACTACTCACAGCAATTGGCCGATTTCTATATTAAGAGATCACCACCAAACGCGTTCGCTGCCGCACTTTGGACCGGTTCTGGATCGGAAGCTAACGAAAATGCTATGAAGATCACCTATCAATATTTCAAGACTCAAGGTAAGACCAAGAAGACCAAATTCATTTCGAGAATGACTTCTTACCATGGATTTACCATTGGTTCCTTGTCTATCGGAAGTTCATCCAGAGCAGCTTACTTTGAAGATATCTTGTTGAAGGGCGACCAGTGCCTCAAGATGCCAGAATGTCACCCATATCGTTACAAGAAGGATGATGAAAGTTTGGAACAGTACAAGGATCGCTTGATTGACCATCTTGAACAGATGATTTTGAAGGAGGATCCAGAGACTGTTGCTTCCATTATCGTCGAGACCTTACCAGGTTCTTCATTAGGTACTTGCCCATCACCTCCAGGCTACCTTTTAGGAATTAGACAATTGTGTGACAAGTATGACATTTTGATGCACTTAGATGAAGTTATGTGTGGTACAGGACGTTGTAACGACGGTGGCTTGAACTGTTGGGAAAACTTCTTACCCTTAGACCAAGGCCCAGATATTCAGACCGTTGGAAAGACTCTTGGGTCGGGTTATGTCACCATTGCAGGTGTTTTGGTCTCACCAAAGGTCAAAGACGTATACTCTGCAACCAATACGACTATCATGGGTGGACAAACTTACCATGGCCACGGTTTTAACTGTTTGGTAGCATTGAAGATCCAAGAGAAAATCAAGGATTTGAACTTGACTGCTAACATGTTCAAGATGGGAAATTATATGGGTGAGTTACTTTCAGAAAATTTGTTGAGTGGAAAATCTAAGATCACTGGTGATGTTAGAGGTATTGGAGGGTTCTGGTCTGTCGAGATCGTCAAAGACACGGCAACCAAGGAAGTTTTCGATGTTTCGTTAGATCTTGGACACAGAATCCAAGATATTTGCTTCGCTAATGGACTCAATGTTATGGGTATGCAAGGTAGTTTCAAAGGTACTGGTGACCACTTCTTGCTTGCGCCTTCTTTCGTAGTTACAAAGGAAAATATTGAATCTATTGTCGAAATTGTCACCAAGTCTATTTTCCAACTCGAAAAAGAATTGGAGACAAAGGGACTTTTATGAATGTAATATAAATATATGCTGATTTTTAATTGCCAACGTTGTAGGGTGGTCTTCGTTTTTTTATCTTCATGTTTTTTTTTTTTTTTTGGTCTTCACATTTGCAGCAATTGACATATTGCAGCAACTTCGCATGCAGGCTCCATGCATGCCCCAGCACATGGAAATACTCTGAAACCTAGACTTCGCAGTAGTGAACAGGCTATTGCCTGGTTTCAAACTATGATTAGACTGAAACTGATGTATTCCAGCATGGAATCACGGAAGTTGTAACAAGCTTGAAATAGAAATGGAAAACAGACGTGAATGAAAAATGAGTAGAATGCAACTATTCCGAGCCAGCCAGCGGTTTCGTCTCACGATTTTTGACGAGAATCGAGAAGAAAAAAATGAAGACAAGGGCCAAGCTAAGGAGAAATAGAGTCAACCGTACCAGTGCTCCTCGTCTATTGTTCAGGATCTAAAGAAGTCCTTGAGTCCATTTGCATACGTCACCCTCAGCGTCAATTGGGTCATACTAGCTTTATTCTTGTCGAAACAAATTAAGCTTTGGGTAGGAACTGTGTAAGTGATTATTTACACCAGGAACGTCGTCTCAAGTCAATATTAACAAAACCTCTGAAGTCAAATTGTAAGCAAAGAGTTTTTAAGGAAGTCAACTGGTATCTTAGTGCGCGCGCGTCAGTAGATGATTTTTTTAGTGTTGAAAAGCCAAGTAGGACCCAGTACGTGCATAATTCTGGACCGTGTGGACCAAGCTACTTCCACTTAGACTGTATCTCTCATCTACCAGCTCTGTATTGTTCAATGGCCTCTCTCCGATGATTTTATTTTTTTATTTCAATCTACTTTAATTATTACTAATTTTGATTTGCGGCTTGTTGCCGAAACTCTGCTAGGCAAAAATTTCCCTGTTTTGGGACCATAAAATTTTTACTGAGGCAGGCCCTTACAATGCGAAGTACTTACCGACCCCCATGCACCTTACGACTGCGGCATGTAAAGAGAAACAGAAACTCACACAGTTTGTCCCCTTACATGATAATGACAGCCTAGTACAAAATATTTATTGACGATTAAGCAATGTGTTACATGGGCAACCCCTTCTTTAGACTTAGAACCCTCCTCCAGGCATGTACCCATCACCTCTCTATACAAACAAGAGCATGCTGAATGAAAAATATACACATAAGCCAGGAGTTAAACTTTGCACGCCCGCTTAAAATATCTCCACCATATTCGATTGCACTAAGAAAAAATTCAAAATCACCGCAATACCGTGGAAATGAAAAACTCATTTGTCCCAATTAGTTAATCCTGCACGCCGACCTTTTCTTACCCAGACTGTATATGGAGTACGCGTTCGTATCTGTTCATTTGTGCACTTGAGCATTTCTTTTGGAAATTTGAAGGTTTTCTGCCAGTCTTCTGAACTCAAGTAGAGCATTCTTTACCAGAACAGCGAGTACATCAAGATATTATTTTAAATTCATTGACGCTAAGATGGAAGTACCTGACTCTCAGGTTTACATTGCCACTTATCTGAGCGTAAGTATACCATGAAAAGAGGGCCGTACACGGAGGGGAGTTAGGACCGAGAATCGTTTAAGAGGGAACCGATTTTTCGGTCAACGCGTACTAGTTTAGCAGTGGTCCATCAAGATCATAGACCAACTATATTGGTATTGCCTTGCCACAAATACTAACATAATTATAGACGGATGTGTATGAGTGTACTATTAATAACACGCCAATCATGAGAAGATGTAAAGACAATTGGGTGAACGCTACACAAATCTTGAAATGTTGTAATTTTCCCAAAGCCAAGAGAACCAAGATCTTGGAGAAAGGAGTACAACAGGGTCTTCATGAAAAGATTCAAGGTGGTTACGGCAGATTCCAAGGTACATGGGTACCATTAGCTGATGCTCAAAGATTAGCAGCAAACTACGGTGTGACTCCGGCCTTGGCGCCTGTTCTTTACCTTGACTTGAATGATCCCAATTTAGTCATTCCCAAGAAGATCAAGCAAATGAATAAAGACGGTACGCCAGTGAAGAGAAAGTACGTTAAAAAGTCCAAAAAGTTGGAAGAAACGCCAACCAAGAAGCAAAAGTATGGTGACTCTGAATTGTATGGGTCAGCCTCTGAGGATTCATTCAGGGGCGGCCAGATGGCCCACCAGGGTATCTCACAGACTCTGCAACAATTGCAGTATCAAATGCAACCACAGCAAGTTCTGCAGCAGCAGCAACAACAGCAGCAAATCCGTGCACAGCAACAACTCCAACTGCATTCTCAATTACCACCCACATTCAGTCAACCAGAATTCATGGTTGGCTCAAACACCAGCATTCCAAGTTTTGGTTCAAACCAAAATTCAAACCAAACAATTCAAGATGAATTTCAAAATTATCAGATGTATCAAAGATTCCAACAGCAACAACAGCAACAACAACAGATGCCTTTGCAACCGCAACAGCAGCTTCCGCCACAGCACCATCAGCAACAACAGCTTGCACAGGAATTTTCACTGCAAATATCTCAACAGCAAATTCCACAGGCAATTCCATCTAGTCAACAAAAGTTCTTAAATTCAATGGGCAGCGCTGCGTACGGGAATTTTCCAAACTCCATTTCAAATCCGCAACATTTACAATTAATGGGCCAGTTTCAGCATAACAACACTCAAGCACTGTCGCAATCTACTAATGAAACCAATTGGTCTCAAGATGAAAACAACAAAGAATCAGATACTTCAGTCTCATCTAATGAAGATGCAGCCAATAAACGCAGAAGCGGTAGAGTACCTTTAAATGCTGCCATAGCTACAGAAGACTCTAGAATTCTCAGCACTTCTATGACTGAGAACAACCAGAGTCCTAAGTTAATTGGCATAAATGGGACAGCACATAGTGGAGGTATTGATACTGATGATGAAAATTCATATTCTGCCCAATTATTAAGATTCTTCAGTGAAGATAATGCCCCTATTCCATACTTTATTCACAACCTTCCATATGATTTTAATATCAATGAGGCTATCGATGATGAGGGCCACACGCCTCTTCATTGGTCTGCTTCAATAGGTAATTACAATATGATTCATTTATTAATTACAAAGGGAGCAAATCCATTAGTTGTGAACAACTTTGGTTTAAATCCGTTGAGTAAGTTGGTACTGTTCAATAATTGTTATGAATTGAAAAACTTCCCGAAGGTATTAGATGATTTGGAATTATGTTTAATTAATACTGATATTAACGGAAGGACCCCAATACACTACTTATGCCAATTTGCTAAAGTTAAATCTAAATATGAAAGTTTGAGATATTATTTGGATATAATACTAGGAAAGTTGAACTCTTTGTCGAACAGAGAAGCAAACAAGCAACTGACAAATTTATTGAAGAATGTTATTGATCACCAAGACGTCAATGGAGACACTTGCTTGCACTTGGCTGCAAAGTCAACATCAAATAAGGTGGTTAAATTGTTGCTCAGTTATGGAGCACGAGATGATTTAATTAACGTCAATAATGAGACTGCTAAAATGATCATTCAAAATTATAATTTATTAGGAGGAACTGAAGAAAGAAGAAAGGATATTGATAGCAACGGGGCAATCTTGGCTACACCTATGCAATCTTTTGGTGGAAAAATTGAAACACCTGATACTCAAAGAACTACAGTTCAAGATGACGAAGAAGGAATGGACGAAAGCCGTGAAGATGCCATTAAAGGAGACTTTGTTAGCAGAGAACATTTAAACCAATTGAACATAAACGAAGACAACAAAGAGAATATATTCAAGGAAGAAACATTGAAATCCATTGATGGCATAAGTACTCCAATTCAAAATGGTGGAGCAAAATTACATTCCAGTTTACAACCACAACTGCTGCAGTTGGCTGTGATTTCTGAAAAGACAACACATGAAAGCACTCCAATACGTGGACCAGATTCTAGAAGACATCCAAAGAGTTCATTCTTAACAAGTAGTTCTAATAAAGAAGAAGGAGATACTTCGATTCTCACATATGAGCCTAAGCCTCCTCAATTGGATGATGATGGTAAGCTCATTGGCCAAGAAGAAAAAGTGCAAGAGGAAGGACTTACACTGAACTCTTTAGATACCGAAGAAACCTTGTCCACTTCGTATAAATTGCCCATGAATGATTTGTCATCAATGATCCACGGTATGATAAATTCACTTTCCTCCACGTACTCGGACGAGGATAAAAACATTGACATTCAAATAAGAAGTACTAAAAGGGAGTTGAAGAATAAAAAAGAGAAACTGGAAGCTTCGATGAAAAAGATAAACAATATGCTAGTTAAGAGTGGGTTCCCCGAAGTGTCGGATTTGCAAGAAGGACAAAAGCTCGTTTTGGAAGAAATAGACAATCACTCTGACTTGTTACAAGTTAAGGAGCAGGAATTACTCAAGGTTCTTGAAAAAAATCAAGCTTTCCAATTGGCAAGCTTAGTGCAAGAAAAGGAAGGACTGATCAGTATTGATGAAGAACAACTGGAGGCACAAGACAACGATTCCGATGAAAACAATCAAAAGGTGCGAAATGAGAAGAGAGAAATGGCAATACATTTAAGCAGATTGCAATTGAAACGTACAACGTTACTTTCTGATATCACAAACAGTATTAAATACTATGGGATTGACTCTAAGATGTATAAGTACAGGAAACTTATCAGCCTTAGTTGTGGACTTAAAATGGAGGATATTGACGGACTTCTTGATGGGATCGAAGAACACCTTATGGAAAGCTCTTAAATACGGTACATACCGATAATTAACGATTAGAATTTTTATGCAACCAATTCAACAAGAGTGAAAAAAGGAAGAAAAAAATACTGTAAGCGTTATGTAAGTGTAAATGTAAACAAAAGAGAAAGACCAAGCCAGGCCTATTGAACGTATCACTGAACGTATATTGTACTACAGTTCCCTAAATCCCCAGATATGCACAAGTACCGCTCGATTACTTTAATCACTACGCGAGCCCCACTTATTCTGTTCCTTCTTTCATTTTGCCCTTTTCGACTTCCTTCTCGGAACGCGAAACAAGTTCCGATACCAAAATACTAAAACAAATGCCATGAATTGACGCACAACTACGTAGTGATTGAGCCGCAGCGAAGCGAAGATGTGCCCTGCAAGATATCAACACATCTCCACTCTGTTTCTTTTTTATAGGATCGTATTTATCTTGGATTTGCTCATTGGTTTTCTTTTCGTTTGTAGTAGTAGACCTTATTGGATAGGTTTTTCGCCCAGTAAGTTTAAACACATCAAAATGAGTCGACTAGGTATAAAACAACCTCGCAATAAAGATGTCACAGGAACAATTATTATGATGAGCGATGAAGCGGAAGCTTCCACTGTACATTCTAAGGCCACGACATCAGACAATCATTCTTTAACGCTTAAAAAATCACATACTGGGATCATTTTACACCCACAACCACAAGATAACCCGAATGATCCATTAAACTGGCCCATTTGGCAGAGAGATTTATGTTTATTCATCATTGGGTTCCAAACATTCTTGGGAGGTGGTCAGACTCCGATCTTAGCTGCGGGTCTCACGGCTTTGGGGCAAGAATTTCATAAGCCAGCTACCACCATAGCATATTTGGTGGGAGGGTTTATGCTATCATTGGGATGTGGATCTGTCGTTGCTAGCCCAACTGCCATTCTCTTCGGTAAAAGATTGGTGTACATAGCCGGGATTCTTTTGTTTCTAGTTGGAGCTATTTGGGGTGCAAATGCGAATTCATTTGGAAGTATGATGGGTGCAAGAGTCATCATGGGGTTCGGAGCATCACCCACTGAATCACTTCCAAGTGCCACCATTGCTGAAATTTATTTTGCTCATGAGAGAGCATATAGAGTAGGGATCTATACAATGTTGTTACTCGGAGGAAAGAATATAGTACCCTTACTCTCAGGTTTGGTATTCGAATACTTGAATAGACACTGGTTGTTTTGGATTTTAAGTATGTTTCTTGGATTTACTTTGGTAAGCTCCTTCTTCTTTGTTCCAGAAACGTTCTGGGACAGGTCACCAATACCGAACAAACGGTCGGTGGAAGAATCTGAAGCTGCTAGAGAAATCTTTAACAAGTCTGAACATCCCCGGAGACCAAATGAATGGGCCATGAGTAGGAACCCTACATCTAACAATGTTTTGCTACTGACTCGAACTCATGGCGATGTAGAAAGTTTGTCTTCATCCGTGAATCAAGAACCACAACATCAACAGCAAGCAACATCCGTTCCAGTTGCAATTACCGACCAAGCTCCCCTTGCAGAGGATGGAAATAACAACCTCAATAGTAATCATATTACAAAGAAGAGTTTCAAGAGCACTCTTTCTCTCTTTTCTGGTAGACATACCATTGATAGTTGGTGGATGGTTGCATTGCGCCCATTTTTCCTTTACCTATATCCTTCCGTTTTATTTGGCTCAATTATTTACTCATTCTCAGTTATTTGGCTCATTGTCATTTCTGAAACCATTGCAGATATATTTCGTGGAACCGGATACGGCTACTCTCAAGTTACTGTTGGTTTGTTCTATATATCTCCATTTGTGGGAGGTGTATGTGGATCTATGTTCACGGGTATTGCTAGTGACAGGTTAGCTAGATATCTTGTTCTGAAGAATCATGGAGTATATGAGCCAGAATTCAGACTTTTCATGCTAATTCCATCAACTTTTTTTATTATGTTTGGGCTTATGGGATTTGGTTGGTCTTCGCAGGAAGAGGATTTATGGATAGGGCCAATTATCTTCTTTGGATGCGTTAGTTTTGGTTGTTCCATGGCGAGTACTACAGCTATAACATTCACTGTTGATAGTTATAAAATGTTTGCTTCCGAGGCACTTGTCTCATGTAACTTTAGTAAGAATTTCCTTGGATTTGTCTTCTCATTGTTTAACAACGCATTCATGGACTCCAGAGGTTCACGAACAACATTTGTCACCTATGGGTGTGTTCAATTGTTTTTGTCTTTATTTGGAATTCCAATTTATATATATGGAAAGAAATGGAGAAGCTGGACCGATGACAAAGAGCTCATTAAAATGTTGTATCATCATGATAACATACCTGCAAAGGTAGGCGGGACGCCAATGGAGGACAACGAAAACAACTTAGACCAAGAGAATGCTGACTTTGCAACAAAAGAAAACAGTGAAGATAGCATTGAACTAAACACAAGAGGTTAGTTCTCATATATTTTAAGATTACGTTTATTTATGAATACTTAGTAAGTACTACTTTTCTATAAAAAATCTAAAGTAGCCATGTCTATGCTTGGATATTTCCTTCTGTACTCGTAAAGTCTTTCGCCCATCGATTTGTCATTCCAGTACTCAATATTATTTTCAAGTTTCACTTCTGGAGGTCCAAGCTTTTCGATGATGCACCCGCTTACTAAATTACCACAGATAGCGCCCACTTTCCAATCCTTATTCGATAATAAATAGCCTACCATGAATCCCCCACAGAACAGGTTACCCCCTCCTGTGGGATCGATTACCAATGTCTGATCATCATGATATGCTGGAATCACGGAGGATAATTTTGGCGTTCTTATGTAGCAGCCCCTTGCTCCACATCTTATCAATGCACCAGAAGAAGGTTTTGTCAAATACTTCATAAAATGGTCATCAACAAATTGTTTCAACTCTGCTGTTGGCAACTCCTTATCAGTAGTTTCTATAAAATTTTGAGCTTCAATTAGATTGGGGGTGAAGATATCGACTTTAGCCAAAAGTTTACAAAGTGCATCGTAGTTCTCTGGAATGCAATCGTAAGGAACTGGTTCCCAAATAAACTGAGGGATTGCTGAGTTGTTCCCACGATTTGCCAAGATGGTGTCAATGATCTCCAGACATCTCTCTATCGAACAAATCAAGTGGAAACTATCAGAATTCAACAATCTGTCATAGGACAAGATGTCTATTACCTCTATCCTCTTCTTCGGAGTTTCATAAAAGAAGTCACGGATTCCATTCCCCTTGTAGTAATTGACACCTCTTGAAGTCAACCTACTTGGATCAGATCTGAAAATTAAACCCGAGTTCCAGCTCTTAAGCGTAGACTCAATCTCTGGTGGGAAGTCAGAGCCTTTGTCTACTATTCCAGCAACACTAGAGCCCTTTTGGGGCCCTGCAATCATTCGAGCACCAGCAACAGCATAAGTGAGCCCGCCACCAATTATATTTGTTTCAGGTTCCTTCGAGAACGATTCTTCGTATCGGTTCTCATCTATGATAAACATTCCCATGCTCGTGAACATACACGGCTGTTCATTGGGCATCAATGTATAATCCATATTCGGACTGGTATGTGGGGTATGTGGGTACTCACTAAAAATAGATAAGATAACAACAATAGTTAAAAATGATTTGATCGTGCGCCCTAGCACGTCAACCTTGTTAGTTTTCTTCCTCGTTCGATGAAATTGGGTAACCTTAGTCGCGAATTGAGCGCGGCGTATGACGCTAAGAAAAGTCTTTAAGTCACCCGTCAATAGCTTGGCCTGCTGATTTGGTTGGTATTGTATGTATCACGTACCCCGTAAATATGTAGATCGTCGAACAACCCCACGCGAACAATAAATTAATAAAAAATTACTTGTGACGTATGATAAAAATTAACACAACTGAATAAGCTACACACTCTGGATTTTACTATTTCTCTTGGCCCTGCGCCCTTGTTATATAAAACAAGTTTTGATACCGTTTTTCCTTTTCTGATAACTTTCATTTGGCAAAAGAAATAAAGCACATACTTTTTTTGAATGGCTGTAACGACTTCTTCAGTGGCTGGAATCATCGCCGGTTTAAACCCGCTTGTGTATTCAGCATCAGCACCTTACACACTTTTCCTCTTCCAAGCGGTTTTCATTATTCTATTATGTCTGATTATCCATATTCCGCTCAGCAAACTCCAACAACCGAGAGTTATTGCAGAAGTCATCACTGGTATCCTCTTGGGTCCCTCTGTAATGGGCCATGTACCTAACTTCACTACAACTTGTTTCTCCGCTGCATCAATTCCCAGTTTAACGTTGTTTGCAAATATTGGTATCATATTGTTTTTGTTCATCATTGGTTTGGAAGTTGACGTAAAGTTCATTATCAAAAATGCTAAAGCGGCCGTCACAGTCGGTTTGATTAATATGGCTGTACCATTTGCCTTGGGTTGTGGGATTGCAAAGGGCTTTTATGAACACTATCGTGTTGACGATGACACATTAAAGCCTATTGATTTTACCACTTACATGGTATTCATCGCTGTTGCTTTATGTATCACTGCCTTCCCTGTTTTGGCTAGAATTTTGACGGAATTGAATCTTATTGGAGATCGTGTTGGTACCATCGTCCTTGCTGCTGGAATTACTAACGATTTGGTAGGTTGGATACTCCTAGCATTGGCTGTCACATTGGCTAACGCTTCTGACGGTATAAATACGCTTTACATTTTGTTGTTAACTGTTGCTTGGTTTTTATTTTTATCGTACCCAGTTAGGTTAACTATGAAATTTCTTTTGAAGAGATATACGACAGATTTACAATCTGGAGAACCATCGCAAATATCAATGATGTTAATTCTCGTGTTGGTATTCATTTCTGCTTTCTATACCGATATAATTGGTGTTCACCCAATTTTCGGTGCATTTATGGTTGGTGTGATTGTTCCAAGGGATAATGGGTATGTTATCAAAATCACCGAGAAGTTGGAAGATCTTGTCCACATTGTCATGATCCCAATTTATTTTGCTCTTGCAGGGCTATCTGTGAATTTGGGAGATCTCAGTCAAGGGATTGATTGGGCTTACACTATTGGAATTATTTTATTGGCCATGTTTGGTAAAATCAGTGGAGGCTTTTTTGCTGCCAAGTTGAATAAGTTGTTGTGGAGAGAATCTTTGGCTGTAGGGATTTTAATGAGTTGTAAGGGTATCGTGGAAATTGTTGTATTAAACGTTGGTCTTAATTCTGGAATTATCAGTCAAAAGGTTTACTCAATGTTCATCGTCATGGCCTTGGTTACGACGTTCCTTACCACGCCGTTAGCACTCTTGGTGTATCCTGTCTCTTATAGAGAAAAGAGGGATAAATTCATAAATGGAGAAATCGAATGGGACGGAACTCCAATTCTGCAGGTTGATAGTAAGAGTAGGACCTCTTCTACAGCTAACGAAGATGTAGAGATTATTGAAGAAAGTAGCGATGGAGTAACTAATAATTTAATCAAGAAAGTTAGAGGAAGAAAGGAATTGACTATTGAAAATTTCAAAAACTTCAAATTATCAAACCTTATCGTGTTGGTAAAAAGTTTAGAATCTATTTCATCCTTAATGAACTTTGTGCATGATTTTGCATCCTTTGATTTAGACGAGGAAGACGATGAGTACCACTCTAACTATGAGGTAGATGTTAAAGCTATCCACTTAAGAGAGTTTTCTTCAAGAACCTCTCATTTGTTAGAAGCTTCACAAGCCCAAGGTGACGATTATTTTGAAGAAACCAATTCGACATCGTCCCTTTTGGCTATTTTAAGAATCTTCACTAATATGCTTAATATCCACTTCACATCATATTCTATTTTAGCACCTACAAAGAATCATTTACTATCTATCAATGAGCATATTTCAAACGAAAACTCAAACTTTTTGATGGCAAGTGTTCCATTGAAGAAATTTGTTCCGGAAAATGAATACTTCTCCTCTATGTCTTTAGGGGCTGCATTGCTTGAGGCAGAGAACTCAGACATTTCGTTCTACAAGAAATTGTTCCATTCTGCCAGCTGCAGTTTTGGTTTACTTTTGACCAATGGAAATATTGGTTCCAAGAAGTACGATGACTTTGTTAGCGAGAAACCCAAGGCTAGAAAACAATTAACGAGACAAGGAAGTAATTCGAACTTTGGATTGAAGTCTATCAATTTAATTTTGAATCATGAGAATGTCTTGACTGAAAGTGATTTATTGGCATTAAATGTTGTCTTCAAGTTGGGATTCAACTTAGCTAGAATCAATGTTTTCGTCAAATCATCCCCAGCATCAAGAACTAGTTTTGATCAACAAATTGAAAAATTGTTCAACTATAACTCCCATATTGATTTATCAATACATCACCTCAAAGATTCTAATCATTTTGCAGATGAAATTCAAAGAATAAGACCGAATATTAGTGCGGAATTGTTTGTTATTGCAAACAATATTGCCAAAGACGATATTGAAAATATATTTGATAAAAACGTCAATCAACTTCTTGATTTAAGTGCAAGTGAGAACTTTGATGTTTTGATTGTCAAAGCAGCTCAAAGATAAGAGTGGAAGGTTATATATGTCAACCAGCTTTATATATGAATTGAATTCCGAAAATTTCAAAAACAAAAACAACTGCTTTTGTAATTTGTAAGTATCCATATTCCTCTTTGTTTCTTCTTTTCTAATAGTATGCCACTTACTTCATGTTAGTATAACACCACTGACGTTGGGAGACATTGAATTTGACTGGCATATTTCTCCGTTCTATCTGTAAAAGTGTGCGCGCTATATCAAACGGAATAATGCCCGCTTGGCCAAGTGGTAAGGCGCTCCACTCGTAATGGAGCGATCGCCGGTTCGATTCCGGCAGTGGGCATGGTTTCATTTTTATATTTTTTTTTTACTGTGATTATAGCTCCACTGAGCCCAACCTAGAGAATATAAACTTACATTAGGCCTCAGGCATTTCATTTAATTAGACTATTTATGTACATCTGAAATTACAAAACATAAAATAGTGAATACTATTCTTTACACCTTTCATTTTTTCAGTTTACTCTAACTTTTCGAAGCGGGGGGTGGTGGTGGAACATCTGCAGCATTCGCAGAAGTACTAGTTCCATACTGGACATCCAATTCCTTAGACTTCGCCAATTCTTCATTCATGTAATCGTTAAGTCCATCTAGAGAGACTGGCGGAACGGAGGCCCCCGTATTACCTTTCTTTTTTCTTGGTGGTGCTACTCCCAAAGGTGGTAAAGCCAGTGGTAAGAAGGAGTCATTTGACGATGGGGCTGCAGGGACTGGTGGTGGTGCCAATGGTTGTACATCTGGGGCATACTTCTCCCCAGGTGCTTGATATGAATAATTTTGGTTGTTTTCGAAAAGTACATCGTCCGACAATTCAGTGTTAGCGAATTTTCCCACAACTTCAGGCAATCTATGGATCAATCCGTACCCTACGTCACACCCCAATATACCTCTTTGTTGTCCGTTAACGCTCCAGCTACGGGACAAGTTTACAGTCACTGGTCTTAATATATCATAATCATGATTGTAAACGTACAAGGTGATTGGAATGTTGTCCTGTCCGCTGATAGAATTGTGGTGGTTGTAGTAACCGAGAACGACTCGGGATAGTAACGACTCTCCACCTTGAGCAAGCAATCCGTGCTCTCCTGGTGCATCGCTGAACGCTGAATCGCATCCAATTATATAATCAGAGTATGGCACCAATTGTGCCAAAAATGCCGGAGAATCAGGATGAGTGTTCAATATTCTCCACACGTAAGTTGCAGTTGTCAAATGCTGCGATTGCAAAGTGACACCCAACTCCTTGAATGTATTCTTGAATATTTCAATTGCTCTGGTTTCGGTACTCTGCTCCTGAGCAATAGCCCCATCCTCCTCCACCTTCAAAGGGAGAGTAACTTGACGGATTATACCTCCCTTGGCATTCCAAACGTCCAATACTACCTCGTGGTGGCCACTTGCATTCTTTGCTATCGACGATAGTTCTTGTTGCAAGATCTCGTAGTGAATTTGACCAACCTCCTCCTGTGTTAAGTTCCCCCCGTAGTTTATTGAACCATCGTCATTAAGACTATACGACTCATGTGACAACGAGGGATACAACATAGGCAATTCGTGTCCATTTATCTTCACAATATAGTCGAACCATGACTCAAGACCATTTTGGTTCGCAATTGAATGTGGAAGTACCTTCAAGACCCTCAACCCATACCCTCTGTTGTTCACTTGGAGAGTCCATTTGAAGTAAGAGTCTATGGCCGAATCCTGTGATTGCGGCCCGCTTATAAATTTCTTTGCAAAGGAGAACATATGCGAACAAAATTACACCTGCCCTGACAATTACCTTTGAAGATAACGTCTGTCTGTACCTCCACCTCTTGTGGAGGTGAACTGCTTGGCTTTCGCAGAGTCGAGGACCATGGTGGGCCTGTGTTTATATGCAGTATCAGATTTGACTGTATGCGTGCATAAAAAATATCGTTTGGGAAGGGCCATTCATGCAAAGGTTGCAACAACTTTCCTAACATACTACAGTATTGAAGCTATTATAATACAATTTGCAGCAACACTCCAGCAGGGACATTGTATTCTTACATTCTGAGTTTATAATTGTTTAGTATTATTAATTTTTCTAATATTTAGTATACATTAATTTACATATTGAATTGTGAAGTCAGGTTTTATACTTCCAGATAAGGCTCTCAAGATTAGTAAATATACATATGATGTCGTAATTCTTTAATCAATGACTTTCTGGTAATGTTACAAGATAGCTTGCACTTCTTTTGTTTTTGTTTCCCCTTCTCTTCGTCTCTGGGTTGGCATTTAGTTTGCATTTGCAATACCACCAGAGTATGCTAAACTCCATGTTCTACTTTGACCGTTGTCTAAGTAAGTTGACTTCCAATCGCTGGATGAGAAGAATGCATAGGATGAATCGGCGTCGTATAACGCTCTGTTAAGCTGCAAGATACCGGTCCAGCCACTGTCGACATCACTAAGGAATGTTTCAACTTGTTGTTCCCATTCTTGTTGAACAAATGTTGGACCTCTGATAAGTGATGAAGCTGGGGTAATTGGAAGCATATGGATACCGTGAACATATTCGGGGTTTGTGTCTGGGGAACCGAAATAGGTAGTATAGGTAATCTTGTTTTCAAATAAAATACCTGAGACCTTATTGCCGATGTATTCAGATGGTTCAACGGTGTTGTCGTCTGAATAATAGAAGTATTTGTTCATTGCTCTGGCCAGAACTGCTAACATTAAATCACCTCTAGACTCCATGGATTGATCTCCAATAACTTGGCCCCATAACTTCATACCGTAGGAGAAGTTGTAATCTTCAGATGATGATTCTTCATTTTTACCGTCTCCGCTTGCGAACAACCCAGCTGCCCAGGAGTGACCGGCGAACCAATCGAACATACGAGATACTGGGAAGTAAGAGTCATCGGTGCTAGGGTTAGCGACATCTCTAATCAATGAGTTGACCCAGTCCTTATTGTCTTCAGCCCACGTTCCACCATACTTCTTATCAACGTAACCGACAATTGCTGCTGCATGTACGAAGTATCCGTAATGGAAATGATGATCATTATAGTATCCCGAGCCAAAGTCCAAGGTTGTATCACCATCATTGCTTGCAGTTGATGTAACACCACCGTATCTAGTATCATACATCAATGGATAGTATTGCGTGTTTGCAATAAATGGTGCAAATGCGTCCTTTAACGAGGCTAATGTGGATTTAGCAACGTCTTCATCCTGTAAAATGTCGTTTACAACCAATAAGATGTAGGCATATTTATCAATGACCTTTCCTGAGTAATAATTAGAGTCCATGCTTGCGACTGTTGATGCGATATCAACACTGAGATCATCATTTGCAACTTCTGCCAACAAGGCTAATTGCTCTGATGTGTAAGAGAGCGCTGAAGTAGCAGTTTGAGACCATGGTAAGAACTGAATGTCAGTTTGCAAAGTTTCAGCAAACTCCAAGTAATTAGCCAAGTAGGCATACATTTCACCCTTTGTAGTTGATGAAAGTGAAATACCGGTACTACCAGATGCACTTGCTGAAGTCATAGACTCAACATGATGAGGAAGGGCGAAAAGAATGGTCTTTCCTGAACTTGAAGATCCGATTGTTTCATAGGTAAATTCATAAATTGCATCAGTACCATCTACGACAGAACCACTAACGCTAGCACTTATGGCGTATAAACCTGCAGCTTGATCATAGTAAGTATCTAAGTCCAGATCAGTTGGAGCAACAGCATATTGAACAATCAATCCATCAATGGATTCTGAAGCAGTAAGTTCATAGGCAGTAGAGACAGTGAATGTGAATTCTGAAGTAGATCTCTTTGATGAAGATGCTGGAATGGTGACATAGATTAACCATTGAACACCGTTAAACAAAGTTGCACGGAACTTTTGAACATTGCTTGGTAATGATGAAGAAGTTTCCTCAGTCAAAGTTGAAAAACCATCCATTGAGTTGATAACTGCCGTTAAATCACCATGGTAAATAGCAGTAGTAAAACCCATACCCTGAACGACTGGAACTTCAATATAGTCAGATCCAAGTGTGCTTGATGCAGATAATTGAACCAAGACAGACATGTCAGTACCTTCAGTCACAAACATATAATTGTCAGATGATGTCAACGTTGTAGCGGAAATGATTACTTCGCCAACAAGAATAGGATTGTAATAATAGGACCAATCGTCTTCATTGTTTGTATCTTGGGTTCCATGGACTCTGTTAGTTTCATTAGTATGCTGAACACCAAAACCGAAATATGTAGTTTTAGACCAATAAAGCCCATATGGGTATGACCAAATCATATCAGTTTGGTCACCCAAAAAGAGATTGGCATAGAATTTGTTTGTACCATAAGGAACTCCGTCGTTGTCAACACCTGATGGAAGTTCGAGCGGGAGATCCTCTCTAGTGAAGACGGAAAGTGGGGCAGATGAATCAATGGCGCTGAAAAGATCACCGGTGTAAGCATCTGAAGTTGAGCTTGAAGTTGAAGTTGAAGTTGTGGTAGAGCTAGTCTTGGTACTAGATTTAGATGTTGTTGATGTTGTCTTGGAAGATGAAGTAGTAGTTTCAGAGTCAACTGTACCAGTTGTCGTGGTATCCAAGTAGCTAGTTGTTGCAAAACCAGTTGAAGTAACAACGTTGACCACTACGCTTGCAATTGTAGAGTTCGACGTTCCATTTCCAGATAATGAAGTGTAATAGACGGTACTTGAATTAGTGTATCTTCCGGTCGCAGTTGGAATTATACTAGAATGGTATGAACCATTGCTTGCGACTGTAATCGATGAGTTACTGTAGCTTGCAGCAAGTACTGCAGCACCAACTGCAGTACCATTGCTGTAGATAGCAGAAGTTGTATTACTATATCTGGCGCTGGAAGCAGTGCTGGTGCTAACATTGTTGACATTAGAGCCACTGGTTCCGGTAGAGACCTTAGACACTGTGGCATCGCTTAAGGTCAAGTCTGTTGTATATTGACTAGTATCAATAGTAACAGATTGGGATTGGGAAACTACAGTTTGAGTTATTAATGGATTCTTTTCTGTATGAGTTATAGTCTCAGATGAAGTTGAGATCTTCGTTGCTGAAGGAGTAGAAGTTGCTGAGTAAAGAGTGGTGGTGGTTGTGACAACACTGTTGTCGGTAACCAAATCGACTACTGTTTTAGTCTTACGTCCTTTGGATGTTGGTGCAGTCGTTGTATAATGAGCAACTGTAGAAAGTGTATAAGTATATGGTACAGCTTTGGTGGTGAGGCTTAGCAGACAAGCCCCACTTGAACAGTGTGTAATTGTTTGTGTGGTTGTAGTTATAGTGTTGATAGTATACACAACACTTGAGGTTGTACCGATTATTGATGCAGTCAGTACGGATTCCGATACAGCTTGCAGCTCTTCGGCCATGTCACCATATACAAAAACAACCGGAAACCCTGTTGCTGCAGGCTCAGTAAATTCATTGGAAGGTAAGATAGATTGTAGCTTGTAACTGAAACAATCTGGTGTAACATAATTTGTATGAGTTACTGTATAGTCAGCAATAGCTTTCCCAACGAGAAGGAAGGGAACTAATGAAGACAACATATTACTGTAGAAATGTATGAATTAATTCGAAATATTAGGATGTTCTACCTAAATGAGTGTATTTTTCAAGTGATATGATATTTTTTATTGTGATAAGTTGCAAATTCCAAGCATCAACATTCCCACATTTCCAATTTTGAAGCACATTCTTCTTGACTTATATATCGAAGGTTGATCCTAACCAGCAACAAGAATGTTTTACGATTTATTATTACCAGCCCTGGTTTTGCATGAAAGTATATTAACCATGATTGAGCTGCCAAAGCAATGGCTTGTTTGTGCTTCATCGCTGGTTCCAAATATTTCGTAGCCAGCACAGACTGCATAAATCATGCATAAGTACGACTTTGATGCTGCTTTCGCGCGTCTCCCAGCAAGCGAAATCAACAGCAAGAAAAGTTTAATGTGACGAAATGGAAGATCTTCGCCGATCGTATATTGAAGGACCAATGTACAAAATCGAAAAGAAGCATTTGTAAATTAGCCAAGTGAATACATCGTGCACACGTTGTATAAGAAAACTACTACACAGTAAATAACTACTGTAGTCACAAAAGAGGTATGGCAATTTTTTATACATGTATCTTATAATAACATCTGTATTTCCGATAATGGTATAGAGAGAGATGGAGAGAGAGAGAGAAAGACAATGATTATTTTGTTTATGGTCTATTACTACAAAGCATCATAATTTGTGGTCCAGCAAATGTTCATAGAACTAACATATCAAATACAATGAATATAAGTGAGCACAAAAGAATGTTCGACTTCAACAAAGGCCTGAGACAAAGTATGAACATCATTGTAAAGTGCTTGCTTTTGAATGCATACGTCTGGAGGTCATGTTAATTCCAGATCGCAGACGGAACTATTGATCCAAGGTGATATTCTATTTTTAATGATTCACTCATGATTATGACAGAGAGGCTGAAAAGAAAAAATGTCAACACAAGCAATTAGCCAGCATCTTATGTGCAGGATGCGTCTTATTGTCATTACTGCTTGTTTGTTAGTATGGTAAGCTTGTTACTATTGTTGTGTAGACTTGTCAGCCAAAAATACTTCCTTTAGTTGACATAATGAGGACATGAGAACAATTAGAAGTCTTATTTTGAAGTGGAGATCAATTTAAATCGTCACACCAAAGTAAGTAGGAATAATGCTTTCTCAGTGTTGCAACATTGTGGGTCACTTCCCGTCTCGCTCTTCTTTATAATTCTTTTGTTCTGCCTATCTGACGTCATATAATACTTCGATGATACTAAAGACTACATTGACTTAATAACTGTCTTATATTCAAATATGTTAATTGAGGCCAACATCAATTCTGCGAACGATGTCATACCTCTTTCAGAGTTTTGAGAAAAAGGTGAAAGTGATCAGTTTTAATCATTTCAGATTGTTACGTAAATTCTTTTATGAAATTCTAAATCACTTCTTATTGTTCTCTAATTGGCATTTGCTATACCACCAGAGTATGCTAAACTCCATGTTCTACTTTGACCGTTGTCTAAGTAAGTTGACTTCCAACTACTGGATGAGAAGAAGCTATATGAGGAGTCAGCATCGTATAACGCTCTGTTTAGCTGCAAAATACCAGTCCAACCACTGTCGACATCGCTAAGGAATGTTTCAACCTGCTGTTCCCATTCTTGTTGAACAAATGTTGGACCTCTGATAAGAGACGAAGCTGGGGTAATTGGAAGCATATGGATACCGTGAACGTATTCGGGGTTTGTGTCTGGAGAGCCAAAGAAAGTAGAGTACCAGATCTTATTGTCGTAGAGAATACCCGAGACTTTGTTACCAATATACTCAGATGGTTCAACGGTGTTGTCGTCTGAATATAAGAAGTACATATTCATTGCTCTGGCTTGAACTGCTAACATCAAGTCACCTCTAGACTCCATGGATTGATCTCCAATAACATGACCCCATAACTTCATACCGTAGGAGAAGTTGTAATCTTCAGATGATGATTCTTCATTTTTACCGTCACCATTTGCAGCTAGACCAGCTGCCCAGGAGTGACCGGCGAACCAATCGAACATACGAGATACTGGGAAGTAAGAGTCATCGGTGCTAGGGTTAGCGACATCTCTAATCAATGAGTTGACCCAGTCCTTATTGTCTTCAGCCCACGTTCCACCATACTTCTTATCAACGTAACCGACAATTGCTGCTGCATGTACGAAGTATCCGTAATGGAAATGATGATCATTATAGTATCCCGAGCCAAAGTCCAAGGTTGTATCACCATCATTGCTTGCAGTTGATGTAACACCACCGTATCTAGTATCATACATCAATGGATAGTATTGCGTGTTTGCAATAAATGGTGCAAATGCGTCCTTTAACGAGGCTAATGTGGATTTAGCAACGTCTTCATCCTGTAAAATGTCGTTTACAACCAATAAGATGTAGGCATATTTATCAATGACCTTTCCTGAGTAATAATTAGAGTCCATGCTTGCGACTGTTGATGCGATATCAACACTGAGATCATCATTTGCAACTTCTGCCAATAAATTTAGCTGCTCAGCAGAGTAGGAGAGCGCTGAGGTAGCAGCTTGAGACCATGGTAAGAACTGAATATTGGTATTCAAGGTTTCAGAAAATGATAAAGAGTTTGCAAGATAACCGTACATTTCACCCTTTGTGGTTGAAGAGAGAGAAAGTCCGGTACTAGCTTGCACAGTTGCAGAAGTCATAGACTCAACATGATGAGGAAGAGCAAAAAGAATGGTCTTTCCTGAATTCGAGGACCCTGAAGTTTCATAGGTGAATTCGTAATTGGCCTCCGTACCATCTACGACAGAGCCGCTAACGCTAGCACTTGTGACGTATAAACCCGCAGCTTGGTCATAGTAAGATTCATCATTTGGATCAGATGGTGCAACTGCATACTGAATAATTAATCCATCAATGGATTCTGAAGCAGTAAGTTTCAGGGAATCAGTGCTAGTGAACGTAAAATCTAAAATAGATCTCTTTGGTGAAGAAGCTGGAATGGTGACATATATTAACCACTGCGCACCATTGGCCAATGTTGCACGGTATTTGGACAGGGTGATTGGAAGAACTTCTTGGGGTTGTGTTTCTACCTCCTCAACCAAGGTAAATCCTACTTGTGAATTGATAACAGCAGTTAAGGAGCCGTGGTAAATAGCAGTAGTGAAACCCATACCTTGAACCACTGGTATTTCAATGTAATCAGAACCAAGCGTGCTAGATGAAGATAATTGAACCAACACAGACATATCAGTACCCTTAGTTACAAACAAGTGGTTCTCTGATGATGTCAATGTTTCTGCAGATATAAGTATTTCTCCAGTAAGAATAGGGTTGTAAAAGTATGACCAATCGTCTTTGTTATTTGTTTCAACAGAATCATGTACTCTATTGGCTGCAATAGTATGTTGAACCCCGAATCCGAAATAATCACTCTTAGACCAATAGAATCCGAATGGGTAAGAAAAGATCATATCAGTTTGATCGCCCAAAAAGAGGTTAGCATAAAACTTGTTGGTTCCAAAAGGAACGTTGTCATTGTCTACACCTTCAGGGATTGCAAGTGGGAGATCTTGCTGAGGGAAGACTGAGTCAGGCGCTGCTGTATCAATCACTTTGAAAAGATCGCCGCTATAAGCAGTCGAGGTCGAGGCTATTGAAGAGTTAGAGTACTTTCCGGTAGTACTTTCACCAATAGTAATACCGGTTGTGTATTTACTTGTGTCGATCGTAGTCGATTGTGATTGTGAAATAGCAGTTTGGGTAACCAATGGATTGCTTTCAGTTGTGCCTGTCGTTGGACTAGATGTTGGACTTGAAGATGGGGACGAAGTAGAAGTTGCTGAGAAGATCACTGAAGTTGTTGTTGAGCCACTAGTGTCTCTACTCTTCGTTTGCGAGTCAGATTCAGAATCTGATCCTGCAGCCCCACTAGTTTGTGCTTTCGATCCAGAAGCACCACTACCCAGAGTCTTCGATCCCGATCCAGAATCTGATCCAGATTTGGTTGATGAGCCGGTCAATTCGCTATCCACTGGTACGGATGCTTTTCCAGTAGCTTCGGTACTCAGAGTTGATTGAACACATGGAACGACAGTCGTGATTGTATAAATGTAAGGAACAGTTTTAGTAGAGGTACTCAAATCACAACCTCCATTGGAACAAGAGGTGATTGTTTGAGTAGTCGTAGTGTAAGAAGTGACGGTAAAGGTACTGGTGGTAGATGAAGAAACTGCAACAGAAGATACAACCTGCAGCTCTTTAGAAGTATCTTCATAAACGAAAACAACAGGAAATCCTGTGGTTGCAGCAGCGACAAATTCATTGGAGGGTATAACAGATTGGAGCTTGTAGCTGAAACAATCTGGCGTAACGTAATTTGTTTGCGTTACTGTGTAGTTCGCAAGAGCCTTCCCAATGAGTAGGAAAGGGACTAATGAGAACAACATTTCAGTACTCTATTTAAAAAACGAATGTATAGGGTGAGAAGTATGAGTGGTTGCGTAATTCCGCAGAGGAAAACTTACGGTTTCAGAGGCATTGTTGAATATTTATATACGAAAGGTAAGCTTGTTTTGATTGACTGACCAATCTACTTTCTATGCAGCCGATTCGAAATTAGGCGTAACACAATGCACTTCGAGTGCATCTTAAGATCATCACCTCGTTTTTTTTATTTTTTAGGTAGTACTCTCTGCATGATGCATGCAGAAAAGACGAAAATTGGATCCCGCCTTATATTCGGAAGCATAAAAACAAAGAGTAACGGAAATAATGCAGAATTGTAACTGAGAATTGTGTGAAAAGATGATACCCCAATATACGAAAGATCTATATGAAACAGGCAAATCCATGTTGCAACGTATAGAAATGATGATTGGGTATCTCCTTTTAACCTAACCTAATCGTCAAAAGACCTACAGTATCAATTATTACTTCCAGAGTAACAAGAAGTTATGAATTACATCTGCGAACGCTACGTATTTGGTGCACTACTAGGCAATAAAATAAAAGTAGTGTATTGAAATCTTAAAGTATATGCTATTGCTTACAAAAGAGTCGGAGAAAATGCACTAGTGGCAACAGTCGACCAGAGAGGAGATTGGGTGTCCAAATTTGTGTATCGTTAAGAATGCTTGATAAGCAAAGCATTTATTTTATAAAAGATTAAAAAAATACTAAGCATATGGTACTGGAGCACAATAAATGTGTTACCGATTGCAAAAAAATATATTGAAGTAAACACGAAAACTTTGAATAAACGCACGTCGAGCCGATTCTATGCAATGATTGTGTGAGTATCTGGAAACGGCCTTAAGGTAGTATTGGATCATGAATTACCATAAAAAAATAATACACTACAAGTCTCCACTTATCAAAACAATGCAAGCGGGAAGAAAATAAAATCACCTAACTCAGCTTGGACATGAAAAAAATTATCCAGTCTCCAATAAAAAACAACTGACATTATATAAGATTTACAGTTAAAGGATCAATGGGCCGTGCACCTCGTACTATGTAAACACTTTCGAAATACCTGAACTTAAAGCATAACCTTAAGTAAGGAACTCGCCTCAAAAGTCAAACAGATAGATATTTTTGACATATACTTAATTGAATTGTCATGGGTCCAAAAAAATACAGTAAAGTTTATACAGCAAATGACGCCAGAATCAAAGTACATTGTAGTATATTATAAAGTTTTAGCAATAACGCATTCCCGTCATTCGGGGGTTAGTTCTATGCTAACGAGTTTTCAGCCTTTTGATACCGTGATTATTTTTCAAACGCCGACGTACACCCATTTCTTTTAAGCTTTTTTTTGACAGGCCCTACGAAAACGTTTGTTTTTTTTTTACGAGCGTAAATCTTTTTCATGCACGGTTAAAAATATTGTGAGCTCACACAGTTGAAAGGTATAACAAAGTATACGCGGAGTCGTCTAATTTCCGTCGATTGGCATACTACCCTCGGCCCTCAAGAAATTGATATGGGAAATACTCGCTTTCTTAAATGGGTTATCTAGGGCTTTTTCTGGGCTTTTTCTCTAGCATTGTTTAAACCTTCCTCAACATGTATGGACCACTTCTTGATTTCCGTTCCTTCGCGGAATTTCTAAGTTCTTATCGAAAATCACCGCCCACCACATAATTAAAACTTGACTCATAATCAGGTTCTTTTTTTTCCTGCAATAAGTTCCTTGACTTGTTGCTAAGTTTTCTAATTAAGAACCACGTAAATATGACCTCTTCAATTGTAGTTCTCGGTGCTGGGGTAAGTGGTTTAACAACAGCATTATTACTCAAAAAGTCTAACCCCAACTCTAAAGTTACTGTCGTCGCTCAATTCTTGCCGGGAGATCTTGATATCACATACACCTCACCATTTGCTGGTGCAAATTGGCACACTTTCAGTGATGACGACGACTATGTCCTTCAAGAATTCGATAAGCCGGGGTATTCCAAATTTCTTGAACTTGCAAATGAACCAAAATCTGGGGTTTGGATAAAGAAATCATTTGCCTATCTCACAGAGAACACTTTTAAAGCAGAATACAATCTGGACCAAAATAAATTTTTCAAATGGTATAAGAACTTCGTAAAAGACTTCACAATAGTGGACAAATCAAGTTTTCCGCATCAAGACATTGCTCTTGGTTTTCTGTTTACTGGAGTTGTCATAACTGTACCGATATACTTGAATTACCTTTTATCTGAATGTCTTCTGAGTGGGGTGAACATCAAAAGAACCAAAAAATTTGACTCTATCGATCAAGTCAAAAATTTCATTCCTAACACGGATCTAGTTATCAATTGTACTGGATTGTTAGCTACCAGACTTAAGGGAATCTCTGATCCCAAGCGTAATTATCCTGTTAGGGGACAAGTCCTTTTGGTGAGTAATAATGCACCAAACAAAGTAAGTGTTTCCATGGATCATCCAGATTATCCAAATGAACTCTTATATTGCATGCCTCGGAAGGAAGGTGGCTGTATTTTAGGTGGTTGTATTTATCCTAATGATAGCAATCCAAATCCCGACGACGAATTGACCAGAAGAATTTGCGAGCGTGCTATCAAATACATCCCCGAATTGGTAGACCCAAAATATGGTAACAATTCGACAACAATTGATATAGTAAAGGTCAATGTAGGCTTGAGACCTGCTAGAAAAGGCGGTGCAAGAGTGGAATCTGATCCTGAAAACCCTTGGTTAATTCACAACTATGGGGCTGGAGGTGGTGGATATCAAGGAAGTTATGGATTTTCTGCTAAGGTCGTACAGCTTGTACAGCAGAAGCAAAGAGAAGTAAGAGGTAAACTTTAAAGTGAATTGCTCATTGCATAAAGTAAGTTGATATGGTAATTTCCTGTAATAGTGTGTCGGGTGAAAACAAAGGGGTTTTAGGGGTATGAAAGTAACATCAGACTTAAATATATGAAAGTACAATTCTGATAAGATTTGCATTTTGTAGAAGATAATTATCTTAATTATATTGGATGAGCAAACACTTTAGCTATCCTTTTTCTTTTTTTCCTTTTTCCTTTATATTGAGCAACTTGGCTTCAATTTGCTTCTCGCTATCATAGAAAGCTCTATACTAAACATCAACTCTCTTATCCAATGTTATTACACCCGCTTGCTTTTTAGTGCTATTCTCCAGTACTTGCCCAAGCTCATGCATATTGCAGCATATATATTTGTAAGCCATTACATAAGCGAACCATAAAATTTCAATCTTGAAAAAAAAAAATTGTACTCAAAAAAAAAAAGACATTACCAGAGAGTAAGTTCATCATCAGTTATACACCCAACTATCACCTAATATGAGAGCTTCTCAGATCATCAGCTTCCAAAATACAGCTGTGTCGAACTTAAGAAGACCATGGCAAACTTTCAAAGATGGTCAAATCTGGTATGGTCAATTTAAGTCGGGTTCTAAGAGACATGCTTTAACCACCAAGCAAGGTAATAAGAATTACTATAAGGGTACAGGATCCACCGGAGTGGGTAAATTAAATAACCAAGGTGTATATATTATGGACTGGAGCAAAGTGCGCACATACGTCACTCCAACACAAGCAAATCCGAACTTAAGAGCCCTTGTTTCAACTGCTACCCCAGAGGTGTATCAGAAGTTTGTTGGCTACAACGATGGGTTCAAAGATCCTCAATTTGCATGGGACAGTATTGTAAACTACATTGAAAATGGAGACGGATACAGTCAAGTTGACCTAGAACTGACCGAATATCTTGAAAAATTTGTAAAGCCTGGCTCGGAGGAGATAGACCACCCAGACCAAGACCATACTACTATAGATGCCAATGTAGTACCCTCTTAAAGAGAACCACTTGTAGCACAACCTGTATATAACTTAGAATTTAAATAAATGAAAAATTGAAACAAAAAACCAAACTGTATGCAGGTCATCCTGATAAACATAATAAGGTCGCGAGGTGTACGCGTTCACTGGAAAGAGATTGGAAGGAGAGAGATCGAAGGGAAAGACCATTTGAACTAAGAATAATGGCCGAAATTCATGTAGAGAAGGCAGAGGAGCCAGACACGTCAGGCGGAAGTCCAACAGACTCGAAAACTGTGAGTCCAGATGTAGAAATGGAAGACGTACAAGATGATAGTATCACAGAGGATGCGACAGCAGCCGGAGATGAGAATACTCTAGGCGAAGGAATAGACATCGTAGCGGAAGGTGAAGCTAAAAAGAACGGAGAAGAAACTGAGGAGAAAGAAGTAGAAGAAGACGAGGAGGAGGAAGAAGAGGAAGAAGAGGAAGAATCTTTAACTCTTCCACTTTCCAAGATAAAGAAAATCTTTAAAATGGATGCCGACTACATAGCGGCCTCTCAAGGTGCAGTGTATGCCACTGGATTGGCCACGGAATTGTTCATACAGTACCTCGTAGAACAAGCATCATCTTTGGCCAAAAGAAGCAAAAGAAAGAAGATCATGTACAGCGATTTCAGTGACGCTGTAAAGGGCCACGATTCGTTGATATTCTTGAAAGATACTGTGCCAGAGAAGCAAAAGCTTGCAGATCTTTTGGCCAGAAACATTATCGATTCCACCGGGCGCCCTACAGAGTTGAACCCTGCTACTGCGCACACAGACATAATTGAAAAGGAAGATACTGGGAATGGCAAGGTGTCCGGCGGAAGTAAAGCTAAAAATGGTAAGAATTCTTCTAAACCGCTTATAAAGGGCCAACAGACACTTAACTTTTCCAATGTCAAGAAAGACAAACCAATTAAGAAGGCAGTCATACACGACTTGATAGCGAACGATATAGATGATGAACCTGCTACGAAAGATGTTGTAATGATAGAATAAATAAGTAAATGCGTTTATGTATAATATACAGAGTTATGTGTTCTCATAATGCAGGTTTTTGTTGTATGGTAGCTTCTCTGTGATTGCGCTTTAGTAACCAGATAATATTCTTGGTTTCCTTGCTAAATTGGCTGTGATCAAACTTGCTTTTGTCGGAGATCCCACACCTCCAACAGAAGGATACCATTTCGTAAGCTATCTTGTCAGATATGATACGTTCGTAGACGTTAAGTCCTGTTATTACAAGGTTAGCATATCCAGAGAGTATATTTGGATTGTGCATAATTTTTGACAATGAACTAGTAGACGGTTTTCTTGGTCTTTCTGAAAGATCAAGCTTAAACATTTCATTCTTTGTAGTCAAAAATTCCCACAATTCAAGAAACTTTCTTCCCAAAAAGGCTTCATTTTGCTTTCTATCCTCCTTTATCAACACGGTTGTCAATTCCACTGCTGGTAAGACTAGGTTTGCAGACTCAAGATAGGTATCATCCGAACCAGGTGCTTCATAAGTTGAAAGACTATTAGTACCAACTACAAGAGTCATAATAATGGGCCAATGTTTCGAGATTAAAGGTAACACCATATTATAATTGGTGCTTAATATTGGGTATACTTTAGTAAGCATTTTCAATATCTGATGTCTCAAGGTAGTTGAAGGATGCGACAATAGACGGAAGGAATAGTTAAATATTCTTTGGATTATATCGTAAATCAGCCTAGGAATACGTGATTTCCATTCATCTACTGCGTTTTCATTATTTCCGGTATTGCCTTCATCTTGGTTTTCATCATCAGCATCTTCATCATCTGAATCTGCCATTTGTTCTGCAAAGGGAACGTTTTGCTTTCTCTTGAAATATTCCTTATTCGAGTCATAATCATTGAATGGATCAACAATTTTTTGGGAGTCGTCAATCATTTTTAATAATTGATTGACATTAGTCATACCCCAAGGCTTGTACTTAGAATAGTTAACGATTTCATCATCAGACTTTGTGTTAGCATCAACTTTATTGATTGCATAGTATTCTTCCACTTGTTGAACTATTTCGTCAAATACCACAAAAAATCCCTCAACCAATACTGAATAGCCATGGTACGAATCAATTAAGGTAAACATTTCAGATATGATATCCAGTAGCTGGTTGCTCAATAAAAGTTTTATCCCTGATATCTTAAGCACAACAAGGAGAATCCCAGCCAAGGAGGGACTCAATGAAGTCACAACCGAAAGCTTGGAGCTTAAGCAGTCAATTAAATAGTCCAGATTGTCCACAATCATAGATTCTAAGGAGCCATCATAATAATTATTAACAATTTGTTGAAGCGATTGTTTAGCATGCGATTGAATCAAAGGGTTCGATTGGAAGGTCAATGCCTCCAATAATGGATACAAGTAATCAATTAAAAAGTCTTGTTGGAAATCTTTTAATTCTAGAGAATTGGAAAGAATACCAATAGAATCAATGGCAACAGAGTAAGTCATTTCATATACCTTGTATGAGTTAATAGAATTTGCCGTAGAAATTAATTCAGGATTATTTAAAAGGGTCGATATATCATCAATCAAGTCTTGAGATTTTCCCATAATCATATACGAAATATTTTCAATTTCATGATCTTGCAGGCTAGTATAGTTTGTAGATGCCAGTATGTGTTTCACTTCCCCCTTTTTATCTTCATTAAAATCTAAGAAATCATCAATATTGAAATCACCCTGAGACTCTACTGAAGGTACTGTCTGCCTAGCACTTCTAACTTGTGTGAGTAAATTATTAGCAAACCACAAGTTTACGCTGCGATGCAAGTAATTTTCAGCTTCAGGTTGTCCATTCAGGTCAGGAAAATCCATGGATAAAACATCTTCAATTAACTTTACACTGCTAGTAGAATCCAATCTGCCTAAAAATTTAATCAATTCAACTATTTGATGCTCAACAGACACAGAATACGTACTACCGAAGTACGTTAAATCAGAAACATCTTGCAGATGGATCCAATCTTGCTTCGACATCAAGATCATGTTCGTAGTGTCAAAATTATTTATATGATTGCGGGGGCCTTTTCTTTTCATCTTCACAATCTTGCTAGCATCAATTTGGGGAGGCAATTCAATATCTTCAAATTTATTTGAAACTTTAACTTCTTCTTCAACTTGCATTTCATTTCCTACCACATTGCCATTGGATTGATTATTCTCAGATCCGGAAAGAATGGTTAAAATATCTTTACTACCATATTTTTTCAGTCTATCATTGTATAAGAATCCCCGAACCAATTCCTTCTGTAACAAATTTACTAATGCAGACTTTAACTGGAAAATGTGATTTTCACCTCTTCTCAATATCTGAGACAACTGACTAAGTACTGTGAATTGAAATTTGATAGATATTATGTACATTCTGATTCTATCATTATCAACGGACATCATAATTGAAGAAATTCTACTCTTAATCAAACCTTCAAGCTTATCAAAGACATATTTGTAAATGTAAGATAGTTTTTGAAGGTAAAGAGGGGCCATGTCACTACCATTCTCATCTCCATTTAAACAGATTACATGCGAGAAAGAATCAATCTTATTTGTTTCAAGCTCCAATCCCCTGGATTCAGAAACGCTGGATATCAACATGGGAAATATATCAAGTGCCAAAGAAATAAATTCATTAAACAAAGATATGAAGCATTTGTCCAACAATGTCTTCACAAAGGAAACAATTTCAAATTCTATCTGTGCTTTGGTTTGAACTTTACTTTTGTTGTTCGATGAAGGGCTTAGTAAATCTTTGAACAATATGGTTAACGATATTTTTAGTTGCTTGGATGTAGCCCTTAACCAAGAATTAGTCCTGTGATGATTTGAAGAGGGAATGTTAAAGGGTAACAGAAGTAATGCAGTTTCAATACTATTGTTCTGATCCTGCCCTTTGTCCCACATATCTCCTAATTCCTCCAACGACTTCTGCATTTTGGCTTGATCTTGGAGTTCTATATTAAGACTTTCATCATCAAATACTTTGCCTATTAAGCAAGTCAACAACTTCATCATGTTTACGATAACAGTATAGTGTAAAGTTTTGGACATTGCGTAGAAATTTACAATTTTAGATACTGTTCCTGGTAGTACATGGGACAACTGTTCAGGTGTCATATGCCTAGAGTAGAGTGCTTCCAATGTCGAAAGGCAATCGTTGACTAGTTGAGTTTCTTCAACAGAATTTGGGTTAGTGCTACCACTTAATATATCTAGAAGCAAAGTAATTGTATTTCCTAGCAAAGCCAAGTTTTTCTTTGTCAGCGGATTATCCCCGGCAGAGAAATAACCTTTAGGAAGACTTGAAATGATTTGATCAAGACAAGCTAAACCTGCAGCCTTGAACTCTATATTGGAATGTAAAACTTTCAGTTCCTTCGGGGTACTGCCACCCATCAAGAAAACAACCAATGGGTATAACTGATCTATTAGGGTTTGGTTGGGATTGAACGACCATACATGCAGTAGGAGGAATGCCGTGATACTCAATATATAGCCAATAACCGAATCATTCAAGCTTGGTTTCTTTAGTAAATTCGAAAGGGGGTAAAATACATAATCTGCTACATTCGGAGCCAATTGATATCGAGCTACTTTATCTTTGTGTTGCCTATAGTGTGCCTCCAAAGTATTCTGAACATTACCGAGGCAGGTAGATAGTTGGCTTGATTCCGATCTGAAAAGTTGATCCGGTAGGAGCGATACGTTGGTCAATTCGACACAATACGGTTTGATTTCAGCAAACAACAGCAGAGAGAGTTGGCGTATTGTATCATTGGACATGATATCGATGTAACAAAGCTGAAAGGACTAGTTACAAGAGAGTTCTGATTTGAGCTAGTTCTACTTCTTCACTCTGATCTTTTACTTGGTTTGGTCACATGACAAATCATGTGATATAATTTCAGTATTTCTTAATTTACCCGTCCGCTGAGTAAACCTCCGCATGGGAATTGAAAATTTTCAAAAAAAATCTCGAACTTCTGGCAATAAAAAATTTTCACTACCGGTAGGTACTCTTTTCTTCTTCAGTCACTTCACATTATCTTCAACAAACAATAATATAAGTATGTAGCATTATTAGGATATTATTACGGAGCTCGGGCCACAGATATAATTACGGGCTAACGTTCTTCGTTTTATTACTTTTTCATACTTTTAATTTTGTGGTTGATGATTCACTAATAAACATGGCAATAGAATCCACCTGTCTTGACGATGATTTACAGGATATACCAGAAAATGGACCAATATTACTGGTTTAATTTGTTGATCTTCCGATGAATTTTAAGTTCCCTTTTCAACAATCGGAATAATTGAAAATCTCGAGACGGGTAGATACCTCTTGTCTAGTGGGTCTTTTGAATCTAATTTTTTAATTAGACACTCAATATGACATTTTTATTATTTCGAATCATGTTTCTTTTTTTACTAACATACTTTTTTTTTTAGAATGACTAGAACTTCTGTCTTAGCTGATGCTTTAAACTCCATTAACAACGCCGAAAAGACCGGTAAGCGTCAAGTTTTAATTAGACCTTCTTCCAAGGTTATTGTTAAGTTTTTAACAGTTATGCAAAAGCATGGTATGTATTTATGAGAGAGAGAACGAATATCAACAAGTTGCGATTACCCCAAGTTGGCCAATTTTCTTTTTTTTTTTATTTCAAATCCTTTTAGTATGGAAAATTAGTTTTCCCCGAATTGATAACTGGATGGTTTGATCGGTGTTCAGTCCCTTTCTGTCTTTTAAGTATTCGGCATAGAAAAGCTCTAGGAAATGCTTCTTACACGGTTTTGAAAACTCCATTTTCTCTAACCGTTTACTTTTCCTCGACATCTTTATTATATATTACATACTACTACTAATGGCACTCTGAACGGGAGGTAATGTGGCATTCGCAATTTTATTTTATTTTTTTTTATTTTTCATTCATACTAACATTGAAACCAGGTTACATTGGAGAATTTGAATACATTGATGACCACAGATCTGGTAAGATCGTCGTTCAATTGAACGGTAGATTGAACAAGTGTGGTGTTATCTCCCCAAGATTCAACGTCAAGATTGCTGACATCGAAGGATGGACCGACAACTTGTTACCAGCCAGACAATTCGGTTATGTTATCTTAACCACATCTGCCGGTATCATGGACCACGAAGAAGCCAGAAGAAAGCACGTTTCTGGTAAGATTTTGGGTTTCGTTTATTAGGTAGGTTTAATTATGTAGAGTAACAAAAGTAAATAAGAAAATAAAATATGTAATACAGTTAAATGTGTAAGTAAGGACATCCAGTATCTTTTAATTAGCGCCCCTCGTAGTGTATTAGCGTCCTCGTAGTGGCTAAGCGTCCCTCATAGTGTGTTCTCATTGGCGCTGATCTGAAATATCGCGCGAGATCAGCGCTAACCTAAGAAGAGCTAGAAAAAAGGAGAATAGTAGAACAGGACGGGGCCAGGCAGGTATATGTTCCCTTTTCTCCAGTTCACAGCCATGGTACTTCCAGAATCGCTCAAGTTTATAGGATCCACGCTATCGTGGACATTGAGAGCGGGCTGCTTGGCTCATTTGATCCACGAATATGTCTACGAGTTCACTGAAACACGAGGTGAGTCGATGCTCCCTACATTGCAAGCCCAGAACGACTACGTGCATGCTTTTAAGAAACACAGATTGGGGAGAGATCTCAATATCGGAGACTGTATTGTAGCCATTAAGCCTAGCGACCCGGAGCATAGAGTTTGCAAGAGAATAACGGGAATGCCTGGTGATATGATATTGGTGGATCCCAGCTCTTCTTCCCCATTGACCAATTCGCACAATGAATGCATAAGCAACGATGGGTTTAACAAGTACATACGGGTCCCGGAGGGCCACGTTTGGGTAACTGGTGACAACCTATGCCACTCGCTAGACTCAAGGTCGTATTCCGTGCTACCAATGGCATTAATAAGAGGGAAGATTGTAGCTGCTAACTCATTGAACAAAGGCTTTAGAAATCCTGAGACAGGCAAGTTCTGGTTCTGGAATTTGAGGTGGATAGAAAACTCTTTCGTGAGTGAAAAGATATAGCATACATCTGAAGGACATACCACATTAGAACACCATGATGAGAGAAGTATCCCATTGCTTGAGCGTGGAGTTCTCTTCTCTGCTGGCCTCTTCACCTGAAGGCGTATGATAGTTTCACGGCTCACCCCACAATTCAACACCATTCAGCGTCAGGGTAGGTACCAGCATCACTACATAAATTAATAAACATCTACATTACACTATCGCCAAAACATTCTTCCATTTCTAATTTATTTTTTCTAAAAGTTTTTCTACTCTACTACTACCATTACTCTCTATATATACCTTCGAACTCTCTATTTGCCAATCTTACGGAATTTTGCCAAGTCTCTGAAAACTCTGGATCCAAAGTAGATACTTGGACCTCCAAGGATGGCAGAATAGAACAAAGTTGTGAAAATTGATGCACCCAAGTAGTAGTTGACAAAAGTACCTTCAAATCCAACAATACAGAGGAAGAAAGCAATATCGTTGATGAATTGTGCTCCAGAAATGTCACCGCTGTGGTTAAACAAGTTGAAGCCAATTGTACTGACCCAGGTAACCAATAACAAGAATACAAGAGTGATAACTCCAAAGATGAAAATAATTGGAACAGCAGGTCCAACTGTAGAGGGGGATTCTTTAAATATGTGGTGGATTTCTGGTTTAATACCAATTCTTTCAGCTTTCTGGTATTTGTTGGCTGCTTGAAGGTCTGCATTAGGAACTAATTCTACCAAGTTCTTGAATAAATTGGCACCCTTTGACGATTGGTCGGCAATAATTACTTTCAAAAATAATTTATCTTCAGCCTTGATTGAACTGGGTAATTGACTAACTGGCACAACAATTGAAATTGTATTGGTGGAAGGAGCAACCTTTGGGATCACAGAATACTCCAACCCAAATTCATTACCAATTGTTACTACAGCTTGGTGAGGTTTCTTGGACAATCCGTCTATAGTTAAAGATAAGTCGATTTTATCCTTTGGACCAATTGCTAACTGCTTCACCTCTTGTGTGTTGAATTCACCGATTGCCAAATTGCCATTGCCTGCTTTAATTGAGCCGCTTACAATGCTAAATGCAAGGGTACTGGCACATTGAAGTGCAAGTAATGCGCCGCCGAACTTCATGTTTGGAAATATACTGCTATGATAATATCTGAAGGGAAGACAGCTGGCGTTCTCTTTTGTCTCTCGTTTGGCTCTGGTTTTGGTTTATGTGTTCTGAATAATTTTCAATCAATATCCACATGCAGGAACAGCGTTCACGCAATAACAAAAATTTGGACGGGAATGGCGTTGAAAAATAAAAAGTGCTGCAAGCATAAAAAAAAAAATGGAGAGAGTTGAAGAGATTCAGCTATTGATCGTGAACTCTAGACTCTCAGTCATAAACTCTGGGCTTGGAGCTATTCCATAACCCTCTTCTACAGTTTCAAGTTTGATTGCGTTCATGTTTTGAGTAGACATTGCTTTCGTATTGTCGTTGCATGGCAATGATAATGCCTTTGTAGTCAGTAATGTAGCGCGGATGGAGGATACCACCACAATTGAAGTTATGCCTACTATCACTAGTAGTAGCAAGAAGGGAAGCAAGAAAATACCTTAGTGTTAGTCGGCAGCGTGTTTGGCTAAGTCGAGACTCTCAAGTTATACGTACTCATAAGGATAAAGGTACCAATAAACAGTAGCCATAGTATAATAAAGAGCCCCGAGGAGAGGGCTAACATGGGAAGTACTGGTGATACTGATAACTAAGCTGTTAGTTCGGCTGCGTAAGTGCGCGTATATTCGCATATACTTCTAAATTGATGTTCCCGCATATATAGCAGACCCATCCCAATGTACTACGTACCATAAACACCTTTAGGCGGCTAGGAGGTCTGAGCAGCTTCACTCTCTTTACCAAGCTACGGAGCCTGACAAAGAAACTATTTATTTGCTGTTAGTAGGACGCTACTATACTTAATTGCTAAGTATGATAAGGATTGTTTAGGACGTACTTGAAAATTGTTCCCCCAACTGTAGTGTCGTTCCAATTAATAATGAAGTGCGATGCTTTATACAGCAACTGACCAATTATGCGTGTAAATCTTTCTCTTAGAACAATCTTAAGGCCAGGCGAGCTGGCAGCTTTCCTTCTGGATCGAATTACCTGTCTGTTATCTACGTTAAAGAAGGAGAATGCTTTCGACATTGGGCACTTTGCAAGAAAAGAGTGATGAAGAATGGCTGCAAATTAAAAAAAAAAAAAAAAAAAATTACAGAAGAACAAATAGTTGGCCCAAAAGAAATATAAGCGAGCGAAGAACTTTCCACTAATAGCACACATATATTTCCTATAGAAACGAAGTTAATCTAGTTTTTCTACTTCAATGTTAACTTTATCCGTCTTTGTCTCTTCAATGGTAGTTTCAGATTCAACATCATCAAACTTGGCTGCAAGGGAACCATCCCCGAACTGACTGATATCGTAACCTTCTTCCTTTAAGTACTTGAAGAATGCGTAATCTTCTTGTGACAAAGCATCTTGAGAGATTGATGGGCAGCAAAACAAACATAAAAATAAAGAAAAGAAACAAAGAGCCGATGAAATATAGATTGGTACTTGCATACCCAAATTTTCATCGATCTTGTCATACTTCTTCTTGATAGCTGGGAACACCCATGTTCCTACGAAGGCTCCAATTTTACCTGTAGCTGCAGCAATTGCGTAGTATTGACCACGGACAGGAGTCGCAGATGTTCTTGCTGCCAAGATACCAATATTATTACCTGGTCCCAACTCACCTAAAGAGGAGAAAATACCAAATACTACAGTGAATCCAGCAATGTGTTTCTTTAATTCTGGGTAGCAGCCCCCCATAGCAAATCCAATGATTGCCTGTAATCCAACACCTAAGCAAAATGTTAATCTTGGACCAATGTAATCAGATACCCATCCTCCGATAATGGCACCTGGCATGTAAAATAAGTTAAACACAACATTCCAACCAAATGATTTGTACAAATCGCTTCCAGGAATGATCTGGTCGAAAATCCACGAGGAATAAGTGTTAAAGGAGTAGACAGAGAAATCATACATAAACCACAATAAGGCTACCACAAGCAACCTAAACCAATAAAACTTGAAAATTAACCAGTAAGGCAATTTTTGAGTTTTACTAATCTTTGCTTTGGAAAATGACCCTTCTTCAATTAATTTTAGTCTTAACAAGAATAAAAATAACGGAGGGAAGACACCCAAACCAAATGACAATCTCCAAACAGCAGTCAAATGTCTTGGGGTGAAAATCCATAAAAGAACTAAGGGGACGAATGATGAAATAACGAAACCCAAATCGATCATGGCATTTGTGAACCATGAAAAGTATCTATTTCTATGTCCCTTTGGAAGAGAATTGGCAAACTCTGCAGCAATGACTGAAGAGGTGGGATATTCAGATCCAATAGCAACACCCAAGAAAAACCTGAATGCCGTAATTGCAGCCAACATTCCGTAAATGGAACCATGAGCCCCCCAAGTTGCACACGAACATAAAAGGGAGAAGACCATAAGCATTACATTTGCAGCCAACATACCAGTTTTTCTTGACATGTAATCCGAAACGAATCCAAATGTTAACTGCCCGACAACAATTCCCACGAAAGCAATGGATGGAACGTTTGAAATTGCGTTCGAACCCTCATATTCCTTAGGATATAAAGTTGACAAACATGTGTTAATCGTACCAATTGAGTTGTTAACGTAACCATCTGAAAAGAGACCTGCTCCACAACAAAATGTTGGCCATAAAGTGTTAAAAGTAACCTTCTTGGCACTTTCATCTTCGTCATATAATTGGGCAGCTTCATCTTCAAATTCTGCCTTACCCTTTGGCAATTCTTGGGAAACTTTCTTTGTCCAACCTACGAAAAAGTCTGGAATTGACTTTGGGAGATCTCGAGTTGACATATTGAAATCGGTTTTGTCTCAGAAGAATTTTCGAACGTCAAACTGCATTCCAGGTGAGTAATTTCATGATTTTTGAAGCCCATTTATATCATAGATCTTCCAAACGTGAAGATAAGAGACTCACTATGGCCCCGTGTTTCATAAGATTTGAACATTTATTTTTTACTTTTTATCTATGCTGCAGCCCAAGGTTATAAAAACGTGGGAACAATATGCTTCATAATGCACTAAATTGGACCAAGATCTTGTACGGCTAAAATACTGCCTCACAGCGCTTAAGATGAAATTAAAGTTTTAGAAGGATAACCTGTCAAAACTACGCGAGCCTTAGTGCCATGAATTTTTTAGCCAGCTAAGAGCGAGAAGGCAATGTGTTTCGTGGTTTTGATCTTTTTACTTACGAGCCTCCAAAATAAGACTGAAAATCGAGGAGTTCCACTTTTGCATGTTTAGATGAGATACACATTCTATGCACCTCATCCAAATTTTATTTAAATATCAGCCTCAAAATACACCTTAAAGTACAAATTCCTAGATTGATAAGTGGTTACAATTTCCCAAAGTGGAATTTAAAAATCCTACATTCCCAAGGCTTACAGGATAATGATATATCCATATAGACTGCCAGGACTCGCTAGCAAAAATATTTTTTAGGTTATAAATTAGATTATACTTTGGTCTAATTTACTACAAAAGTCCCCAATTAACGATAGAAACAAAAAATCACAGTAAGAGTGAAACAAACATGGTCCAATCGTTCATCTCATTGACTTGGGCATGTAAAACTAAGTTTTCCATTTACGGAAATTAAGAAGAATAGCTGAGGTTCGGTAAAACGTAGCCACATACCGTATTGACTGGATCTTCACATTTAGAGAAAATGCCCTGGAACTATGATGTTAAAAAATATTTCAAAATATTATTTAAATATTTTCTGCAATAGCTCAATACGTTTCATAACTAAGAGATAGTGCGGCTCTTCATTAGCTGATTGAGGCTCTCTTCATCTTCAAATATTACGGCGCCCATCCCACCTAATAGATGCCCTAGGTTGTGACAATGTATTAACCAAATGCCTGGATTGTCAGCAACAAACCTTATTACTGAGTGCCCACGAGGTGGGATGTAAGTTATATCAAATAACGGCGGATTGTCATTGAATGCCGTGTAGCCATGTTGCACAGCGTCTTCAACCGAATTGTGAATAAATGCATTCGAATTGTCATGGCTTAACAAATAAAACAAGTGTCCATGAAGATGAATCGGGTGACCCATGGCGTTGCTATTATTTATTATGATATCAACGATATCACCTGTTTTAATGTTGTCTCTTAATGCCCATTTGCCATACGATTGTTGAGAGAAGTTGTAAAGCAAAGGTTTATCGTGCTCAAAGTTATGGGGTAAGAGCTCTCCATCAGGAAACAAGCTGAACGTTATCATCCCCGTACGATTCAAATGCAAATTAAAAGTATGATCTGCTGGACGAGTTCCTAAATTGTACCTTGCACTCTCATCAAAGGGAGCAGTGTTTTTTGGCCAGATGGATGTATAATTCTCCAGTATTAACCTACCATCTAAATCTTGGAAAATTGTAGGTAGAGTATCATTTCTAGTTCCGTTTTCCATGTGATTAACTAGATATCCGACACCTTCTATAAATTGAGGAGTTAAGGCGGCTGCAAACCGCATGGGGAATATTCCCCTTTTTGCCTTAACAACGATGGTAACTCTGGAACCGACAGGCAAAATTATTTGATGCCCGATTTGTGGATTTACAAATATCCCATCAATTGCTACAACCCACAATTGATGACCATCAATTGAGAATGCTTTGGTAAATTGCCCACCAGCATTGAGAAGGTTGAAATAGTACCAATCTGTATTTGAATGGTGCTCAAACTGCTCTGTGAAAGTCAGATCACAGGTTTCGTAATACCCAGGAATTTCCAAGCCCAGGAAATTGGTGGCATTGGTGTAGCCATTCTCCATTTTCATACAGCCCCAACTGTCGAATTCTCCATTCCTTACGTTTTGCAGCGTGCCATTTTTATTTCTTAACCTTTCAAATACTTCTGGATCATGACATACCTTTCTGCCCTTTCCATTAATCAAAATACTCTGTATACAAAGAGGATCGACTCCGTAATCAAACATTCTTGAAATTATGCTGTCCATATCCCACTTGAAAGAGTCGTCACCTATAAGCGGGATCGGATCTTTCTCAAGTTCTAACAACGTTTCTATATCCAGTGTATCGTTTGTTATCAAATGATATGGTCTCTCTCTCTTCGGACTAGGTACAAAATTCATTGGACCGTATACCCCATCTGTCAGGTATCCTCTGTGATGGGCATGATACCACGTAAAACCATATTGATCTTTAACCTGGAATTCATAAATGTATGATTCACCCGGAAAGATTGGATTCTGGGTTACTCCAGACACGCCGTCTGCCCAAGGAGTCCCTCTTTGAAGAATCCCATGGAAGTGAATCGTGATGGCCACCGGCAGATTGTTATTAACCGTAACTCTGACCCAGTCGTTTTCATCACCTTGGATGCATGGTCCTGGGGATTGACCATTGATACGTAAACCGCTTTTGAAGATTCCATCTGGATTCACGTAGTTACGAGTAATAGATAGAGTATGCTCTTTAAAGATTGTATCTTCTTTGGCATATGCTAAGATATCATCCATTGGAAGAGTGTATGCATAGCTGCCTGAAATTAGACAAACAGAAACAAATAGCTTGCTCAAAGTGGATAATCCCATTTGAACGATTAAAGTTTGATAAGCAATTCAAAAGTGAAAGATCTTAAAAAGTTTCTCTACTTAAATGATTGAAAAAAGATTAAAATTTTGATTGAATTTCCATACATTTCAAACTTATCGAACTTATTTCTCATAGTAAGAATAGAATACCAAAAAAGACAACTCATAAACCAGAAAGTGTAGCATCTGAACGGTTTTAGAAACTATAGTTGCAAAATTTTCATTATCTGAGAGAACCGAAAAAATGGTTGCACAATTTTCATGCATGTCGCATGGAAGAGCACCACCAGTGGCTTTAGACTAATAAAGATACTGCAATTACAGAATACACTTGCCCTCTTTTAGACAAATTACTTCAGTATGAGCCCTTCCTGGTCAACCATAAAGCTTAGCACTACTCCCCTTTTAGTACAATCCACTGTCAAATGCAACCACCACCTCTGAATCCTTTTATGCAGCATTCTTCCATGATCTTCGGAGTTACCAAGGCACAGTCTCGACGCGCGTTGCAATTTTCACTTTCTGATTCAAAAATGCTTCACTACTGTGCAACTCTGGCTTCTCTCACACCTTCAACTTTATAGAACCTTCAGCCAACAGTCCTTATGCAGTTTTTGTCAGCTAGAACTTTGTTGTACCTCAGGGTATGTTTCCTTGCAACTATTACTTATTATTCTGTAAGAGATCCATCGGTAATCTTTAACTCAGGATTTGTATTCTTACTTGGGCAAGCGATGGAGTTACCCACCATTCAAATTGAAGACCTCAACGATCCTATCTTTGGATTGGTGGCCCTTGCCTTTGGATCTTTGACCATTGCTGAAGTAGTTCCATTATTTTCAGATAACATTGAATACTTTGAAAGTATTGTACCTGCAAGATTATTCATATATTTCGTTGTAGGGTTCACTTCATATGGTGGGTATTCTGAGACACTTAGTAATAATGTCATTTTTGTATATGCATTTTTCGAAGTTTGGTTTAACTTTTTGATTTTCACCAATTTGAGAGATGAGCGTTATAAGAGAGTGAAGAAGTTGTTGGAAGAGGCTCAAAAGAAGGGAGATGTCAACTTGGAAGGATTGAACCAAAGTCAAATTGATGTAGTTATGTCTGAATTGTTACAAAGGTCCAAGGAATAAGTCTAAGTATACATATATCCAGATATATACTCGTACGTACATATACTCGTACATACATAAATACATAAATACCTATATACATAAGCACATACCTAAATCCAAATATTGTACATTGTCTAGCTTGTTGCATCTTTCATGAAGTTGGAAATCACCCATTGTAAGCACTCTTCAACGTCGTAGATTTCACTGACATTCAGTTCAAGCAACTTGACACCGTCCTCAAGCTTTTCATTTTCGTATTTCATTATGGAAATGTTCACCATGAGATTGCAGAATGTTTCACTGGCACTCAAAGTCAAATCAATCTTCAATACATTCTTTTTACTATTGTTTCGTAATAAGATTGTGATCTCGGATGTAGGTGACTTGGTCGACTTTTCAAATATATCTTGAACTTTCTTGGTTTCGCTTATAGGTTGCAATGTCAGGTACTGCTTGGACAGAATCTTCACCGCAGCATCTTCAACACCTTCAGATTTATATGCCAGGGTGATGTTCTCTACTATGTATAAGATATTCTTGAAGTTTATTTCATGTCTGAGATATCCCAATAGAGGTCTCAAGATAAGTGGGTGTGAGTTTGCTAGCTTCCATTTGTTTCTTGCGGTAGGCACCCCTTGGCGTAAATTCAAATTGTATTTATAGAAGCAGCATAGCATGAGCTTCAAGAAGATCAAGATTTGTTGTGCTTTGCCGTTGTTCATCGAAGATTCCTTGTTTATATTCTGATACAAGTTATTCAACTCGTCCTCATTGTTTTCATCATAGATGACCGATTCAATCTCAATGATATTGTCATTAACCTCAATAATGATCTTGTTGGATATTATGGAAACGTTGTAGTTTATTAATGTCTTAGCCTCACGGGTCAATTGACTGAATAAGTCTTCCTCAAAGAGAAAGAACCGAATCTTTTCTATATCATTCAAGATGGAGATGTCGCCGAAACTGCCCCCGCTCTGAATTATGTTTGAGGAATTGAATATGGACTGGCCAGTGAGCATGTAGTCATCATCTATCTTACTTAAGATTTTAACCCTGATGTATTTGTAAACCTTATCTGCCACCTTAATACCACCGGTGCCGCTGGATATCACCGGCAACAAAGACACCATCCCATCTCTTGAATCCCTTTTCAAGACAGCTAACCCCGGGTCATGGTAGCTCGAGCCAGAGTCGCCAAATCCATACTTTACTCCAATTGATCTGAATCCTGTAGTTGGGTCTCTGGTCTTGTATAGCACTTCTCCGCTTTGCAATACCGAGTGGATGTTTTCCCAGTATGTGTGCTCCTTGAGCACCTGTTCATTGAGCCTGAGACTGGAGTTTCTGAACGAGCTTGTGATCTTCTCCAATGACTCCAACTTCAAGCCTTGACCGATTGAGGATGTCTCTTCAGATCTATGTGGGTCGGCCACCTCGAGCTTGTCAGAGTTCAATGACCCGAGAGGAACAGTCTTGGTCAAGTGAGGGGACATGGTAGTCTTTCCAATGTTAGGCTTGACAGACGAAATCAACAACGAAACGAAGTCTAACGACAACGACGTCTCATTCAAGGCTGTACTGATATATTTACTCAATTCTTGTTTCTGGACTTGAAAGTTTTCATACGTATTGATACTGCTGCCAGTTTTCAATTCTTCGTCGCCTTTCAATCCTTCGTTTTCAATTTTGTCATCTTCACTCCCCGCTACTCTCAGAGCTTCTCCATTGCCTTCGCTATCAGTAAGATCGTCGTCGCCGTCACGGCCCTCTTCCCGTTCTCCCTCTTCTTCCTCTTCAATCTCTTTCAACAAGGACTCCTCTGTGATGGTCAAAAAATGCCTTTCTTGGAGTATTCGAGGTATGATCTCCGTTATGGACAATTTGTTCCTGTCATTGTTAGTACTCCACAAAGAAGAACTACACCAATATCACCCAGAAAGGGCCCCTTCAAATCAAAACTTACTCATCCTGTATAAATGGGTCTCTGTACCCTTCACCGTACAATTCATGGTCCAATCCTAAATGTATTTTTCCTTCCATCTCTGCAATGGTGTCCAGTAATCGGTGGCCCTAGGAATAAATTCATGTTGATAAATAATTTTTCAATTTGGCAAAATGCCAATCGCACAAAAAACTCCAGGCCCCACAGACCCCCAGACCCCCCACCGGACCACATTGAGCTACAAATGTAATTCCCTGCTAAGCACCAAAGGTAGGACCAGCGTATCTTTCGTCTATTTAAAGCTTTCAGAGGAGTGACAGACTGTCACTAGCAGGTCAATTTGTGGTTCTGTGGCATAGGGTTTCGCTTGAGGTCACACTACTCACTACTTTGCTACATTAATATCACTACTAGTAGTACTAGTACTAGTAGCAGTATGTCTTTGTTTCTTATTTTTCTATTTTCTACTTTTCTGTTTTCGTTTAATCTATTCTATATCTATCAGAGATATTAGAGATACAGTCGTACTTAATCAATGAAATCATCCAAATCACCCTCTTCAATGGCCTTCAACAAGTCAAACTCGTCGTCCTTACCTTCCAATCCATTCTTAACATCTCCCTTTCCGTCATTAATCAGGGGATACCTCATGCTCTTGACACTATCACTGCGCAAAGACAAGCAAAACTTGATTCTTTGATTAAACTCCAGTTGCGGCAATTTGGTGGAATAGATATCAAGGAGCTCCTTACTTTGCATGTATCCATGTTCGTGATTTATACTTGCTTCTATAACTCCATCTCTTATGGCTTTACTGACAATGTACTCAGTCAGCTCTTCGGAATCCAAATGTAACTTTATACAGATGTCTTTCAAACTTATCTTAGCATATGACAAGGAAATGATTCTAATACCAGTCTTAATGACGTTTTGTCTCAACCTTAAGATCAAGGTATAATAGTCATCCTTCTTGAAAACGTCTTCATACTTCTTCAATACTTCGCTGAAGAGCTTTAAGTCTCCCAACTTGACTGCTCTGGTGACTTCAAAGTATGGTAAGAACGATGAGGCAACTTCATTGGATGCAGTGGCATCGTTTGCATTGTTCTTGAATACTTTCAATTCTGGTACATCCCCCATTAACAATTCAATCACAATATTCAATTTAGATGAGCTCTTGATGAAACCACTAGCCAATTGTGTCTGTGGGCACTTTCTAATCGAAGTAATACAACATTCATGGGCCAGAGAGTAGTCCAATTGGATAGCGTGGATCTTTGCAACGTAATAGTAGTATCTTGCCACTATGGCATTTCCAGCGCTGTGCTCTGGGAAAACAGTCTTCTCAACTAAGTTTGAAGCTTGATTGATGTCGTGGGTCAATAAATAGTTTCTCAATAAGAAAGTTATCACAGAGCCAGTAGTCTCATCGTCATGTCTGAGTGTAGAAGTTCTCAAGGCGTTCAATAAGGCAGGACGGATAGTTAAGAAATCCCCGATCAATTCTTTGGTTCTGGCAATGTAAAACCATATCTTTGCTTGGATAAAGTCCAAGGATCTCTTGTTGTAGTTTTGTAGAATATCAATGATAGTGTTGTTGAAAGAATCCAACTTTTCCAATTCACCAAGATCAAGCAATACCACTTGAACCAAAAGATGAACGTAAAGATCAATTTCTGGTAATATCTCGGCGTCGGAAGTTTCAGTGTTGTCGATTTCCATCAGATCGGATTCAATGGTTGACGAGCCTCCGACAATTTGTCTAAGTGCACCAACGTTCGGGTGTGATTCTGGATATGTCTTGTTAACTACGGTGGATAAAACTTCCAAGGGCTTGCCTGATTTAACTAAATTGCGTCTCAACGGTCCCAATTCACGGAAAACCTTGGAGACATATCTATTATCGAAGTTCACGGATGCCTTGCCAAGAAGGACAAACGATTGATCAATTTCATTCACAAGTTCAGACATTTTACGGTTCTATTCAATACTGTGGCGGAAGATACCTAAATATAAAGAGGAGATTTGTCGTGAATATGATCGCTGATGGTCTGTATTATATCAAATAGCCAAGTGCTGGGCGAGTTCCTAGTAGTTTCCATTTCGTTCGCTTGCCACCTAAGGAAAGTGTTCAAAAACAAGCCTGTGCGCGACCCATATCACGTGATCGTAAAAACTGCTGCATAAGCGGCTTGAGATGGTTTGAGTCAGCAGAGCACCAGAGATATAGAGAGGATGAGAGAACACTCCAGAGGAGACCGGTGTAGCGGGTCCCAGCGAGTATCCTGTTGCATCTTTTTGCTCTGGTGTAGCTCGAAATAATTAGAAATTGCTTTCATTTTTATCAATTTTCTCAAACATTGTACCCTTTCCTATCTTAGTTCAGCTATGGATTTCTCACCATGAGTTCCTTTGTCTTTCTCTCAGGCAAATTCGGACTTAAGTTGCACTCTTTCTAGCTTCCCCAACAATGGACGGCCAGTATGGCACATTTGAATAGTCTAACATACGTATGTACTTATGTTAAGGGCTTATTGCGCGACCAAACCCAAAAGCGCTTCCTCGACCTACCATTGGGCCCATCTTCGTGTTTCTCCTGCCCTATCCTGTCTCCTGTTCTCTCTGCCCACACTGCGTTTACTATCCTTTTAGGCTTCCTCCCCCTCGTAGTCGCACATCGATTTCCGCTCTACTGGTCTGGCCCCACAATCACGAAAATCACCCTGCTATTTATACCTGGAATTTTCACCTGCAATCTGCTGAAGCTAGTTTACCCTCTTTTCTTCTCGCTTATCTGAATTATTGATAAAAGTATAAGACGCATGCCTCTCAATCCTTCTACAGTTCCAAAGTCAGCCCCTAAAGCACCAGAATTGGTGCCAGTGTTTTTCGTCAACTTGAAGCTCCAGGATCCATATCCGGTATTGGAGAACAAAAGCTATGCACACTCCGTCACACTTGTTAACATAGTCGATGGTGATATTAGCACTGTTCCAAACAAGTTGAAGTTGGAATTGGATGCTAACAGCTTGGTGGGTATCGACCACATCACTGCTGATACTAAAGTAGGTGCTAGCAAGCTTGATTGTTACGTTTACGGGAAGACCCCAAGCGGTGCTGGATTACACATTCACTACTTTGGGCTTATCAAGGGAAATGAAGCAATTGGAAAGATTTTAGGTGGTGGAAAATCAATTGAGACTGATTTTGCTGAAGACTACATTACTAGCAACCCGGTGATCCTGTTTGACGGAGAGGTCGAAGAGAAGTACTTGTGGGCCAAGAAGGAAAACCTTATCGGCAAGGGAAGATTCGTCAGAGACGAAGCTGGAACTTTATACGTTCAATATTATGTATATGTATTAGAGTAAGTAAACAGTTATTTTATAATATACATTATCTTTTCATGATCCCTTTCTCTCTCTTGGGTTCTTTGTTCTTCCTCTTTGTTGGATAAACTAGAATCCAATTCTGAACCACCCAAAATCAAATAGGAAGGATAAAAAAATACTTATAACAGCGAATCAACATAAACTATGGGAAGGGGAGGAAACAAAGAAATATTATCAAAATAGGAAACCTGAAAGGTCAAAATACGTACATCTAGGTTCGTCTCATTTTCTGTCTTAAAGTCATCTTTCGTACATTAATTCCCCTAACAACATGAGTTGGATTGATTGGATGTTAACGATTGACCGCTCAAATTAACATTTGACTTACCGTTATTTCCATTATTATTATTACTGGCATTGTTGGTCATTTGTGCCTTGATTTGTCTAGCCATGGTGAAGAAAGCTTGTTCAACGTTGGTTGAGGATAATGCAGAAGTTTCTAAAAATGGGATATCCAAGGCATCAGCAAATTCTTTGGCGGCGGTGTACTCAACAACCTTCTTATCAGACAAGTCCGCTTTGTTACCAACTAACAACTTCATCACACCACCAGTTGCATATCTATCAATTTCTTGTAACCATTGTTTGACGTTATTGAATGATTCCTGATCGGTGACATCGTAAACGATAATGATCCCGTGGGCTCCACGGTAGTAGGACGAAGTGATGGTTCTAAATCTTTCTTGACCAGCTGTATCCCAGATTTGTAACTTGATGGTTTTGCCATCCAACTCGATAGTTCTAATTTTGAAATCAACACCAATGGTGGAGATGTAATCTTGGGTGTAGGTGTCATCGGCGAATCTTAATAACAAACAAGACTTACCGACACCGGAATCTCCAATCAATAATAACTTGAACAAGTAGTCGTATTCACTGTTCATCTTTCTGTATTATGATACCAAACGTGAACCGAATCAAAATAATATATGTTTATAAATAAAAGGGGCCAGGGGGGAACAGGCTCTATGTGTCGTGACGAGGGGGAACTTAGGAAACAGACAGCAAAGAAGGGGGCAACAACAACAACAGTTTGATTTGATCTTTTCCACTAGTATGAATTCAGGGGAAAGTACAAAATAGGTATGATGGTATTGTACGTAGAATTAAAATAACGTTATATCAATCTGTTAACCAATACGTGTATAGATAGTTATACTAAGATCTGTTAACACCAGCTAAGAGGAAAAGAGGGAAAGAAAAAAATAAAATTGAAAGTGAGCATGGCAGGCGTTTGTGTTGCCTTTCGGTTCTTGTACACACGACCATGTGACCTATGCAGGCACCGGAAACAGCGAAGGGAAGATGGGGTCAGTATGGGCTGGGGTGCGGGTATTGTATGAAGGAAGAGGTAACAGATAAGAGTTGCAAGTATTCATAAAGTTCATGTCATTGATTCTACATAATCTAGATAAGGATATACCTAATATATAAATATGATTTCAAGCTGCGCTACTGTATAAAAGGGTGCTGGTAGGTTCGGTTTGGCTTCAGAGACGAGACATACACCTCAGCCAGTACCTCTACACAGTATCTCCACACTGTAGACTGCGGATCTTCTTCTTCATTTTCAGTTTATTAAGCACATGCGGCTCTCACTACTCTTTCTTCGATTTCAGAGCCTTAGCTTTCTTCTGCGCGATCTTAACCATCTTGTAGAACCAGAACACATTCAAACAGTTCAACATCATGTTAAGACTCAAAACTACCACGGGGAAAAACGGATTCAACAAATGTCTGGTGTGCCATAACGATCCAGCCACCTGACTGACTGCGTAGAACCCCCATAAGATTCTAACAACGAAAAACACTATCATCAAAATTAAGCCATTGATCATGACAAACTTATCACTGAAGGTTCCTGCAGGCAATTTTGAGGCAAACCAGTTCATGTTAACAAAGGGTGTGCTGACTTCAAATAACAAAAACGCTGGAACCCAGGGTAAGCAAAATGGAATCAACGCAGTTCCAAACACATAGAGTGCAGCCAATCCATGGAATAAGAAACCGGTTCCGAACAACAGGAAGTATGCGAGACAGACGTAGGTGTCCCAGAGGAAATACCCCGTGGTAGCAGCTGCCACCAAACCTCCAAATGGATAGTAACCTACAATGGAAGACACTGGGTCAGTGGTGTAGTTGTATAACATTGGGTGGTACCAGCAATTTACCACAAAATAAATCGAAATGACGCATTGCACTTGTGACACTACGTGAATGTCAAAGTTGACCTTGGTCTTACGGTCCAATTTGGTGTAAGTTTCACCAAAGATGTATTTTGAGCTAAATGCTGATATGTATTGGATCAGCACGTAGAACAAAAATGACGCAGCGATCTCATGCCAATGAGCCTCGAAATAGTTTGATGGGTTCTCAGGGAATGGTCTATACTGGAGGAATGGGTCCTCGGTTTTTACTGGGAAAAAGTCAATTGGCTGGTACATGACAGGCAAGATGGCTTCGATATGTGAAAGGATAAGAAACAAGACGAATTCAACGTAAAAAAGAACGAAAGAAGAGCCCCAAAAAAAGAGGAAAAAAAAAACAAATTCACAAAATACAGAAACCAAAAAATCAACCACCATGTTTTTTTTTATCTCCTATAGGCAAAGTGGATCATTGGGTTTCCTGTATCTCCGTAATCTTTGGGGAAAAACAAAAGAAGAACCAGTGAAGCTAATAGTTCAATGTTGGGAAGATGTGCTACGTGCAGGTACTGATGAGAGAAGAGCAGAGCGATGACGAAAGAGCGGGAATACCTAAAGGTATATTTTTCTGAATCTGAATCTGAATCTGATTCTGACTCTGACTCTGACCATGGGAACTGTTTTGTTGCATCTACATTGGAACGATGATTGGAACGGTTCTTCCTTCCACTTCCTCGTTTCAGGCCATGAACTGCACTGTAATTTCTCGTGTTGCACGTTGATCGTTTTGCACATGCGAGGATTTTCGCCAGTTCGAATCTTTTTTTTTTTTTTTTTTTTTGATTTTTTTTTTCCACGCTCGTTTAGGCCCTGCCAGGTGTGGATGAAATGAAAATTACGAATCAAGCATCCTTCTTCCTCTGTTTCCATCTCCAGTAACCCAAAATACTTCGTTCTGTTCGATTATTTAACTACGTAAAACCATTCTCTGCCATGTCCTTCCCATTAGTCTGTTTAGGTAACCCTCTTTTAGATCTTCAAGTCGAAGTTGATGCTGACTACCTTAAGAAGTACGATCTTAAGGAAAACGATGCTATCCTCGCCGAAGAAAAGCATCTCCCAATCTATAAAGAAATCATTGACAAGGAAGGTTTAGTCCAAATTGCTGGTGGTGCTGCTCAAAACACCGCCAGAGGTGCTCAATACATCTTACCAGAAAACTCCGTTGTCTACTTTGGCTCCGTTGGTAAGGATGTGTACGCTGACAAGTTAAACGATGCTAACAAGCAGTACGGTTTAACCACCAGATACCAAGTTCAAGACGACATTGCCACCGGTAAGTGTGCCGCTTTGATTAACGGTGTCCACAGATCCCTTGTCACTGATCTTGCTGCTGCTAACCACTTCAAGGTCGACCACTTGGAAATCCCAGAAAACTGGGCCATCGTTGAAGCCGCCAAGTACTACTACATTGGAGGATTCCACTTGACTGTTTCTCCACCAGCTATCATCAAGCTCGGTCAACACGCCGCTGCCACAAACAAGGTTTTTGCCTTGAACTTGTCCGCTCCATTCATTGCTCAATTTTTCAAGGACCCATTGGACCAATCCATCCCATATGTTGATTTCTTGATTGCCAACGAAACTGAGGCCGCTGCCTATGCTGAATCCCATGGTTTGGACACCACTGACGTTGCTACCATTGCCAAGCACATTGCTCAATTACCAAAGGAAAACACTGCCAGACCAAGAGTTGTGGTTTTCACTCAAGGTATTGACCCAACCATTGTTGTTTCCTACGACTTCAACTCCAAGGAAATCCAATCCAACGAATACCCAGTCAGACCTTTAGCCAAGGAACAAGTTACTGACACCAACGGTGCTGGTGATGCATTTGCCGCTGGTTTCATTGCCGGACTTGTGCAAGAAAAGACTATCCCTGAATCTGTCGATGTTGGTCAATGGGCTGCTGCCTTATCTATCCAAGAAGTTGGTCCATCTTTCCCATTCCCTAAGCAAACTCACGCTTAGATTGGAAAATGGAAAAAAGTAAAAGGAAAATATTACATGACCAACATCAACCAACTTCATCATATTACAGAGACCTAGTTTGTCTTTTAATATTTCTTCATTTCAACAATATAGATATTAAAGTTTTATAGAACAGTTTACAATTAGGCATGGCTATAGATTAAGAAAAAGGGTAACAACAGAAGAGAAAGAAAAAAAAAAAAAAATCCGAAGAGAAAATTACTAAAATACACGTTCAACCTGTGAAATATAACAATGTAGTAGCTCTTTATATCCTGACCAGACCCAGTGCCCGACGATGTGATGCAAATATCTCTTCATCACGTTCAATTCACGTTCAACTCACAACTCTACCTATCAGCACACCGATGTTCCAAATTTTTCAATCTCATCTCACACGTTTTGGGAAAAATAAAAAAAAAAAAAACTTGGCCCCGTAGAGCTAGGAACCTACTTTACTGTAAGCACTACAGCAATTCTCATATTCTATCTATACTTGTGGTTGGTACTATTAGGATGACCGTTCTGAGAGATCATTACTATAGACTCGCTTCTGAGGTTCCTCAGGAAAGAATTGAAGCGGCTACAGCCTTGCTCTCTGAGCTCCAGGCTGCAAATCTCAAAGAAGAATGGGACTATGCCATGAACCGTCTTATTAAAGGTTTAACTTCAACCAGACAAAGTGCTAAAGTTGGATTTTCCATGGCGTTAATAGAGGTGTTATCGGTACTTGTAAAGGATTCAAAGAACGATTTGACTGTTTTGGGCTACTTCAAGCAGCTCTTGGAGTTGACTGAGACCAAATCTTCCATGAAAGGAAAGGAAGAGAGAGCTATTTTGTTTGGAAGACTCTTTGGGTTGCAAGTGATTTTAAATTCTGGGCTTTTACTTGATTCCGAAGAATTTGTTTCACTTTCTGAATTAAGAGAGTTTTGTAGAATCTTGATCGAATTGTCCACCATCAAGTCTTGGTTAAGAGAGTCAACGATTTTCACCTTGTTCACTTTTTTCTCGGAGTACCAAGCAAAAGTCTCGACATACAATCGTGAACTTAGTGTTTGGATATTACAGAAGCTCAATGATGCTGGACTTAACTTGACCACTGAGGGAATGTCCATATATCTTTCAATTCCAAAGGGAAATAGGAAGGCTTTTAGCTTAGAAGTCGAGAATCCACAAGCAAACTGGAAGAACGGTGATCCATTGTCCAAAGGAAACTTACCACTTTTAACCAAAGTTTTGAAAGATGTTGAAGTAGTTGAAGAAGAAAAGGGAGATTCTGAAGGCAATAAGAATAACAAACCTAAGCAAAAGAGTAATTGGAACCCAAGAATACACTTTGTCTGGGATTTAATTGTAAGAGATTTCTTGATTGAAAGTGGACCTTTAGATGATCAAATTGAAGAGGAAGAAGTTGGCAAAAAGCGTAAGAAGCATTCCAAGGAAGAAACCTCCAAAAAGAAATCCAAAAAGAATACAGTTGGAGAAGATCTCAGCTTGTCACTTCAGGAATTTTGGAAAGTAATCGTTGATGAATCATTATTCTCAGAGAAGTCTTCACACGAAAGGAAGTTCTGGGGATTTGAAATTTTTGGCAAGTTTTTGAAAGCAGTTCAGAGAAAGCAGGAAATTTACCATCTATTCACCCCCAATTTAATGAGATGCTTGATCAATCAGTCATCTCAGCTGAATAGGTTCTTAAATAAGATTTCGATTCAAACTTTGAATACTATAGTTGAAGTAGCAAAGAGAGAACCAACGAAAGCTCCAATAATATTGAGTTGTCTTTTAGATGAATCTCATGGTGGTTGTTGGAATTTCGATCTTATCACTAAATCCAAATGCATTGATGAAGTTTTGAGTGGACCTGAAGATGAAAGCGGTGATATCTTTAATGAATTTAGAAAGATTTTAATTTCCAAATATTTTAGTGTAATCAAGGATGTTTCAGAAGACATTGATGATTTGGATGAAGAAAAAGAAGGAGCAGAAGAACCAAACTCTCTGGTTCCATTAAAGTACCCATATGACAATGTTCAAAAGTGGTGCCTTGATAAGCTTTTACACTTAATAAGAAGTCATAAACACTTGTTAAAAGATGGTGCCCACTCTAAATGGTTGGAAGAGATTTTCCAACTTTTGATCAAAAATGCATTCTTCAAATTGAAAGATACGGGAAGAAGCCCTATCTCGTTGAATATTAAGAACTTATCTCTGGAGCGTTTGACATCTATCTTATCAGATGTCATCACATTTAAAAATGAAAATGATGAGCCATGGCCCCTCTTCTGTATTGATTTCATCAGAGAGATAGAAGAAAATCATGAGGATTACGAATTGGTGGCAGAATTTGATGAAAGTCTTATTGAAAGTAGAAATGAGATCTTGGATATTTTATCTACTATAAAAAAATCCATTAGGAAGTCTAAAAAGAGAGCCAGCAAGAAATCAAAATCAAAATCCGATATAGGAGTTGATCAATTATATTGCTTTCAATTATTGTTTTCAATGGTGTTGATTCAATTCTACATGGCGGACGAAGAAGCTGTATCTGTACTTGAAGAATTGAAAGTATGCTATGAAGATATCACAAATAAAGGAGAAAGTGAAGAAGGTGAAGAAGTTGATTCTTCTCAAGTTCTAACAGAGATTATCTTATCATTTGTTGCACGTAAATCTAATTTGTTGAAGAAAATTTCTATGATCATTTGGGAAAGTTTCTTGTGTGCCAAAAACGAGGAAGGTAAATTAAGAATCACTGAGAATAGTTTAGCATTACTTTACGATATTTTGGAATCGAGGGAAAACAAAGAAGGTTTAGAAAAGGTGTTTGAAGGTCAAGGTGAATATGAAGAAGAAAATGCCGAAAAAGAAGAAGGAGAAGATGACGAAGAAGAAGAAGAAGAAGAAGAAGAAGATGATGATGAAGACGCTGAAGATTCAAATTCCGATTCAGACTCAGATTCAGACTCTGTTGATCCAGATTCAACTGTTGATAAAGTAGAAAGAGAAACATCTGCTAAACTCTCCGAGGCATTGGGAATCCCTTCATCTGGAGAAGTGAAATTTGAAGACTTGTCTGATTTTGAGGGAGACGAAGAAGATTCATATGAATCAGATTCTATGGATGATGAACAAATGATGGAAATCGATGAGCAATTATCCAAAATATTCAAAGAAAGAAGAGATGCATTGTCTTCAGTGGTCACTGGAAGTAAAAGGAAAACAGAGGTTATTGATGCCAAGGAACAAATGATATTCTTCAAAAACCGAGTGTTAGATTTACTAGAACAGTTCAACAAGCACCAGCCATCTTCATATTTGAATTTAACAATGATTAAGCCTATTATTACGTTGATCGGGTTAACTTTGGACAAAAATGTTGGTACCAAAGCACACAAATTATTGAAATTTAAAATTAGCAAGACGAAAGTTTCTAAAGACCAATTCTCTGAAAATTTCGACTCTGAAGAAGATGGCGAAGTGTTCAAAAAATCTTTGTTGGAGATGATTCAATGGCTCCACAGCACAGCAAGTCGGTCCTCATCAAATCAGGCACACTCAATGGCCTGTAACCAAGCATGTATTATATTATCCAAGAATTTAATTGGAATCGACGATACTTATTTAGACCAAGTCATTGAAATCTACACCTCTTCTTTGAAAGAATGGGCCATTAACAAAAAGAGTAAAATTCAAGCATCCATGTTTTTTGATTTTATTAATTGGTTGAATTCAAAGAGAGAGAACAAGCAGTAGAGAGTGAATATATAGCACATACAAAACAGTGAACATAAAGTAAATACATATTCAAACCAGTTACACCATAATCTTCTTTTTCCTTCTTTTTTTTTTCATTTTTTTTTTTTTTTTTTTCATGTTTATTCTTTTTACTTTACTCTTTTCACTTCCCATTCACTTTTCACTCATTCTCCTCTACGATTTCTCTTTAAAAGCTAAGACAAGTTATACCCCACGTAAATGGAAGTCACCTCGCCCATAGACTACTCTCATATTGAATTGCAGCATATTAGGTAAGCAACTTGCATACTGTATTTTACACAGTGCGCTCACCCTTCTTCCACTTTCCTCGGTAATTCGCAGTACAACCAATAAGAGCCCGTTTCAGTTCCGAGAGCGAAAAATATCAAAAGTGAATTTATTCAGTGTACAAGTATACTAGGTAGTCTTCTTTATCACACTATATACTCATATACACACAATGTCTGCCTACAAACAAGCTGGTATTTCTTTAAACAAGGCTATGTCCGTAGCCGCTAGAGCCGTTAGATCTGCTTTAAAGCCGGAATTCAAGACCGTTGCTGAAAGAAGAGGTTTATCTGAAGTTAGAGCCATCAAGATCGAAAATGGTGTCCAACAAGCCTCTAAGGAATTGGGTCCATAAATGTAATGATTTATCAATGAACCCCTTAGAGAAGTTCTCATCTAGTAAACGTAACGATTAAAGGAGAAAAAAAATGCAAAAAAGTAAAATACATATCGATAATACACATTTTTAGAGATCACGTACAATGGGGTAGCCCGAGTATACTGTAGTAGCACTAGTACGAGCCTGAGTGGGCCCGAAAAAATAATTTTTGTTGCACATTTTAGTTCAATTGTAGCTCAGCATGGAAAATGCTAGGAAATAGGAGCTAATACTGTGTGTTGCTCTTGTTCCCCATGCTATTCTACGCTTAGTTGCTATATCCCATAATTTCACTTACATGCGTTCCTACCTTTCTCTAATAAATATAAAATTAATAAGTATATATGTTTTGCTTATGTATGTACAAGTATATTAACTCAAATTGTCAGGAATTACCTGCACCTCCTTGACAGCGGCCTTCCTATCACTTTCAATTTGCTCAGTGATCTGTTGAATAAGCTGTTGTCTTAACTCGAAGGGCAAGTCTTCAATTATCGATCTTACTCTATTTAATTCGTCATCTTCATTGAAGGCTGGAGCATTATCTGGAGATGGAGATAATGCTTCTGTTGGTGAATCAGACTTTGTAGATGAAACTTCCTCCGAGTGTCCTTCAACATTTTTCCTCATATTAGACGTTGTTGAATCGAGGAGCTTAGAAAGTTCAGATTTCGGATTGCTGTATAGTTCAACAAAAGTGCCGCATTCAACTGCTTTACCTCTTTTACCCAAAACCACCACGTTTTCAGATTTAGAAATAGTCGATAATCTGTGTGCAATTGAAATGATAGTTATTTTCCCCTGGGATGTCAATTCTTTCAAAGTTTCATTGATAAGACTCTCCAGCTTGGAATCCAAAGCGGAAGTAGCCTCATCCAAGATTAGCACTAATGGCTTCTTTATAAGAGCTCTGGCAATAGCCACTCTTTGCTTTTGTCCCCCAGACAAAGATGCACCTCTTGCTCCAATTATCGTATCGTAACCATCAGGAAAATTCGAAATGAATCCATGACAATTAGCCTGTTTTGCAGCATTGATAACATCTTTCATAGTCAAATTGTTAATTTGTAAAGGTGTTAGCCCATATATAATATTTTCTAAGATAGTTCCAGAAAGTAATACGGGTTCTTGTTGCACTATTCCGATAATGTTTCTTCTCAATTCCCTAGTTTGAATGTCTTTGATATCCTTACCACCGATCAAGATTTCTCCTGATTGGAGGTTATAAGAACGTAATAATAACAGTGCTACAGTGGATTTTCCAGCTCCCGATGGAGCAACTATACAAGTGGATGACGCAGCGGGAATCGTGAAAGAACAGTCATCAAAAATCTTGTGATTTTTTCTGGTAGGATAGCTGAAAGTTACATTTTTGAACTCAACTTCACTATTTGGAAGCCCAGCTTTGGTTAATTTTTCACCCTTGATGTTTTCGACGTCATTTTTGTAGTCAATCAAGTCAAACAACTTGACACCAGCACCGGATCCCTTCATCAACTCGATATAGGTAGTAGTCAATGAATACAACGCCAGGTTGAAAAATTCCAGATACATCGTGAATGCAACAACGTCACCAGTGGTCATTTGTCCCTGTAAGATCAAATATACACCCAAGGCAATACACGATAAGTAACCAGTGTGATATAAACTATAAATTGAAACCAGATAGTTGGATTGAGCTAATGCTTCCGTTTTAGCAACGTTTACCACATTTCTCAATTCATTAGAGTACTTCGCTAATTCCTTTTGTTCTCCTGTGAAAGCTTGAATTAACTTGACAGAGCTCAATGTCTCTTCAGCAGCCTTCGTCAAGCCAGCAGAGGCATTTTGCAATTTCGTGGACAATCCACGGATCTTTTCACCGTACCACACAGAACCGAAAGTGATTGGAGGCGATATACACAACATAACACCGAAAAGGAGTGGATTAATGGAGAACATCATATAAGCCGATATAATTCCGAATAACACATTTTTCAATCCATCTGGAAGGTTACTTGTGATCGATCTTGAGACAACATATGCATCACTCGATAATCTCGATATCAAATCCCCGACCTTATGCTTCTCGCTATCGTAAAACTTAGAGTCATGTCTGACCAACTGCTTCATCGCACGAAGTCTTAATCTGGCGACAAGTCTCTCCCCCAACACCTTCAAGACCCAAATTCTAGCCCAAAAGCATACTGCGGAGACACACATGAATGGGACCATCACAGCGAATACTGTCTGGGCCTTGTACCCCCAAATCAACAAGTTCCCCTCTTCGTCTTTTATATTTTGGTTTATAGCATCGATGGATGATCCAACAAGCTTGACTGAAGCAGTTGGGTATAGCACAGCACATAATATAAATGCCAATGCATACAAAAAGAGCCTCAAGTCTCTCCTACCCAACTTAATGATTCGAAATATGGTTTTCATGTTTTCTTTGAACGATTTCCTGTCCTGTGATTCCTTCTGTTTCTCTTCCTCTATCAACTCATCTTTCTTAATTCTAGATATCCCCAAGAGCTTCCTCAAAGGGGTGGATAAAAAAGCCTCATCCGCATATTCCTTCCGTTTGTTGGAAATGGGATACTTCTTTAGCTTTTCTGCTTGTATCCCCTCCTCCTTTTGTATGCTTTGGAGTATTATTGAAGAAGTTGAAAACATCCTATCATTATCAAGATTCATCTTAAGTTTAAATGGTGACAATCCAGCTCCACTTGTGCTCCTACAGGCAAAGCTGCTACTCCCAAAATTGAAAGCCGACTTCAAGCACGACCTTCGGATGACGGGTAACAACATCGTACACTATAGTTATCTTCCTAGCTAGCTATAGTCGTTGCAAGTACAGCTCCTCTCTCCTTTGTAAACCATTTTTGATATCGACATGGAAATTGCGAAGGCACGACTCTTGATGCAACTCGCGTGCCAGAGGAAGAAAAAGTCTGGGTGCAAAATTAAGAGCAATGTCATGGAGCAAGAGGGCCTAGGTGATGAGTAAGCTTACAGTTCTTTAGATATATTCATAAATTCATTTCTTTACTTCGTAGGTGCAGCAATTCATTTCCAGATTTTAAAAATGGGTCTTTTTGTTTCTTTTTCCTTTATTTTCATTCACGCATACCGTATCATACTAATCTCTCGGCATAACTCTGAATCAATCCAGCTTCACTTTCTTGGTACTCTTTAACTTCGACTTCATTACCATTGTAAAAAGTGTTGGCTTGAATTATTTGCTTTCTTGGCAACTTTTTCCTAATGACTGCGTCTCTAAACTTAGCAAAGTATTCGTTGACATCGGTCTTGCCAAGGTAGTAGGCTTCCCCATTCTTGAAATCTGCTGAACACTTGAACATCTGAAGGTTATGTAAGAATTCACCTAACTTATCACCAGCTTGATCAAATTTGCTCTCGTCAAAAGTTAATTGTAAGTCATTGAAATCTTTATCTTCCCCTTCGACAATGGTACAAGCTCCGGACTCTAAGAGAGTCTGGAAAATTCCAAATCTCCCTTGCATGTGGGCTTGACCCCATTTCTTGGAGGATGGGTCCCAAAATTCCAATGCAATAAGACCTGCACGACACATGAGTACAGTGGCGATCAATACAATGTCTTTTTGCTCTTCGTCTGTTTTAATATCGAAAATTGGCAAGACTTCCTTAGGATGCTTCAAAATAAGATAAAGTGCAACCAATTCAGCCCTACATTCTTCGAATGAACCTGCAACAGACCCGAACAAAGAGCCCCAGGTTTCAGTTGGACTGTACCAAGTTTTAACTTCTGGGTGACTTTCCTTGTCAAAGTTGAATATCCCTGGAGCAGTTTCTTGCAAAAGTTTACCAGTTCCATGGCCCAACAATTCATGCAATCCAACCTGAACTTCAAACGCTTCATCTCTATATTTCTTGAACTTTACACCCAAATCGTGACTGATGAATGTGATGACCTCTTCCTTTCTTGGGTTCTTTGGATTTGCCAACATAACATTACCAAGAGAAACATTCTTAAAACCGTAGTTTAACCTAACATCATCATAGTTAGGAATATTAATACCAGCTGGGAGTCCAGAGGTGGCGAATGATAAAACTTCCAAGGATGTGAAATCAGGAGGAGTGAATTTATCCTTTTCATATAATCTGTCCCATGGCAAGTAAGGGATCAAAGATTCAGCTGCGGCTACTAATCTTCCGAATTTGGCGGTCTGCTCTTGATTGACCATAGCAACCATACCTTCCCATTCTCCTCTGACACCAGATGGTTCTCTGTAGGTTTCGATAAACCCAATGTTTGATTCGACTAACGGATTTAAATCTTTAACCCACTCAATTTGAGACTCTTTGTGAGCATTCATGGATCCGGTTTCAAAGGCCTCGATATACTTGGAAATCAACTTCTGTTGAGTATCATTGGCAACATACTTCAAAGCTTCTTTCAAATTAGCAACAATTTCCTTGAATTCTTTAGAATGATCACCAAATTTAATGGTGATTCTGAGCTTGGCCCCGTCCTTAGAGACTTCTATAGGCTCTTGTGGATAAATAGAAGTTGAGTTTGAAGTGTTAGCACTTGCAACCAAAACCGTGAAGTCACCTTCAGCAGTCTTGGTGATTCTGGTATTTTCTGGCATAATACCTCTCGAAGCTAAGGCTTCATTAATAATTTCAACATCCCTTTTGGTGATAGTCACTTTACTATCTGGGTAGTAGTTACTAATATGGCCACCTTCTGGCCACCCTAACAATAAAGCACCGTCAACGTTAAAGATGTCTTCTCTCACTTGTTTATATAAGTCAGAGATCTTAGCATCATCAATTGCCTTGATCAAACTGTCAAATTTTTCAATTGATAAAGCGGGAATGAATTTCTTGTCACCAAATGATTTGTAGTTACCCAAGTTCGAAATAAATGCGGAGGAATACTCCAAGTACTTGGTGACATCTTCTTCAGAGACACCCTTTCCCTTCAATGCAACGACGTATTCGTCGTTCGTAGATGGAGAGCCCAATTGAGAGTAAATTGCGAGGATTAGATCGTAAATAGTTTCACTTTCCTTAGAAATCGATCTCAAAATAGCTCTAGTACCAAAGAACGAAGCTCTGGAAAGATAGTGAGCATAGAGCTTTTCCTTAATGCTAGGCAATTGTTCAAAGTATTTCTTTGCATCTAAGAATGCAATTGGTGCCTCAGAGTCGGCAAATAAGACGTTAGCAGATGACATTGATTAGCTTATAAGTAGGAACAAAAAGAAGGGCCTTTAGTGAACAACTTATGATAAAGAGCTGGGATGGTCTTAAGCAACTGAAGGGCCTGACACTACATTTATACGTAGATGCAGGTTCGCCACAGCTTGCCGCCTTTAAGCGAGAGGCTCTATGGAATTTTTTTTCTCTCGCCTTTTTAGTCGTTGGGCTTTCGAAATGAACGCCTATCACAAACGGCTCTACTTGATTCGACAAGACTTATTCCAAACCAGACTTGGCAGGTATAGCAGTACTTGCATGGATGATTTGGACACATGATAGTCTGGTGGCAAGGAAACGCAATAATGGATGATCTGATGGGTGCTGGACAAGTGAATGCAATAGTTTAGCATGTTGATTGCGCTACGCATTATTTTGCACCCAAAAGGCTGACAGGCCCTGACAGCTAACTAGCTTGGCTCCTGGGATGCAATGCACACGTTATCTTTTCTACCTGTTTTTACACACTAAAAGTCGTTCAAGGGTGCTATCCAAGGCCTTCAAGACCCTCTCTTCTATTCCCGTCCCCCTTTTCACTTGAATGTGTGTCTATTAGCCAGTCAAGCTACCTCTACTCTCTTCCACTAGTACTGCATATAGCCCATTTGTGTACATGGTCTTAGATGAAAAAAAGAAGCGGCCCAGCACTATGACTGCTACTTCTTAGTGACACAACAGTATGGCTAAGAAACCGGTATCCATCGCCAAGGCGGGGGATCATGCAGAGGAAGGAAGAGCGAAAGCTTTAGATGAAAACGGAAACGAAAATGAAGAAGACTCGTACGACGAAGATGAAGATGAAGATTATGAGCCGAGTGCTAAGAAGACTGACGACGATAACAAGAAGGAAGTCGCAGATGAAGACGAGGAAGACGATAGCGATGAAGATTCGAACGATAAGAAGCTAGACGACGAACCTATACCAGATTTTTCAGCGATAGAAAGCGGTGGTGAGAGGCTTGTGAAAACAAGGAGACAACGCCAAGAAGAGGAAGAAACTAACAACGGTAGGAATGTTCCAGTTGGACTTGTACGAGGAAATAAGTACTCGAGTATCGATGTCGATGAACTATTCAACCTGTTGAAGCAAGAGAGTGCAAGAGGAGGCGTCATTTCGCCCGAAACTCCTACTTCCACCGAACAACAGGCTACACACGCTGGTCGTCTGAATAGACAAACAGCTCCATCGACGAAAGGAACTGAAAATAAGCCAGGACATATCAGTGCTGGTTCTAATGGTGGGCCTGAGATGATCACCATAGAGTCGTCGTACACATTTGCAGGTAAAGTGATAACGGAGACGAAGCAAGTGGAGGTAGGCTCTGCAGAAGCCAAGGCATATATGAACTCTACGGGCAATATAGCATACACAGGAGAGCGTTCTGCCAAGAAGGAGCAAAGATCGTTTGTACCAATTGTTCGGGAAGTGAACGGAGAACATCTTGAGTTAAGAATTAAACTTAAACGCCCGTCGTTAATTGACAAGTTCCTATTAATACAAGGGAACAAGCTGCAAAAGCTCTCCACCTTGGAAAAGTCTAGGTTGGACTGGGCAAGCTTTGTAGACAAGAGGAAGCTTCAAGACGATTTGAAGTTACATAATAAGGATGGTTACTTAGACAAGCAAGACTTCCTCAACAGAGTGGAACTGAAGAAAGACCAGCAATACAAGCAAGCACAGGAAGAAGACAGAAAAAACAGATTGAACGAAGGAAATAATTAGCGGCTATAGGAAATAGCCAAGGGCATAACATGTATATATATAAGAAACCACATATAGGTATATTAACACCGAATCCACACATCTACATCCCCATGTAGTACACACTGCGATGTAGAACACACTGCCAAGCAGTACTGAGAGGTTGCAGTAGCTTGGGACCTCACTTGACCACATGCAGGAACTTACACAAAATGTTTTTTTTTTCGGTTTCACAATTTTCGAAGAAGGACGTTAAAAAATTAAGAGAAAACATTGGAAGACTAGGACTATCCAGCTACATTGTAGAATAGATATCAATCGCAATGTCTACGAACGCAAGTAGCACTTTGAAGCGTAAGAATGAAGAAGTTGATCTGTCCCAGGACGATCAACTCAACAAAAGAGTTGCGTTGGACAGTGAGCAAGTTGAGTTGAGTGAGAAGCAAGAAGAAGACGCTCACACGGCTCCTGCAATTTACGATGGCCATCAAACCCAAGAAGAAAATGAAGTAGAAAATGGCGAAGAGCATATTGAGAACGGCGATGATGTAGAAAATGAATCTGAAGATGACCAATATGAAGCCAAGGGCTCCATTGATGGACCAGAAAGTGCTGCCGCCACTTCTAACGATGCAGCCTACGATGCTGAAACTGTCTTGGAGAACATCACAGCTGCCGCTGCCGCCGCTGCTGCCGCTTCTGCTGCTGCTTCTGCCGGCTCAAACCATAATATTGTCAACACTGCGGATGTCTATCAGGACTCAAATGAATCTAAGCCTATTTCCAACCATCGCGAGAAAGAAGGTGATCCCACATATGTTAGTTTCAGAATGTACTGTCCGGTCAAGGAAGCTTCTGCAATTGTAGGTAAGAAGGGAGAAAAAATCAATCATATTAGAGACAAAGCAGGCGTCAGAATCAATGTCAGTGAAAATTTAAAGAACGTGCCAGAGAGAATCGTTCTGGTTAGAGGACCTGCTGAAAACGTTGCCAGAGCCTTTGGGTTAATTGCAAGAACCATCTTGGAAGAACCTGAAGACGAACCTGCCTCGATGATGAGTAAACCATACGACTTAAAACTTTTGGTACCACACCCAATGGTTGGATATATTATTGGTAGACAGGGAACGAAATTTAGAGAAATTGAAGAACAATCGGCTGCTAAGTTGAAGGCCGCTGAACAGCCTCTTCCATATTCAACAGATAGAATTTTGTCTATTACCGGAGTTGGAGATGCTATTCATATCGCTATATATTACATTTCACAGGTATTCATTGAACATAAAGACTGCTTGAAGAAAAATAAAGTAATATACTACAACCCTGCCAACTACCAACATGGACAACAGCCCCAACAATTTGGTGGTGTTGGCCAAAACCAGCCTTTACAACAACAGCAGCAACAGCAGCAACCTATCCAGCAACAACAATATCACCACTCAGCTCCTGGTGGTGGCCCACAGGGAATAGTACCAGGAGGTCAAATGAACCACCAATCTCCGTACAGTAACAACCCAAACTACTCACAATTAAATGCTAATCCTGGAAATCCATATCAACAGCAACAGCAACAACATCAACAGAATAAACAACCTTACAATTTCCAAATGATGTTCCAGCCTGCGGTTCACCCGCAACAGTATGGTGCACCAGTGCCAAACCCTGCCACTCAAATGGGAGGTCCACCACCAGGAGCAGTTCCTCAAACCCAATATACAGATGAACACGGTAACACGATCATTGGTGATGTTATAACAAATCCACCGGTTCCAGCTGGAGGAAACCCAGATAAGTTCAATGAAGATATTTACGTTGCCAACGTTAACATTGGTTCTGTAATCGGAAAGGGGGGTAACAACATTAAGCAGATCCGTTTGAACAGTGGATGTACATATGTTAAGATTGAACCAGATCAACGTCAATCCATTATGCTTGGAGGAGGTAAGGGCTTAACTAGTATTAGAAAATTAACTTTGACTGGTTCCATTCAAGCCATTAACACTGCCATTTACTTGATCAACCAAAGAATTGCAGTGGACAAGGAAAGGAATTCTCACTAAAGTTTGGTTGCCTTATAAAAAGACTTGAAAAGATGATTATACTTCCCTTCTGTCGCCAGTTTATTATTCTTATATTTTTATCTGTACTTTATAACCTCTAATATATTGGTCTCTTTTTCACACTTTTGTATTAATATTAATATTATTCATCGTAGAGAGAGGAATTGTAGTGTTGTATTTAATAATTCTACACTGATGTTCAAAAGTAAAATTGTCTATAAATGAATTCATAATCTATATATAATTAATGCTAAGCGTTCTTTATGAAAAACTTAAAAATGCTTTACTCCTAAACTTGTTAAGAACATGGTAAATCCACTCAATAACCCTTCTCCCAAGACCAATCCACTACTGAAAATGATCATGTTTATTTTACTGTTTGTTCCAGGGCTGGAGCTTGAGCCCTTATTGTAAATGTTAATCCACCAGTATGAGAGAGCACCACCTAAAAATCTGGCTAAAGTGAAGTTTGGAGTATTATAAATACCAATTCCAACAGCAACTCCATTGGGCAAATACACTAAATGCTTATAATACTTTGACGTCTTGGGGACAATATTCTTTAACAATGAAATGAACCCAAAAATAACTCCAAATAAAATCAGGAATTCGAAAGCCTTTGGAGGTAAACCCTCACCAGTAACTAATCTGGAACAGTCAATCCAAATAACAGCAGTTGGGATTCTAAACATTTCACTTGGAATTCGGTAAACTGAGTTATACACTTTGTACATTACGCTACTCAAAACAACTGACCACATGGTACCAATTAATTGAGCGATGAATTGAGCTCTTGGTGAAGCACCAATCAAGTGTCCCGTTTTAAGATCTTGCATTAAATCACCAGCTTGTTGGGCACCAGCTTCTGCAATCCCACCGGCAACTAAATTAATCAAAATTTTGGATGGGTGGTTATTTGGAATGACTACAGCAAAGATCAATTGTGATAACTTACCAATTCCACTTACAGGGTTCAAATCAGTTTCTCCTAACGCTCTGACCCCAAGAATGGAGAAAAACAATGCTAAGACGATTGCTACAGCTATGGCATAATAAGGAATGAGCTTTCCAAATACCAATCTAATAGCAACTAAACAAAGCACTGATGAAGCTACAAGACCTATTAATGTAACTTTGAAGTTGACCAAGTATTTTCCTGGAACGTCTTTAATGGTAGCAGTTCTTTCTGCAGCTTTCTTGACCGAATTTACAGCCTTGAAAAATGTGTTTCTCGAGTCTTCATTTGACGATGAGTCGCTTTCACGAAGCAAAGGCTCAGTCAGGCCATCATCAGTCTCTTGATTCAACTCGTTTAATTTTCTAACCCCAGCTACTACTGATTGATACACAACAACCAAAAACAGTACTAGCGAATCACTAATCATTACACTTAAACTAATCCACAAGATCCAGCCTTGGCCTCCATGCATCCAGTCATCAATGTCACCAGGCGCCCAACCATTATATTTCGATAAGGGGGCTAAAACAGCCCAACCCAAAATTGCTCCAAATAACATATAAGTCACTGTAGGTAAACCCATAATGATCCCCTGCCCAATATAAGCAGGGGAAGGTTGGAAATTCCACTTATAACTGTCAGATAAGAATCTCCCAAAAATTGGCAAACTTTTCAACACCGGAAAGAAATATGCTAACAATGTGTATGCTGCTGATACAGTGAATGTGTATAGCAAATTTGAAATGTTGGACTTGTAGTTTTTGGTATCACTGAGTTCTTTAAATTCTTCTGGAGTTTGAATTGAGTTGGTAATATCAGTTGACGCTTGAACATTCCTTTCAATATCATCAGCTGTAGCAATTCCTTCTTCACCTACTTCGGCTATACTCTGAGTATCCTTTTCTTCATCTAATATTTCAGTACCATGTAAAACCGATATCAATGTTGCAGTTGCACTGCCTGAAGGAAATGGTAACTTCTCCTCCACTATAACTTGCTTTCTTAACGGTATAGCAAAGAAAACTCCGAATAATGCCAACCCTAATGACCAAATCAACAAATCTGGCAAGGAAAATACCAATTTTCTTCCCAATCCGCTCTCCTCTGCGGTCAAAAAGTTCTCAATGGCGGGAACAATACCAATTAGACCATAAGCCAACGGTCCAGTACCAACAGCAACGGCCACACTTTGAATGAAGACGTTCTCTACATCTGTGAAGTCTTTTGCAATTGGCGTCAACTTAAAGATTGCAAAGCCCAAAAGTGCAGACGGCAACGACATCATGGATACCCAACCAGTCTGTAAACCAAATTGGAAATTTGAGATGAGAACTATTGATCCGATAACTAGGCCCGCCAACGACGCTCTCCAGGTTATTTGAGGAAGATCAAGTTTCTCTTCCCATTTAGTCTTAACTGTTTCTCTTACCGGTATGCCTTCAGCAGTGCTCTGCTGTATAATCGAAGACATTTTATTTAAGTACTAATGGCAATTAGTGCCCTTGGTTTAATTTTAAGCTTTCTATAGATTAGACCCAGATCAAGATCGAAGATTGGTGAATGTATGGGGGGTATAGTTGTCCTTTCTTCGATTTTCTTTCAGCAAGGTCCAAATCAGATCTCAATGAATGCTTCTACGACAGACAAACTAGTATATACACCTCAATCCTGGTTGCTTTGAATCGTTCAGCTAGAGTCCTCTTTCTGATAGATTGCGACAAAAAGCTTTTCACAATTTTATTTCTTTTTTATTTTTAATTCCGCTCAAGATCGATTATTACCGAAGATCAAAAGGGTTCTTATTACAAAAGATAGTAGCGGAAAAAATATCAAACCAACGTATCACTGGTCGTCGCTCTATTGAGAATACCAAAAAAACAGAAACGAATTGAAAAAGAGATCTGCCTCCACATATAAACTGGCTCATTGACGACTGCGCTCTTCTCGATGACTCTGCCTATTACTAATGCGTCTTAGATAAGAAAGAGGAAAAAGTTTCCCCCAAAGCTTAATTATGCAGGAGAGCCACACCAAATGCGTCAGTGCATCGTTACGAAGCCTGAGCTTATTTTAGGCACTGTGAATAGCCTTGCTTGCTCTATGCTACTTTCCAGGGTGTTGGAGTTCGTGTATCTCTTTAGGTAACAGGTTGGGTGCAAAATCACTACATTCATTGTGAGTTGTTTATGTTTATTTCTAATTATTTACTCTTCAGGGGATGACAAAAGGTTTTCTCTTTTCATTTGTTTATCAATTCCTCCACCATTCATTCACTCGGCTTTCATCCATAAAATCCTGATGCTAATCCTCTCCGAATAATATATAGTTCAATATGTCACTCAAAGTTATAACGCTTACTAATTTCCCTTCATCATCAACCACAAACAATCTATGTAATCTGGATTTTCTTATGGTGTCCATTATAGTACTAAGACGATCATTCAATGTACATGTGTGGACACCTTCAAAATCGTCAGGTCTTCTTAAAAGCGCATCTCCCACGCTTAAATCCAAGTCGGTGTACATTCCTCCCTTGACCAACGCCAAAACATCCACTGCTTCGTACACGTTGACTAATTTTCCTTGCTCGTCTACAATGGGCACAGAAGCAACGGATTTGTTAGCCAACAAGTGGATCACTTCAATGACAGGCGTGCTCATGGTACATGTGGAGAGATCCTTTTTGGTTCCCAAGCCTTGTAAATTCTTAATTGGCTTCAAAAGCATCTTTGTTTCTTTACAATTTAACGCAACGAATTTCAAAATTCTATACTGCGTTAAGACTGATACAACAATTTCTCTACGAGTCTTTTCATCCTCATCAATCAATGGGATTCTTCTTGCCTTTGCGCCTAACATTTTAACACAGGCTTCGTACAACGACTTGAACGGATGGATTGATGCTGTTTCAATTGGGGTCGCGCCGATGGACTTTTCGATTTCCCTTAATCCGTCTAGGGTCAACTGGTCAACGAGATCAAACTTCTCTGGGAACTGGAAATAGTATTGAATAACGTTAATGAAATCAGAAGAGGTCAATAACCCTGCGAATCTTGAGGTCTTGTTATTCCAAAGCGGTGCTGAAACAATATTATTCTGTAACAAGATATTCAATGATTTCTTAACAAGAAGTGAAGTGTCCAAGACAATTAATCTATAACTGACTGGAAGTACATCATAAGATGTTTTGCTTTGAAGGAAGAGTCTAATTGCCTTCACTCCAATTATCTGGTCGTGCTCTATTTGCTCAGCTGACAAGCTTTCAATGTAGTCATTAGGGGTAGAATGAGGTTTTGATAATACGTCAGTCATGGTATGTAATATATTATGTGTCTGCGTGTGTGTAAATAGGTAGAGTGGGTGAGATGGTGCTCAAAGTGCGTGCGTAACTATTTATAAATATGAGTGTGAGTGTGAGTGTGAGTGCTGGTGGGTATGTATTGTATGTAGGTGTGTTTGCGATCAAAACTGGCGGCGCGAACTTCTAGCGTGGTTACGAGGCTAGTTGAGTATCGTCTGTATTGAGTTTTGACGTGTAGAAGTGCGTAACACTAGATGTTTCAGATTGGTCGTTGAGTTCGCTTGGTGGTCTTTTTGTTTCGCTTTGGGCGGGGCCATTTTTTTTTTTTGGTGAAGTGCAAGCCGGGGTTGTTGTGCGGGACACGACTGCCACCCCTCACATACATGAAAGTGTTCCAGCGTGTGCAGCATGACTTAGTATGGAACAGTCCATGAAGAGGCAATGAAGTGTGCGCTAAAGAGATCCAGGAATTGGCCATAGCGCTCGTGGGAGGCTGTATATCATTAGGTTCTAGGTTTAAGAACATCAAAGTGAACGAAAAAAAATTAAAAATGGAAAATGGATAAAGCATTATAAAGGAAGCGATGCAGATCACATCTGGTCTTTGGAATTGCATCTCGATGATCTGTACACTGTGCTAAAACAGTGTGTCCTTCGAATACTACAAAATTTTCACCTACAGAATCCGGCACTTCCTCAAAATAATTATAATCTATTAGTTCTATATGTAGTTCCCAACAAGAAAAAGGAAGTAGACACTGGTTTACGCCCACTTACCTAAGAGGGCCATTAATCCTGTACCCAAACACATGACACCAAAAGCTGCAAGCATCTTCTTCATGCTACCCTTGCCCTTGAACTCTCCTGAGTACAAGAACTCATGAGCCATTAATTCTACCAAACCAGTATAAAGTAAAATACCCGCAGAGATGGAATCGAAGATACCATTACAGAGCAATGCTCTTCTGGAGTTTGGAGGGTATGACTCTCTGACACCAAGACCAATGGCAATAGCAATTGGGGTGGTTAAGGTGTAAGCTAGCGCCATAATCCAGGGAGTGTACTTGTATTTGGATGGCCAGTTTGCAGTGGCAATTCTAGTTCCCAAACCTAAACCTTCAAACATTTGATGGAAAACTAAAACAATGTACAATGAGACGAATTCGTCACCAGCAACGGCTAAGGAAATACCAACGAAAACAGAATGGAAGACTACACCAAATTCTAAGACCAAGACACCAACTAGTTGTCCGTAGTATTGCTCTCTATCTTGGATGTTGACGGGCGTTCCCATGACTTCAGGATCTTGGTGATCGTGTGCGTGATTGAAATGCTTTGGGTATGGTAAGTTGATCTTATCTTCATCTGCGTTAGCAGAGGATGCAAGGTTGGCCTTTTCATCTTCATCGTCTTCGGTGTGAAGTTCGTCCTTTTTCGTGTACAAGTCTGCATTACCAAAGTGTGAATGGCTGTGGCCCTCTTCTTCGCCGAAGTCAGCGCCCTGTTGAATCTTTTGGTCGACATAGTGGAAAGTCATCAACTCGGAGAAGAACAAGAAAAACAATGAAATCAAGCAGAATGCAAACGCCATGGGATACTCAACCCAAACACCTCCAAGACAATCAGTGGAGAGTGCCTCATTTGCAGGTTGTAACAAGTGAATAAACCCAGTAGCGACAATGACACCTGAACCAAAGTACTTGGCAATGAAAAACACCCAGTTTGGTAGACGGATAAATGAATACTTCGAGGATAAGATGGGGAGGAAGGTACCAAACCCAGATGTTACAAGAATGACAAAGATAGATGAGATTCTAGCACCCCAGTGCTCTCCGTTGTAGTCGGTTTCTGATGTACAGGAGCCGTCGTCTCTGATAGCCAAGGCTATCGAGTTAGCAAAGATGTCCATCATCATTATTTTGAATGCGTTCCTGTTTTCTTTTTGAAAAAATAAGAAAAGTCTGTATGGGGAGAATTATCTCTTCTACCGTGGACTCCTAAGGGGATTAATAAATTATTTATCTCCAAATAGAAAAAACCTTAAACTTATTCTTAAATGAGCTATTGTCCTTTCAGAATGTGCTTCAATGCTCCTTATTTATGTCAAAAAAAGATCTCTAATGACGACGCTACTGCAGGATGGGGAATAACCTGTATTTTGGTCTGATAACCAGTACAGTTGTGAAAATGGGATGGAGTTAGCCTTGAATTCAAACTGTCCACTCAAAAATGCTTAATCTACTAAAAAAAAGTCGAGAGATGTACTCACTGATGAATGCGAATAACCACAAGGGTAAAAAAAAAACGAGGTATGCAGCATTACAATAAGAAAAAATATTTTGCTGACAGAAATTTGAAGCATCGGGGGACTTTGGCAGGTAAATTGCGCGGTAATTTGACCTTGCATGAATTTAGTGTATGCCGAAATCGATGTTGCATAACCTTGATAGTTATGAGATTGAACGGGTGCAACGAGGTGAGAGGTGGGAAGGTGACGTTGTGATGGGAGATGAATGGGTGAATGAGGCTGGAATCTAAAATGCTAGAGGAAATATGAAATACGAAATAGGCTGAGATATGACTGAGATCTGAGATCTGAGACCTGGTAGAATATAAGAAATGAAATGGTATAACCTGATATGGAATGTATTAAGTCATATGACGCATGCAGTGAGAAACTCCGAATAGAGATCTTGACTGAATACCATTCTAGCGAACTTGGGTAGTTAACCACTAGAGTACGATGCTGGAATTATACAGGTTATGTAGGAACAAAACGGCACCATTCGCTTGGGCCCAGTAAGAAATTATTTGGTGCCAATGGCATTTTCGTAGATTTTCATTGGTAAGCGCGTTCGCTGTGCAACCATTTAAGGGTGGGACGCCATAGCGCCCATTGCGCTCTGGTCGAATCTCTTTAGATTATTTTTTGGTATCCATCACTACCAAGGTGATCAAAGATCAAAGAATCCGTACAGCCGTGCAATCACCTCTTCCATTGTACGGATGTCTTCGCCTGCAAGCCAGGTCCTATACACCAAGGGCTCCAAGGGCTACGCTTCCGTACAAGCAACGAAAATCGGAAAATTTTAAGACAAAGCCAAAAAAGAGTGCACTGCTGCAGTTTCTTCTACTTCGCTACAGTGCCAGAACAATGCCCTCTATCTCTTAAGCGAGCAGCGTCGACCTAGCCTGGCTTGTGTCTTTCGTCATCACCATGCTTGAGCATATACAGATATTCGTTGTTTTCCTGCATATTGCCTTTTCCTCACTCTGGCTAAAGAGGAGCAGCTCGGTGTTCTTGTGAAGCACGATAAGCTTCTTTCCTAGACATATACAACAGCATGAGCGAGGAAGACATCAATGTATCAGACGGCGAGGAAGAACAGGAATTGAGCAAAGAAGAAAGATTGGAGGCTGCTAGGAAGAAGTTCGAAGAATTGAAAAAGAAAAAGAAGAAGGGCAAGAAGAAGAGTAAGAAGGAATCAGGGTCGGTGGAGCCTGAAGACCAGGAAGATTCAGAAAAAAAAGATACAGAAGAACCCGAAGAACTAGCAGAAACTGAAACTGAGAAGAAAGAGCTAGTGACCGAAGAATCCAAGAAAGAAGAGGCTACTGTCGCTGTACCTGAGGTGCCCACGGACGATGCTGAAGTGTCACCAAAACTGGTCGCGGAAGCACCAGTATCTGAACCAGTCAAATCTACTGCTTCTGAACAGAAAGCAACCATAATAGAGTCTGCAAAGGGTGAGACGACGAAGCCGGCTGTCGCGTCAGAGGATTCGCTGACAATCCAGCAGTTGAATGAAACCATTGAACAACAGAAGAACACAATTAAGAAGTTGAGAGACGAGAACACAGACTTGAAACTCTCTAAAATGGACCTCTTGGACCGGATTTCGGAGCTTGAATTACTCACGGAACAGTTAAAGAAATCCGGTGGTATATCCAACGTCCAAGTTCCAAGCAAGGTAGTCCCAGCAGAACCCGTCTTCAAAAAGAACGATTTTGCATCAGAATCCACTCAAAACTTGGCAGTCAGTGCCACAGAAGACTTCAGAGAGAAATTGATGGTATGGAAGGGCTGGCAGGCTGACATGACCAACTGGGGTGGAGTTCAAACGCAGATTGTTAAGTTGTAGATATTACAAAATACGTAAAGTGAAATAGATGAATAAACGAAATGGGGATTGAGGAAATAGGAAAGAGAACGTGCTTGTTCTCTCGCACAGCCTTTCCGTGAGGAGTTCTAGGTCTGCTGTAGTGCTGTTGGTACATAGTGACCCAACTAAACCAGAAGTTGAATCTGGACCAGGTGATCCGCTCCACTACGGACACCGGACTCTCTGTATACCGTGCTCCTCCTTTCCTTCCACAATATCTACACTGGCTCTACACTGGCTCTACTTTCTTATTCCTACTCTTTGCGTTCATTTCTCTATATATACATGACTTTATCACCATTACTCTATTTAACACGGCACAACACCAACCCACTCAAGTGTCTCTTTGCCGCTTCTTGGATTTCTACAACTTCATCTTCGTCTGTCTTGATGAACATGCACTCGGCTGGTTGCAAGGGTCTGATGAATCTTACGGTCAATCCAGATGCTAATGCCTTGACCTCGGTGTTAGTCAAGTTGACTCTTCTGCCTGGCTTCAGGATCAACGAGAAATCTCTGAGAACAGGTTGATTGTTACGGTACTTCAAGCCCAACCACAAACGACGAGTTGATACGTTATCTGGGGTGATATCTACAGGTTTTATGTCTGGTCCGGAGGTGGATCCCTTTTGCACTGAAGAAATGAATCCTTCCTTGTACAACTGCAAGGCTACTTGGAGGTGTAGACGAGAGAAGGGGACCGATGTTGCGGAGATATTGACTCTAGTACAGTTCTTGACATGTGATGCAAAGTGAGCTAGGTTGACTAAGGACATATCGTCTGGTGAATGCGAGAATAGAGGAATAAAGAATGCTTGCTTCTCTTCGGTAACCTGTGACTAAAAGAGGAATAACGAACTGCTCTGTTCACTTCAGTACTGTATGACTTTAACATGAAGAACTGAAAAAAAAAAAAAAAAAAAAAAAAAAAAAAAAAAAAAAAAAAAACCGAAAAATGATTTTCCGTTATTTTTAAAAAAAAAAAACCAGAAAAAAAAAGAAAGAAAAAAAAAAAGGGGTAAA